AATCGTCCAAATAAAGTCATCGTCCACGATGTCAAGGTCAGGCTTACAAATGTGAGGAAGTTCGAAGCCAAGTTCCACCGAGTCACTGAAGCCATCTTGACGAACGACAGATAAACAGTCTCCGTCCATAATGGGCCTACCTTGATGTCCGCCTAAATTTAATGTCGGGGTACATGACTTGGACCCCAAGTATTGAGCAACTTCGGGAAGACCGCCCTTAATGGCTAAGTAAGCCCGTGCACAGCTTCCTTGAGCTTTGCCGACCGAGATGACGGAGCCTGCTGGGACAGAGATTGCCGTAAACATAGGAACTGACACTCCATTTATGGTGAACTTGAACTTTCCTCCAGCAAGGCAGATTGTCAATGCCGCATGGGCTCTGATGGTCGGTCCTTTCAAAGTGATTTCAAGTCCCTCGGTGCGCCGATCGTTGCCTACGACAATATTGGCCAACTGGAAAAAAAGTGGATCGGAGGGACCAGACAATGGAACTCCATGGCCAATGTCTTCCCTTCCTGGATAATCTTGAATAGTTGTGTAAGAGCCAGGCTTAACAAACTCGACTAAGTTAGGTTGGTATTGAAAGTCAGTTGTCAAAAATGTGGGTTAATGTTTTACCCGTCAAAAAAGTTGCTGGAGTTCAAAATCTCAGTCAAGTAGTCGATGTTATGTGTAGGGCCGTGTATGTGGCTCTTTGACAAGGCCTGAACCATTGATAGCCGGGATTTATCTCTCAGAGGTGCCCATACCATAACCTTTGCTAATAGAGGATCAAAATACGGCGAGACCTTACTTCCCGGTTGATATCCAATGATCAATACGCAACTTGGACTCCTTCTCGAGCTCATCTGGAAATTCAACAAAATGCAAGACACCCGGCGCTGGCTGAAAGTTCTTGACGGGATTTTCAGCATACACTCTGCATTCGATTGCATGTCCTCGGGGGATAGCAACACCGTCACTGTCAATTTCACATTTTCCTTCCTTCTCAAGGAGACTTTTGGGCATGCCTGGCTCACCGCTAGCTTCATAATCAGCTTGGAGTAACATCAACTTTACCAAGTCAACACCGTAGACCAATTCGGTTATGCCATGTTCCACCTGAAGTCGAGTGTTCATCTCCAAGAAATAGAAGCTGCCAGTCTCATCGTCGACAAGAAATTCTACCGTACCTGCCGATTTATACTTGACAGAAGCGGCGAGATGAGCGGCACAGGTTACTAGTTGTTTCCTCAACAGCGTCCGGCCATTTTCCACAAAAGGGCTAGGCGCTTCCTCGATGACCTTTTGATGTCTTCTTTGAATAGAGCATTCACGTTCGCCAAAGGCACGCACATAGCCCTGACCGTTGCCGAAGACTTGAACCTCGATGTGCCGACCGCATTCTACGTACTTTTCAAGGAAGGCTCCAGAGTTATTGAACAACGTTTCGCCTCTTGAGACGACCTCCTTGAATGCGTCGCTCAATTCGTCCTCCCTGTAGCAAACTTTCAAGCCCATACCACCTCCTCCAGCAGTGGACTTGAGCATGACAGGGTATCCGATTCTGTTGGCAATCAGTTGGGCTTCAGCTATGTCCGTGATGAGTCCAGAACCGGGAACGACTGGCACATCGTTGCTTTCGGCCAAACTTCTTGCCGAGTGCTTCAAGCCAAACGTGTCGATCGATTTTCCGGTTGGTCCTGCAAACACTATACCCTTCTTCTCCAAAGCAGCTGCAAATTGTGGAGACTCAGAGAGAAAGCCATAACCTGGAACGACAACATCGGCTTTCAGGTTTATGGCGACAGACACAACGTGGTCGATATCTATATATGCCTGTGCTCCGACCCCTGGCAATAGCATAGCCTCGTCAGCTGAGAGTACGTGTAAAGATTCAGCATCCTCGGCGGAGTATATTGCAATGCTTCGGAGTCCATTCTCCTTGCAACAACGTATTATGCGACAAGCAATCTCACCTCTGTTGGCTACCAAGACTCTCTTGATAGTGCGGAATTGTGACATGATCGCAATTGGTGCGGATCGAGCAGCAGATCCAGATCGTATCTATAGGTGCTATCTACCCCACATCCAGCGGCATTGCCACTTCTGGGCGAGCAGCGCATATTACTGGTAATAGCTAAACCGACAATACGATTGCGCGAATGCAGCATCATCGTCGTATCTTTTGACATTTTGAGAAGGAAATGCGGCTCCGGTATGCAGCCAAGAAAGGCTTGTTTGGGGTATGCGATTGTTCTAGCTGGTACTACATTGCGCTTACTTCAATATGCCGCGGTGTTTACCCCCGGCCCCTCCTCTCGTCCCTATTTCTACTGCAAATTCGCAGTGATAGGGCCATGACCTACGACAAAGTTGCAAACGCAGCGACACCGTTTGCGCTCTCTGGCCAAGCAAACGACAACTCTCAGATTCTTCCTCGATGCGAGATCAATTGTGACATGGGAGAAGGCTTCGGTCCGTGGAAAATGGGTCCTGATGCAGAGCTCATGCCTCTTATCGACACTGCCAACATAGCTTGTGGGGGCCATGCTGGAGATCCCAGAATCATGAGGGAAACCATCCAGCTCGCCAAAAAGCACGGAGTTCGAGTTGGAGCCCATCCAGGTTTACCCGACAAGGTTGGATTTGGCCGGAGACAATGGGCGCTCTCGCCTCAGGACGTATACGACATGGTGTTGTACCAAGTCGGAGCCTTGAAGGCATTCTTAGATGCGGAAGGTATGCCATTACTGTACATTAAGCCACACGGAGAGTTGTTCTTTTACGTTGAGAGGGATGAAGAGATCATGCATGCGGTGTTAGACGCAGCAAAGGTGTTTGGCGTTCCAGTGATGGCCGGTAAGAGTGTCCAGGTATGAGCAAGTGGCCAAGAAAGAGGGTGTGCAATTCATACAAGAGTTCTACCCAGACCTCAACTACAATTCCGAAGGTAAGCTCGTCAAGATATTTGCTGGTCCCAAAAGCGCACGTACGCCGGACACAATCATGAACGCGGTGTTACAGGCTGGCTTCGCTGATCAAACGGTAGACACCGAGGACAAGCCTATGAATCTCAACTTTGGGGATGCTCCATTCACCGTGTGCTTGCATCTGGACATGCCCACTGCTCTTGAGAATGCACGCAAAACCAGGGCTGCTATCGACGAGATCAATGCTGCAAGAGGGTATCCCGCCAAGTAGATATTGAATGCAACGTAATAGCAGTTTCTTTGTAATCGAAGCGGTTATCGCACAATGGCCTTCTCGGGCAAAATTACCCGAAATGGAATGCTGCATGAATTGAAGGAAAACGGCTGCACGTCGCAAATATTTCCTAATGCGTCATTACGAGATATCGGACATGTTTGAGGAAAACCGATAGACTTAGATTACGAACATCATTATCTCAAAGTTGGAAAACCTTATCTTAGCGGTAAGCCGCAGTTAACTACCAAACCGTGACCGAAGTATGGTCGGGAATGGCCATCCGTGAATAAAATGCTCCCCAGAGCCTGGAGAGTCAATACTCGCAATGGGGCTCGAACACGCTAAAATATTCGGTGAAAGTGTTGGATATGGCATGGTTGTTGGAGTTGGTTTCGCATTCGCCGTGATAATGGTGGGCGTAACCAAACTCTTATCTGTATTCTTCAACGAAATCCAGGACTCGGAAATGTTGATGACGGCGAAACGCAGTATCAAGACCGGCTTGGATCGCTTCAGCAGTGATAAGTTCGTGGACAATTGGTTCCCACTTTGTTATTATCATGTACCGCTGCTTACTCCAACGGCATCTCAAGCGCATATTGGTATGGTGCCGGTGCATGTGTGCAAATAATCTTCCTCAGTATGTTGGCACTCGAAATCAAAAAAAAAGCACCCCAACTGCCACACGTACCAGGAAGTGGTACGAACCAGATATGGCGCACCTACACACATTGTCTCCATTGTGTACTCTGGTAATTCAGATGGATGTGCTACACCACCAACTTGTTGATTAACGGATCGTCAATATTTTCAGCCATTCACAGGGCATGGAACAGAGCACGCAGCTATTGTGTTGTTTTCCTATTGGCGTATATCACTCTACACTTTGATGGGAGGCATACAAGGCCACCTTCACTTTACCGACTGGGACCTCACACCGTCATTTTGTACTGTCTCGTGCTTGCATTTCTATTCAACTGCTACGCAACGAGCGAAATCGTGGGCTCCCCTGGTGCCTTGTGGGATCTTTTGGTGGAAGCTTCTGAAAGGCGGCCCATTGCCGGGAATGCTCTGGGGAGTTTGTTGACATTCAACTCTGTCCAAGGCGGTCTCTTCGGCTTGGTTCTTTTTGGCGCTGGCTTTGCAGCAGCTTGCGACTCACAGCTTTTTCAAAAGGCCATTGCTGCCGACCCCAAATACTTGGTAAGAGGGTACATTTTGGGTGGGCTAGCATGGTTCTCGTTGCCGTTCTGCTTGTCCACAACGATGGGTTTGGCTGCTGCCGGCTTAGAAACACATCCCAGCTTTCCCACATTCCCAGACTTGATGTCTGCCGAGGAAATCGGCGCAGGCTTGGTGCTACCTTATGCAGCCTCAGGCGTTGATGGGTCGGTCTGGTGTGGCCATGGTGTTGACGATGATTTTCATGGCGGTTACTGCTGCATTTTCTTCCGAAACTATCGCCATTTCCGCCATGGTCACCCACGACGTCTACAAGGCATACGTCAACCCCGACGCCAAAGGTGGCCGCTTGGTCTTGGTGTCTCATGCGACGGTGATAGCATTCGGCATTGTGACTGTCGCCTTGGGTATCGGGCTTGCACATGCTGGGTTCGACGTTTCGTTCATCACCACTGCGTCGGGGATCATTGTTAACGTCAACATCGTAGCCATGGTGCTCACTTTTGTATTGGAGGAAGATGTCGGGGTTTGCATACTCTGTGGGCACAGTGTTATCCTACCATGATCGCTTTAGCTGTGTGGATGGGCTACACGGTATCGCAGTCGGGACACATATCGTTGACAACTCTTTCAACCAATGAAGCACTTGCCGCAGGAAATACAGTTGCCGTGGGTTGTCCGCTTATCGTGATTCCAATTCTCGTCTTTTTGAAACCCGCAGACTTTGCGTGGGAAACTTGGCTCACCATCAAGCAGGACGATAACACTGAGTTCGACAAGAAGCACGGGTTGGAGCATGTGTTATCGCAGGAAGACGCAACTGAAGCCGTCTTGATAGAGCACCAGAACAACGAGACCATACTCAAGAGACAGTTCAAAATAGGTGCTGTTGCGTGCACCGTATTGATCTTGTTCTTTCTTGTGGTCTTCCCCATGCCCTTGTATGGCTCGAAGTACATCTTCAGCAAGCGGTTCTTCACAGGTTGGATCGTGGTGGCATTTTTATGGGCATTTTTCGCTGTCTACGTCATTATCGTAATCCCAGTGTGGGACGGACGCCAGGCCCTTGGCCGGTTGTATCGTATTATGATGGGCCGTGAGGCGAAACCTGGAGACAGCAGCACATATTCCCACGATGAGGAGACGCCAGTGAGTAAGGTTCAGTTCACAGTCAAGGAGGAAGAGGTGAGAGGTGCTTTCTAGAGGCTAAATCACAACTACAATTTATTCTCCATACCATCCTTCTGGCTAAGTTACCGAAGTCTTCTCAATCAGAGTTGAATGTGTCGGCCATTGTGTTGCAGCTAACCTTCCAAGTAAATAAAACGGCCAACATGACAAGTAGATGTACGGCATCTTATGTATGAGACTACAAGTAGATTGAAGTTGACACTCACTTGGAATCAAATGGCAGTTGTCATCGATAGCTAATCGAATTTTTGGTACCACTAACATCAAGTCGGTATTTCACCACAAGATTTCTCCCTGTCCTTACCATGTCAGAAACAGCTTAGTATATTTTCTAGTGGTAGCTAGCAGGATACGTGTAAAGGATGAAGCTTTTCAGAACGAGGAAGATAACACGCAAATTTTTAAAGAGGTTCCTAATTTGAGCCACAAGAACTGCTGTTGCAACCATTAAGCGCACCAGCTTCAAACACTTCAGATACCATGAAATTATTGGTTATGAAGAGAATCTACTATAATGATAACCACAGAGGTTTCATCAAGTCAGATGGCCCGTAAGATTTATAGAATTTCTCAGTCCATAAAAAATTGCATAGTTATGTACTTTCACGAAATGTGCAAAATTGAGTGAAAAACATTGATTGTAGCTAACCAACCAAGCAGAGTGCCCACATAGTAGCAAAAACATTCTCAGTCTACCGCTGAAACGTTTCAAGTTGACGAACCCGCCATGCTGACACTGTTATATTTGCCGGTAAATTCCCGAAGAAGTACCGGATAATTTCCGAACATTATGCGGCTTCAGCTCCTAGTTTCCATCCTATAAAGACAAGACAACCACTGGATCCGAACAGAAACCGCGCTTGGAATGTCGACAACAATTCAACTATACGGAGGCAGAACCATTGACATCAAGACAGGATTATTCATCAATAAGAGTTTCGGCCATCAGTCAATGGTTCAGTTTTGACTACTCCAAATCCAGCCACAGGAGAGAACTTGGCTACTATTAGTGCTGCTACGGCCGAAGACGTAAATGCCGCCGTGACTGCTGCCAGAACAGCCTTTGATATGACTTGGGGAAAGAAAAGCACGCCATCTCAGCGTTGTTCACTCATTAACAAATGGGCCGATTTGATAGAGGCTAATATTGATTCTCTTGCCAAAGTTGAAAGTGTTGACAACGGAAAGCCGGTTTGGATGGCTCGTGATGTCGATATTAAGGACAGTATCGGGTGTCTTCGATACTATGCTGGACTTGCAGACAAGATAGAGGGACGTACTATTGAACAAGAAGAAGGAATAAAAATAGCTTTTACCAAAGCTGAACCTATAGGAGTATGTGGCCAGATTATTCCATGGAACTATCCCATTCAAATGTTCATGTGGAAGGTAGCTCCAGCTTTGGCTGCTGGAAATACAATTGTCCTAAAGCCTGCTGAGCAAACTCCTTTGAGTGCTCTTCGGTTGGCGGAGTTGGCACTTGAAGCAGGATTTCCTCCTGGAGTCTTGAACGTGGTCAACGGTACTGGAGCCATTACGGGACTCGCAATTTCACGTCACATGGATATTGACAAAATTGCTTTCACCGGATCAACGGTGACGGGAAGAAAAATTATGGAAGCTGCTTCGAAGAGTAATCTCAAGAAAGTCACCCTAGAGCTAGGAGGAAAGTCCCCAGTGGTAGTCTTTGACAACGTTGATATTGACCAAACTGCCAATTGGGTTTGCATGGCAATTCTTTTCAACCACGGGCAGGACTGCTGTGCTGTCTCACGTTTGTTTGTTCAAGAGACGATCAAGGATAAGTTTTTTGAAGTACTCAAAAGAAAAATAGAGGAAATTGAAATTGGCGACCCAGCCATGGAAACCACTTTCATGGGACCATTGGTTTCGAGGCAACAGCAAGAAAAGGTGAAAAAGTACATCCAGCACGGTTTGGAAGAAGGTGCTGTCTGTCTTACCGGAGGAGTGGAAAAATTATCACATTTGCCAGAGAAATTCAAGGACGGTTTTTTTGTTCCTCCAACAGTGTACACCAATTGCAAAAAGGGCATGAAGATCGTGGATGATGAAATTTTCGGACCAGTTCTTGCTGTACAGACATTTAAGACTGAGGAGGAAGCAGTTCAGTTGGCCAACGATACTGCTTACGGATTGGGAGCCGGAGTTTTTTCCCAGAATGCATCGCAATGTATGAGAATGGTTCACGCTCTCAAGGCGGGAACAGTTTGGTGCAACCAATACATGGTATTGAGCAATGCCGTGCCATTCGGAGGTATGAAGCAGTCGGGTTTTGGCAGAGAGCTTGGCATCGAGGGATTGAAAGAGTATACACAAACAAAAGCGTGTGCGGCATTCTGCGATGTGCAAAACCCCACACATCCACACACCCGCGTGTCAACCCAAATTCGGCCAGCGACCGCCGGGACCGTGCGCAATGGGGTTCTTCACTAAAGCAGATACTCCCACGGTTCCACCTAACAAGTCGAAACGTAGAGAATGTTGGGATGCCAGGGACGAGTTTTTTGAATGTCTCACCAAAAACAATATAGATAACTCGCTTGATCCAAATGTGAAGGACCAAGTCGAATCACAATGTGGTTCGCTTCGAGCAACATTTGAGAATAAATGTGTGGAAAGTTGGTACAAGTACTTTCAAGAAAAACGATTTAGTGAGATCAAGAAAGACAAGTATATAGCCCAGCTCGAAGCACAAGGCGCACAGCCACTTCCCTTTAAATTGAGCCCCAAGAAATGATGTATATAGTAGGCGAAATATAAGCATAAGCACAATATAGTATATGCGTTCATTTGAAATAGCAGTTTAACTTATATTATGGTTTCTAAAAGGGTTTGTTGAGGTTATAGTAGTTATTGAATCGATTTAGTGAAATTTCTTCCTAAAGTAATTCATTTTCTCATGCTCATGCAACTTGCAACAATAGTGGATCTCTACCAATGACGTTTTCCCCGTCAAATATATCGAGTATAGCACCCCACTCGTATTCTCCCTTTTCCAATACCACAAACGTAGTTGAAATTCGATGTGACAGATGGGCTGCGACACCAGGATGTCCAATATGGTTCTGAAGTACGCCATTGACAAGTATCTTTTTGTCGCTAGCTGCAACAGACTTGACCAGCGAGCCCACTGTACCACCAATCTTTGCCGAGGTGGAACTGAGAGAATAAGGAAGGTTTCGAACAGTGCCGTAAATAGTTCGATCAAGGTAATTAGTGATTGTGGTTCGTATGGTGTAAAACTCATCAGTTTTGAGGGAGAATTGTGGACCGGTTCTCTCTAATGGACAGTTATCACTAGCGAGAATTTCATGCTGAAGCTGTACTCGATCGTGTAAAAGAATAGATGCCATACGCGGTTCGAGTCTCACTGCTCGTAAGCCAAAATTACCAGTACGACTTTGAGCTTCATGGTGGCCCAGTCCAGTATGCCATGAGCCTTTCACATTCTCCAAAAGGGATTCCTTCAACCAGAAAAGCTCTTTGTGAGTTTCCTCTTCTTTTTCCGTATAGTTTTTATTCTTCACGAATTGCTTGTTGCGTAGCGAGGGAATTGGCTTATGAAGATCATTATCTTTCCACGACAAACGTCTGAACGGAACAAACACTCTTACAGTTTTTCCAGGATCAATAAAACCTTGGAGCTCAAGCTTGGGCAGATTTCCGTCGACTTTGAAAGAAATGATTTCTTTCCACGAGTTTCTTAGATCGAGTGCGAGAAGACAAAAGTCGGCTATATCGCCAGTTTTCCTCGCAAAAGTCAAAAAGTCAACCGTTGCCTTTAGCGCATTGCTGCCTCCTTCTTCAGGGAGGTTCCGTAGGTGAAAGTCAAGCAATGACGTCGAGTTCAATGTGACAACATCAAAGTTGACTAATTCGAGAGAAGGAAGTACTGTGAACTGAATAGGGATGCTTATCAGCTTAACAAACGAGCGAGAACGATCGTGTCCTTTATTCGCATAGTCAAGCATGACTTTCAGCTCACGCATTCCTCGTTTTCCATTAACCTCGAAATCAATTTTGAGCTTGGAGTGCGGTTCAATTATCTTTCCAGAAAATGCCTCTTTGTTCTGGATCCGGAATGGCTTGTCATGGATTAAAGACCATTCCAAGTTATAAATATCATTGGGCGAAAGACCACTACGACCAGCATTCGAAAGTTGCCTATTGATGGTGTCGACAGTGGAGTCCCAAAATGCAAATGATAGGTAGTTGATGGCATGTTCAGATTCATTCGTCAATGTAGCTGTAAAGTGGTATTTTTCACCTTCCAATAGCATTAGCATTCCATTTACTATCAGCGACTCAGAGAGCGTTAGCATGGGTTGTGGTGGAATAACATTCAAAATGAGCGACTTTGTCGAAGCTCGATCACCAATAGAACACAGTTCTAAGTTTTGTATCACAGATGAAGTATTCATTATTTGCTGGTTGTCTTTGAGCTTGATGCAGTGGTCGAATTTCTCCTCGTCGACTATCAAAAAAGTTTGCTTGTTGCAATTTGCAACCACAATATTGAACCCTTTGATTTCCGTTATACCTATTGTCTCGGGTTTGAATGTCACTAAAAATGATTGGATGGTGAAGGGGGCTATAGTTAGGTCGTCGTACCTTGGAACATTCACTGCCAGTCTTGTAAACCCACTTGGGTTCCGCTTACCTGGTTGTGGTCTCTGTGGTCGCTGGTTTAGCGACGGCATAGAATTGGAAGCTGGTCCCATTTTTCTTAATCCACTTGACCAAGTGGAAAAATTCAGATTAGTTACTGGTTTCGTCAAACTAAAAAGCGTTTGAACCGTGGATTTCAGATCTGTGACAATTTCAATATCATGAATATCCAACTCAAAGCCAAAAGGGTTTTGCAATGTAATTTTCAATTGAAATAAATCGTCCTTCACCACTAACTTGTCTTTCAGAATAACAGTTGAATTGCGTCGATATGGGTTGAAAATTAACCCATCCGACTGTGCATTGTTTTTGCCCACAAGATTCAGACTTCCACTCTGTTCCAGAATCTCACTGAACGGAATTAGTTCCTCACGTTTCTTGCTTGTTACCAATTTTACTCGTCGTACGAGGTATGGGTCCCAATAAGGGACACTCAATGGCAGATGGCCACTATTATTGTGAGTGTATTCTTGAATGACAGAGTTGATTCGTTCTTTGGTTTTTTGCTGGTCATGAGAGCTCAAGCAATGAGCAAATCTTGTGAGTAACAAAGTGCATATATGAACCACAAATTGATCATCGTGGTTGGCAGATCCAATCAGAATTGCTAGCTTTAAAAGCAGAAGCTTTATTGTGGCCCAATGTGTCGCTACGTTTGAAGCAGCAGTGGCTGAGCTTTCGGTTTCTGCGTCTACCCCATATGCCTGGAACAACAATTCAAACACTTCTCGAAGACTCGAATACTCAGCTGGAGCCATCTTTCCTTCTTTATTGGAAGCTAGACTGGGCAAAAGTCCCACTAAGAAAGTTCTTAAAATAAAAGCACGCTTGCGATGGAGCCCCAAATCTCCATACATAGTAGCAAGACACGAGTATAGTTTACACTGTTGGTAAACGCTCATATCGACAAGTTGGAGGTTGAAAACTTTATCCATTTCTTTCAAGATTTCAGTTTTCATGACAGCAGAGCCTTGGAGATTATTATCAAGTTTGGTGTTGCGAACAACTGCGTCAAGGACATTTAGGCTCAATTCTCCTCCTCCCAAATATATGCAAATGGCGAACTTAATCGTCCGTATTAAAGAATCAATGTACACCATATCTGGCACCGTGTCTTCCAAATCATTGAGGGTGTTACTGTAGTAATGAATTGCACGGAATGCTAATAATTTGATCACTTCTGCGGGCGGCGTAGAAGCCAAGTCATATGTGCCACGGTAATTGGTACTGGAGTTACGAGGCGACAGAGTTGCCGGAAGTGAATTTCGAAGTGATTTAGACCCGAGTGATGATTCTGATGACGGTCTAGGTGGTGCTGACAGCGACATGTCGGATGAGAGTTTGGACTTTGAAAGCTGAAGTGTAGGAAGCACGGTGGGGTTGAGCGAGGCGGGCATTCCCACGTAGTGGAGGAGGACTGTAGAAACAGCCAAGCCTTCAAGAGCATTTCCGAGCCACAAGTTGTCGTCAACTTTTCTTAGGTTGGTGATAGCTTCGACAAAGTGGGAAGAAGCAGCAGCGTAATTACCCGCTAGCAATGCAAAGCTTCCGAGAACCTTCTGTTGGCGGCCCAAATGGCGTGTTTTGGATTCTGTAGATGGAGAACTTTGCCCAGATCCATGAGAAGGGTTGAAACTGACCTTGAAAGAACCGGAACTAAGACGCTTCTGAGCACTTGTGATGGTTCGTGCGATAGTATTGGAGTCGGAAATCGACACAGGAGACCGCAACGTGATGTTCAGGAACGAATCGGTGTAACTGTCCAAAGCAGCAAGAAAATTAGCCAGAATCAGACACAAGATGGTCTCCAATGCTGTGAGTGAGCCGGAATAATAGAATGTTGAGCGCTGCGAGTGGTCACTGGGGGGACACAAGCGCTTGAAATCGTCGGGTGGAGTGTCAAAGTGGATGATATTGTGAACTATGGCACTTGGAAAGCTGGTTTTCAATTGGTCAATCGACACCGAAGGTGTGTCACTATACGGACCCACTGCCACCACTATGAAGGTTTTTCGCCATGGTTCGAAGTCATGTAAAAATATGGACTCCTTATTATCGTCACTAGTGACAAAATTATAGAGAATTCGACCCTGTGGGTACAGTTTTGGATTATGATGATGCAATTGGGACTCGACAGAAACATCCAAAAGACGTACTTCCGACGGCCCAGAACGGATTTCTGAGATATATCGCAGGTACTGGGTAGATGAGCACCGGTTACATGGCACCACAAGAACCCGAACTCGAGCGGGACCCACAAACAGGTACATGGAGAATGAAACCGCCAGACTGCATGTAAATTTGAGTTTTTCGATTTTGGCGCGGGGGGGGGGTTTCTGCAGGACACCTCACAAGTCGATATTCATCCTCACGTTACGCCACCATGCCTGGCCTCAGCTTTGACAACTATCAGCGGAACCAGTTTCTTGCCGCGAAAGGTTTTGGAACGCCCCGCGCAACGTCTACAGGTACCACGATTGTGGGATGCAAATTTGCTGGAGGAGTGGTGATTGCGGCCGATACTAGAGCCACTGCCGGTAGCATTGTTGCCGACAAAAACTGTGAAAAATTGCATCGTTTGGCACCCCAGATCTGGTGTGCGGGAGCAGGTACTGCTGCAGATACCGAGATGGTGACTCAATTGATAGCATCGAACTTGGAGCTTCATTCGTTATCTCAGAACCGCAAGCCGCGAGTCATTACTGCTTTGACAATGTTGAAGCAACATCTTTTCAAATACCAGGGTCACTTGGGAGCATACCTTATTGTAGCGGGAGTGGATCCCACCGGAGCACATCTTATGTCGGTCCAGGCACACGGATCGACGGATATAGGTCAATACCAATCGTTGGGATCGGGTTCGTTGGCTGCGATGGCCGTTCTTGAAACCCACTGGAAACCAGATATGACCAAGGAAGAAGCGGTGCAGTTGTGTGCCCAGGCCATTGAGCTGGGTATTTGGAACGATTTGGGATCGGGATCCAATGTAGATGTGTGTGTGATGGAGGTAGGCAAAGATGCCGAGTTGTACCGCAACTACAAGACTCCCAATGTGCGTGAGTCGAAAACGAGATCCTACAAGTTCCCTCGCGGGACTACGGCTGTTCTCAAGGAGAGATCGTGGCAGGTGGTTGACGAGCAGGTGGTTGCTTTGGGAGAACCAATGGAGGTGGATGCTTAGGTAGATAATGCAATGATGTAAATTCGCGACTTTAAAGTAAATTCTAGAAAAGTGCAAAAAGTGCATAAAGTGCATAAAAGAAAAGGTAAAAACCAAAATCGTTATGGTCGTTAACAATCCAAACAACTGGCACTGGGTCGATAAAAACTGTCTCGAGTGGTCTCGTGGCTACTTTGCCTCCAAAACCAATGGTTTGAGTGCATCCAATGACAATGGAAATATTGCCGTTTCAGCGGTTTCTTCTGTGGAGGGAGACTGTGATGTTTCCCAGAGAAAAGGAAAGGTTATATCTCTTTTTGACCTTAAATTGGTGTTTGCTATTGCTGGTTTCACTGCCGAGGATGATGAGGTTTCTGGCTCGATAACAGTTCCAGAATTGGCTTACGATTCCGACGCCGACGACATCCAGTTTGAAGTGAGCATCTACAACGAAACAGCAGAACACGAGGGGATTCGCCAGTTGATTAAAAAGGAACTTCTTCCCAAATTACGTGAAAAATTGGCTCAATTCGGTTCTGACTTGATCACAGAACACAGTTCAGATATCCAATTGTCGCAGGACCAAGTCAGCCTGGAGTTCACCAAGGCTAACCAGACTCTGAAGAGCACAGGTAAGGCTACTGGTAAGACTGGAAGCTCAGGTTCGGGAGCTGCTGGAGCTGGTTCTGGTTCTGGTTCTGGTTCTACTTCAGCTTCAGCTTCAAAACCTCAAACCGAAACCAAGTCTTCTGTGCCAAAGTACAACACATCTACACTCCACTTGGAACCCGAGTTCAATACTCTGGCCGAGCAGCTTTACATTACACTTTTGGACCAGGCTCGTATTGCAGCATGGTCAAGGGCTGCCCCCAATCTTGAACCATTTCCGCCTAGCGAAGGGTCTGACTTTTCGTTATTTGGCGGCTCAATTAGTGGAAAATTCACCAAACTCGTACCCAATGAACGCATCACTCAGCTATGGCGCTTACTGGACTGGAAAGATGGCCATTATGCCCAATTGGATATTCAATTGAAGCAGGGTTCAGGTGAAACGAAAATGGTAGTTAAATGGACTGGAATTCCTATAGGAGAGGAGGATAGAGTGAGAAACAATTTTGAGGATTACTACGTGCGGTCGATTAAAATCACGTTTGGATTTGGAGCCGTGTTATAGATCTGAGAAATGAAAAATTTCGTATTTGTAATCGCGCATGGAATTGTTTACCGTATTAGGTGAGGATTTCCATCGCCCGCGCTAATTAGTTTGCTACGTTGCTGTGAGTTTATAAAGCAGTGCAAGTGCATTGATAGCAATCGATATGTCTGATACCACTGGAAAAGTAAGTTGTGGCGATATATACTCGTGCGGTCGATTAAAATCACGTTTGGATTTGGAGCCGTGTTATAGATCTGAGAAATGAAAAATTTCGTATTTGTAATCGCGCATGGAATTGTTTACCGTATTAGGTGAGGATTTCCATCGCCCGCGCTAATTAGTTTGCTACGTTGCTGTGAGTATATAAAGCAGTGCAAGTGCATTGATAGCAATCGATATGTCTGATACCACTGGAAAAGTAAGTTGTGGCGATATATACTCGTGAAGTGACAAAAAGACTATTTCATGGATCATTGGGTTGCTTTATACTACAAAACCACCCGGGTACTACCGTAATCGGTATCACAACCGAATCGATCAATTCTTCACATTCAACCACCATTACTAACCAAGACCATCACCTGTAAAGCTGCCGTTGCTTGGGAAGCAGATAAACCACTTTCCATTGAGGAAATTGAAGTGGCTCCTCCAAAAGCTCACGAAGTGAGAATCAAGATTCTCCACACCGGTGTTTGCCACACTGATGCCTACACTTTAAGTGGTGTAGATCCAGAGGGAGCATTCCCTGTTATTTTGGGACACGAGGGTGCTGGAATTGTTGAATCCGTGGGTGAAGGAGTTACGTCAGTCAAGGTGGGAGACCATGTCGTTGCCTTGTATACCCCGGAGTGCAAAGAGTGTAAATTTTGCAAATCAGGAAAGACCAATTTGTGTGGAAAGATCCGGGCCACACAGGGAAAGGGAGTGATGCCCGATGGAACCTCGAGATTCAAGTGTAAGGGTAAGGACTTGTTGCATTTTATGGGATGTTCCACCTTTTCGCAGTATACTGTGGTTGCAGATATTTCAGTTGTTGCTGTCAACCCTGAAGCTGCTTCCGACAGAACATGTTTGCTTGGATGTGGTATCACCACTGGATACGGAGCAGCTACTATTACTGCCAATGTTCAAAAGGGAGACAATGTTGCTGTTTTTGGTGCTGGATGTGTGGGTTTGTCGGTGGTTCAAGGTGCTTTTCAGCGTGAAGCCGCCAAGATTATTGTGGTGGATACTAACGATGCTAAGGAAGAATGGGGTAAGAAGTTTGGTGCTACTGATTTTATCAATCCTACTAAATTACCAGAGGGCACCACTATTGTCGACAAGTTAATCGAGATGACAGACGGTGGATGTGACTACACTTTTGACTGTACTGGTAATGTCAATGTCATGAGAAGTGCCTTGGAAGCATGTCACAAAGGTTGGGGTACTTCGATTATTATTGGAGTGGCTGCTGCTGGCAAGGAGGTTTCTACTCGTCCCTTCCAATTGGTTACCGGAAGAGTATGGAAAGGAGCAGCATTTGGAGGTGTCAAGGGTAGGTCTCAATTGCCCGGCATTGTCGACGATTACATGCAAGGCAAATTGAAGGTGGACGAGTTCATTACCCACAGACATCCTTTGGACAAGATAAACACTGCATTCGAAGACATGCACGATGGTACTTGTATTCGTGCTGTGATTGAGTTGTAAAGCCAGCAGCCAGCACCAAGGTCTAGTGTTCGATCGGCACGGATGTAGCCAGGTGCTGGGCGCAGGCACTGGAGATTGGACAAAGGGAAAGGTGAGGTGAAGGTAGGTGAAGGTGAGGCTCGGAGTTGGTTCGGAGTTCGGACTTTATGAGGAAGGTGAGACTGAGGGTATCATCTGAAACCACGAAACCGAAACTACAAAACCAAAACTACAAAATCAAAAACAAAACAGCAAAATTACAAACTACAGTACTTATTTAGTTTTTTCGCTTCAATTTGATCTCGCTCGATTGACCGAATCTTCTTCGCACCGAACTCTCAATCTATAAACTACAGTAAATAGACACACTTTTCGCCCCTACGATCAATTATTTTTGTTGTTGCTGTTACTACCATATCTCTACACTTTCCAACCAACCCGTTGTTGTCAAATCACCACTTTTTTCTCTTCAGGGTAGCCGCCGCACCGGACCCGACGGAGTCGGAGTATGGCAGTCGCTGATTGGCCGAGGCCGAATCATCCCTCAATTTTCACTAAATTTCGCACACACCACTAAAAAAAAACTCTTACCCATGTTTAGACAAGTAACCAAAAGAGGATTCCAGGTTCCTCGCTTGACCAGAAGCTACATTGCCGGTCAGTTCACTGGCCAGAAGAAGGCTAATGGAAAATACACCGTCACGTTGATTGAAGGTGATGGAATCGGAGTGGAAATTTCTCAATCGGTTAAAGACATTTATGCTGCTGCTGACATTCCCATCGAATGGGAACCGGTCGACGTGACTCCTCTCTTGATCGACGGCAAGACCACATTGCCCCAGCCTGCCATTGACTCGGTTAACCGTAACTTGGTGGCATTGAAAGGTCCTTTGGCTACTCCCGTCGGTAAGGGCCACACATCAATGAACTTGACTTTGAGAAGAACTTTCAACTTGTTTGCCAACGTTCGTCCTTGTAAGTCCATTGTCGGATACGACACTCCATACGAAAACGTGGACACCGTGTTGATCAGAGAAAACACCGAAGGTGAATATTCGGGAATAGAACATACCATTGTTCCCGGCGTGGTTCAATCGATCAAATTGATCACCAAGCCAGCGTCTGAAAAGGTGATCAGATACGCCTTCGAGTACGCCAAGAGCATCAACAAGCCTCATGTGTTGGTGGTGCACAAGGCTTCTATCATGAAATTGAGTGATGGTTTGTTCGTTTCCACCGCCAAGGAAATTGGTAAGGAATACCCCGATGTCAAGTTGGACTACGAGTTGTTGGATAACACCTCGTTGAAGTTGACTGCTGACCCAAGTGACTACAAAGACGTGGTGATGGTTATGCCTAACCTTTATGGTGATATCATGTCCGATTTGTCTTCGGGTTTGATTGGTGGTTTGGGATTGACTCCTTCCGGAAACATGGGTAACAAGGTTTCTATTTTCGAAGCCGTGCATGGCTCTGCCCCTGACATTGCTGGAAAGGGCTTGGCTAACCCCACTGCGTTGTTGCTTTCATCTTGTATGATGTTGAGACACATGTCTTTGAACGCCGAAGCCGACAGAATCGAGAGTGCCGTTCTTAAAACCATTGCTTCCGGCCCTGAAAACAGAACCGGTGATTTGGGTGGATCTTCCAGCACCTCCAACTTTACCAAGCAAGTGATTGCCAATTTGTAGGTAGGTAGAATAATTCATGAGACAGAGTGGTGTGTAATTCTTTTGATCTAGGTTTCTGGCTAGCTAGTCTTTATCCTTCGGTTATATACTCTCCAACACCTTGTTCGTGCCCTCCACTATGGCCACATGCTCCACCTCATGAACCTTGGTTTCGTACTCTTCGAGACTCTTGTGTGGACTCAATTCAATTTCCTTAACGAGAACTGGGGCTCCACGATCCACTTCGGCAATTACTCGATGAATCATTACTCCACCTTTAGTAATTGTTCCTTCTTGTCCTGCATTCCATGTTCTTTCAATGGCATGAGTACCGTCAAAAGCTCCGGGCAAAGCAGGATGTAAGTTGATTATAGGGATGCCAGCTTGTTCGAGAGGAGTCAAAATTCCAGGTGACAATATTAACATCCATCCAGCACAAACCACCAAGTCGGGATGTATACCAATAATTTTGTGTGCTAAATCCTCATTGAACTTTTCCCTCAATACTCGACGCTCCTCCACCTGATCTTTAGTTGTTCCTTTGTAGTAATTTTTCAAACAATGTGATTGAAAAGGAATCGATGCCTCGGCGGCCCGAGTGAGTCCATACGCTTTGTCATTCGACGATATGACATGAGCTATCTCACCCTTTAACACTCCTTGCTTCTGAGCATCTATAAGTGCCTGGAGATTGGAACCAGATCCAGAAATCAATACTAATATCTGGGGAGCCATTGCAAAGTGACTCGGACATCTTCTCTCATATATTGAAATACATCCGTACACCAAAGACTGACATCAAACAAGGAAGACACAACGAGTGAAACCAAAGCAAAATCAAATAGACGTCAAGTAATGTTTCAGGTGGCGGTCACTTTAACTGGTAACTCTTCTTGATTGGATAGCCTTTGTTAGTGGTTTTCAATTTTACATGACTGCAAAATGTCAGTGACTCTTTTAGTTGTACTTGCCATACACCATCCAATTAGAAAGTACATGTACCTTCACTGAAACATCAGTACTAACATTGTCCCAATCATAACTCCTTGTTCAACCAAAGAAGCAACTCCAGGAACGGCTGCAACCTCCGGGTAATAGCGTAACATCGTGGCCGGTCCAAAGATTACCCGCACCAGGCTCAGGAAAATTTTTTTCTCACTTAGTAAGTCTCCTGAAGTGTTCAATTAGACTTCTTCTTAAGTTCAAGTCTAGTCAAGATGGTCGCCTTCACAATTGAACAGATCCGTGATTTGATGGACAAAGTCGCCAATGTGCGTAACATGTCCGTCATTGCTCACGTCGATCACGGTAAATCCACTTTGACCGATTCGTTGGTCCAAAGAGCCGGTATTATTTCCGCCGGTAAAGCTGGTGAAGCCAGATTTATGGACACCAGAAAAGATGAACAAGAGAGAGGTATTACTATCAAGTCCACTGCCATTTCTTTGTACGCCTCCATGGATGATGATGACGTTAAGGAAATCAAGCAAAAGACCGATGGTAACTCTTTCTTGATTAACTTGATTGACTCCCCCGGTCACGTTGACTTTTCTTCTGAAGTCACCGCTGCTTTGCGTGTGACCGATGGTGCTTTGGTTGTCGTTGACACTGTTGAAGGTGTGTGTGTGCAAACCGAGACTGTGTTGCGTCAAGCTTTGGGTGAGAGAATTAAGCCAGTTTTGGTTGTGAACAAGGTTGATCGTGCTTTGTTGGAATTGCAAGTTTCCAAGGAAGACTTGTACCAAACCTTTGCTAGAACCGTCGAATCCGTTAACGTTATCATCTCTACCTACGTTGACCCTGCTCTTGGTGACGCCCAAGTTTACCCAGACAAGGGTACCGTTGCTTTCGGTTCCGGTTTGCACGGATGGGCTTTCACCGTCAGACAATTTGCTCTTAGATACTCCAAGAAGTTTGGTGTTGACAGAGCTAAGATGATGGAAAGATTGTGGGGTGACTCTTTCTTCAACCCAAAGACCAAGAAGTGGACTAACAAGGATAAGGATGCCGATGGAAAGCCATTGGAGAGAGCTTTCAACATGTTCGTGTTGGACCCTATCTTCAGATTGTTCGCTGCCATCATGAACTTCAAGAAGGATGAAATCCCAACCTTGTTGGAAAAGTTGGAAATTAACTTGAAGAACGAGGAGAAGGAATTGGAAGGTAAGGCTTTGTTGAAGGTTGTCATGAGAAAGTTCTTGCCAGCTGCCGATGCCTTGTTGGAAATGATTGTTCTTCACTTGCCATCCCCTGTCACTGCTCAAGCTTACAGAGCTGAGACTTTGTACGAAGGTCCATCTGACGATGAGTTCTGTACTGCCATCAGAAACTGTGACCCCAAGGCCGACTTGATGTTGTACGTCTCCAAGATGGTGCCAACCTCCGATAAGGGTAGATTCTACGCCTTTGGTCGTGTTTTCGCTGGTACCGTTAAGGCTGGTCAAAAGATTAGAATTCAAGGTCCTAACTACACCCCAGGTAAGAAGGAAGATTTGTTCTTGAAGTCTATTCAAAGAACCGTTTTGATGATGGGAAGAAACACCGAAGCTATCGATGACTGTCCTGCTGGTAACATTGTTGGTTTGGTTGGTGTTGACCAATTCTTGTTGAAGTCTGGTACCATCACCACTAACGAGGCTGCTCACAACATGAAGGTTATGAAGTTCTCTGTCTCCCCAGTTGTGGAGGTTGCCGTCGAGGTTAAGAACGCCAATGACTTGCCCAAGTTGGTTGAAGGTTTGAAGAGATTGTCCAAGTCCGACCCATGTGTTAAGACTTACATGTCCGAATCCGGTGAGCATATTGTTGCCGGTACTGGTGAATTGCACTTGGAAATTTGTTTGTCTGATTTGCAAAATGACCACGCCGGTATTCCATTGAGAATTTCCGACCCCGTGGTTGCTTACAGAGAGACCATTCAAGCCGAATCTTCTATGGTTGCTTTGTCCAAGTCCCCTAACAAGCATAACAGAATCTACGTCAAGGCTCAACCTATCGACGAGGAAGTTTCCTTGGACATTGAGAATGGTATCATCAACCCAAGAGACGATTTCAAGGCTAGAGCCAGAATCTTGGCTGATAAGCACGGATGGGATGTTGCTGAGGCCAGAAAGATCTGGTGTTTCGGTCCCGATGGTAACGGTCCTAACTTGGTTGTTGACCAAACCAAGGCCGTCCAATACTTGAATGAAATCAAGGATTCCGTTGTTGCTGCTTTCCAATGGGCTACCAAGGAAGGTCCTATCTTTGGTGAGAACGTCAGATCTGTTAGAGTTAACATTTTGGATGTTACCTTGCACGCTGATGCTATTCACAGAGGTGGTGGTCAAATCATTCCAACCATGAGAAGAGTTACTTACGCTTCCATGTTGTTGGCTGAGCCAGCTATCCAAGAACCAGTTTTCTTGGTTGAGATCCAATGTCCTGAAAATGCCATTGGTGGTATCTACTCTGTGTTGAACAAGAAGAGAGGTCAAGTTGTGTCTGAAGAACAAAGACCAGGTACCCCATTGTTCACTGTTAAAGCATACTTGCCTGTTAACGAGTCTTTCGGTTTCTCTGGTGACTTGAGACAAGCTACTGGTGGTCAAGCTTTCCCTCAATTGGTGTTCGATCACTGGGCCGTCTTGAGTGGTGATGTCACTGACCCAACCTCGAAGCCAGGTATTATTGCCAAGGCCAAGAGAGAACGTCAAGGTTTGAAGCCTGAAGTTCCTGGTTACGAGGAGTACTACGACAAGTTGTAAGCTGTATAGTGAAATAATAAGATACTTTTAAAAATAGTGTATTCAAATATGCACGGTCGCCGAATCTGCATAATAATTTCTGCAGGGTGTGAAACAGAATGTTCCAGATTAACGTTGACCTTTTAGCTGAAAATCTGAGACATTGCAAAAGATCCACTGGCTATCAAGCTACTAGCTATTGATTTGAATTATTTGTTTCATACCCTCGGAATAAGCATGGTTGCAAAGATTCCGGGGGTGCAAGATCGGATTGTAACTTCCGACAAACCCGAAACGGAAGTCTAAGTGGTCATGACACCCAAACACCGCATCGGAGCTGCCGGTTACAAATGGTATATATTACTAACGGCCCATCTTTTCGCCGTTGCAACTGGTTTCTTATAGCTCATTGAAAATTTAATAATTGGAGAGTTCCCCATTTTCCACTGCCATAATACGAGACAGAGAGTCTCGTTCAAACTTCTTGATACCATTGATTTTCGTTCCCGGAACGAGTAGCCATCCCGGCCCGTCGTTTAGTCCTTCTTTAGGCGTTCAAAAAGCGACTTTCAAAAAAAGACACAAGATTCGAAACTCGAGGCAATTGTAACATACCGTCATATCCATAATATCCATAATGTCTGACATAAAAACGTTTGAGGTCGAAACTGCCTCTCGTAACCACACCTACCAAATCGCTCTGATTTTACTTTCAATGGCTGCCGTTTCCTGGTATCACTATCGAGTTAGAAAGCATTCCAACAGGGCTGCATTTGCCAAGTTTGCATGCGGGGCATCGGCAATGGCATTGTGGAACGTTTTGCAAACTATGCTTTGTAGCCAGGTGCTATTTTCTGTGGCCACTATGGTACGTTATAAAAAAGTTATCGATGACGAAGGACCCAAGGTACCGTGGACGTATAGCTCATCACTCCACAATGACGACGTCAAATCCAAGATCAACTACTTTTGTTTGTTGAAGGATTTGAGAATGACTGTGGTGTCGGTGATATCGGTAGCATGTTTCTATTTCCTCACGAGAACCGGGGTCAAGCATTTGCGGGAGCACTCAGAAGAAGTCAGCGAAAAGGAGGAAAGGGAGTATGAGCAGCAATTTGAAAAAAGTGAGAGAATCAGCAAGAGAGCATTGATCGCAACTCTGATATTAGTATTGGTTCTCAGCACTCAATTTATTCCCGCGGGCTTGTTGCTCTCGTCATCATCTATTCTTTACGAATCCGAATGGTTCGTATTGCGCTACGACCATATCTATTTCACCATGTTTGCCATGTTTGCCTTGGTGAACTGTCGCATAATATACCGCTGGATGAAAAGAAAGTCGAGTTTGTTTTTCAAGGGAGCCTTGATGGTACCTCTTGGATTTATCTGGACCTATTGCAGCTGCATTCTCTTCGTTGCTTTGGCTGCAATGATTCTTTTTAACGACACTTTGGTGAATATTTGCACCCTCAAGTTCATTGCGAATGATATGCACGAAAACTATCAGGTAACTCTGCAGGAACACCTCTACAAAATATCCACATTCAGCTCGTTTGTGTTAGCATACATGTCGCATACCGCGGGTCCGCAAGACTCGTTCACCAAAGATTTTACGGGAATCAGAGATATTTTTGAAAATAGCTGGCTTGTACTCAACATGGCGTACTTGGTGGTATTGCCATGGTTACTTTTTGTGGTGGTGGACCATCGCTACAGTACCCAAAGAAAGCATATAGTGTAAATAAGAGAAACAGCTTTCGAAATGTATGACTAAGTTATGCAGTTGTATTTCCTTGAGTCAGTTTGAAGGTATTTTTCAACCATTTTTCAGCCATTTTCGCTTCGCGATCTTTCACTCTTTCTATTTTCCCCAGATCTCGCAAATGCCTTCCCGATCGGGACTACGATAAGGGAAATTATATCCAGGTTTGGTGATAAGTTCCCTGGGTTATCATCACTATAAATTAGATTGATCAGCTACTCTTTCTGCATCATGGATAGACTCAAGCAAATCGCCAAACAGACTGTAGCAGGATCGGCTCCTGTGTCGTCTCCGATGCACCCCTTGGATCCTCTTTCACCTCAAGAGATCAAGGCAGTGGCCAGCATTGTCAAGGCCAAGAACAAGGGAAAGGAGATTATGTTCAACACTGTCACTCTTAAGGAGCCTGTGAAGCTGGCTTACTACCACTGGAAGGAGAAGGGTGGTCCAATGCCTGCTAGATTGGCTTATTATGTGGTGGTTGAAGAGGGAGCAACTGCGGTTCAAGAAGGCTTGGTTGATATTCCTGGGCAGAAAGTTATTGATATTAGAAACACCGAAGGAGTCCAGCCTATTTTGACTCCAGCAGACTTGCAAGCAACGGAGGATATCGTTCGTAACGATCCAACTGTTATTGAGCAGTGTGTTTTGAGTGGGGTCCCAAAGGAAGACATGAAAAATGTCTACTGTGATGCTTGGACTATTGGTTACGATGAGAGATGGGGAGCTTCCAGAAGATTGCAACAAGCCCTTATGTACTGGCGCTCGGACGAAGATGACCTGCACTATTCTCATCCTTTGGACTTTTGTCCTATTGTCGATATGAATGCCAAGAAGGTGATTTACATCGATATTCCCAACAGAAGAAGAAAGGTTTCGAAACACAAGCACGCCAACTTCCACCCCAACTCCATCAAGGCAAAGTATGGAACCAAGGAGAACCCTCTGGGCTACAGACAGGACGACACTCCTATCAATGTTACCCAGCCCAATGGTGTTTCGTTCAAGATGGCTGGAAATGTTATCAACTGGTCGAACTTTTCCATTCATATTGGTTTCAACTATCGTGAGGGTATTGTGTTGAGTGATATCACATACAACGACCATGGAAAAGTTAGACCTATGTTCCACAGAATCTCTTTGTCTGAGATGATTGTACCTTATGGGTCTCCCGATTTCCCTCACCAAAGAAAGCATGCTTTGGATATTGGAGAGTACGGAGCTGGTAACTGTACCAATCCGCTCTCGCTTGGATGTGATTGTAAGGGTGTGATTCACTACATGGATGCTCATTTCCCTGGCAAGACTGGAGAGCCAGTCACTGTGAAAAATGCGGTGTGTATCCACGAGGAAGACGATGGAATCCTTTTCAAGCACTCCGACTTCAGAGACGATTTCCAGACCACCATTAATACCAGAGGTAAGAAGTTGATCATTTCTCAAGTGTTCACCGCTGCAAACTACGAGTACTGCTTGTACTGGATTTTCAGACAAGATGGTACCATCAAGTTGGAGATCCGTTTGACTGGTATCTTGAACACTTATGTGTGTGATGTCGACGAAGATGTTGGTCCATGGGGAACCCAAGTTTACCCTGGTGTAAATGCCCACAACCACCAGCACTTGTTCAGCTTGAGAATGCACCCAAGAATTGATGGAGACAACAATTCTGCTGCCACCAGTGATGCCAAGCCATCGCCAGCAGCTTTTGGATCCAGCGCCAATATGTATGGAAATGCCTTTTATGCGGAGAAGAAGACGTTCAAGACGGTGGCCGATTCGTTGACCAATTACGATTCTCTGACAATGAGATCATGGGATATGTTCAACCCCAAGTCTATCAACCCACACTCGGGTAAGCCTGCTAGTTATAAGTTAGTGTCCACTTTCTGTCCACCAGTGTTGGCTAAGGAGGGATCGTTGGTGCGTAAGAGAGCACCATGGGCAGAACACTCGATGAATGTTGTTCCATACGCCGATGAAGATGGTGGATACGGAAGATTGTGGCCATCTGGAGACCATGTGGCACAATGGAGTGGAGACGGATCCCGTGGTATGAGAAAATGGGTTGGTGATGGACAAGACTCGATTGAGAATACCGATATTGTTCTCTTCCACACATTTGGTATTACCCATTTCCCAGCCCCAGAAGACTTCCCAGTCATGCCCACCGAGATCTTTGAGCTTATGTTGCGTCCTAGACATTTCTTTACCGAGAACCCATGTCTTGACATCAAACCTTCGTATATTAGAACCACCAGTGAGGTTAGAAAGGGCACTCAAGGAATTGATTCGTGCTCTTTGAATGTCGACACGACATCAAGACTCGCTTTCAGCAACACCAGCGGCTGTTGCAATGAGTAGCAATTGTTGAATAGAGTAATAAAATAGTTTAACTGAAAGGATACATCAAACTGTAGATCGTCTGTTAGTATACTACTTTTCGCAGCTTCTCAGTCGCAGCTGTCGCAGCCATACCTCACCAAATATCGATGCTCTTCGCATCCAGATCTTCAGTCAGTCATGAAATATGTTATAGAGCACATGGAAGAAGGGTTTTCCGAGTGGGTCATCTTGGAATACACTCAGATAATCAAGGAGGTTGGCAAAGAAAACTTGATCTTGACATCTTTGCCCAGTGCGGTTACGGAGGCAGATATACCCAAAAGGTTGCTCGACTTGGGATTGCAATGGACCACTAAAGAATGTGTTGAGATCGAGGGACTCGAAAAGAATAACGTCTGCTTGTTGGATCCCGCTGCTGAAACGGAATTGACTCCGGAAGATAGCGAGAAGTTTGACTTTTTTGTGTTTGGAGGCATCTTGGGATCTCATCCAAGAATCGACAGAACAGGAATCTTGAGGAGAAAGTATGGTTTTGCTGGGCGTAGATTAGGTGCCCTTCAGATGACTACTGATACTGCTATCAGGACCACGCAAAAAATAATCGAAGATAAAAAATCTTTCGAGGATATAAAGTTCATCGACTACCCAGAAATACGCTATAATAAGCACGAGTCTACCGAGATGCCGTTCAGATATATACTCAACGATGAGGGAATTCCTATACTTCCCGAAGGCATGCTCGAACTCATCAGAAAAGATGCAGAACAAAGTATTGATGATTTATTGATGGAGGAATAAATTTCTAATAATAAATAACTTTCTTAAGTTTTGGCGCTTCTTCGTTGACGCTTAATGTCTCCTTCATAATGAAACCAGCTGTGTCCTGATCCTCAAAGTAAGACACATGGGCACTAATGGCAGAAACAAGCGAGATATCGAAAACACCCATGGGTAGACAGTAGTCAACTCTACCTCTAGAGTTTGCTTTTAAGAGCAACTCAAGGTCTTCTGGTTTCAAATCTTTTACCGGCGCCTTTGTCTTCTCTTTCTCTTGCTTCTTTGGTTCCTTTTCTGGCTTCTTTGTGTCCTTGTTGCTGATCAAAGAAGTCAAGATTTGCCGAAGGGCATTTTCATCGTTTGTTTCGGATTCGGTAACAACCTGCTGCAGAGCCTCTTTAGTTCCCGTCAACCAACTCGAAGCTTGGACAATTCTCTCTTGAATATCATTGCTCCACTTGGCAAGTCCTTTCACATGTCTGTCGAAGCCTCTCACGGCAAAGGAAACCAGCTCAGGTTTTGAATTTGGCAAATCTTGATTTGATAAGCGGTTCCATACGGTAGCCCACAGGGTCACATGGATGAAAAATGTTGTAGATCCTCTCGCACTTTGGTGAAACAAGGTCTTCAACCAGATCTGAGTTTTTAGCAGAACGACGAACGATGTTCTTGCGCCCGAGGAGTTTGAACATTCCTACCGGTGACCCAACACAGAACAAGTTCTCAACATCAAATTTCAAATGCTTTGAAGTGTCAATTTTGTCCTTGTCAACGTCTTCTGGTTGAGCAGCTAGTATGTCAAATGCTATGCAAGAACCAAGCGAATGTCCCATGATGTGAATTTTGCCCTTAAAATTTGGATTTCTTTCCATGTACAAAGAATACACTCTGTTGAGCTCTTCGGTTACTGTCTTGAAGATCTGATCCACATACTTTTGATCGTAGTAAAGTAAGATATCAAGGGCAACATCACCTACTAGGTTACGTAGTGGTTTTACACCATCAACGTTTATCTCGGAGAGCGCAGGAAGTCGGTTTTCACCTTCATCGTCCACCTCTTCCAAAGCCTTTTTGGGGTGGAAATCAATCTTGTGTCTCCAGGAGATAGGAAGCACTTGGATTCGATTATTCCTTTTGCGTTCGGAAGAATCTTTGTCCCCGTATGCCATTTTATGGTACTCTTCTTCGCTCTCGTACACCGATCTCATGGTGTTTCTCATGACGTTTACACTATGGGTGAAGTTGATAGACTCATACTTTGAACCCAAAACTTGACCTATACCATGGACACAAAGGATTAGATGATCAATTTCTCTCTCAGCGTCATTCTGGGATAAGTTATGGTCGTAGTCACTTTCTATCTCGTTCTTCTCCTGACGATTTTGTGTTTCGTCTGAAAGCATTTCTGGCTTGGTACTGGACGGATCGAGCACTTTTGTAACTTCATTTTGAAATATCTCGCTCACTTCTGGAAGTGGATTTGAAGGTAAACTATCGAGAATAGTTTCGGTGAGATCATCTGTAAATCCTCTTTGCAATTTCTGGACAGAGAGAAGCGAGGCTGGAGTGGGTCCAAGGTTCCGAAGCACCTCCAAGTTGAACTTGGTTTTCATGTCGTCCCGGAAAATGACTGCATCGCAATCAGTACAATATAAGACCAAGCTTCCATCTCCCAAATCCACTATATCCTCATAGTCAGAGTCATCTGAGATTTTTTCCTTCTTCTGGATAGCAGACTCGTCATTAAATCTTTGGACTTTTTGTTTGTATTCTTTTACAAGTTTCCAGTTATCCTTAACAGAATCACGTCCACGAAGAAGGTGCTTTCGTTTCTGGTATCCATCCTCAATCTTCTGTGCCAATTTTCGAGAAAGCGGAATACCATCTCTGTAAAACCAAGTTCCTCGTCTCACTTCGAACACCGGACCGTCCCAGAAAACAGGCAGCAATTCAAACTTTTCCAAATCAACTTTGAATAGTCGATCTTCATTAACATCTACCGACCGAGATTGGGTCGAGTTGTTCTTGTCAGTTTTGTCATAATAATTGCGAAAAGCCTTCTCCAAGCGCTCAGAGTCGTTTTCCGAGAACGGGATGAACTTTTCCGGGTCTTTTTCTTTCTTATACTCGAACCAAGCGGGCTTCCGTATCGGGATATCTGTTGCATAAAACCACTTTACTCGAGGCAGCTTAGACTTTTCATCAGCACACAAGCATCTCAGGACAGAGAATGCTCGGGCCAGAAGTGTCCTGGGGGACAAAGTTCTGTGGAACAGCAATAAGAACATGGTGAGCGAATAGTTCGCAAAAAGTTTGTTGCTGTTTTAACTTTTCGGAAAACGGCTGCGAAAACGAGATTGAGATATCTCACAGGAAAATTTAATGTCATAACCATATCTATATAGATTCTATGTGAGACCCGGCACGGGTAGTTTGAGGTCTCCAGACGGCCACTGGAGCACTGCGGCATTCGTATAATCGCCATAATGGTTTTTTTCAAGACTCACGAGACCCATTCGCAAGTAGAGAGGAATGGCTTTCTTCTTTGACAGTGCAAGTGCCAATTCAATTCCGGAGCTCAACTCACGGTTGGATGTTATAATCTTGGTCAAGTTGACCGAGGTGGACCATTCGCCCACATATCGTTCTATATCGTTCACAAGAAGGGAAATCCCGTTATATTTGGCGCTCAAGTCAGTAGCATTTTTCCAGGTCAAAATACCGGTTTCCAGATTGAACCCAACAAATGTTGGAGGTTTGATATCCCCAGAAGGATCGTCTCTCCGTAACGATGAGACTGTCTCGGCAATAGCAGCAAATCCCCATCTAGCAGATCCTGAGAGAAATAGACCAAGTAAAATACCCTGGAAGGCTATCGCAGTTCGTCCTCTTGTCGCACAACCAGGAAGAAGAAGCATCGCCAAAATGTAATGATGGATCCGAAGTGTGAGGTTGGGAATGGAGCTTAGTAGTATAAGACCCATAACGAAGGAGCCATATATGGCTAGGTACTTGCGAAATCTACCAGAAAGCCATATCTTGTAAGCCTGAATTACCGCGCAGATGAGAATGGTGGTTATGATGGCCAGAACGGCCAATAATGCTCCTGACTGCTCACGAAGATCAGAAAGCGTTAAGCGGTCAACGGGGAGCCGATCAAATGTCATATTGTTGATCACACCAAGCCAAAAGAGTGGATACCAAAGTATTACCTCCCAAAGAGGGCTGCTATCTTCTGTTCTTTTCAATGCTCTTTTGGTGGAGCAGCTCCAAAGGACATATAGAACAAAGCAGGAAGGTAAGAATCGTTCCAAACCAATCGATAATAAAGAAGCAAACGTTTCGGGATCTGAAGCATCAACGGTGTATGGCGGATCAGTGGCTAGAATAATTGTCCAGAATCCAACAATATTGGTAACCCAGAAAGACACAATTCCACCAACAAGGTAGACTATCGGAAGTCCCAAAATTATGTTTAACACAAGTACCAAAAGTCTCGGATCGTAACATTGGTTAAAGGTTCCACTGGCTGAAGGTCCACCACTGAGATGCAATTTTTTGAAGAAGAAGGAGGATGGAAAATACGACACAAACTCGATGGAATCACTCACGCCATATGATCCTTTGGTACTCTTGAAATACGGCTGACCACCACTGGAATACGATATTCTGGCACATCCTCCAGAAAATGGAGAGATTATTCCAGCGTGCACTCCGGCTCCACAAGGATACGAATCTGCTCTATAAGGATTGGATATCTGATCTGGGCTATATTTCTGCTCGTTGCTCTTTCCTCCTCCAACAAAGTAACCCCTGTGCTTGATACGTTGGTCCCCAATGGGTATTAAAGAGTAAGTCCAGCTTCCTCTATCACAAAGAGCAGGGCACCTAAATATCACATCTTCTTCAGTGAGAAAAGATGGACATTGCTCGCCGTTAAGTCCACATGCTCCGTTTTTACCTTTCCAAAATTGCAGCAGTGACTGGCAAGATAAGGCTATTACCTTGACGCTGGTGTCGGTTGTGAGCAGTGTAGGATGCAGATAGTAAGGTATCACAATGCTGTATATGGTCATAAACCAAAGTGTCAAGTACACAACAACAAGAGACACTCGTAATTTCTTCAGAATAGATTGCAGTAATCTATTAGGGAGTTTTTCGAACCATATTAATGGTTGAATTTTCGGCGGAGGATCATCCCGTGGATCACGAGGCCCATTCCATGCAAAATAAAAGAATTTTCTTAGCTTTCCCAACGGCGAGGTGTCAAAATATGGCTCCAAAGCATCGAAATCATTAAAGTCCGGTGTTTCCTGTCCGGTGCTATCGTTATCGTGATCTTCATTATCTCCACAACGAACAGCATTTGAGTCGCCTCCACCAGTAATTCTTGTCACGGTATCATTCTCCACCCCTAAAGTCCCCGTATCTCGGTTCTCCGTGATCCCTTCTTCCATATCAAGGTTCTGTAACGGTATATACTCCCGAGCGCTTGTATTATAAGCCACCATTTTTCACTGATTCTATGCGACTTTTAAGCGAATATGCATTCGTAATTTATCGTTCAAATTTGCAGCAATATCTAGCAAATTTACTATGGTATAAGTATAGTGATAGGTTTATTGGCCCTTTTTGGCATCTACTGCTGAAAAAATGTCTCTTATAAGATATTTGAAAATCGTCAACCGCTTCACGTGACTGGTCGTACGAGTGGAAACTACAACAATCAATTAATCATTAATCTAATATACAAACACAATATATCCAAGCTAACCGGAGCACATAGTACACGACTCTGGGTTGTCAATAGCACAAGCGATCACCTTGGAACTGTAAATATCGCTTTCTGTGGCATCACCATCCTCTCCTGCCTCTTCTGGCTGCTCGGCATCTTTATCCTTCAAGCTCATTTCAGCAACAGAGTTCTCCAACGAGGTGGATGGTGTAGACTCGGTCTCATATTTGGTGAACGAGTTGTCATTGTCACTAGTAGTAGCACTGGAGCTGGCGGTGGCACCTCTAGCAGTATACTTTCTCTTATTCAATTTTTCGAGAGTTGCAACTGTCTTACCAGCGTTAACACTGGTGCTCAGGTCAACGGTAAATTGAATGGCAGCAGCAGCAGCTTGTGTTCTCAAGTAGTACATACCAGTCTTCAAACCCTTCTTCCATCCGTAAAAGTGCATAGATGTCAACTTACCCATAGTAGGGTCCTTAATATGAATGTTAAGAGATTGGGATTGGTCAATGAATGCAGCTCTATCAGCAGCCATGTCAATGATATGCTTTTGTGAAATCTCCCACACCGTCTTGTACAATGCTTTGATCTCGTCAGGAATGTTTGGCAAGTTCTGAATCGAACCGTTATTACTGATGATATTGTTCTTCATGGAGTCATTCCAAAGACCCAAGTCAACCAAGTCACGCAACAAGTATGGGTTGACAATTTGGAATTCACCAGCCAACACTCTTCTGGAGTAGATATTAGAAGTGTAAGGTTCAAAGCACTCATTGTTACCCAAGATCTGCGAGGTGGAAGCAGTTGGCATAGGAGCGACCAACAATGAGTTTCTCAAACCGTGCTTAGCCATCTTCTGCTTCAAAGTATCCCAGTCCCACAACTCAGTAGGCTTTCTGTCCCACAAGTCAAATTGCAACAATCCTTGAGAAGCAGGTGATCCCTCGTATGATTCATAAGGACCTTCTTTTTGAGCCAATTCGATAGAAGCCTCAACAGCACCGTGATAGATAGTTTCGAAAATTTGAATGTTCAATTCTTTTGCTTCTTGGGAGTCGAAAGGTAATCTCAAAGCCATGAACGCATCGGCAAGACCTTGAACACCCAAGGCAATAGGTCTGTTTCTCATGTTGGACCTGCGTGCTTCTGGAACAGGGTAGTAGTTACGGTCAATGATTCTGTTCAAGTTACCAGTAACCGTCTTGGTGACCTCATGAAGCTTGTCAAAGTTGTACCAAGTTGAGTTGTTATCAGACTCCACGAAAGATGGCAAGGCTATGGAGGCCAAGTTACAAACAGCGACTTCCTCAGGCGATGAGTATTCAACAATCTCACAACACAAGTTAGATGATTTAATAATACCCAAATTCTTCTGGTTAGTTTTCTTGTTACAAGCATCTTTGTATAACATGAATGGGGTACCAGTCTCGGTTTGTGCTTCCAAAATGGCGTACCACAACTTTTGAGCTTTGATAGTACTTCTTCCTCTTCCCTCTCTTTCGTACTTTTCGTACAAAGCCTCGAATTCATCACCATAAACCTCAGGCAAACCTGGGGCTTCATTAGGAGAGAACAAAGTCCAGTCTCCGTTCTGTTCGACTCTCTTCATGAACAAATCAGGAATCCACAAAGCTGGGAACAAATCACGGGCTCTGATTTCTTCCTTTCCATGGTTCTTTCTGATATCGATAAACTCGAAAATATCTGAATGCCATGGCTCCAAGTATAACGCAAAGGCACCAGGTCTCTTGTTACCACCTTGGTCGACATAACGGGCGGTGTTGTTGAACACACGCACCATGGGGATGATACCGTTGGAGGTACCATTAGTACCGGCAATATAAGCTCCTGTTCCACGAATGTTGTGAATGTGCAAGCCAATTCCACCAGCACTCTTGGAAATCAAAGCACAAGTTTTCAACGTGTCATAAATACCGTCGATAGAGTCTTCCTTCATGGCAACCAAGAAACATGAAGACATCTGAGGAGATGGAGTACCAGCATTGAACAAAGTGGGTGATCCGTGGGTGAAGTAACGTTGCGACATCAAGTTGTATGATTCAATAACCTTTTCAATGTCATCACCATGGATACCCACAGCAACTCTCATAATCAAATGCTGAGGTCTTTCGGCGACCTTTCCGTTGATACGCAACAAGTATGATCTTTCCAACGTCTTGAAGCCAAAGTAGTTGTAGTTGAAATCTCTGTCAAAGACAATAGCTGAGTTCAACTCGTCAGCATGTTTCTGGATCACATCATAAGTCTCTTTGGAGATCATAGGCGAGTGCAAATCTGTCTTTGGATTGATGTAATCGTAAAGCTCTTTACTCACTTGAGAAAATTGCTTAGTAGTTTGCTTGTGCAAGTTTGAAACCGCGATTCTTGCTGCCAAAATGGCATAATCTGGGTGGATGGTAGTCATGTATGCGGCAGTCTCAGCAGCCAAGTTGTCCAACTCGATGGTATTAACTCCCTGATAAACACCAGAAATGACTCTTTGAGTGATGGCAACGGCATCGACATGAGCAGTATCGAGTCCATAACAAAGTCTTTGGACTCTAGCAGTTATTTTGTCAAACCTTACGGGTTCCTTGCGTCCATCGCGCTTATAAACATACATCGTGAGTAAGTATTAAAGGCGCTTGAGAAAAACAAGAAAAGGTGGGAAAAGTTTGAACTAAATAGTGATGACGCGTCTGCACATAAAATGCGCGTTTTTTAGCATGAAATCAACAAAACATTTGTGATCAGCGGGGTGTCTTTGTCAGCAAGATGCGACTTTGCCATACAAAATACGGCATACAACTGGTTATATGCCGTACCGTCCTGATTTGACAGGAACGCGTCTTACTAATTGATGTTATGGTCTGAAAAATACGCGTTACGGCGCGTCCGATTCGGAAAAGGCGGCCCAATGTGGCAGCCGCATCTCGTAGTTTGTCCGATTCGGAAAGAAGACAGACTTATATGGTATATTGAATAACATGCCCTAGGGCTATTAGCTCGTCGGAGCTGATCAGCTCCATGTTTGCTATAAAATTCAGTGCTACGTATTCCTGCTTTTACTGAAAAATGTAATGAATTTCATAACGTGAATGTCTATTCGTTGTTATACCGTATTGCTTATTTAGATTCCTCTTTGGATAAGTCACTGTTGTTAGTTGCTATTTTGGGAAGACCACCATAAACCATGGGTTGTACGCAGGTGGCTTATATGCCGTCGGTCGATGAATCGAGGACCTATCATTTTAAAGTGTACTTACTTGATGAATTTTTCCAAATCAAAGTCTTCTTCTTTGTTGCTTGACGTCGCAGCAACAGGGGCTGGGGTGGCAGCAGACTCGGATTTGGATCTTGGCCAAGCGACAACTCCGGCAACGCTTCCTAACGTGAGCAATGCAAGCTGAGTTAATATTATGGACTAATTACATCCACACCACCAATTGCATGTTACGTACGATGTGTGATGGCACTTGTTTGCCGAAAATAGTGTAAGCGGCACCCATGATATGTGATTAATGTGAAGACGATCCAATTGCGACCGGAATTTGGTGCGACTCGCACGGGCCGGGGTTATGTGCCGTCCGCTTGGTTGCGGAGGCTAGTCTTCAGTAGCGGCAGCTTCACGCCAGTAGTTTTCAGCATTAAAACGATTTAAAACCTCTAGAGCTTCGTCATCGGTGTTGCTGTACATCACAGACCATTTCTGGAACTGTAGCTCCGTAATTTGTCCCTCCCACAATAATGTACATTTATTACCTGATAAGTCTGGTGGGGCTTCATTCAGGTCTTTTGGTTGCACAGATTCGGTCCATTTTATACGTCTGAGCATTAATTTTTTGTAAAAGTTCACTGCTTTGGATCCTCCTTCCACAATGATCAAGTTAAACTTGGGGTTACGGAGGCACATGCCCACTAGTTCCAATTGCTTTGCATTCATGTCCACCTTAAAACTGTGCTGAGGATTTTGTAGCAGATCGACTCGAAATATCGCAGCGAAAAGTCCTTTTTGCATATCTTTCAGTCGTGCTTCGTGAATTTTTTCATGACGTTGCTCCGGCGTAAGTTTTCTTGATTCGTTATCTTTCATATGGTTCCTGAATCGTTCTTCAACTTCTTGGCGTACACGCATTTCCACAGCTGTTGGATCCTTGATCGCCTCATTTGTTAGGACATTCATAAGATTTGCTAGTTTTACTTTTGGTGGAGGAGGAGGATCAAGACCCAATCTTATACGGTCTTGCTTTTCCTTGTGCTTTTCTTGACGTTCATTGCGATGAATCCGTTTTTGTTCATCTTTAGTCAAATGCATCGGCCTTGATTCTTGAAGCAAATTATCAGAGGGCGCTGAAAGTATAGGAGGGTGCTCGATGTAAATTGTCACGGGCGCCTGTGGATTATCATAATATAGGCGACTTTGATCTTCATGATAAGAATTACCTTTGAGATAGGGACGATCCCACCATTCAACCAAAGGTGGCTGCCGCAACATATATAGGTGCTCGGCAATACTCTCATCTGGAGCCAATCCTTTCGCCTTTTTTTCTTGCTGTTTCTGTGCCTCTCTTTCTTGCTCTAGGGCCATATTTCTCTCCCTTGTAGCAATCTCTACAAATTTTCCTGGTGTGTTAAGTTCAAGGGGACGTGCACGGTGTTTTTGTACACCAATATCTTGCTGATTCAAGTAAGGATTTATAGCATGTAGGTCAAAGTTTTGTCGCTTCCTATTTCCATGCAATGGATTCTGGCTCTTTGGCAAACTTTCAGCAGTAACCACCAGGCTAAGAAGAGGATGTAACTCAATGTTCAAGCCCCCCTTCTCCTTTTCTTGACCTTTTTGTTGGATTTTGTTGTAAATTGAAGGTTCATTCTTTGTTTCTGTTTGATTTGAAAATCCACCATTGCCAGTTTTTCGCCACTTTGACGTTGAAGATGTGGTCCGCTTAGACGGAGAGATGCTTCGTGTTCGTTTTGGGTTATTTTGTGGCTGCCTCAGACGGCCATTTATGGTTTTGGGATGGCTATCAGACATGCGGTATTCTCGTATAGTTCATATAAATGTGGAAATAGCTTGTGAATGTGGTAATAGTTATTAGTTGATGTGCCTTGAGTTTATCTTCGAGAGACTGTGCTCGCTTTTATGTCCTAGCTCGTTCTCACTGCTATTACCCTTTGGTTCACTAAAGTTAAACACACCTCTTCGCAACCATGTCGCCTCTTATATGCCGTACACCATGGGCTGCGATCTGTGCGGGATGTCCGAAAGGTACACTTGACTAATAGTGTTTTTTGGTCGGGTAGTTGGCATCACATAGAATCACCTGATCAAGACTCTAGTTATAACAATATCTAACAGAACGAAGGGTTACACTTTCCAGTTTTGTTTTTACACCTGTTGCAAAGCAACTTTGGTTTCACCTTTCAAGTGTCGTTTCTGTGACACTTAAGGCCGATAATAGAGTTTATTGGAATCGATATTGGGATAGATTTACCAAACATTTATCCAGAATTTTGTATATCTGACTGTGAGGCAGTAAAAATCCGCACTTTTTTGCATTGCTATACCCAATAAATCACTACCATGATCATCTCGAAAAGAAACCATTTGGAAAAAATGGAAATGGCCGAGCCATTAAAGGATCTCATTGACGAAATGACCACATCGCCATTGCCTGATCTAACGCAACTACTTCAGAACAACTTGACGTGGGAAAGACCGCGTGGTGACTTGTACCATTGGGTACCAGTACTTAATAGGTTTGATGAAATTCTCGAGACTCAAATTCAAAAATATGGATTTGATAAGGAAATTGTTCCGCTTTGTGAAGTATCTGAATCCGATGATAGTTTGGTAACCTCAATACTTCTTTACACTTCAGTGCTTCTTGAACATTGTTCCAACAGATCTATCTATGCTAGTTCTGATAGATTGTACCAGTTGGTGTTGGCGCCCTCAATATCCATCCAGCAAGCAACTCTCAAAGTCATGGTATGTATGGGGGAATTGTTTGTGCAAACCAGCACTTCCAAATACGCTGCTCCAAAACCTATAAGAAGCAAGATCATTCAAATTGCAAAGAGCTTTCCTCCTCCTGTTCCGGCAAGTTCGTTCCAAAACAAAAGCGAGAAGGACAAGTCTTTTATGCAGTTGACATGCTTAGACTTGTTGAACCCAAAAACAAAGTATCCCACCAAGTGGAAACTGATAGAATTTCACTACTTTGCTGAAAAGCCTACACCATCCAAGAGAGAACGGAAAAAGAAGTCAAAAAGGGAAGCAGCCGAAAAATCTGACCCACCTGAAGGTTTGACAAGATTTCTTCTTCCCGAAGAAAGCGTTCGCAAGCATTCGCTTCAGCAGATCTACGACATGGCACTGGCCTCGATCCCACAACAATACTGGTTCGAGTTCTCTCTCCACGCAAGAGTTGCAAAAGCCATGAACTCAAAGACTTCAGACGCATTGAAGCTACGTGAAGGTTTGTTGAACACGAAGCTTATAGCTTTAGCATACGTTTGTTGTATCATACCCAACGAACTCGATCCCTCGATTCTTACAGACTTGGTGCAAATTATTCTGCCTGAGAGTAGCTCCATGGTGACAAGAAATCTTTATTTCAATGCTATTAAAGCCCTTGAATGCATTTCTTTGAGACGGGTATGGAGCAGCGACCTCATTAGGAGTCTTGGGGGTAACGTGAGCCATGGTGTGCTTTTCCAATGCATCAGACATATTCGAACAAAAATTATCAATGAAGATGATGACTGCTTCGAAAAGGCATATATCCATCTTTTCAACATGATTGGTAACATGATTCCTATCAATAGTTTGGCTACAAGACTTGCAGCTGGTGGGCTCTTGAAGGAGTTATTAGATTTTTTCAATGTCAAGTCAAAGTATAGATGGACGTGCTCCGCGGCGACTCACTTGACTACTTTGTTCATATCTTCGCATACCGATTCAATGGCTGATTTCGTTGCCCTTGGAGGCTTCAAAAGATTGATCGAAAACATTGAATATGAAGTGAATTTTGCTTTAGAGAACCCTGGATTTGGCGGTGGAGCTCCAAAGCTGGCCAAAGTCTACTACACTATCACCTTTCGTCAAGCAAACTATATTCGTAATATGTTGCAGTTGACGACCCACTTGATCGAAACCGAATTAGGAGACAGGCTCAGAAACCTTTTTGACTCATCAATATTGCATAGCTTCAATTTGATACTTGAGAACAACTGGACGTTTGGTCCTCTTATTCTTGGTGCGACGATTGATGCGATATTCTACATCATTCACAACGAGCCCACTGCTTTCCCAATTTTGAAAGAAGGAAAGGTAGTCGATACCATATTAGATAATTATGAGACGTTATTCATGCCGTCACCAGACCTATTGGTGACACTTCCGGAAGTTCTTGGTGCAATATGTCTCAATAAAGACGGTCTACAAAAAGTTCTTGATTCGAATGCCATACACAAGTATTTCCAGTCTTTCCTAGAAGTCAAGTATGCAAAGGAGTTGGTTCGAGCAGATATGGCAACGAATTTGGGGTGCTCCTTTGATGAACTTGGACGTCACTATCCGCTGTTGAAACCGGTGATTTTACGTGAGGTCAAACTTTTGGCGCAAAGACTTCCTGGCGTTATTTCCGATTCTGTCAGCGGCATAAAGATGTATGAGTCCGATGGGCGTGCCTTGTATCTGAGCACTGAAGAAATAATAAAGGATGAGGATGGAGAAGCTCAGATCGATTCATGGGAAACCTCCTCTACGGCCTACGTTTTGGATAACTTTTTCTTCTTCCTTGGCGGCTTACTTCAAGATAGCGGCCAATGGGGCAAGGATGCCATGAGCGAGATTCCCTTTAGCGTTTGGCTCGAATTTCTCAAAATAAAGAACACGCCCTATGACTATACAAACTCCAATGGGTTTTCTACCTTCATGGGTGTTTTGAAATATTTTGATGACGAAGACAGGAACTATGGTTTGCCGGTGCTTTTCGAGGAGATTAAAAGCAAAATAGAAACTCCGCTCCTTACGGACTTCTTTTCTTACTCATCAAAGCTCAGTTACTTTTCGTTAACTGAGCATAGCATAGAACAGTCCACTGAAGTTCTCAGTGAATTGAATGTTCTCAACACTCTTCTTTTTGCATTGACAGAAACTTACGTTAATCCAAGCTTCCTTTTCCATGAGAGGTTTCATCAGTTGACAGATTTTTTTGGTGCTAAGGGATTTTCGGTCCTTGAGAGAATAGGTTCAATGTTGCAACAATCGATTATGGAAGAAGCCAAAATCAACTCTATGTTACCTGCTGATGTTTCCATGAATACGTCGCCTGTATTTGATATCCTGAAGGAATCGACACCAATAATTTTGCATCCCAAAGAACCAGGAGATCACAGTTCAAAATCTCAGGAGGCTACGAACGCACCCTTCAAGAATACATTGCAATTAAGATACTTGATGTTCCGATTCCAAAACTATGCCGTTATATTATTTGGCTCTCTTGGAAAAATATGCATGCATAAACGTCAAGATTTTGTGCAAGCTGACTGGAGAAGATCTGCCGTGGAGATAACCATTGAAATCGGGCGAATCTTTTCCAAACTAGTGGACTATTCCGAGGTTTTGAAGCAGGACAATGATAAGCTGCTTTTCGAACGTTATTTTCTTTCTTTGACTGACATTTGCCTTTACATATTGGTTCAGAAAGAGAGAAACAAAGCAATGCTTCAAACGTCTTTGGCTATGTCTTTCTTACAAAACGGAGTCTTGCATGGAATCAGAGAAAATACCTGTCAAGTCTTTGCGAATTTACTTTCTTTGCCTGAACCAGATAAGACATCTGAGTCTACAGCTGAGAAGTATTACATCTCAACCGATCCCCATGATATTTTACTGAAAGCTACAGCTAAAGCGATTCAGCTTTTGTTGTACCTCTGTGACGAAGATCTGATTCTTCAATTGCCTTCAGGAAAAAACTATTTTCATCAAGGATACGACAATTCTCCAGATGATCACCTAGTGAGCACCTTTGCAATGCAGTGCAAGGTTGAAGCATTGAAACTCCTTGACTCATTTGTCGAGCTTTTGAAGCAAGGTGTGATTGGATCCCTCCAGCCACCTATTACAAAGGCTATCGCCCACCTTGGAAAACAATTGTTTAACGACACACACGAGGAAAAGATCACTGACTTTTATCCTCTTGACGTTAAGAATGTGCACCCACCAGTCGATCAGGTGAACTATTTGATTACGCTAGGAATGTCTGAACAAAATGCTAACCACTTCTTCCGCCATGCTTCACATTTGGACCAAGGAACTTTACCCACTTGTCCTAACCTTGAACTTAACGAAGATGACTGGGGAGACTATGTTGCTAGGATCAACGAGGATGCTATTGACTTTCTGCTCCATTATCCGTCATCTCCATCTCTAAATGAGTTTAAGCAATTGAGAGCTGACTTCTCCTCTCAATCTTTTGCTATCTGGAACCTTTTTGCCAAGCTAAGTCCCCTGTGTATATCGAACATTGTTGAGGCATACTTAGCGCAAGCGTCAACTGCTGATGAGAGAGAGAATTTGGTATCTGGTCTCATGGATGAGGTTACAAAGGCAGCAGTCTCGTTCGCAGACAATAGCGAGGAGAGGGAAAAGCTTGATATATCAGCTCAATTTCTCCGCTCGGCAATCAAGATCCAGAAGCCCAAGTACCTGGTGTATGATCGAATTGCTGATTTCACTCTTAATGAATTGCAACACCGCTCCGAAAATCTCAACTTTCCCTACTTTTACAGCATGTTGCAAATAATGGAACAGGTTTTATGTTTCAAGAGTCTTCCGGAGCTAGAACCATCGAGGCACAATGAAAATTTCAAGTTCGGTGATCCATACTTATTGGACGATTCCAGGGTCAAATTTCTTTGTCAGCTCGTTTTAGACCTTAAGGGCCTCAATTCAATTGATGCTGCCATGTCAGTGACGAAGATATTGATTCTTTTGACACAGACAGACATCTTTTTACTTCAGGTCGCAAAGTCGAACGTGCTTCCTGAACTATTGAAATTTTCAAGGTCTCTTGATAGGGAAAGAGGCTTTATCCTTAATGGTGAAAAATCGTTCACCAAAGCAGACAGACAAAAAAATCAAGAGATCTACGATAGGTATCACAATGCGCTTATTGTATTATTCCGCAGGTGTTTCGAGAACTCTGGTTTCTTGAAAATCAATTTTCTGGTGGAGTTGAATGAGGCTTCTCGACTTAGTTCACGGTCAAAGCGAGACTTGCGGTTTATCTTGCGTGAGTCGTCAACATTGATCTTCCGTCAACCGCTCACTTTTGCTGATGTTTTTTCCGAAAGATACAGACTACACAACTATGATGGTGCCGAGCTAACCCCTACTTCATTGAATGTCTACAGGCTTTCCGATGCTGAAATAAAGAGAGGGACAAACTCTGACGTTCATATGGCTGACTCCATGGAAGAAGACGCTTCACTGTCCGATTATAAGCCTCTTCACTCAACAGGGTTGGTTCATTTGTTGATCTCAGAATTGATGGAGTTGAGCAAAACTGACTGGTTTTCAGACCCAGTTGACTCTGATTCTAAAAAGCGGGAAGGTGACAACACTTCAAAGATGAAACGTGAATTCGAGGTTTTCAAAAACCCTAACTTTTCGTATGCTTGTTTCCTCTTACAAACTCTTACAGAGCTACTCAGTTCCTATAAGGATGCAAAGCTTGAATTCTTAACATTCTCGAAGAAGAACGGAAACGAGTTGAAACCAAGGTCAACCGCACTCAACTTCCTTCTTCATCAATTGCTTCCAACAAATTCTCTTCAACATTCGCTGGGACTTGAAGGTGATAGGCGTGTTGCAATCTCTTCAATTACTAGACTTGCAATTTTGGGGCTAGTGTCAACTCCTTTACTCAGTGGTGAGAATGCTGTGGTTCCAACAAATGAAGATGTGGATATGGCTTTCATTCGAAAATTCTTCGTGGATGTATTCCTGAAAACACTTATGGAAAGCTTCAGATCACCAAGTAGCATTGAGCTGCGCTATAGTAAGCTCATAGATCAATGTGAGTTGTGCGGTTCCTTGATATCGTCGAAGTTCAGGGAGACGGCTGAGCCAATCTTGAACAAGAATGCCACTAAGCACGACCAGTTTTATGTCGCAAGAGTATTCGTCGACAACAATCTCCCTCAGTTGCTTTCTTCACTTGTTGGTGAACTCGATCTCAACTTTCCACAAATTCACAAGGTAATGAAAGCATGTTTGAAACCCGTTACTCTACTTGGAAAAATCAAAACGGATCAACATGATCTTTTCGATGGTGAAACGGTGGATAAGGATGACGATGAAGAAGTACCAGAAGTCATGGAGGAAGGAGATGAGACTCCAGACCTCTTCAAGAACTCCACACTTGGAATGTACGATGTTGAGGACGAAAGTGAAGATGAAATGGACTACTATGATGAGAATGGACCCCTTGAAGTCCTCATGTCAGGGGATGAAGTATCAGACGAAGATGGAGAGCTCAATAGCAGCGAAGAAGGTTCAGAGTCGAGTTTTGACGAGGATTCTGATCTTAATGACGATGATGTTGACGAGATGGACGAGGTTGGCGACCAGGACATTGAGATCATTGATGAATTGGAGTTGGACGCTGACGATTCTGGTTCAAACGACTCCTTGGGAGAAGATGAAGACGTTTCAGACAGTTTTTCCAATTATTCTGGTGATTTCGATGAAGATCTTACGGATGAGAACAGCATGGGTGAAGAAGACGAAAGTGAATATGACGAAGAGGACCTTGATGGATGGATTGAGGCTTTTGAAGATGATGCTGGAGACGTTTCGTCGCATGATAATGCCTCTAGCGTTCACAATGCTGATAGAGATAGTCACAGAGCCGTTGATCTTGAACTTAATGATTCGGGCGATGAAGACGAAGAACTCAGTGACGATGACATGCAACCACGATCTGGTTTGCCTTCTCGTACACGAGAAAGAGAGTTCACTACATTCTTAGATACAATCGTTCCCAATGGTCGTAACGACGACTATCTTTTCTTTGGAGATTTGTTCACAAGAGCGAATCGAGGCAATATTGCTCGTGGTGAGATTCATATCGGGGTACATGACAACATGTCACAATTTGATAGGGCTTTTGACAGTCTTATTGAGATGCTCAACAACCCCAAAAGAAACCCAGACAATGTCAAGAATGAAATGTATCTCAAATCAACGGTTGAAAGATGGGAGGATACTTATAGAATGTTCAAAGATGAAGTATCGTCATCTGAAACCAGAATCATTCCTGCCATTTTGAACCGCATAGAAGCAGATAGCATCGAGTTAAACAAGAAAAGGCTCGAGGAAGTCAAGAAGCAACGTGAGGAACGAGAAGAAAGATTGAAGAAGAAGGCAGAAGAAGAGAAGATTTTGCGTGAGAAGGAAGCGAGAGAGAGAGAAGAACGACAGAATACAGCTCCGCCACATGAGCCGGTTCTCGTTCACATTGGTGATAGAGAAGTCGACATTTGTGGAACTGATATAGATCCAGAATTCTTCGAAGCTCTTCCAGATGATATGAGAGAGGAGGTCTTCACTCAACATGTTCGTGAACGAAGAGCCAATGCAACTTCTCAGGATGGTGAAGCACGCGAAATCGACCCTGATTTCTTGGATGCTTTGCCTGAGAATATAAGGGACGAGATACTTCAGCAGGAATCTATGGCACGTCGTTTCTCAGGGTTGAGTGATCCCAGATTTGACCTGGCCGATAATGACGATGATGCAGATGAGGAAGACATGCAAACTGCTCGTTCTATCATATTACCAAGCAGTGGCCTGGAAATTGATGCTCATTCGACTTTGCGGGACCAAGATCTTCTGTCGCCTGCTCTGAAAGCGAAAAAGTCTTATGCCACTCTGTTAATGGGCAAGTCGGGCGTCGCAGCAATTATTAGACTTCTCTTCGTTCCACAGCCACTTGTTAAGCGTGAGTGTATCTATCAAGCTCTTCACTATACATGCAACAACAAGCAGTCCAGAACGGAGGTTATGAACTATTTGGTGGCTCTTCTTTATGATGGATTGAATAACAAGAGACCATTGGATAAACTTATGGCTCAAATTGATAACAGAGTTGGTGTTGAACAATCTAAGAACACCGATGCTAAAAACGCGAAATGCCCCGTCGAATGCACGCCATTGACGCTTGGACTTCAGGTAATTGAAGCCATTGACTACCTTCTTGAAAGAAACAATCATGTTCGCTATTACATTTGCAAAGAACATGAAAACCCATTCATGTCAAAGAAATCGTCAAAGAAATTAAGGGCTCTGGCTCATCTCCTGAAAGAGAGCAAATATCCTATCAATCTCTTGTTGAAATTACTAGAGAACGATATCATATGTGAAAATCAAGCCTTTGTGGACATCTTGGCTCGAGTATTACAAATGTCCACTAAGGCAATCAGTGCATTTGTGAGAACGAAATTAGGTTTGCAAGCCAATTCCAATTTGCCTTACGTTCCAGAGCACAATGTGAGTCAAGTCATCAAGATATTGACTGCTAAGGAATGCCCTAATGCTACATTTATGCGTACCATAGGTGCCATGCAGAATCTCTCTGTTTTGCCCAATGCTCAGAAGACTTTCTCGTTGGAACTTTCTGATAAGGCAACATCCTTGGGTTCCACAATTATTGAGGATCTCAACGCTTTGAGCAAAGACTTGGAACAGTGTTCAGATCCAGACAAAGGAATGGCTCATAGCAAAGCTTTTTCAAAGTTCTGTGCTGCCAGCTCTGATCAAGCTAAACTCTTGCGGATTTTGACGGCGTTGGATTATATGTTTGAGACAAAGGAAAAGAAAGAAAAGGTGGACGAAGTCGAAGAATTAACAGGTCTTTATAAGCGCTTGGCCTTGGGAACTTTGTGGGATGCATTGAGTGAGTGTTTGCAACTCCTAGACGGGCGGCTGAACACGTTTCAAATCACAACTGCATTACTTCCTTTAATTGAATCGTTAATGGTTGTGTGTAAACACAGTCGTGTGAACGAAGTGCAAGTGAAGGATGTCACCAAGTACGAAGCTCGGAAGGTTGATTTCAAAAAAGAACCCATAGAGAGTTTATTCTTCTCGTTCACTGACGAGCACAAGAAGATTCTCAACCACATGGTTCGCACGAATCCAAATTTGATGAGTGGACCTTTTGGAATGCTTATTAGAAACCCCAGGGTGTTGGAATTCGACAACAAGAAGAACTACTTTGACAGAAAACTACACGAGGAAAGTGACGACAATCTGAAGATTGCTATCAATGTTAGGAGAGATCAAGTATTTTTGGATTCATACCGTGCACTTTTCTTCAAGTCGAAAGACGAAGTTAGGAAATCCAAGCTAGAAATTAGCTTCAAGGGAGAATCGGGTGTGGACGCTGGAGGTGTGACAAGAGAGTGGTATCAAGTTCTTTCTCGTCAGATGTTCAATCCCGACTATGCATTGTTCACTCCAGTTGCTTCTGACGAGACTACTTTCCACCCCAACAGAACATCGTTTATCAACCCTGAGCATCTTTCTTTCTTCAAGTTCATTGGAATGATTATTGGAAAAGCCATTTATGATAGTAACTTCTTGGACTGCCATTTCAGTCGAGCCGTTTACAAGAGATTGTTAGGCAGACCCGTATCGTTGAAGGATATGGAGACGTTGGACAATGACTATTTCAAATCTTTGATGTGGATGTTGGAGAACGATATTACCGATGTTATTACGGAAGATTTCTCAGTGGAGACAGATGATTATGGTGAACACAAGGTAATTGATTTGATTGAGAACGGACACAATATCCCCGTTACCGAAGAAAATAAGCAAGAATATGTCAAGCTAGTGGTGGAATATCGACTTCAAACGTCTGTTGCCGAACAGATGAACAACTTTTTGGCAGGTTTCCATGACATGATTCCCAAAGACCTTGTGCTGATTTTTGATGAGCAGGAATTGGAGTTGTTGATTTCTGGTCTTCCAGATATCGATGTTAGTGACTGGAAGAGTAACACTGAGTACCACAACTACTCCCCATCCTCGATCCAAATTCAATGGTTTTGGAGAGCAGTGATGTCTTTTGATAACGAAGAGAGAGCCAAGCTTTTACAATTCGCAACCGGTACTTCAAAGGTGCCTTTAAATGGATTTAAAGAACTCAGTGGATCCAATGGAATTAGCAAGTTTAGTATCCATCGAGACTATGGAACTACCGACCGATTGCCCTCATCTCATACCTGTTTCAACCAAATTGATTTACCCGCCTACGAAACTTATGAGACGTTGAGGGGATCACTTTTGCTAGCGATAACAGAGGGCCACGAAGGGTTTGGATTAGCTTGAAAACAAAACACTTTAGCATAATCTATATAAATAATTCTATTGTTCTATTGTAACTTAAAGCTTTGAAGTTCTCGATGTCAACTTGTCGAACATGGCTTCCAAATCGTCAGTCGATGCCAAATGTTTGACTAGTTCATAATTCTCTTTATTAATAGCTTTGACCTCATCATTGAGCATACCACAACGTTCAATCATCTCCTCTGGGTTTATGGTGGTTCTGCCTCCACCCTTCTTGAAAACGTACTTTGTCATTGCCACGGCATAAGTGCGGTCGGACTTTGGTATTTTGAATTCTGACATCATAAATAACCATTTATCGTCCCATGCTACAACCTTACTCTTGATTTCAAACTTTTGAAAAATTTTCAATTCCTTCTTGAATGTGCACTCAACCATTGCAATTGGCGCATAGGGGAAGTTGTTGACGGATTTGCTCTTGAAAGTACCAAAGTCATTGTCAAATTCTTGGAAAAAGTACTTTTGGAACACCCTCAAAACCAAGTCCATTCTTGCGAGATCCAAGTCAGTAAAATAGGTGGAATTGGACTTGTGAACAAACATATCGATTTCCAATGGCGACACATACGACGTATAAGTGCTAGGCTTGAAAATGTCCAATTTGGAATCACCGGTATAACCGAAGGTATTCTGCTTCTTCAGTGAAACATACTTCTTCCTGGTTAGTGCCAAGGTGACAAAAGCTCGATAATAGAAACGAATGACATATGCTCCTGGCAATGTCTTGTAAGTGGACAAAAGAAAGAGAGATAGGAGAGCCTTCACTAACAATTTCATTAGCAATTAACAAATACCAATCATATGTAATCGCCGGAAGGGTTGCATCGATTCCTGCATGTGCGCTAACAATAAGGTTATGAAGATTGCGAGATACGATTCGAGAGCCGAGGGAAATAGTACCTCTTGGATTATACTTATGAATTTGTGACTTTGGTCCATAATTTCTTGTGTGTAGATGGAATAGGTGCATTGAAAACTTGTCGAGATTGTATTAGTAAACATGAACCAGAAGGTAGCAGCCAATAGCCACAGCCTTAAGCTTTAGCCATAGTCAATAGCCAATAGCCATAAGCTTTAGCCATAAGCACTTAGTGTAGCCAGCCGGTCAAGTTTATTTGGCAAGTTTATTTTGTCCGTAGTTCATGAATTCATACTTCCTGGAGCCTTATATATCTATATTGTACAGTGCTTCGTAGCTTAATCGTGGTGCAGTTGGTAAGAGCATATACCCTTCTCCACATGGTTGGTGAGCCAATCGTCAACGTTGGCAAATTGTTGTTGGCAAAGTCTGCATGTTCCAGCAACCTTACTTCTTTGTTCTTTGCGAGTTCCAGCCGGGTACTTGAAATGGATTGCTTTTAAATGGTTCTTGAATGTATCGCAACGAGAAAATATTCCCAGAGGATGGCAACAGTGATCTTCTGAATTAGCTTCGCCCAGAGTGAGCTTGAAAGGACACTTAAATTGTCCCCTATCAGAACCAATTTCCTTCCAGTGGCACTTGGTGTGTCTGAACAAGTCATTTGGACGGGCAAATCCGCGATGACAATATTTACATACGTGCGGCCGTGATGTTGGTTTCAAGTGGGTGGATTTGTGAGTGGCAAGGTTGCTGAAGTACAAGTTGCATTGCGGACATTGGCGTTTCTTTCTCGGCCGATTATCTGAATCCGGAACGGCGCACTCGCTATGTGCCGACCCGACACCGTCGCCATCCTCCGCCACTCCTACTTCCTCGCCTCCCAGTGTGAGGGGCAGCACACTCCTCGAATCCGAAGACTGGTCGTAGCTGTCTGGATTCGATAAAGGCTCCAACTGCGGCAGAACCAGCAACTTTATCCGTTTTGTACCCGATTCCGTCAGCAAAAAGTTGAGCGCTGGAGGTGGTTGTTTGTTAGAAATGCCGCTAGTACTGACTCGCGAAAGGGTGGCAAGACGGTTGGTATCATGTGGAGATGTACTGGGGCTGGGAAGTTGGTAGGTATGAGAACCTCCGATGGGTAATTTGGATGGTGGTGGTGGAGGAGGTGGTGCCACTTGATGGAAATATGGATCAGATTCCGATCTGGTTATTGGTTCAGGAAGATCTAACAGTAAGGATCTGATCGATGGAAGTTTTATAGGTACTGTGGGGTGTGGTAAAAGATAACCCATCATTATGATAAATATAAAAAATGGCGATTGACAAAGTTTCCTGGACAGATTCGCAGCCGACATATTATATACCAAAATTGCGCCCACATCGCTGCGGCTCAGAACACAGACGGCTGAGCCCGCGCTACCGGGAGGCGCGGGATGTCGTAAAATTTGCCGGAAGTGCGGTGTTCGATTCCATTGCAGTGAATGTCCGAGCCGGGATTAGTGATAGCAAGGGTTCCATCCCGGCTGTCTCATCATGTTCCGAGTGCATTTCAAACATGCGACCTCCCATTATCCATTTACGACCTGTTATGTCCGTCGATCCCGTCGGCACGGCTTAAGGTTTCCGTGTCTCCCGCGCCACTTGGACAGTACATCACGTGCAATTTGGGATCTCGGACCTGGCGGGTTTCAGCCGCGCAGAGCACCTCCTATTATGAGCTTGGCAACGATTTGGCTCCGAATCACCGTTTTGGTCACCACAAAAGGAGTTCTAGTCTAATGTACGTTGGCTATTTAGTGCAGTTTAGTTTACTTCGCCATTGCTGACAATTGGTCGCTGAACTGCAAGATTCGGCTCTAATACCGCGCTCACTCGGCGGCCCCTTCTTATCGAGAATAGGGGTGCGGCTCATAATTGCCAGGTTATGACCCCACACAGGAGAAAGGCTTGGTGTCCTGCAGGTGTCGGCATCGGCAACCAATTGAGGTATTTCTTGTGCGCGCAGCACATGACGATCCGAATTTACGTAAAAATTAAGTAATCTCGGCCAGCGCCGGATTGCTGCCAAGCCATCCTATTCATCGTGGTAGCCTGCGATAGCTACCTCGTCTAATCATGTAGATCTTATTCGTAATCCATTTTTGTTCATTCAAAATTCAATTACCCCTAAATTTCATTTGCTTCAGATTTCGCACATAGAACAATGAGTTAAGCGTTATTGCATCAGCAATCTCGCCGTTCCCCGGCTCATATTGCCTCGTTATGAGCATATTCTACGTCTATAAATCTGAAATTCATTTTATTTTTTAAGCATGGTGTCCTGGTTTGACAGGTCCCTTTCATCCTACATATGCCAAGGTTCCAAATCGACAAATTAGGAAAGATGAATGGAATCTTCTAAATAGCTGCGATTTCGCCCCATTTAAATTACGTAAACGAACACCCCTATTATGCCTTTCTTGATTTCACTTTTGAATCTCCAGTGCTAACACCAGAAGCGGTAGCCAGCGTCTTACCGGCTTTTTCACTTGGCGCTGCTTTCTTGCCGGTTTTCTTGTAGACGCGGATGTAGAAAGAAATAAATAACAACAAGTAACTGGTCAAGATCAAGTAACCATAAGCAGCTGCCAATTCAGATCCATAACAATCACCTACGTGGGGTAACGATGGGAAGTATCTGAATGCATAGTGGGTGTAGGTTGCAAAGTAGACAAATACCAAGTCGATCAAAAATTGGATAATCTGGAATCTAGTAACCCATTCTTTCCACCAAACTCTAATATTACGAGCACTCAAGAAATAGTACCAATACATCACGACGTGGACTGCTAAATTAAGCGTGATTGGTACCCATTCGACCGAGGTGGATCCGGTCAATTGCGTGTAGCACAACAATGCAGTGGCTCCATGGTGGTAGGTGTGCAAAAACATCAACTTTTTCTTTTTCAACACCAAGAATATCGTGTCGATCAACTCTAAATACTTGGTCAAGTAGTTCAAATAGTACAACGTGACCAACTTGGGAGCAAATGCATTTTTGTCACAGATGGCATAAAAGAGACCATGATGATACAAAATGGGAATTAATTGTTCAATGGCAAGTAACAATAATGCCAACGAAATCAAAGTTAATCCCAAGTTGTGGATCTGGAACAAAAAGTTTAATTTGAAAGCCGGCGCATTCAACTTGTTCATTAACGATCTTCCACCAAAAATAATGATGTAGTACACGATAATGATACCAATAGCATGATAACCATTTGCCAAGAAAGTTTCGTGGTGGATAAACTGGAATTTTTCCGCGGGGTAACCACTTACTTTTTCAAAGAAATAGCTGAATATGGGCCACAAGTGCAAGCCAAATGGCCTTTCCACACTAGGAACCGAGACTTCGATGATGTTGGCCATGGAAATGAAAAACTAAATCAGTTGGGGAATTTTCGCGTCTTTTCCTCACGGACGTTGGTGTTCTGGGTGCCACCTGTGATATTCTACCTCCGCTACACCTATAATACAGTGACAAGATATATACTGTTCATAAATGCCTCTTTCAATTGGCCTTTTCCACTTCCTTTCATAAATGCCTTTTTCACTTGGCCTTTTCCACTTTCTTTCTAGGCTTCAAGTTCAAGAAATCGATACTTACAATGATATCATACCCATTTTCCTCGCAAGCATAAAGCGCTTCATGTTCGTTCGAATGAAGAAACCGAATATTTTCCCCAACAAGTGCTCGGATCAAGTGTGTGGTTTCAAGGTCCCTCACCTCGATAAATCCGGGCTCAAACGCCAACAAGTAAGGATAGAACATGACAATGTGCTGGGGGTTTCCTTCCCAGAAAATACCCCATTCATGGTTGGTTCTCCATCCATTTTGAAGCACCTTGAAACAAAACTCGGAATAACTCAATAAAAATTCCTTGTTCAACCGATGAATTGCCAACGGCGTTACCATTTCCCTTTGGGTAGCAAAGTCAAGCGACGGATCGGCCTCGTCCAAAATTGGTTCCTTCTTTCCTTCTTCCAATGAGATAACCTCAAATCCTTTGGTGCAACCAACGCAGAGTTTCGTTTTCAAAAACGAGATTGAAACTGGTTCCGAAGTAAATGAAATATCACGAATGTCGTAATTTCTGTTTCTGTTCCTGTTGCGGGCATTGAATGGATTGCTTGGTTCAAAGATACTGATACCATTGGTATTTCCTGTCTTGGCAGAGGCAACCAATAACTTTCCATTACAGATACCCGTTTTGAAGAAGGAAACATGGTCCAATATCCACTTACCGGATTTAGTGTTCTTTTCGCAATCCAAGGAATCAGTACATGCCAAGTCAAACTCGTACAACACCTTGTCTGAAACCACCAATAAACGGGAAAACTCAACTAAAACCTCAATCTGTGTAACATAGAGTTTTTTGATCACCATAGTTGGTTCAGAACAGATTTTTTCATTGGAAGTAGCATTGATAGATCTCACAGTAGCCACCCAGATCCCAGAATCGGTACCGTACAACATCTTCTTACCACCGTAGCATGGTACAGCACAGTTGATTCTGTTATTTCCATGGAACCGTCTTGTCTCGAATTTTGTAAGTGAAAAGATGTCGTGCTGTTCAATCAACTTGCGCTGTTGTTGCTGAATCTGCAGAAGAACTTGAGTCTGATTGGTGATATCATCGGCAAACAAACTAGCATGAACCTGGTTTTTGCCCAATCCGAGGAAATTGATTTGAAATTTGATATTAGAATTAGAACTTGAGTTGATGAAATTGTTCTCAACTTTGGCAGCTTTTAAGCCAGTGTCTGACACGATCGAACCGTCTAAGCGATGAGGCAATATCGTTCTTGGTGTTGGAGCCTCGTATCCACTATTGACAAACAACAAGGGAAGATATATGGGTTTTTCATACACCTTATGCTGTTCCCTTTTATTTTGAATCTTATGCTTCACAAGCAACAATGCGTTTTCAAACAAATAAAGGTCAATTTTCTCGTTGTCTCTTTTTCTGCTCAAAGTGACCTGATAGATGATTCTTCTACTGTAGGAAAGCTTAAAGTTAAATCTTTCTTCCAAAGTTTGCTTTCCGAGTAACCTGTGTAAGACCATGATTTTGTGTCTATCTGTGCTCTCACCAGTTTGAACGTTCATCTTAACCAACACCTTTTCAACCTCTTCTTTTGCTTTTTGAAGATATTTATAATCAGGTGAAGTCTCCTTGGTATTATCAAGAATCCCCTTCAAAAGCAATTGGTACCGAGCCGGTCTTTGTACTCCCTTCATCAAAAACGATGACAAATCTTGCTTCCTAGATTCAGGTTTCTTTTCAATGGCTTCCAAAAATCTGGCATACTTGAGATTTACCTGTTGTTGTCTCTCATGCTCAAAGCTTGCAAACACCTTGTTACCGGAATATTTGATGAAAGGATCAAAATGAGGAATGTACTCGATGAAAACGTCTGCAAATGTTTCAATGACCGGTTTCTGTTGTTGTTGTCTCCGAGTGAGTGCTTCACTTATACTCTTGGCAAGCTTTAACAATTCTCCAATCATTCCGAAAACAGTCATGATGAATGCGTCTCGTTCCCTTTCAGGAATAATATTATTAGTTGGATTCCGCAAAGGCATGATATAAAAGTCAGTCATGAATTCCAAGTCTTTAACGTAGTCTCTCTCTGTGTAGATAAATTCGTAGATGAGTTCTTGGCGCATCTTCTCATGTTTGTCAAGTCCATCCAACACAGATTGAGGAACGGTTTCGTGCCACAACGTCTTTTGCTCCTCATGATCGTGTAATGAGAGTCTTGAAACAGCACGAGCAAGTCCGCCCTGTGGTTTCATATGAAGTCTTGCCTGTTGTTCCAAACGACGTGGACATGCGATACTGTAACATAATTTGTTTCGGGTACACGTTGGCGAGTAACAATCGGTCAAAATCGTAAACACACCGTTCACTCCTGTTGCCGCAGTTGTGCTCTCATTCATGTAGCTCGCTGAATTAGCATCTGCAGGGATCATAGCAGGGGGGGTTGAAGGTAAAGGAACCACTCCGTTAGACGTGTGAGAAGGAAGTTGCTGCTGTAAGACATTTTGTTGGATAAGTTGCTGATGGGAAGTCAGTGGTTGCAAATGGTTTTTCTCGGCAAAGGAACCATGCTTGCTGTTATTGTTGCTGTTGTAGTCAACTCCAGTGTAGATGTGATTGAAGGCATACACTTCATGAACGGAATCACGCAACCGATGGTTGTAGGTAACGTCACGGAAGAACTTTTGTGCATCGAGAGATCTACCCAAGAGAAGTGCCAAGTTACGGTCATTGGTACGAATGATCTTGCAAAGAATATCCACCGCCATTTTTCCGGTAAACGAATCATGGTACTCCAAACCATCCTTGGTATTGATGGTCAAAATTATAGAGTCCTTGAAAACTTTGGCGACTCGAGAAAGGAACGCTGGATATACAACCTGCTTGGGAGGACCAGGCATCGAAACTGTTCTTTGAGAATTCAATGTGGTGGAAGAGGCATTTCTGTCGAGGGTCTTGTTGCCGTTTAGTGATGCTGAAGAGTTATATTTTTTGCCAGACAACGACGACAACTTTGAAAGTGAAGTGAACGACCTCGACTTGGAAGTTAGCGAGAAACTGTGGCCCGAGCTTGAGGATCCCGAGCTGCTGGAGGACGGTTTGTGCGACTGAGACATATGGTTATAGCCCTGTTTCTGCTGCATGGCAAGTTGACCCTGCGACTGCCACTGCTGGGGTCCCGTAGGCATGTTTTTTTGCATCCGTTGGTGTCTCGAAGACTCTGAGGTGAGAGAGCGAGTCCGGTCATTTGCAGATATATGCTGTGCGGTCTGAGGGGAGTGCTGACCGTAGCCATACAGGGGCGTTGACACAATACGCCTTCCACCATCAGCGCTCGCTGGGCCACCTCCTATCGTGGAAATATTAGATGTTTGGATCGGAGGCATGCCCATGGGCGCTTTACGGTGCGATCTTCTGGACTGTGGGAGAAAATTAGGAACAGAAGAAGGAGCGGAAGGCGGCGACGTGAGTTCCAGCAACTCGTCGATGTCAGATCCCACCGGATATGGCAATGGTCTCTGGTTAACCTGGGGTGATTCTTGGATGGGATATGGCTGAGCACGAGCGTCGTGGAACTGGGATTCCTGGTGCCGTGCGCCAGAATACGGCTGAGGTTGACCGGTGAATTGAGGGCGTTGGTTTTGCTCTACTGGTTGATTGTATGGGGCACCGGAGTTGGCGAAATGCTGGCCCTGGTGAGAAGGCTGAGGAGGAGGCGGAGCACCATATTGGGGCTGCTGTTTCTGCGGATCTGCGTACGCCCGTTGGTGGAAAGGATGGCGGCCTGGGGGAGCATTAGGCTGCTGAGCAGAACGGTCGGGACTGCCTTCGAATGACCGCTGGAATCCGTCCGCTTGCGGTAACAAATGTTCGGGTAATCTCACGGTATTTTGGTATTGGCTATGTTGCCGGGGCGGAAAATCGGCCATGGTCAGTATGTATTTACTGGATGGGGTCAAGGCGAGTTGATAAATCCAGGATGGTTATTTTTGGAGATCAAAGTTTTTTTAGGTGGGACGTTCGGATTTTGGGAGTTATGACTTTTCAGAAGTGCAATTTGCTGAATGGTGAGCGATAACAATAGCGGAACGACTGGTGAGCTAAATACGACAATTCTGTCGATTTGTTCTTGGAGACGGAGGTCAAAGTTTTGTTCGAAATCGCCTCAAAATAGTCGTCGTGGTATGTCTGAATTACCTTAAGAATAAGACAAAAGAGCCAAGTGATCTGATCTTCAACACCGCAGGAGCAGATACGTGGAACTTAAACGCTATAATCCCCCCAAATTTATTCTAGCTTCCACCTATGCTAGACAATAAGTGGGTGAACTTGCTTGATGAAATTTTGGTGCGGCCGCGACATTCCTGTATCGCAACAGCCCCGAGCACAGGTGACAGGTAGTGTGAGTGGTGGGGCGGAGGTTGGAAAAAAATCAAAGAGAGGTAGTACGAGATTCATGGAAGATTTGGCACACTGAATCTTGGCGATTTTGATTAATATCGTTTAATTAATGTTGCTGCAAATTGTACTTCTTAAATATTAGCAAGCATCAAAATTACCCTTGCACTGTATACCAAATTTTTAGTGCAATAGAATATGAATGGTGAAAGGCACTAATTCGTTTTATTGTAAACTAGAAATGGAAGTATCGACTCTTCTCATCAATTCATATTCAAGCTGCCTTCGCACTAAAAATAGAAATTCAGAAATACGAGCACAATTCTAATATAGCAATTACTCGCCGTGATAAATTCGATGTGTCTCGTTTCGGCTTTACGAATCATTTCAAGTCAGAATTCCCTAACAAATGATGATTAACAAACACTTCTCGGCTTTCGGGCTTTGAGCTTGGTTAGCTTAGTAATATTCATTAACAGTAAAGTAGTCTCCTAAGGAGTTGGCCCCTTTCCAAACGTCACGCTTTTGTCACAGAACGTCTCCAAGCTCAATTTGAAATCTGAGGAACTGCCTTGTCCTTAACCGTAATGTATCCTATCTATTGCAGCCTTTTTCGTGGTGTATGGATGTCAACCATATAACGAGAATGCGATCCTCAATCACCATCATGCCTCCATATCATTCGACATTTTTGACGGAATCGGGCCCTGATGCTCGTTTGGTAGGTAACTTGGTACTACTTCCATTGCACACGAGTTTCCGTGGACCTTCATATCCCCCACAACAAGATTATGACATCATTGAGGAAACGTTGGATTTGTTCAGAGCCAATTCTTTCTTCAAAAACTTTGAAATTAAGGGTCCAGCAGACAGATTGTTAATCTACGGCATCTTATTTGTCAGCGACTGTTTGTCCAAGTTGAATAAACTGGTCAATTTGAGAGAAGCTACACGAATTCTCAACAATTTGGCTCTCGATAACTTTGCCCTTCCGGGCGATATAGGGTTCCCATTGAACTCCATGTACCAAGCTCCAACCAACAAGAACGATGCAGAGTTACTCCGGTCGTATTTGCTGCAATTTAGACAAGAGTTGGCCGATAGATTGTTGAAGAGAGTGTACCTGGCCAACGATCAAGTTCCCGATAAGTTTTGGCTAGCATTCACGAGAAGAAGATTTATGAACAAAAGCTTGTAGCGGCTATATATTTGACTATACAAATGGTATCAATGTCCCCACCTTGTTGGAGTAGTCGATGTATTCTTGGCCAAAGAGTCTGTTGACCAAAAACCACTCTTCGAATGCTACTCGGGTACGAAAGAACCACGTTATTATAACTGTAGTTAAAACCAACGATAACGGTATGGAAAGACATAATTGCAAACCTATTGCCCAAAGATAGAATCCCAAATAACTAGGATGTCGACACCAACCGTATATATCGTGGGTAACAAGATTATGTGTTTGTCTGGAAGTGGTTTGAATATAGTGGGAGAACCCATTTCCACACACTTTCATAGCTCGGTGTCGAATATAAAGACCAATTGTTGCCATAACCATTCCTATAAAAATGGTATGTTTCATATAGGGCCAAATATGCCATCGACTTTTGATGAAAAAGTATTCCCAGATACTTAACAATTGCATGAGAAGGTACTCCTTGCTTCCAACATTACCATACAACAAAAACAGGGATTCTGTAACCGTTTCTCGCTGATAAGTATAAGTATTGATGAATTCAAGTAAATGATAGGCAGCTATAAAAAGCAAGTACAACCCCAACCGACTATATTCTGTGGTTACCAAGATCAAACCGGTCCCAGCTACGCTTCCAAGAACCATTGAGGTCATGGCTATAATATGAAGCTGATTTTTATCTACATTGTAAGACATTACAAAGACAAATGAAATTTATCAGTGCGCAGTGAAATTTCACCAACTGATGCCTGGAACCAAGTATAACAAATATGATCCTGAAAAGGTAGATTTGGCTACAGTGGCACTCAAGGCGTTTGGTATAGGTGTGGTTTTGCTGGTTTGCTTGGGTATGTTGATTTTGCATGTTTCAAATACTCATCAATATGGAGTGACTATCATTCGAATAAGCTGTTATTTGGCGATAATTTCCACGTTCCACATGTTGGAATTTTTGTCCACTTGTCTATTCAATAATTCTCAGGTGGACGATGACTCGTTTATCTTGAATGATACCGAATTGCATTTCGTTTTATTGGGGTCTTTAATCGAGGTGATTTTCGAGCCGTTCATCTTTGACTGGTCGTCTAATTTGGGATTAATTATTGCACTTATGGGCCAAGTTTGTCGAACTGGAGCCATGTATACTGCCCGGGAATCGTTCAATCATTATATTCAAAGAGAAAAAGACGATACTCATGTTCTCATCAAACATGGAATCTACAAGTATATTCGACATCCCAGCTATTTTGGATTTTTCTGGTGGTTTATAGGCACCCAGCTTTACTTGGGTAATACCGTCATCTTGTTGGGCGGAAGCTTCAAATTGTGGAAATTTTTCAAGGCGAGAATCGATTATGAAGAACTGCTTTTGATCAAGTTTTTCAAGAACGATTATGTTCAATATCGAGCGGCCACTCCTGTGGGTATACCGTTCATACGCTAAACTCATGACTTATCTATTTATAATCTATTCTAAGCTCTAATTCTAAGCTTTGTTGCCAGTGCCAACACCCTTGTTGTTGACATTTCTATACATCATCACTCCGTTGTCCCCGTCAACGTATTGACACCATCTACCAGACTTCCACAACGAAACCCACATGTTCTCATCACTGTGTTGGTAGTGAGATCCCATCACCTTCTTGATGGCTTCACTAGCCTCACGAGCGTTGTAGAAAGGAATTCTAGAAACGTAGTGGTGCAAGACGTGAGTCTCGATGATGTCGTGGAAAATGTACTTTCCGACAAACCCAAACTCACGGTCCATGGTAGCAGCGGCACCACGAGCGAAATTCCATTGCTCAGGGGTGTAGTGGGGCATTCTTGGGTCGGAATGTTGGAGAAAGGTGATGAACACCAACCAGTGGTTAACAAGCACATAAGGAAGAGCCCAGTTAACCAACAAGTTGAAACCTCCAAATTTCTTGTACCAAGTGTACACTACGATCAGTTGGGTCAAGATACCAATGTCAGACATCACAACGTACCAATACTCTCTAGATTCAAAAATAGGAGAGGCGGGGTTAAAGTGGTTATTTTGATACCATTTCTTTCCTTCATATTTTTGTCCAGAAACGTTGGTGAACAAGTAAGCGATCCATCCACCAAATTGTTGAAGAATGAGCTGGTACAAGGTATAAATGGGAGAGTCACCCACAATGTCATCGATGTCGTGGTCATGATCTCTAGACTCCAAGAATTCTTCCTTGGTCTTTGGAATGAATACGGTATCTCTTTTCAAGTTACCCGTGGCCTTGTGGTGTTTGGAATGAGAAAATTTCCAGCTAAAGTAAGGAACCATGAGATAACTGTGCAATACCCATCCCACAGTGTCATTTACCAACTTGTAGTCGCTGAAAGCCAGGTGGCCACATTCGTGTGCTAAAACCCACAACCCAGTATGGAGCAATCCTTGAACCCACACGTAACCACCCCAAGCTGCAAATCTCATCCATGGAGCTGGAAGCAATTGAATGTAGTTATTGGCGACGTACATGAACACCCCGATCCAAAAGATGTCTCTGAAAACATAGTACATCGACTCGATCACTCTACGCTCGTAACAATGAGCAGGAATCGCCTTTAAGATATCCTTGATCGAGTAATCAGGCGCTACAAACTCGTCACCATAGGTGTCAATCGCCTTAACATTGGAGGATAAGGTGGCCACGTTACCATTTCTATTGATGGTAGTTCCATACCCGCTGGACGTAGCAGTAGAAGTTGCAGAGTTTATCATGGTGAAAAAACCGTGAAAATGACAATGCAGAACAACGGTTTATGTAGGCAAAGAAAAAGAAAAAAATTTGTGGAACAATCTCACCCAATCCGGGAAGAGGTTGTGGTCGGCACCCGTGCACCCTACCCAATTTTTTGAGCAATTGCGCAAAATGCGCGACATGGAGCATGAGATCAAACTGATAATGCCATTGGGGAGGACAAATTGGTGCTGGAAATGCTAGACTCGACGATTAGGGTTTTGGGATGAATGACGATATTCCATCATAAATTGGGGCAACCTTATCGCTTGAGAGGCTGTGAGTAATCAGAAGTTATTGTTCCTCATGCTTCGTCTTGGCATTCCATCTGCAGGCATGGTAATTGACGTGCACGTGAGGATCCGATACCCAAATCAGGAACGAGATCGGATCCGAAGCAAGAAGACGCGGATAGTATTGCTGAGTAAATTTAAGTCTATTTTGAGACTTTTGTATGATATATAAAACAGTATCGATTCTCGTGTACATCTTTTGCCATCCATTTCTTTTTTCTTTTATTTTCAATTTTCACATTTTGCTGATTTTGCCAATTTTGCAATTGGTCTATGAAAAATATGTCAAAAAAGGAAATTTTGAACAATAGCTTTTTCCCCCTACGAAAGTACTCTAAACTCAAGCCAGGCTACTCGCTTCTTCCCTCTCCCTTCACGTTCCTTTCTTTCTACTTCTCTCTCCTCTTTAATTCATCTCTTCTGCCCCGCCCAATCCACCCAACACCAGCGGAACTACCCCGCGGGTCCGGTATCGGCCGGGGTTTCAAAAAAATTCCAAGCGGCTATATATTTACCTTCTTCACCGAAAAATCACCAATGGCTACTATTTCCCCCGATACCGAGATCAAAAAGAAGCCTGTCAACTTCTCCAACATCCTCTTGGGTGCTGGGTTGAATATGGCTGAAGCAACTACTTTGGGTCAACCTTTGGAAGTGGTCAAGACAACCATGGCCGCCAACCGAAATTTATCCATTGTTCAAGCCACCAAGTTGGTGATGTCCAGAGGTGGACTCTTGGGTTTCTACCAGGGATTGATTCCTTGGGCATGGATCGAAGCTTCTACAAAGGGTGCAGTGTTGTTATTCGTGTCAGCTGAAGCAGAATATCACTACAAGAAACTTGGTGCTTCCAACTTTATTTCAGGAATGGGAGGTGGTGTCACCGGAGGTTTGGCTCAAGCGTACCTCACAATGGGATTTTGTACTTGTATGAAAACTGTGGAAATCACCAGAAGCAAACAGGCTGCTGTTAGCGGGGTTCCGCAACAGACTGCCTTCCAAGTATTCAAGGAAATTTGGAGAAAAGAAGGTATCAGAGGTATTAACAAGGGTGTCAATGCCGTGGCTATTCGTCAGATGACAAATTGGGGATCTCGGTTTGGTCTTTCCAGATTGGCAGAAGAGGCTATACGTTCATTGACCGGTAAAGGAGAAACGGAAAAGATGAGTGCGGTGGAGAAAATTGGTGCTTCTGTGATTGGTGGTGGTTTGTCTGCTTGGAACCAGCCAATTGAAGTGATCAGAGTCGAAATGCAATCGAAAACCACCGATCCTAACCGTCCCAAGAACTTGGGAGTTGCGTCTGCCTTTTCCTACATCTACAAGAACAATGGCTTAAAGGGCTTATACAGAGGTGTTACCCCAAGAGTAGCTCTTGGGGTGTGGCAGACCGTGTTTATGGTTGCGTTTGGTGACATTTTCAAACGGTGGTTGAACGCTGAGGGTGCTGGCCATTAATAGAGTAGTATTTTATTCATTCATTTTGCTAACTACTTTTACTGTGAGGTCGTTTTTCACCGCCCCAAATCTCGTAGCAGTAGAGTCCAACAATGGTAAGACACAACCCGACAATTTGTCGAGGTGAAATAGACTTACTTTCCCACAAGTAGGCAATCACTATAATAAATATCCGCTTCATTAAACTGGCAATGGTGTAATTGACAGGTGACATGAGTCCAAGAATCTGAAATGCGGTGAAGGTTTGAGCAAAGTGAGATACTCCATTTAAAACAATTAAAATAGCCACTTTGGTGGTAATGTCAAAGATGGATATACGAGGATTTCTAAATTCCAGGTATGCGTAGATTGGAAGAGTCAACACAAATCCAACAAGCGAACAGTAAAGCAAGATCGTCAACTTGTCGACCTTGTCCTTTTTCGTCTTATTCAAGGGCAATGCATCACTGTTATAAGTTAATCTCGCTTTGGCAAAGATGTTTTGTGAGACAAAAATTAACATTGATACCAGGGCGTAAAAGAGCCCTGATCCATAGTGTGATTGGTTTTCGGAATGCTTTGGACGATAACATGCGAGAATAACACCTGCCACTAGAGGAAAAAGTGAAATGTAACTGATGGTTTTGTATCTGATACCGAAAAATAGACGGAAAATTGCAACTGTCACAATAGGTGACAATGCTTTTATTGTGTGAACCAACGAGACAGGGACCAAAGAAGTAGCCTTATGGGACGTCAATTGGCCCGTAAACTGGAACACACCCATGGGGACAGTGGTGGAAAGAATTAATGGTGTTGGTGACAAAATCTTGAAGATGCTTGCATTTAATGGAGGTATGCAACCGGGCGGGAAAGCCTTTGCCGCATCGAAAACCATCACAAGTTTGAGAAGAGCCACAGATAGTACAATATTCAATAAAAACTGACACTCAGTCAAGGTGACAGGATGACTAAATTGCAGGAGAATCATTTTGGTGGAATTGCTTGAGAAAATGGAAACAATGTACCAAAGAAAACATAAGCCGACCACGCGAGGGTCAAACTCACTCCAGGCGAATCGAGATCTTATCTGTTGGAACCACGAAGCATTCTTCGTGGAAAATGGAGAAGATTGTTCATGGACAGGAGACGATACTTTCGATAATGGAGGTGTTAAAGTGAAGGTGCTGGGAAAAGAAAACTGCTGCTGAAACTGTGGTCTCTTAAAATCTTCCTTTTTATCTCCGTTGATTTGCAATAAATTTGTAGACGAATAGTTGGGATTAATCGATGCACTATACATGGTGAATGCTGCAAAATATTATGACATACAAAATTGTTAGTGCAAACAATACTGGAACCGGATTAAGCGAGTGAAAGGTCCAGAAGAAAACACCACCAACGTAAATCAAACAGATATCGCAACACCTCCTAAAAAATATTTTAACTTTCGAGCCACATGTGGTTTCTGGGTGTGCAGATAACAAAGGTAAAACACGGTGAACTTGGCCGCGCGCAGCCAAAGGAAACAGAGGTTAAACGCGAAGGTCGAACGGACCAAAAGCAAGCAGAAAAAGGAAGACCTACCTATACACTGCAATTTACACATAACAATTCTTTGAAAGCTGCAACTCTTATTATAGTTACAATTACGGGTTGTTCCCGATTACATAATCACAACCAACATCTTACTTCACCAAGTATCGTTTATCGTCGGGAGAAGAATACACGACACAACACATATTGTACCACAACCATCAATTCCGTTGTCGATACCTGCAATTATACACATAACGCTGCTGGGAACTACAACTATACTTCCTGGTGACTGTGGAATCCCATTTCCTTTATAAAAGTCGATTCGAGTTAACGTTTTAGCCGTCTTTAGATCGCCATTGTTTCACCAAATTCTATTTGTTGGCTTAAACTAGTACTTTCATTCAAGTGCGTGTCAGCATCAACATCCCACAATGTCCCAAATCCTATTTTTGGCAGCCAAAGAAATCATTAAGCGTGCCGTAAGTACCGACCCCGACGACGAAGATGGATCCCCAGATTTAACCACTCCTGATGACCACTTGGACGACTCAGATCCAGTTGCTGACGAGATATTCTCCTCGTGGGCATTGTTCATCTTGCTATTTCTCTTGAGTTCAGCATTGTGGTCATCGTATTTCTTACAACAGCGCCGTATCAAGGCGGTCCATGAAACAGTACTATCGATCTTTTATGGAATGATAGTAGGATTAATGATCCGTATAAGTCCCGGACACTACATTCAGGATGCTGTCAAGTTTAAATCTTCGTATTTTTTCAACATTTTATTACCCCCAATCATCTTAAATTCAGGATATGAATTACACCAGGCCAATTTCTTTCGAAACTTGGGTTCGATCTTGACGTTTGCTATACCTGGAACGTTTATTTCGTCGTTGGTATTGGGGCTAATCCTCTTTATATGGACGGCTTTAGGGTTGGATGGTGTTAAATTGGAATTTGTTGACGCTTTGGCGGTGGGTGCAACTTTATCGGCCACTGATCCAGTCACTATTTTGTCTATTTTCAACGCTTATAAAGTCGACCCTAAGTTGTATACCATTATCTTTGGAGAATCACTCTTGAATGATGCCATTTCCATCGTCATGTTCGAAACCTGTCAAAAGTTTCATGGCCACCAATTGAAATTTTCTAGTTTTTTCGAAGGTATTGGTTTATTCTTGATGACATTTACCATCTCCACCATCATCGGAATACTAATTGGCATTTTCGTGGCGTTGATATTAAAACATTCTCATATTCGAAGGTACCCACAAATCGAAACCAGTTTGGTGCTTCTCTTCGCATACGAGGCATACTTTTTCTCCAATGGTGCCCACATGTCTGGAATCGTCTCATTATTGTTTTGCGGCATAACTTTGAAGCACTATGCCTACTACAATATGTCTAGACGAACACAAATTGCAACGAAATACATCTTTCAGTTATTGGCTCAACTTTCGGAAAATTTCATCTTCATTTACCTTGGATTGTCCTTATTCACCGAAGTTGAATTGGTTTTCAAACCATTGTTGATTATCGTCACCTTTATCCTGATCTGTGTTGCCAGATGGCTGGCAGTGTTCCCATTATCACGGTTCTTGAACTTTATGTATAGGGCAAGGTTCAAGGAATTCACCTCGCGTTCTCTCAGCGCCCCGCTGTTGACCAACCAGTCAATTCCTGATGAAATAAGCCATTCTTACCAAATGATGATCTTTTGGGCTGGCTTGCGAGGTGCGGTGGGTGTTGCCTTGGCTATGGGTATTCAAGGTGAGGCAAAATGGGCTCTTTTAGCTACTGTGCTAGTAGTTGTTGTGCTTACAGTGATTCTCTTTGGAGGCACTACTGCTTCCATGCTTGAGATTTTAGGCATCAAGGTTGGTTGTGTCGATGAACATGATTCTGACGACGAATTCGATATCGAAGCACCAAGGTTACCCATAAGCACCCCTCCTACAAACCATGCATCAGGTGCGTTTGGTAATCGAAGGTTTGGAAACTTTTCAAATTTCAATGGATACGTCGACGAGGCTAGAGATACCAATTCTGGTGTCAATATGGGTTCATTCAAACCTCAATATCCTCCACAGTCAACCAATAGCTCTTCAGCTGATCTCTTACAAGACGACGAGGCCCTAAATCCTGATGACAACATTATTCCTGATCCTGCTCCCATGGTCTCTGAAGCCGCTGCAAATAACGGTGGAGTCTTGGGTGCATTCTTGAGTGCTGAAGAGCATGCCAGATGGTTTACCCGATTAGACGAAGAAATCTTGAAGCCTGTATTGTTAGACAATGGATTACAGAAGGATAAAGATAATGGGCGTTCGTGACAAGTGAAAAGTATGTGTCACATTATTTAAATATACATACCGTATTCTACAATGTTCACCAAAACTTATTTAGTTTTCAGTTGCTGATTTTCAGCAATGGCAACATCAACAACAAGTTTGGCCAACTTGAAGGAGCCCGATGTCAACATAAGGTCGTTGAGTTTATGATTATACTTGATGCAAATTTGAAAGTATTCACTCAAGAACACATCGTGTAGTTTGGCAATCAAATGCCGGTTAGTTTCCTGTCCTGGGGCAACATACACGCTTCGAGGTATGGACCTAGAGTACTCTGAACATGCACTAATGGGTAACTCCAACAAATTCATCACTTCCGCTACTTGAGTGTTGGTGATGGTGTAGATTTTATCTTGCTCAATTGCATGAATGAGAAGGTTTGCTAATGCTATTGCGGCATTTCCTAGGTCGACTGGGTTTATTACCCTGCTCTCAGCATCTCTGTGTAGACTCACGCGGAAAGGTATGCCATAAGAAGTTAACAAGAACTTTTGTCTGTAGTGGTAATATTGTTTTTTGGCAATGTCAATTTTGGAGAGGATTAATTTGCTCAAAGTCTTCTCCTTGTCCTTGACTGTCTTGTTAATTTGGAGCAAAGAAAGAAGAGACAATAATGGAGTGAATACCTGCAACTGGATGATGGAAAGGGCATATGAGTATGGGCTGGTGGTTGTACTTTTTGTAGTCTTAGATTCAGAATTGTCATTTTGCTTCATTTCAGGAACTGGGTTCAGGCTGGCAGCAACATGGGTGGTCGTCGAGTTGCCAAATATATCAATGTTTGATGTTGGATTATTGACAATACCATCGCCTAATTGAACAGGAGGCTCCAAGTCCAGCGGAGACCTATAGGAGATTCTCAGAGCGGCCTCTCTGATCAACAAGGAGCACTCCTCGTAGATTAGCTGCCACGAAGAGCCGTTGATTTTGTGTGTTTCGTAAACAGATGCTCTCAACTTGATTCCATCTGGCTCGGTGGTTGTTGCAATATAAGCCAATTCTTGGAATGCTGTGAGTCGACAAAATTGCGATTCGGGACGAACATCCTGAAGTGCCACCACGAGAGAGCTTATTGGGTCCACACAGTATGTGCTTATAGGTTTTGAGCTGTCAAGACATCCTATCGTGGCATAAACTTGGTAAACATGATTGACAAGTTCCCAAAGAAGTATCAAGCCAAAAGCAATATACACAACACTGGACCAAACATCAAAGGATACTGAGTAGGAAGGAGTACCGGTATCCAAGCCCAAGATCAATGCTGGCAAGTATATCGTTTTGTAGACGAACAGATGCACGAGAACATAAACTATGGGAGCAGTGAACCCAATAAAAATTGTCAAAATGAAGGAAACTCCAATAAAAAGTGGTATTTTACGGAACAATACCTCTTGCGGATTCACTTTTAGCACGCCAATTTTATACTTGAGCATGTTGCGTTGAAAAATGTAAAACTGCAACAGGTAGACAATTGAAGTGTATACCAAAGAAAACCAGTAAAATACCCAATTATCATTAACCAACGGCCTTTTCTGATACTCCTTAGAGAGCACATAGTAGTTATAAGCAAAGGGAAGTTGGAATATGTGCATTCCACCAACTAGGAGCGCAGAAGCCAGGTACAAGCATGTGCCGGTAATGAATTCCTTTGAAACCACAGAGTAAACAATCTGATCAGCAAAGGTTTTCTGGACAGAGTATTTGATAGTAGAGCTTGATTCCCTCAATTTCTTCACCAAAGTGCACGCGACAACCACCACAGGTACCCTATAAAGAAATCCTATCGAACAACTTTGAATTGATTCGTATGGAATACTAAGGTACCAGGTAATTAGAAGTGATATAAGGCCATGAATGTTATTTGCATACGAAAGGCGCTTATTGGTAACCTTTTGAAACGCCTCGTAGTAGCTAATTCCTGCCATTGTGGCCGGAGAACTGGGAACAAACTATTGATATTCGCAGTGCTAAATTCGATGCGACACACACGACCGATGAGATAGAAGGTATTGAGTTTAGATGGACAAGCACTAATAGAGTAGTTAGTGTGGATGTGAAGGCCCACCATACAGCAATAAAGAGCAAAAGAGCAAAAGATCATGGTAAAAGTTTTCGAATTAGTGTTTGAATGTGTTGTGTACAATATTTTATCTCACCATGCTAGGCTATTTACAGGTCAAGGCTCACCTCCTTGGTTGATCACCATCTTGGCTTGTCTCTTCAATCTTTCGATTTCGCTATCAAGAGTACTCTTGACAGTCAGCAATCCTGGCTGTCCATCAATCTCTCCCAAAACTTCATCTGTAATCAAAGCTTCATTAGCTTGGATGCTGGAGAATGCATGCGAATACCCTGAAAGTTTGTTTTCCACAACCATCTGGTGGCTCTCGAACTTGCTGACATTGACGTCGAAAGCATCCTCAATGGCTCTTTCCAATTCTTCTTCGGTGGTGATGAAATTGGCAGCTGCGTGGTAGAGCTCGAGAAGTTCCGTGGCCTTTTTTTCCTTGAGTGACAATTCCTGACCTTTGCGGTTCAAAAGACGTTGCTCGGCTTTCAATGCCTCTTCCTCTTCAGTTCTTGGTCGCATTATAGGGCCCTCCAAATATGAATCTATAGTGGGCAATGTGAGCCTAGTTGCTTCAGACTCTTCATGGACAGTTTGTTGCTTTGCTTCACGCAAACGTTTCTCTTCTCGCTTGGCCTTCAACTCGTCTATTCTTTTGAGTCTCTCAGCTTCTTTCAAGTATGCTTCACGCAAATGCTCACGACGTATTTCATTACGCTTCAACCTCCAAAGCTCATCTGTGGATAATTTCGACTCGTCAATTGGTTCTTTTGGTGCTTGACTATCGATGTTCTGCTTGATCCTTTCCTCAACCGTAATAACCGGTCTTTGAATCGGTTCCCTTTCGAATTTGAATCCTTTTTTTGATGGAAGAGGAACACCATCGGCGTATCCTTGATTTGTGGTATCGCTGGGTGGCTGGGGAATTATAGGGTACCGCCTGAAAACCGGACGCACTTCCGGAAGTATACCGGATTTACCACCGTACTTCAAAGCTCGCTTACCCATGATGTTTAGAGTCGAGTTTGAACTGAAAAATTCAACTCACTCGTGCGACCCTCAACTTGGTCGCTTACGCAACACTTGACTGTCGCTTATGTAACTGCCAGTTCCGTCAAATCACAGTCTCCCCAAACCTCGTAGATACGTTCCAGGACCACCTTGCCGACCTTTTTGTTTCCAATTTCATTTTTGAAGAGGTTGGAGAGCAAAAGCTTTTTTTCTTCAGGAGAAACATTCGACTTTTTGTAATATTCAATGAGGTTGCGCGGGCATTGAAAGTGAGTTTGTATGGTGAGTGCTCTCTCCAAAGATACTCCTCGTATTGCCATTAGCATGAGCAAGAAAAGCTCTCTTACTGATCGCATTCCGCTCTTAGACATGATCTCCTGAAAAGTTGAAAAGATATGGACGCATTCGTAGGGCGAACGCCGGTTCTCGAACTCGGTTCTGAACATAGTTAATAGATTAGCATACTCGCGGTGGGATGATATTTGGTCAGGTTTTAGAACAACAAGCTTTGTATTGCTTGCCTCGAAATGATTCTTTATCGCTTCTGTTGTGGTGACGAAAAAGGACAATGTTTCATCTACCGATTTGAATCTTTTCAAGTAGAAATTGGAGTTAGTCATTGTAGTAGCTATGGCCGTTTTGACTGCATCAGCTCCATCATTGTGCTTGGGGAGGTCGGATATACCTCCTTCCTCGACAAGATAATAATAGTGCTTCATGGCGGCCTGTTTAAGCCGGTTCTTTTGTTCTTGAAAACGCCCATCTCTAATCAGAAAGACCAAATCGTCCAACCGTTTCCGCTCGCAGATGTGGTTTAGAACAACTTCTCGTCCCGTTCGCTTATTCTGAGCAACCCACACGGCATCGCCTACAGACAATGCTCGCGACTCACAGTTGACAGAGAGACTCTTAAGGCGGTTTTGAAAGAATCCACGATCTTCCCTTGAGCGAACTTCTCGGCTGTCTATTATGAGGATGATTTCAAACTCCTCTTTTTCCCAGATGTCGTAACGAACACCATCAAGCTGTTTGTTGGCTGTATCATGGTAAGGTTTAAGCAGTCGAGTTGGAGATGAAGGGCAGATTATTCCTGCGGGAGACAGGGCATTGCGGCTGTTTTCAGGCGATACTCGTACATCGTTATCAAACGAGAAATCGGCCACATTTTGTGTAGGAGAAGAAGTGAGGTTATCTGCCTGCTTTAACTTCTTTGCCAATTCTTCTCCTTCTTCGGTGAGACTATACAAGCGAGGAGCTCTTCCAGAAGAGACCACCAAGTCGTTTGACTCAAGGACCTTGATTGCAGTCCAGGCAGAATAGAATTCATTATTAGCAGGGTTTGATGAAAACGACTTTTCACAGTACGGAGCGGCGAGATCAATTATCTCCTGTTTCCGCAACCCAGCCCGATTTCGGTTCTTGCACCCTATATAGAGCCCAATCAAGATGGCATACCCACCAGATCTTCGTCGAGGTATGTACGCTCTTTTGGCGCGTTTGCGAGAAGAGGGTCCTTCGTCGCTCTTTTGTAGTTCCACTGAATCGTCACTAGGATGAGGAGCAAAATGTTCGGGCACCAGGTACCCATTCTCTTTACAAAACAGTCGGAGTTTATTGGTAAGAAGTGTCACCGTTTTATCCCCCACAAATTGAATCAGACGTAATTGCTTGGGAGTAGTGATATCCAGCGGATAATTTTTCACCTTGTCTAAAGCCTTATTATACAATATTGCAGCCTTCGTTCCCTTCTTCGTAGCGACGATCGCTGTCTCCTCGAGCCATCTGACGAAAAGGGGTTTCAACTCATCAGAATATGGTTCCATAAAGTTGCAAATGATCCACACGTAAACAGCGCGAGGCCGCTCTAAGTTACATGCAGTCATACTCATCGTGCGGGTCGCGATGAATATTTAGAGGATTAACCTCAAACAAGCACCATGTCCACACACAAACAATCCATGCTCCCGCCCATCAATGTGATATTCAAGTTTCTCCAGCAGCAGGTTCCTGTCACCATATGGCTCTATGAACAAACACAGCTGAAAATACAGGGCAGAATACGTGGTTTCGATGAGTTCATGAACATTGTAATCGACGATGCTGTCGAGATACTAAAGGACTCCGAAGTGCCCTTGGGACGTATATTACTCAAGGGAGATAACATAACGTTGATATCGTCCGTAGAGACGTGAGCTTCGACAATTAGAAGTTGATGGTCGATGACTCGATTAAACCACTTTCATAAAAACGTTCATTGTTGAACTACTCTACGTTGAACTCGATGGTAAACTATTCGATACAGACTACTCCATAGTTTTGAAAACTGTCATGTCGATTCATTTGATTGTTCGATGTCAATTCAGTTGACTGTTCGATGTCTTGGAATATCTCGATATCTTCATGACTTTGATATCTTTGATCTATACATCCTTAATCCATACTAATGTACATTATTATCATGGTGAACTGAAAGTCACTCGTTTTTGTGGCAGCGATGCGGGACTCGGCGAAGGAGTTTGTCGAGGTGATGTCTTTTGTGGCAGAATAGAGTTTCTGTCACGGCGTTGTTGGATCCTCAATTCGCGTTCTTCCTGTTGCAACTGCCGCTTGTATCTCGTAAGCTGCTCTTTGCGCTTCCAATGCAGGCGCTCCTTGACTGAGGCACTCTTGCGCTTAACCGAGGGCTCCGGTTCGATTTCCGGGTCTAATGGCCGCTTTCTACAGGATTCATGGTCGGAAGTCGTCCCTTCCTCCAGATGGACCAAACCGCTGAACTCGCTGAATTCGCTACACTTGCCCAAACTTGCAACGGAACCACTATTTTTGTTCTGTTTTATAGCTGTCTCTTCTGCAACTTCTCGAGCTGGATGACTTTCATTATCCTCCATGGACCGTAATAGGACGAACAATCTCTCTTCTGAAACCTGAACCTTAGCTACTTAAATGCTTAGTCCATTAAATTTAATATCATCAGTCTGTTCTCCTCCTCTTCGCTCGTTAATCCCTCCAGGCTTGAACTAGGGTTTGCACCCAAACACCAGATCCTATGAGATCGCACGCGTACTTTATTACCAACGAGTCTTACTATTTGGTCCATTAAATCCGGGATCGTTGAAAGTTGTATCTTTGAAGCAGATCAAAAAGGTGTTTCGAAACCAATCATTAAAATTCACTTTACTCAAGTCACCTCTCATATCAAAGAATTTCATCCACATTTGCCATGAATCAGGGCCATAATTATGCGCCTGAACGCCGTTCTGACTCCCGATTACCGTTCGTACCCACTCCATACACACCAGAAGAACAAAAACGAATTCTGGAAAAGCTAGAAAGAATCTTAGGACCAGAATACGTAAGTTTCCGTCCTGGTGGAAATGGCCAGAAGGTGTCGTATATTGAAGGATGGAAAGCACTTAACCTCGCAAATGAGATATTTGGGTTTAACGGCTGGTGCACCGAGCTTGTTGGATACCAAGTAGATTATCTCGATACAAGCCCAAACGGAAGGATCTCACTTGGAATTTCTGTGGTGGTAAGATTGACACTCAAAGACGGCACATTTCACGAGGATTTTGGTTACGGTTTCATTGATAATGCAAAGAGTAAATCGATGGCATTTGAAAAGTGCAAGAAGGAAGCATTTACAGACGCGATCAAGAGATGTCTACGTTGCTTTGGTAATGTCCTCGGTAATTGCTTATATGACCGCACCATTCTTCCGAAAATTCAAAAGATGCATCTTCCCCCAATAGACCCCACTCCCAGCCAATTTCACCGCGAGCCTGAACTTGTAAAGCGAGAGAAAAAAAAGGAAGATGCAGCTCGTAACAACCTGCGTCCCAATGTGGCTCCACAGACTACTAACAGGGCAGAACCAGCACCAGAGCCCACGGCTGAGCTCAAGCATGAAGTTGACGATTTCGACGATTCGTTCATGTTTTCTGATGACGTGGACCATAATGGAATAGACGAATACGAACTTCAGATGCTTGAGGCACGAGATCAGGTAAAAGAGAGCACCGATACCAGCGCAAACGATAACGAAAAACCACAAGAAATCAATGAACACCATACCACTACAGAACCCACAGAACCCGCAGCCCAAGTGGCCCAGGATATACCTCCATCTGTATTCGTGAGTGCGAGAAAAGTTGACGATATACGGCAATCAAAGAGCGAAGTCACCCTGTACGACACCAAATATGTTTCCCCCAGTATACGTCGAACAGTTGATCCTAACAAGTCTGTGCCTATAAAGAGGACCACAGGCTCAGCGGCACCAGCACCACCAGCACCTAAATCTCCAGCAGCGACCTCTGCGGCCATGCAACCAGTAGAGCCTAATAGTGGGTACGCCGATCCTCCCATTGGAAAACGACAACTTGGTCGACCTCCGTCCCAGCGCATACTGAAGAGACTCAAATCCAGTGGCGAGTCCAGCGATCAAGAAAACAAGGTCCCCACCGAATTTCCATCGTCGTTTAGTAACTGAGTAAATAGTTGCGAAATTTATAATTAGCTGCGGCGCAGCCGCGATCTTCAACTACTTTTCTTTCTAACCGCACAACAGACCCATGTCCGAATCATCGATTCGCAGTCTTATCGATTCATTGGGGCCCTACAATGAGGTTCCTGATCAATACGACCCGCTGGAATCATGGAGTGCCCTCAAATCCGCCAAAATCTTGGTTATCGGCGCCGGCGGGTTGGGGTGTGAGATCTTGAAGAATCTCGCGTTGACTGGTTTTAACAAATACACATCATAGATATGGACACAATTGACGTTTCCAACTTGAATCGACAGTTTTTGTTCCGTGCTTCCGATGTGGGACGTCCTAAGGCTGAAGTTGCAAGTGAATTTGTCAGTGAAAGAATCGATGACCAACTGTTGCAGATCACTGCCCATTGCTGTAAAATACAAGATATGCCACTAGACTTCTACCGAGGTTTCGACGCTGTCGTGTGTGGACTCGATAGTGTGGAAGCTCGTCGATGGATAAATGCTACTTTGGTGTCGTTTTCCTACGAAGAAGACAACACCATTATCCCACTAATAGACGGAGGAACCGAGGGATTTCGTGGACAATCAAGGGTAATTATCCCCTCGTTCACCTCGTGCTATGAATGCACTCTAGACATGATTTCACCGAAAACTACTTATCCTGTTTGCACTATAGCCAACACCCCGAGGCTCCCCGAACATTGCATAGAATGGGCATCGGTGATGCAATGGCCCAAAGCTCATCCTGGAATCAAGTTTGATAGCGATGACCCCGAACATGTGCTTTGGATGTACAATACGGCCAAATTGCGTGCACAGCAGTTCAACATTTCTGGAGTGACTCGCCAGCTAACTTTGGGAGTGGTCAAGAATATCATTCCTGCCATTGCATCAACCAACGCAATCATAGCTGCCTCGTGCTGCAATGAAGCGTTCAAACTCATCACCAACTCAAACCCCATTCTAGACAACTATATGATGTATTCCGGTGACGACTCCATTTTCACATACACTTACCGGCATTCCAAAAAGGCCAATTGCCCAGTATGTGGTGACTCGTATAAAGTGGTACGGGCCCAAAAATGGTGGTCTTTGTCTGACTTCATTGAAGATCTCAAGGAGATGCAAGAAGTGCAAATGAAGAACCCATCGATATCATCAGCATCAAAACCGTTATTTATGGTCAGTCCACCGTCACTCTACGAAGCCACGAAATCTAACCTATCCAAAAATTTAGACACGCTAGTACATCTGGGAACAGAGTTGGTGGTCACCGACCCAAGTCTACCTATCGCACTAAAAATTGTCGTTAAATTCATCTAATACTAAAACTTTTCCATCTCATTCAACACTAGAGCATTGAATGAGCCACTATTGTCTAAATAGAGATGATGTCCACTGTTTTCCACTTCCACCACCTTGCTTCTAACCTCCCCTCGATAATTGTTGATAACGTCAGAACAAAGTTCCCCGCCATACTTGTCCATCCAGTCTTCCTTGCCATACACCCATAAAAGATCACAGTCCAACTTGTGGATTCCCCTGTCTACCAACGGATACCGGGCGTCTGCTCCCGGAGCAAGAAGGTAGTTGAGCATATACTCACCAGAACCGGGACTTTGGAATATGCCGTAGGCATACTTATGAAGAAGCTTGGCTTCAGATCTTGGAAGATTTGCAAAACGCCGGGAAGACCACCCGCTCACAAGCTTTGAACCAAGAGGTCCAGCATTACGAACCAATGAAAAAGGTGAATAGTTTCGTTCCCACAACTTGGCAAAATAGCCAGGAACGGGAACCTGTTTGCGATGCTTAATCACTGCGCCAGGCGAAACCATCAATAGTTTTTTGCAAAAATGAGGATCACGTAGTATGCCATAGGTAGCCATCAAGTAGGCGCCCATAGAATGAGCCATTACCATGGTCCTATTTTTCAAGTGGTGAAGACCTCGTAACTGAAGCCATTCGTCATGAGAATCGTGGAACCAGCCTTCAACGTGTTCTAGGTCCGACTTGGCTAGCTTGAAAGGTGGCCGTGACGAACACCCGTAACCTAGCAAATCCACAGCATGAATACACCAATCTTTCACGGTTGCAAGTTGCGAAAAATTGTTGAGAAAAAATCCCAAACCTCCACCATACCCATGGATCAAAATAAGGTGGTTGAGCGACAGTTCATCTTCAGTAGACTTGCCAGGTGGATATATAACAAACTCATTAATGAAATTTCCCGATTTGAGTTCGGTTGCAATAACTTTGCTGGTTCTTCCACTGGAATCGGCATCGGGATAAAACGGAAGAGTAGCCAACAAGTCATGCTGGAACTTGAGCGGAGTTTTCCGGTACTTGTAATCGGCAAACGACTCCGAAACGGAAAGCGGGAACGCATTAGAAAAAAGCTTGTTTAACGGAACCGAAGTCGGATGGGTGGACCGGCGGTATTTTGAAGAAATCAGCCGCGGAGCCGCTGAAACCGCTTTGGTACGTTTATGCGTTAATGGAGTACAGCGTCGGCGAAGAAACTTTGAAGGAGAGACAGCAGAATACAGATGAAAAAATTTCGTTGTATGGGCCATGAATCACTATGTGTAACTCAAAATGAAAATGACGTAGATTGCTTACGTCAGCGACCCGCTGGCGCCGCGCGCAAATGGCTGCAAGTGAGACATAAACCTGACTTCAGATTGATAATTGATCATTTATGACTCTGAAGCTAATTCGTAATATGAAGCAATAATTAAAGTAAGTTAAAGTCTAAAGACTGTTACAGTAAGGAATTTATTTACACTTGTTGTTTTATGATTGATATCAATTTACAATCTACTTGAAGCTACGATGTTTAGGTTCTTGATTTTAGAGTCTTCAGAACTTTAATATCGGTTTATTTCAAATCATTGTTTCGATATAGATGTCTTTGATCTTATCGTCATTTACTGTACTTTTCTATACCAAAGACAACACTTTGTTGCCTCCATTTTCAAGTTTAACTCTGAGAATGGCTCCTGGTTTTTGTCTGGTGTCAACTCCGTTATTCCAGGCTGCCTGGTAATAAAGCTGGTTAATGTTGATATACAAATAACCATCGAATCCGATACAGATGGTGTCGGGCCACAAGATACGAGGGTCTCTCACAAATGGCTCAGCAGCAAGACTGGTGGAGTTATAAACATAAATGGCGTTATGTTCTGGCATTGGCATGTAAATCAAATCATTGGTATCGCCTTCAAAGCCATTGGCCATTCCACCTCTTTGACCAAGATTGTTGACGTGGTTCTGCGCTCTTTGGTTGGCTAATGGATCCTTCTTGGAGTTGGCTCTCAAGTACTTGGCAGGAATACTGTACAAGTAGCTACTGGTCATTGGCGAGTAGAACAAGGTTTCACCATCCACACTGAGCTGAATACCATCGATACCTTCGACTTGGAACCCTCTTGGTTGATGCTCAAAGTGCATGTAGAATGGCTTACCTTCGTAACTAGGAACGTTTTCTGGAACACGAAGTACAGAAGGGTGCTGATCAAGATGACGCCACGACTCTCCGGTACCCAAATCCAACATGATAATTCCGTTTCTTCCTTGGTCAGAAGAGTCCACCAAGTAAGCAATACCTTGACCACTTTCAGTGACATTCGCACGCTGGTCGATTCTGACATCGTTCAAGTATGAGTCGGGATAATGCACATCCAGCGGGAAGGTATATGTGCGTTTGACAGTATTGTTGTTAATATCAAAAGCCATCAACTTGGGACCACCAGGCAACGCCAAAGCCGAAGTACCGTTGATAGTTGGACGTCCAGTGTCCAAGACCCAAAGGGTGTTATCTGGGGTGAAAATAAGTGCCTGAACACTGATGAAAGCAGTATCGTCCGTACTACCAAAGAGGGTTTCATCAACAACTTGAGAAAGTCCTTGTCTTGGCAGGTTCATTTCCTGGTTGGGCCATGGTTTCTCGGCAGTCTTGTTCACCACCTCACCGACAGTGTAGGTCAAATTTCCACGAGAGTAACAGACAAATGTTCTTCCTTCCTTTGAAACAGCCAATCCAATGGGCCATTGGTCATAATAGTAGTGAAACTCTTCCACTTCTGGTCCATAGACTCCAGTGTCATGTCTCAAAATAGAGCTGCTATTACCCCACGATGGAGCGGTTGCATGAGTTGGAGTGGAAGCAACCAAAAAGGTTGCTAGGGAGATCACTTGTATCAAAAAAGAAGATAACATTTCCAGATACAATGGTTGCAAAAGGCCATATTCCTCATACTTATAAGTCGAGCAATTCGGGTAGCAACGGACGAAGAAAGTAAGGGCACGCGGTACAAATTGAAATTGGTTCTACCTGTTTCCTAAACCGGGTGAAGATCCCCCACTTTCGGTCGGACCCTTGCTTCACTCAGCCTCATCCATGACGTGAGACTGCTTAAATGATGCAGATGGGATAAACCCGCGGAGCAACAACCAATTATACTTTCGCCAATAATGGAACCGCAAAACGACAGCTTCGAACCATAGAAACGGCAATATTACTACTTAACGATGTACCATCTATCTTGCAAATTCCCCCGCTTTCATGACCCTCATAGCAACATCGCAACAGCAAATATTACCTCGGTCTGTTAAGCCGCAGAAGCTAAGCGAACGTCCCTGCAGCAATTGCAGCCGGACCGAAACGGCGCGAATGCGATAAGGTTTCATTTCAAGCTTGGCACCGTTGGGGCTATGTTATGCATGCTTTTTTTAGTCAAACGGTTGTAATTAAAGACACAAAAGTGGCTCATTATTATTGTTTGGCATACAACGAAATTTGAGAGAGGAGAATTACATTGTTACTGCAATTGATTTGTATTTCTTGGCACTTTTAATGGAGGTTATTGTTACCGAATGTCGGCAAATACCCAACTTGCCGACCGAGGCAGCCGAGATGAGTATGCTAAGCAATGACATAAGAGTGGCTTGAGTTTCGTACTGGCAACCGAACTGCAGCCCGTTGCAAGAGCCAAGTACTAATTTCGCAGAAGCTACCTCAATGGCATTCATTTGCAATCAGATGTGATTTGAACAAAATACAAAGGTAGGTGTTAGCTTTGGGATGTCATGTGCAAACCACGGCTAATTTGCAGCCGTTCAATTACAGTAACAAAAACTTGTGAAGGTTTCCTGGTCCAGCGGGTATGATACGGGGGCAAAGCTCGGCCAACTAGAGAACAGCCAAAAACTCATATTGACGAATTTTTGTCTGTCTGATTGATGGTAGCGTCGTGACCGCTGGACATACTTAAGGAATTATCTTCACATCCCAAGAAAATTAAACCAATAACATCAATCTTGAGTGAGGTAAAGCATCCCATCAATGTTGTAAGCGCTAATAATGCTAATCCAGTGCTTTACACTGACCCGCAAGAGTGAATTCCCCATGAGTTGCTGCTTGTTCATGAAGCAAAGTCAAACGAGAAGATAGTGATTTCCGTTTCAAAGGGGTGTTTCAATTTTTCGTTTTTTTTTCGGGCGACCACTTTACTAGGTAGCGTCTACTTGAGCCGACAAGAACTCCTCAAAACTCGAACACTCATAGCGCTACTTTGGTTTGTAGTTTCAACTATGGATTGCGATGGTCTCATATGCTTATACTTACATGAGCCCGCTTTGAGATATTTATGGGCTTGCCAAATATGAGACCGTATGCTTTAACGAATCGTCCAAAAATCCTTCTAATTAGAAGTGGGCCTGTGCTTTCGATAGGGTGGGCTTTTTCGTAAGCCTCTTTCATGTCAAACTTGAATTCAAGAAGATTCAAAAAGAGGTAATTGAAGCAATTGTGCGGCTAGCGCGGCTTATTCGTGAGCCTAGCTGTCACTATCGTGCAGGCTGGATCATTATTCCCCACCGGATTTGGAGACTTTTGAGAGGATATAATTACTGCGCTTCTTACTTGGAAACCCATTTACTTCAATGATCAGATTGAAATACCGTAAAGCTCTCAAGTTGTGACACGTAATTCAATGCACGCTTCTGTGCTAAACCACGAGTCGCTGCCTCATAGGTGCAAATCACTACCAAAACGGAAATGAAATATGGGATGATTCACCTACTGCATGTGCCATTTTTTAAAAGGCGACCTTTATGACAATAAAATTCACCACGCAAATCTGATTGGTTTATCCAGAATGGCAAGCAATGATCGAAACACAACTAAGAAGCCACCTTCGAAATCACTAAACACTAACAACCCTTCTCTTTTAGTGATATCTGATTGATCAGACGACAGGCGCCCATCAAATTTTGGAGTTTTCATGCATACTCATGCATGTTCATGCAGGGACTGCACATAACTTTAGTGACTCGCGCAAGTTTGTGGGCGCTGATTGGTGCAAACGCGCACAGACCCGACAACCGGCCCGGTTATCTGATCAATCTAACAAATGAAGGCATTTTGTACGGCATATAGTGCGATTCCGGCATGAGACATGCGGCGCTAGTACATAATTAAATGCCGCATTGGTCAATTCGTATGTCCAGGTGAAAAATTAAGCCGCTTAAGCGCCGATGCCATTTTATATAAATTCGCTGGGTGAGCATATTTTTTTTCTTCTTTAGCTGATTCTATTTGTACAATTTTGGAGAGCAGATTACTGGTTTAGCATCGCTATCTCGGTATCTGAAGGCACACACACAAGAAGGTTTACCCTACTAATAAGCTAGTGAATTTTTTCACTGGTCTCACCAACCACACGTTAGCTTTTTTAACGAGCTACAAGACTGTTAATTTCCCATATTTATTGAACCCTGCAAAATGAGAGCAGCGTTATGCCTCATGTGGGCTTTGACGTATTTGGTTACGTCAGCCCACGCCAAGACCCATACCTGGTGGTATGAATCTACCGAGGTTAAAGCGAATCCCGATGGTACCTATGAGCGTATTGTTCATGGTTTCAACAACACTTGGCCATTGCCCACTTTGAGAGTGAAGAAGGGTGACACTGTGAATTTTTATTTGATCAATGGTTTCGATGACAGAAACACCTCTTTGCATTTCCATGGTCTTTTCCAGCACGGAAGTAACCAGATGGATGGACCTCAATTTGTGACCCAATGTCCAATTCCTCCAGGTGAGACTATGTTGTACAACTTTACCGTTCCAGACCAGGTTGGTACCTACTGGTATCATTCGCATACTGGTGGACAATATATGGACGGTATGAGAGGTACATTTATCATTGAAGACGATGAGGAACCACCTTTCGAATATGATGAAGAAGTTGTGTTGGAACTATCCGAGTGGTACCACGAGCTGGTTGATGAAATGCTTCCTAACTTTTTGAACAGATACAATCCTACTGGTGCTGAACCAATTCCTCAGAATCTCTTGTTTAACAACACGAGAAATAATACCTGGAATGTCGAACCAGACAAGACATACTTTCTCAGAATTATTAATGTTGGAGGGTTTGTCTCGCAATACGTTTGGATGGAAGACCATGAATTCACCGTGGTTGAAGTCGACGGTATCTACGTCCAGCCCAATACCACTGACATGTTGTACATCACTGTGGCACAACGTTATGGTGTGTTAGTCAAGACCAAGAAGTCGACAGACAAAAACTATGCGTTCATGACCAAATTCGATGATACCATGTTGGATGTGATTCCAAAGGATTTGTTGTTGAACTCCACCAATTACATTGTGTACAACGACTCGCTCGGTGTCAAAGATGTCAAGGAAAATTACGTTGACGCATTGGACCCAATGGATGATTTCTACTTGAGACCGCTCAACAACGAAACCTTGTTTGATGACGCTGATGTCACCATTACCGTTGACGTTGACATGATCAATTTAGGCAATGGTGTCAACTATGCTTTCTTCAACAATCTTACCTATACCACTCCAAAGGTGCCCACTATTATCACCGCCATGACTGCAGGAAAAGACGCCAGTAACCCGTTGGTTTACGGAACAAACGTCAATTCGTTTGTGGTTGAAAAAGATGAGGTAGTTGACATTGTGGTTAACAATATTGATACTGGTAAGCATCCATTCCATTTGCATGGGCATGTCTTCCAATTGATTGAAAGATATAAGGAGGTTCCTGACGATCAGGATCCAGTTGCTTACGATCCTTCAAACCATGCTGACTTCCCCGAGTATCCTATGAGCAGAGACACCGTTTACGTCAATCCTCAATCTTATATTGTTATCAGATTTAAGGCTGACAACCCCGGTGTGTGGTTCTTCCATTGTCACATTGAATGGCATTTGGAGCAAGGATTGGCTCTTGTGTTGATTGAGGCGCCTACAGAAATGCAAAATGACCCTAATCAGGCTTTCACTGATGACTTTAAGAGAACTTGTACCAAGAATGGAATTCCTCTCGAAGGTAATGCTGCTGCAAACTCCAAAGATTACTTGGATTTAACTGGTGAAAATGTCCAGCATGGTCCATTGCCTGCTGGCTTCACTGCCAGGGGTATTGTGGCTTTGGTGTTCTCGTGTATCGCTGCTGTGTTGGGATTGATTGCGATCACCATTTACGGTTTATCGGATATTAACAACATTGAGGAGAGAGTTGCCAGGGACTTGGATGTTGATATCGTCCCAGAAGATGACGCTATTGAAGGCTCCTCCTCAGAAATAATTGAAACTTCAAAGTGAGTGCAAAAGCTGGTTTTTTCCCGGCATTGAATTCGAACCCTTGGATGATAGCGTATGAAAAAAAGTGTGTGTGTGAAATCTATTATCCTTGGTGGCTGTGAAAGTTCGAATCAGTGTCTAAAACCAGTGCTCCAGATTTATAAAAGAACGGCTCGGCTCTAGTTTGTTTTATTGTTTAAATGTATTACCCGTACATAACTACTGTAGGTTCACTGATCGTTGTCGCTGTCGATTGATACATTGTTCCTGTATATTGCACCCTAAATCTCAAAGTCAATTCCTGCATGATTTCTAGAACTGCCCGTTGATGATAGAGTCGGTGTTTATCACGGACAGGGCCGGCAAGCTCGTATTCCAGTATCTCCAGCTGCCTGCTTCGCAGAGCTTTCTGAGCTTGGCCAATATAATAGGTCAGAATCAGGATTCGGAGCCCATCGGAAGTCTGGAATCATCGATATTGGAGCTCAACAGTGATTACAACTGTTGTTCAAAATGGAATAGCAGCACGTGTATTCGCCTCATATGCTCCAAGCGACCAGTATACAACCCGGCTATTCCATTCGAACTTCTAGACCGCATGTTCGAGGCGTTTGAAAGCTATTTGGGCTCGCCGTTAACGTCGACGAAAATCGAGGCAAGCACCGATTTGGTGACGGTAATAACAAACGAGATGATCGAAAGCACTATCCCAGTTCAGACAGATATCAATATGCTACAGACGGTGGCAAGCTTGGAGAGTCTTTTTTCCAAGATATTGTCGATTGGTAGCAGTTTGGCCAATGCGGCCATGCCATCGAAACCGACTCGAGGACCAATTAAGTCTGTGATTTCGGCACCAGAATCTCCAGCAAATGAGGCCACGATTCCCTGGCGCAGGCCCAATGTTCGTCATACAAATAACCTGATGTACGTTGATGTTGACGAGAAAATCAATGTGATTCTCAAGGCAGTTCCACGAAAAGGCCGCAAGCTAGCGTCGCTGGCCAAGAGATTTGATTCTGCATTCTACTCAGCTACCCAGCTCGAGACCCTGAATATCTCGTTGGTTCCTGTTTCCGGCACAATTAGCGGCCTGTTACATTTCAATAGCCAGTTATCAGGCATTCCTCATATCCAATTATACCTCAGAGGAGCTCGAGACTTAGTTGACCTTCCCCAGTTTCACCGTTGCATCAAGTTGGACACCTGGGCCAGCTCCCCAGGCACGCTTTCTTTCATACCTCCAGATGGGCGCTCAACTCTTATGGACTATACAATAGACTTGGGAGACCATCCAGGCAATCTTGGCTTTATCAATATTGATTTTCAGCAGGGTTTAGGAACATATGAGGACGAATTTGAAATCAAACTCTACTGCCACGAAGTTAAGGCGGTGGAAAACTTGATAGTGGAAGTGATTAGAGACGGACAAGATAATCGTGGATTCAGCTCCCATAGAATTACCCACGGAGACTTTTCCAACAAGAATGACAACACCGGTGTGTGGAACATAAGAAGTCTCAATGCTGGTGTTCCATGCATATTCAGAGGCTCTATTGGTAAGCGTAATCCCGATGAGGATAATGAAGAAACCAAGTCTGAAAAACCACCCACGTTTCCCGTATACTTGAAACTTTCTTACACTGCCAAGGGTGCGGTTCCCAGTGGACTCAAGGTTGAATCACTCAAAATAGTCAGTTCAAAGGGATTGAGCGATAGTGTCAAACCATACAAAGGTGTCAAGTATATTACCAGTACAGGTGACTATATCGTACGAACTCATCGCTGACTCGTTTACAACATATGACGGCGTTGCGGGCTGATACCTCGTCGCATTTCAAGTCGGACAGCTTGCTGTCTCTCTCCTTCTGTTAATACTTATATTACAATACACAATTCAGTTAGTTTTCTTACTTTTGGCTTTCTTCGATTTTTTGACAAGAACACTGCCGATGAACGTTCCCACAGCGGTTCCAGCCAACACTAAAAGAATCAATGGCAATTTAATGGCAAAATCTCTGGGCAAAAAGAAACTTTGTAACACGTTAGATTCATCCACGAAAGGAAGAACAAATACCCAAATGGTGTAGTATGCAAATACTGCTGTTGCCACTGCAAGCATAGCCAAACCAACCAACTTGTCAAAAATTTGCTGCATTAATATATGAGGGTAAGCTTATGTTTGGTATCGATACTTACCATCTTTGATTTCTCCGCTGGCAGGATTCGTGTTGTTTGTTCGATTATGTAAGCGCTCGTAGAGGCTGGGGTAGACTTTTGAAGATCAGGAAAGTTAAAGAACAGCTCAAATAACTTTTACAAATAATCAGCATATACTTCTGATTATTGTTGTTTGCATACTAGACTCATAGGTCATATTCTGCACACGACTGACCTTAGTTGTAATAGCAGAATTTAGGTGGGAATGTTTTCCAAGTTAAAGTCCAAGAAGGCACCATTATCTTTAAATTCGGTGTCCAATGCACTCAAAAACGCTGGATCCGAGAGCTTGACCAGCCCCAACATTCCAAAGAAAGACCTAGACTTGTATGTTTCATCTCAGCTAGGTCTCTCGCGCCATGCTGTGGTTGCAATGGCATATGATCCAGTCCAGTCGTTACTTGCAATTTCTACAAAAGGTGGCGAAATTAGAGTGTTTGGCCAGCACTCGGTTGAGGTTGTTTTCGAGTTCAAATTGGGAACAACTTTTACGGATTTGCGGTTTGTAAAGGGTGTATATTTGGTGGGTATTCTGCCTACCAACGGAGTGACGGTGTTGTCTCTTCACCTGAAAACTGTATTGCTGTCATATCTGCCACCTGGGGGCGTAGTGGCGACTGCTCTGGATCCTTCGTTGGACTGGCTTATTTTGGGGCTTGCCAATGGTCTGATAATAGTGTATGATGTGGACAGACTTAATCTTACACCATTTAGAGTGGATAATCTTCAGAAGAAAGTCCTCCCCAAACAAAAAATGTCGCCCGTTCTCCACGTTGAATGGCATCCTAGAGATATTGGCACCATCTTGGTTGCATACTCACATTGCGCTGTCATCTACTCGTTGACGATGGGAGAAATTAAGACGGTATTCATCTATCAGCTAAGCAAAGGAGCTCGTGGATTTGAAAACTCGTTGTTTATTGATAACGGTGGAAAGAAGAAAATGTTCAGCTCCAAAGAAGTTATACCGGAATTGGTCGAAGCTCACTTCCATCCGAATGGTTTACATGTGGTTACTGTACACAAGGATAACACGCTAGTGTTTTGGGATGCCAATGACGGCACTCTACTCGAGGCAAGATCTTTGTTTGAGACCAATTTACATCTTTCTGGTCCTCCAATTCCACCAGCAGCTCCTGCTCCGCCAATTACAAGTACTCGCTGGACATGTTCAAGCGACCCTGAAGTTACGCAATTGGTTATTTGTGGCGGAGACCCAAACCTGAATAACGTGATTCATGTCCTTGAATTTGGCTTCACCCTAAAATATTCCATGACATCTCACGAAAAACAGGGTAAATTTTACGCTCAACCTGCAACTGGACAAAGAATTTTACCTGTGGCTTTAAATTCCTCCAGCGAAACGCTTGTCAACATAATCCCATTACCAGCTGATAACTTGCCCTACTTTAATGGTAATCATAACCCGCAATACTTGATCGTCCAATCTGATGTAGGGTCATTTTACATCATAGATTTCGAGTCACAAGGCAAGCTTGACATGACTGCCCTCATTTTACCTCCATCTTTGGCCTCCGCTCATCCTCCTGTCGTGTGTGCAAACGTCGAAGTTATTAGGAGAATTGACTGGTACAGTATAGTGTCTTCTCGTGCATCTTCTGGAGCCTCTGGCAAACAAAGATTGTTGCTTAAAGGTGGTGCCCCTGCTAGCACTAACTTAGTTCCCAGAGCACTAGGATTTGATGATGAGTCTCGCACAGTATCAATCACTGGACATGAGGGTGGTCTCGTTCGATTTTTGGACGTTTCTCGTGGTGAACATTCTCACCAGGAAAGTATAGTCCAGGTTAGTTTGCGTGAAACACTTTACGATGATGGCTCATCCAAATCTATGAGGATAGTTGCGGTTTCGTGTGCGTTTGAGAGCAAGGAATTACTCATAGGTATGGGAAATGGAGATGTGGTTATTTGCAACTATGGGAAAATCAACATCAATCCAAGAGCAAGCCAATTAGGAATAAGAGATTACAAGGACACTCCAGTTCAGCACCAAAACGGATCAGCGAAAATCCTCAATATCAGGGATCGCATTCTGGGCTCTTTTGCTCTTTCTACAACATTCTTACCCTCGTTTCTCTTACAAGTTGAGGGTACTGAAGAAATATCGTGCATCAAAATGAGTAATGCTGGTTTTGCAGCTATAGCGTACAAGTCAGGAAGATTGGTTGTGTGCGACGTAACTAGGGGCCCAGCCGTGATATTCAATGCCGACACAGTTCAACAGTTTTTGAGTCTTTCTCGTGGTCACTGTTATGCAACGAGCTTGGAGTTCGCAATCATGGAGTATGGTCAAGATGGTTACTCTTCAGTTCTTTTGTTGGTAGGCACCAATGCTGGAGGAAACTTGATTTATTTCAAGATTCTTCCCCAGTCAAATGGAGGATTTGAGGTTGTGTTTGCCGATAAGACAATTGGTCTCAACTACAGATCACTAGGCGATAAAAACGACGAAGAATCATCGAAAATTGATCAGATCATTCCAATTAGTGCGGTGAAAGGTACTTCTGCCGTTGCTTCATTGGAAATGTTCCAAAGATTGAGTCATGGAATAGTTATTCCTGGACTTATAATTACTACTTCTGACCGAGACATTAGAGTTCTCAGGCCCCCAAAACAAAAATTGTCACACAAGGTGATCGAAGACCATTGCTTGAGCTGTGGCATAATACAAACCAAGAGTCAAGGTATCTTGTTGGCTACGTTGGTCAAGTCGGGTTTCATAAAATTCTCATCGTTGCCAGCCTTGGGAGATGTGGCTGACCTCAAGATTCCGAAAGGAGTGTTTGACTCGATGACCAAAGCATTTGAATCAGGAAAAGCTTCCGGTTCTGTACTCTTACGCACGGGATTGATGTGTATCAAAAAGGGCACTGGAGAATTCATCAATATTTGTGCCTATCTGCATCTGGAAAACAACAAGCGCAATGCAAAAGAGCATCCAACCGATCTTCTATTTAACGAAAATGCTATCATTCCACCGCGGCCAGCCGCTTCCGCTTTACAATGGGCTAAAGGTCAAACTCGTTATATTAGCACCGAGGATTTAGCCCATTTAATAGCTGGGCCCAACCGGAAACCACCCAAGCATGCTGAGAGTCAGTTGGCTTACAATATCAGCCCAGAAGCAAATCCCAACCAGTCTTATGGTGGGTATGGTAACACGAGCAAAGAATCAGATCGTGGGTATGCTGCCCCAGTGCGGAAGGGCCAAAAAGGCGCCGGTTATGGTCTCAACTCTCTGGGATGGATCAGGGGCTTTCAGGATGGACTTGATAGCGTCGAGGAAACTGTCAATGGTTACGCTAATGCTATGAGTGAGTCCATGAGTGAGTCTATTGAAGGGACGAAAAAGTCGGTGTATGAGAGTGCCTTGAAGAGCAGAATTGGTTTGTGAAATTGTTATATGCTTCGAAGCACCTATATACATGTTAGCCAGCTAGATCGCATCTTTTCCGTCCATGTATTCTTGGAGCACCGGTGGGATTTTTATCGTATTTGTAGCCTCGTCGTAGAATTGCTCAATTATTGCAACTATCACCCGAGGCACTGCCATACACGTTCCATTCAATGTGTGGACAAATTGCAACTTGTTATCTGAATTTCTGTACCGAATACCAAGTCTTCGAGCTTGATAATCTCCACAGTTGGAGCTACTAGTCAACTCACCCCAATTACCTCGCCCCGGCATCCATGCTTCACAGTCGTATTTCATAAGTGCGGGAGCTCCAAGGTCATCTGCTGGCATTTTGATCATCTTAGACATTAAGCCAAGCTCTTCAATTATTTCAGTTTGAAGTTGACGTAAATCCTCAAGTTCTTGTTTGGCATATTCCGGCGTTGTAAAATGAAAAAGTTCAACCTTGGTGAATTCGTGAACCCTATATAAACCCTTGGTATCTTTGCCTCTGGCTCCAGCTTCGGCTCGGTAAGCCCTAGATACACCAACGTATTTAATAGGAAACTTTTGTCCATTTTCGAAATCTGTTCCAGAATGAATTGCACCTAAAGGAATTTCGGCAGTTCCCGTTAGGGATAAGTTGCCTCCTTCAATCCCATAAATCTGCTTCTCGTTATTCTGGTCGTTTGGTTTGAATCCACAGGCGTGGACAAATTCGTTCTTCACAATTGACGGTGGTGTGACCATTCTATACCCGTACTGACGGGCCTTCTTCAATCCATACTGAACAAGCGCTTGCTCCAAAAGCGCCCCATCTCCTATAAGGTAGTACCAAGATGATCCTGACACTTTGGCTGCGCTTTGAAAATCCACTATAGAAAGGTTTTCAGCTATCTCACGATGATCGAATGTGGTTGCCGGTTTTATGGAAACAGCGTCTTTTTCTGATTCACAATTAATGAATTGGACAATCTCGGCTTCACTTTCAGCAATTGTAGGATCTATCAAGTTTGGAAGTCCCTCAGCCTTGTCGAGAATCTCACTTGACAACTCTTTATGTTGCTCTTCAAGATATTTGAGTTGCAGCTTCAATTCAATCAAGCTCTCTTTAATCTGAGGACTTTTCTCCTTTTTCATCGCTTCTCCCATAATACTTCTCTCGTGCCTCAACGAATCGATCTGTTTTGCAAGTTCAACTTCATGATTTCTTCTCTCCACTATATCTTCCAAGTTTTGAACGTAGCTTTGTGGTAACTTACGTTTATTGATAGAGTCTCGATACTCATCTTTTCTTGCAATTATTGACTTTATGTCAAGCACAGGTCGCTTGAGAGACGACAGACATCGACAAAAGATGAGCCGTGGTGCTCGTCTTGTCAAGAGAGTCATAACCGTATTTTCGCTAGTTGCAAAATTCGCGGGTTGCATTCCTGCAATTTGCGAAGATTCGACCAAATGATAAAATAATTCATTTTTATTCTAGTTCTATGTTTATACAAGGTAAGACATTCTACCAGTGTCATTATTCATAATCATGCAAACAAAACCTTCCATACCTTTCTTGGGAAGGAATATTTTTGGAATCTTTCGGACTCTTCTTGTTTCTGAAGGTTCAACAATTCTTGGTCGAAAATAGTTCTATCAGCATTGATGTCAATGTCTTCAGTTTTGATATAGAGCCTCCATTTACGGGTATAAAGCTTGTGTCCAACGTAAAATAAAATGAAGACACAGGCACCCAAATAGTTTTGGAAAAAGTTTTCGGCATCTGGTTTTGGTGCACCAATTGGATACAAGGCAATCCAGAATTGAGCAACCAAGATCAACATGAGAATAACCGTTGCGTACACCGAGCCAATGACACCGGTGCTGGCCTTGTATCCCAAAGCGTCCGTGGAAATGCCATTGTATTTGAGAGCGTAACGGAAACGAATATGGGAAACACAGATGGCAGTCCAGGTGAACACTTGAGACAAACCAGAGATTGCAAGTAACCAATTGAAGACTGTCTCCTGCTTCTTGTAAGCAGCAATGAAGGAAAAGAGTCCAAAAAAGGTACAGATGCACAATGCTCTGAAGGGACGTCCTTCTCTATCAATATAGTTGAAGTAACTTGGAGCAAACCCCTGTTCTGAAAGCGATTGTAAGGTTCTTGAAGACGAGTACAATGCTGAAGATGCCACGGAAACAACCGAAAAGAGAATAACAGCGTTGATGATGTGGGGAACAACGTGAACTCCATGCAAAGCAGCAGCAAGAACAAATGGAGATGCATGGGATCCACCACCCTGAGAACCCATCAATTGGTCTGAATTGTAAGGCACCAAAAGACCAACCATTGTCAAGGAACCCAAGAACAAAATTAACACTCTCCAGAAGATTAACTTACAAGCGGCAGGAATTGCAACTCTTGGGTTTGGTTGTTCAGCGGCAGACAAAGCCACAAACTCCGATTGACCCAAGGAAAAAGCACCGGTAACAAACACAGAGCACAACCCTTTAAAGTTGGTGTAGTAACCGGGATCATGCCAAAACTTTCCTCCGATATACTTCTTCTGAGGACCACCACCAACATCCACCACGATGGCCATGATAATGAACCCAGTAATCATACACAACTTGAGACATCCAAAGACAAACTCTCCTTCACCATAACCTTTGGCGCCCACAAAGTTGATAAAGACAATAAGGACAAAGAAAATAGCGACCCAAACGTCAGAGTTGATCGATGTATTCCAGTACTTGATGGTAATAGAAGCCGTTACCAATTCAAGGGCAATCACGGAAAGCCACTGGATACAGTAATTCCAAGTTACAGCAAATGCAATCGACTCATCGATGAATTTTCTTGGATAATTATTGTAACCTCCAGAAAGTTCGGAATAATTCACAGCCATTTCTCCGGCGGCTTGTAAAGTTGGATATAAGAACGAACCAACAATAGCATAACCCACAACCAAAAACAAAGGACCAGCATTATGAAGAGACTTACCTGACCCAACAAGCAAACCAGTACCGACACCGGTAACAAGTGCCATGAGGGTCAAGTGTCTTCTGCTAATACCCTTTGCAAGTTGCTTACCTTCTGCTTCCCCTGATTGTTTTCTCTTAAAAGAGTCAACAAATCGGGTCCATTTTGACTCGGTTTTCGGTTTGCTGTAAAGCGAGTCAGAGCTATAGTCTGGAGAGATTTCTCCAGTAATATCACCCAGAGGTGTTTTTATCTCACTGGTAACAGGTTCAAGTGGTCCTGACTTTGACATAACAAGTGAAAATATATACCAGGATGTGCCAGTGCTTATAAAGATGCCTGAGCGTTAGTAATTCTTTCCCCACCAATCCTGAACAGCCTGACTTTATCGCAAGGCATTTTTCCGCATAAACGGCATTTCAGAGCCTGCTGCACGAAAACTTTGCAGCCGCAACCTCTGCGGGCTGAAAAAGGAAATTATAAGGCGCGACTAGACGGCGAAGGAAATCCTAAAGAAGGTCCAAGGTGCCAAATTGTTTGGTTGTATCCTTTAGGTAGTGTTCCCCGAATACATGATTTTCCAATGCACTCACCACACCGATAGCCGGAACTTTTTTCCGGGGCTATCTTTTTGCCATTCGGGTAACGTGACGTATGTACGGCGTTTTGACAGGATTCCGCGCATAATTTTCGCAGCAAAAGAAATTAAGGCACATTGGATCTCCGGGATTGGCTATGGTTCGATGTTTTTGTAGATGCACCCGATGTGGGGTATTCCATACGCAATCTAGAGTTTGGGTTTGACCCGGACCAAGTGCCGTATAACTCCTCGTTACAGGGTTTACAATTCTGCAAATTCCCGGTACCGGACCGCAACCGGCGCATAATGCGGCATTGTGATAATAAGCCATCAGTTATCAATTACTCCGAGATATTATCCTATTTACAAGTCTTTGGTTTCTCCTCCTATGATTCTCATCGCTTTCTCGTCGCCCTTGGATAACTCCTGGTTTGAAAGCGCATCGGCAAGACAGTGCCATGGGTCTCTAGTTCCACCCCACTTGAGAATTGCTTCTTTATAAGTTGTTCCTGCTTCTCTACTCCAAGGATCGTTTTGGAAAAGGGACTTCCAGATTTTCTCTGCAATTGCTCTATCAAACAAGTAAGAAAAGTAAACTGCGCCGTAGGAAAACAAGTGGGGGAATTTACCATGCCAAGTGGACCATTGATCTGAGAACACCTTCAATTCTTTTTCAAGTGAGTGATACATGGTGGTAGAATCAATATCATCACGAGCCATTTCCAATTGCTTAACAATACTCTTCCCGTGTAAAACCTGATCTAACATTGCCATTTTCGATTGCATGTAAGTCTCGCTATTCTCCAACACGTTTCTATAATGTTGGTGCTTGGCAAGAATATCATGTGGTAATAATTCGTTAGTACTGTAGTGACGAGCAATGCGGCCAAGCACACGCGGATCTTTGCTGAAAGACTCCATCAATACTGAAGGAAGCTCAACGAAGTCTGTCAGACATCGAGTTCCTGACAAATTTTGAAGTTTTGTTCGTCCAATCATCGAATGCATTGCATGTCCCATTTCATGAAATATTGTGTCAACTTGATCCAATGTTAATAATGTTGGCTTTGAGGTTTCCAAGCCTGCAAATCTGCCTATAAATGAGTTTCCTTGGTGGAAATTGCAAACCAATGAGATAACTGGTAATTGGTGACTTTCTGTTTCATCCAACTGCACTAACGGTTTCATGACTTCGACCTTTTCCCCAAGATCTTTATTAAGTTGACGCAGGCACACAATGGTAAAATGAGATGGTAGAACGTTAGGCAGCCAGAAATCAAGGTATAAGAATCCCAAAGTCGATTGTGTCTCATTATCAAATACCTTGATTTTACGCACTTGGGATGCCCATGTCTCGCCAGAAGCCGATGGTTCAGGCAAAAGCTCTATGCTGTAGATGCTATGGAAGAGCTGAGACAATCCGCTCATAATAGTTCCTACCGAAAGATACTCAGAAATATTATCGTCGAGTTGAGTCTCTTTCTTCTCTTCCTGTAGTTTGTGTAATAAATAATCCCGATCCCAAGGTTGGATTGCGTGAATGATGTCGCTTTTAGAAGCACCTGGTTTCCAGTGGTTGCTCATGGCGTACAACGACTCGAGCTCTGAGATCAATCCACTGTTTTCACCATCCACCATTTTTCTTTGCAAGTTTTCTAAAAACGTCAAAACGTTCTCAGGATTCTTTGCCATTTTGTGCTCTAGTTGATAATGTGCAAAAGATTCATACCCTAGCATTTTTGAGAGGGTGGCTCTATACTTTAAAAACAAATTCAAGGTCGAGATTTGTTCTTCAGAGGCATTATGCAACGCAATCCACACCTTTCGCCTTACCGATTCCATGGAACATCGCTGAAGAATCGAGTACGGAAGGGAACCGGCAAGAGGAATGTAAACCGAGTTGCGAGACAGTCTTGGTGATTTTTGTTGAAACCGGCGTATTTCACGTTTAAGGTCAGCATTGTCAATAGCTTCGTATTCTTGTTGGGAGATTTCACACCAATAGTCTTTTAGTTCGTGTATGCCATTATTGAAGTGAGAACCCAACACAGATATTTCTTGGGTCAAAGCCACAAAGTTCTCTCTTGTGTGTGGCTCCATATAAATACCTGAACGTTCAAAATCTTGCTTCAAGTATTCACCCACCATGATTTCCTCGCTGCTGAGTTTACTCGTGATAGACTTATCGGCGAGAATGTTCCCTAAAATCGTATGAAGCTGAACATTCGTGTTAAGTTGGTTCATGTACTCAAACATCAATTCATGGGTTTGCTGCGCAGCATGTGTCCATTTCAGGTTTGGATGGGCCACCCTAATGAATTCAGCAACATCAATAACCCGACATAATATATCGCTGAGCTGGTCCAATCTTCGAATGTAATGTATCTTTCCCTGGTCGCTGGTCTCTGCCTCTCTTATCATTGTATCAACAAGAGTTTGTGCTTCGGTCAAACACTGTCCGGAAAAGTCTATGAGGCCTTGTGGTGTAGTTAGCTTTTCATTTTTGAACAAACCAGTTCTGGGACCCGAGAATATCTTCCTTGATAAGGTGCCATTATTGAAATCTTGATAGTACTTATCATCATCAAATACTCGCCTGACATGTTCAAACGAAGATGTTGGATTGGATCTGCTTGCTAGTGAGCGTATAAATGACGATTTGCTCGAAGGTCTAGTCCATACCTTGGCGTGATGTCGGTATGACCGAAGGAGGATCAGAGACATGAAACCAAATCGGGCCGGAAATTTTCAAGTGTCGCAGACTGCACAAATGTCAGCAAAATAGCGAGAAAGTGTGAAGAGAGCCAGTAAATGTATTGTGAGACAAAGTTTGTCCATAGCAAAGAGAGAGGTGATTCAAGTTGAAATGTACTGATGACGATTCTCTAAATATAAACATAAAATAAAAAAAGAGAAAGTGAATTATAATTGAAAAATATACCAACACTCCAAACATACCATTACCCTCCATAATTGTCTAACTTCCCACTACCAAACCACCTCTACTTTACAATCTCACTTCTACACATCTAATTTTTAGTGTCTTCATTTTCTCCCTCCCCCACTCTCCCACCGCAGTGACGTAACATGCAGGCTCGCTCATGTCACAAAATCATTGTCAACGGGTGTCTGCCGAGATCTCCTACATTATAATCACGGGCCACGCTGAAAAAAGCTTCAAAATTCGCCGTTTCTACTTTCTAGACTACTCGGCGTCCGTATTCAACCCTCAACTACCTTTGTATACCACCCACTCATTCCTTTCATCATGTCAACAGTGCCAAGCGGTCGTAAGAAATCGGTCAAAGACTACCAATTTGGCACTCGTATAGGTGAAGGGTCATACTCCACCGTGTTTTCAGCCATTGACTTGCAAACCAATCGTACTTTTGCCATCAAAGTGCTTTCAAAGCGCCATATAGTCAAGGAAAACAAAATCAAATATGTCAATATTGAAAAGACAACTTTACATCGACTTGGACAGCAACATCCAGGAATTGTTCAGCTCTACTATACTTTTCAGGATGAATCCAGCTTGTTTTTCGTGCTCGACTTTGCAGAGTATGGAGAGCTTTTGTCTATCATACGCAAATTCGGATCACTCTCCGAGGCAGTGCTGAAGTTTTACATGTGCCAATTGCTTGATGCCGTGAAGTTTATCCACCTGAAGGGGGTGATCCACAGAGATTTGAAGCCAGAGAACGTGTTGGTCGGCCACGACTTCAACTTGAAGATTACTGATTTCGGTGCCGCCAAGCTTTTAGGAGAAGAGGACGACAATGAGGAGAAAATCGAATACAATGATATCCATTCAAATGGTTCACCAAATGTCAACACTTCTGTGGACGATTCGAGAAAAGGTTCTTTCGTTGGAACGGCAGAATACGTATCTCCTGAACTTCTCAAGCACAACATATGTGGATTCGAAGCCGATGTGTGGGCTTTGGGTTGTATCTTGTATCAGCTTTTCCACGGCCAACCGCCATTCAAGGGTTCTACTGAATATCTCACATTTGAGAAAATCATAAATGTGGACTATTCTTACAGACAAGGTTATGTACTTCCGCCTGATGTCACTTCGCTCATTGATCAAATTTTGGTAGCAGATCCATCATCCCGCCCCTCGTTGCAAACCATAATGGGAGCAAGATGGTTTTCGAATGTGTTATGGTCTGATCGCAATTATATCTGGGGTAGAAAAGTTCCACGCTTCGAGCCATATTACCCACCAGGAACGGCACCAGCACCTACCAATTACCTGTACATGCCACCGAGTCGTAATATGAACAAGTCTTCTTCATACCAACAATTGCATTCTCAAATCCATGCTTCAGACTTGAACTTGGTTCCCATGGGAAAGAAAACATATCAGCCTGCTACAAAGATTAAAAAAAACGTTTACAATCATTTACCTCAAAACTCACCTATACCTTTGAAACCTACAAATGCAATGGGTGTCCCCACGCCTGTTCTTGTCAACAACAATTCTCCACCAAAGGTTGCTGGACCACCGCCTCCTCGTTCGGTGCCTATTACGCCCTCAGTTCCGACCGATTCTTCAATGCAAATGCTGCCCAGAACTCCAGATATTGGCAAATATCCACCGGTCAAGACCGCCAGTCCACAGCAACGTAATTTGCGAAACAATACAGCATTTGCACTACAAGGTGCTCCGCAGCCCATCCCTCCAAAACCCACCACGGTACCAGACCCCAGACCCCATCCAAGCCGTTCGTCATCAGCGGCCGCGGCTGCTGCTGCTGCGGGTGGAATAGTGCAACAAAGACTGCAACAGCCACCGCAACAGCAGCAACCACAATTGCCGCAACAGAATAAGAACTCACCCAAAGAAGCGGCTCCGCCAAAGTCAAAGAACAACGCGCGGGCCGCGTCACCCAAGAATAAACCGTCGGGAACTACTCTCTTGTTCAAAGAAGTTTCGAGTCTCTTAAGTCCCAATGAGAAAATCTTGAAACTTGATGTGGTTTTGAAGCTGCAACTCAGTAACAAGGTGATCAAACGTGATCAAAGAGAAGTATTGGACGATACAGTCATTGAAAAACTAGTTCGGAAATATGACTCTGAGCTTCAGAAAACCCTCAAACCAGTGGTTACCATAATTACCAATTTGGCCAGAGTCTTCTTCATTGAGAGTCTGTTGGATGTGATGATGGTTGATCTCAAGGCAAACAACGGCGGCGACTACCTGATGTACGACTATGAATTTGAAAGCATTGCTGTTGATGGAGATGAAGATGTTTTAAACGGCGAAGAAGTGTATGGATATCTTATACTTGAATTGGTTCGTGAAGGTGGAGACTTGATCTTTTTGAAACGAATTGGACCAATGGATAAATTAAGTCTCAAGCAGCTGGTTTCCGTTGTGGATAAGAATGGGTCTCAAGTAACACTCGGAAAGGTCCATGGATGGATCGACTGCTTGTTGATTGCCAAAGACATGGTTGATAAACGGGAGGTGAGCAAAGAAGCACCCAAAAAGAAAAAGAAGAACAAAAAACCAACGGCCACCAATGTCACCATACTTCCCACCCGACCCTCGTCGTCGTCGTCTACATCTACGGCCAACTTTGCATATGCGGCTGCTGCTGCTGCTCACAGCAGAGACTGATAGAATATAATACACGACTCAGGACAGATAAGGTCTCAATGAGTAAATACAACGGTTTCTTTCCATAATTCGTTCATTCGCTATTTTCATTGGCTATTTAATCTTTTAAACTCCGCCATCCAGTCGTTAAAGTAGCACTTGTCGTTGAGCACATTCGATGTCTGTTCCCTGATAATTGACTCTACACCCTTTTCGTTTTCTACCCAGTTTTCAATTGTCTGGCACACTGAATACTGGCTCTCCAATTTGCGCTGGTATTCCTTGAGTACATACGGATCTAAAGTAAGATCAAAATCTGGTTTCTGTGCCGAGCTTCCTTGCTGATCCGTTTCGTGCCGAAGCTCAGCACCACGGCTTTCACAGTACTGGATCAACTCCTGTCTTGCTTTCCATTGCGGGGCGATCTTGGTACGAAAGTATGAATTGCACGAACCTGGTTTGATTTCGTTCAAATGTTGCCGTATGGTATCATCGGTAGCTATTCTCGAGAGACGTAAAAAAGCTCGGATTCGGGATGACGAAGTGCAGTTTTCAAGTGTGAAGAGTTGAGGTGGAGCAGGGCCTGTGTTCTGGCTCACCATGGGTGAATCTGTTTGTGGTGCCTGATTGGTCCACATTAGCATCCAAGTGGTGGATCGATGTGGCGAGATTGATTCGCACTCGGATTCTCCAGACGCTTAGATAATTACACTTGCTGACGATTGGTGATGGATCTCTGTCAGCAAACAGGTCCCGGACTCAAATATGCTTTCTGCTTGGCAGTTGTTGGTCGTCTTCAAGAACTACGGGCCCAGAACTACGAAAAATCTTACTTGTTAAGTCAGGCTGGATTTGTTCTTGAACAAAGAGTACTTCCAAAATACCATGATGAAGATACAAAAGCCAACAAAGAACGGTCTTTTGTGGATGTTTGTACGTCCTTGATGCTTCCTCCCCACTCCAGTGACGTGGAATGGTCGAAAAAGGTGACGAGTGCCGAAATTATTCGAGCCATCAATATGGATGAACTGCTCCAGAAGAAGAAAGAAATGGATAGAAATCACGAATTGGCTCCTAAACTCACCACCATGTTGAAACAGTGTGTGGTTTCGATCCACGCGGATGAAAGTGATGCAGTTGCCGAGTATCTTGTTGGACTCAGCTCCAATATCGACGACCTTCCGCCGTCATCTTCGGCAATTTTGACCGAAACAGCTGAGACGTTGAGTTCTGGCTCGCAAACCTCTAGTCTAAGTGCCATTTTCGACTTGTTTGGCCTGGCATTGATGGCACATCTCGCAGTGATTGTGGTCCCTGAATCTGACTCTCACATTAAAATCCTCAGGGAACAAGGAAATAGCCTTATGGCCAACCTGGCGTACCCTCAGGCTATACAAATCTACACCACCGCTTTGCATTATTCGTCATTTGCATCCCAGCAGCATGTGCTGCAAATATTAACCAATCGTGCCATTGCATACATCGGGCTCAATTGCTTTCCAGAAGCAATTACAGATCTAAACAGTGCCTTAGTTGCCGACCGTACGTTCACTCCAGCATGGATCCAGCTAGGCTACTGTCACTTGTATATGGGCCTGGGACTCATGGCTCTTCAAATGTACCACATGGCACTTCGTACAATGATTGGAGATGTTTTTCCAGAGAGACTTATACATGAACATGGCGATGTCATCGAGTCGTATAAGCGACTCAAGAAAAAATCTGTTATGCCGCTGCTTGTCCGCAAGGTTGTACTGTCACTTCTACTTACTGAGCGTCGGGCCAAGCAACAGCATGAGCCTGTAGGGCAGATTCAACTTGTGACATCTGACGTGAAAAATATTTTGAACAACCTTGCACAAGATGCCTCTGAAGAAGATAAGCCATCGTTCGTCTATCCTTCTTCATACGAACGTCTTGGTGCCCTGCGAGTCGAACGTGCCAACAGATCGCATCCAGATATCTTGAGCCATGATATTGCCCAGGACATTTTGGCCAACACTGGCTTTGAGTCCAACAACGTAACTCCGCCAGCACCGCCGCCCGTCGTGGCAGCTACAGAAACGGGGTTCAATGCTACACAGACTGTTGACAACGACACCTCAATTGCAGATTCCAATTCCAACACCAACCCTACCAACAATAGAAGCACTACGGGAAGCGGACCGGGAGACGCTGCTACTGCTGCGCGGGCTGCTGCTGCCTCTTCTCAAGGCCCTAATATCAGGAATATACTCAATAGCATTGGTCGTATGGCCGAACTGGGAGAAACCAGCCAAGAAACAACCCCCAATTCTATGATGTCTGACGTATCCAGGGCTTTCATAGACTCTTTTACAGGCGGTGTGGGGGCGATTTTGGCGCTGCTGTTCGGAGAGGGTCAAAACGAAAGTAGAAATGGAAATCAGAATGAGACAAATTCGAGAGAGAACAGAGATACAGAAATGCCCGAGGAGCCGGACCTCGATTAGAAACAGAAGAGCTCAAAGAATTAATTCACTCGCTATCTCTAGTTAACTAGGATATCATCTATATTGCACTATACCGCGAATTTTCGACTAAATCAAATTACCCTTGCCCTATCACTAGCCATTCAGTTGCAAGCGTCGTCGGTTATCTGCAGGCAGGTTCAACTTTTCTTTATCCGTAAACTTATCTAATGGCAGGGTTGGAGCAGTCACTTTTCCAGCTCAAATTCACAGCGAAGCAGCTCAATAGACAAGCGTCAAAGGCAGCCAAGGAAGAACTACAGGAAAAAGCAAAGATCAAGAAGGCGTTGACTCAAGGAAACAATGATATTGCACAATTATATGCTCAAAACGCCATCAGAAAAAGTAATGAAAGAGTGAGTTTGTTACGTCTTGCTTCGAGGATAGATGCCGTGGCCTCACGGGTGCAAACAGCCGTGACCATGAGGTCGGTTACTGGTAACATGACTCAAGTAATTAAGGGCATGGATAAGGCACTTCAGACGATGAATTTGGAGCGCATTTCGCTTGTGATGGATAAATTTGAAAACCAATTTGAGGATCTCGATGCCCTGACAAACTACTACGAAGGTGCTACGAATAATGTTAACGCTTTGACGACACCACAGGAAGATGTGGACGAATTGATGAACCAGATGGCCGATGAGGCAGGCATAGAAATGAAGCAAGGACTCAATGAAACCAAGGTTGATATCGATACGCCTCCTGTAACGGTCAGCGAGCAGAAAGAGGACCAATTGGCCCAGAGATTACGAGCACTACGGAACTAACATCGGAACCGTAAGCTCCGCAATTGTGGAGGTGTCGGAGCCGGGACCCGCCAGTCGTGCGCCCGCCGCGCAACCAATGAGACCGCAACATATAAAAGGGATTGTTCATCTACCACTACAGCAAATAATACATCATGCTTTCATCTACCTTGAGACACAATGCCAAGCTTGCCGGCCGTAAAGGTGTCGCTGCCTCTATTGGTGCCGTTAGAACCAAGGTTTCCTTGCCAGATTTGGACTGGGACTTTGGTGCTTTGGAACCCCATATTTCCGGTCAGATTAACGAACTTCACTACACAAAGCACCACCAAACTTATGTCAATGGTTACAACCAAGCTGTGGAACAATTTGCCGAGGCCAAGTCCAAAGGTGAAGTCAAGAAGACAATCGAATTGCAAAAGAACATCAATTTCCACGGAGGTGGTTACACCAACCATTGTCTCTTCTGGAAGAATTTGGCTCCAGAAAAGCAAGGAGGAGGTGAGCCACCAGCAAGCGACTCGGAATTGGCCCAGAAGATCACCGAACAATACGGTTCTTTGGACAACTTGAAGTCTCTTACTAATGCCAAATTGGCTGGTATCCAAGGTTCGGGATGGGCCTTTATTGTCAAGAACAAGGAGAATGGCGGTGAGTTGGATGTGGTCACCACCTACAACCAGGATACCGTTACAGGTCCATTGGTTCCATTGGTGGCCATTGATGCTTGGGAACATGCTTACTACTTGCAATACCAAAACGTCAAGGCTGATTATTTCAAGGCTATCTGGAACGTCATCAACTGGAAGGAAGCTGCCAAGAGATACACTGTCAACTAAACTTTTACGTAAATGTTTATTATGCCTGCTCAAAATGTAGCCACTCCTAGTAAACTAGCAGCGTTCTTTGCATCTACCGTCTCTTCTTTCAATGGTACTGGCGACTGTTTCTTTACCGACCGAAACGTGCGTGCTGACCAAGAATCTCCCTGGTCAGATTGCGAAGGGTTCAAGTTGTGCTTAAGACTATCCAAATTGTCTCGGTTCAATCTCGAAAGACCGCCTTTGTCGTCAACTATACGAATATCAAGACGAATGTTTTCAAGATGTTTTAGGTTTTTCCGATGATGCTCCACCTTATGAAGGGCATACTTCTTCATGAGTAATTGAAGCTTTTTTTCGGTGTGTTCAATCACCTCTTTTTTCTCAAACATCATCTCTCCTGAGATCCGTTTGACTTGAAGATTTAAAGAATCTTCCACCTTGGTAGCATATTCCAACGATCGTATTGCTTCGTCTACTTTTATAGGGTCCAAAGACGATTTATTCTTGATCTTGGCCGCTTGCTGATGCTTAGCTTGTGATTGTTGTTCGGCTTGGACGAGCTCACGCATTATAAGGTGTCTGTTAGTCAAAGCTTCTTTAATTTCATAAAAGTCATTTATAAGGGTACGCACTCCATCGTGTAGTGTTCCCATCGAGTTTGCTTGGTCCAAGTACATCAATTCCGCCTGGAAATTCACCACTCGAGAAAGCTTCTCCCACATATTTTTCATTCCTGGATGTGTTCGCTCAAACTCAGAAAGGTTACTGAGTTTCACTGCAAGATCACTCACGGCTCCGGCAATCATTCGCTCCGTTTTACAGTTGCGATCGAGCGCCTTAACCAATTTTTGGAATACGAGGTAGGCTGCTTTGACCATTGGGCGGAATTCGGCCAACTCTGTATATGGATCATACGGCACCGAAAGTTGCTTGAGTGTCTTTCTGATGAGGCCCGAAGCCACTGAGGTCTTGTGAGCACTATTGATAACAGAGTAGCCGAAATCACTTTCGATAAAGTACATGAACTCCTCATCTCGAACAATAATAGGATTGCTTGTAATACGATCAAACCATTCTTGCCAGTCCTCAAGAAGTTGGCTATTTTCCTCCTCCCCACCAGGGGGATAAGACGTGATAGAAGATGGGATAGTTGGCACGAAAACTTCCAAATTCGACACAGGGATATACTTGTTAAACTTGACCGTCTCGTTGTATGTTCTTCGTATATCCTTGTATTCCCGTTGTCGATATCTCGAGAGTCCAATTACGGTAGCATCGAATCTGAGAATTGGATTGGCTGCTTTGTTCTTCTCCACAGCTTGTAACTTGATTTTGATGGAGTATTTGTTAGTGAAGCGCTCGGGGATAAGTTTTCTTAACTCTTCATCACTCAATTGAGCACCTTCCGTCGGTTTTCTTTCATTGTTGTCCGCAGTCTCAGCCACCGATTCTTGCGCCGGTTCAGGTTCGGGCTCTGGCTCATACTGTGGCTCATTTGCCACCACAGAAGTCAAATGTGGAGGTTGTTCTAGGGGCTCTGCAAAAGGATTGTTGTTTTCAAAATCTGCTGGGTCATACGACATGGACGATGACATGGCCACCAACTTGGAGACTTGAAAAGGTGAGAATCGCATTTCGCGGTCCGGTTACATAATCAGTATATCGATCAGTTACTATGTACATGTCATTATCATAATTTCTCTTCGTCAAGGGAGTTACCGTTGGAGTTCAAGATATTATATCCCCAGAATGCAAACACGTTGAGCACACCCACTCTCCAGCCATCAAAGAGCCCGAAGCGTTGAATGCGATGCCACAATGACGGCTGCAAATCATCATCGTCATTATGAACCCAACCGGAATTGAAGTCCACGATCAAGTTCTCCTTCGGGTTGAGAATGGTCACGACGTTGTGTTTGTCATAGTCCTTGGGTGCAAGAAGAAAACGCACCTGTTCTTTACGCAAAACATTTTCTACTGGCAACTTTATGAAGAACTCAAAAATCAGCAGAAACAAATTGACAAGCGTAAACAAGGTGGGTGACAGGTACGAGTCGATGTTGAAGCGAATGAAAAGAAGGTATGGTGTTGTCTTCCTGAAAATGGTGGTTGAGAATTGGTAAAGGACTGTCAAGAGAGCAATGGCTGGTGGAGGGTTCAACAACAAGTGAAGGGGATACTTGCGGATCGACTCTCTAATGGATCTGGTATTCTGAGCTTGTTCGACAACAGTGTTTTCCCCAACTGGAGAGTTCACCTCAGGGTTTTTGATAGTTTCTGACTGTGGCTTGGTGAACTGAGTGAGCATCAACCTAACCTTTATCAAGTCGAGAGGAATCAATACCATTCCTGTAAGTACACACGCCAGCACGGAGAGCCACAACGACTTCAAGGGATCGGGCAGGTGAGTCAAGTCCAAAAAGAAAGGATCGGGGATCCCCAAAAATGGAGCAATGAACCCAGTGATCCATGCCTCGATGGTGTGTGAGAGTGTTTGATGAATAAACGCTGCGTTTATCCCGCGGAAGAGAGCAAGGGGACCATCTTTGCCAGCTATCGACGACATGATATCGATTGTGTGTTTGGAAATTGGTTTGATCTTGTGACTGTTCGTGTGAGCCGGCTGAATCACCGTTGATTTCTTTCTGGGACTGGACAGATGAGCAGTTTTGGATGGTTTCTTGAGTTCGGAAATGTTATTGAATTCGATGGCTGACTGAAAGTAATTTTCCTCTTCATCGGGCAGATCAGACTCGTCCAGGTCATCAGCCAATAACCGCTGATAATCCTTCTTTTGCTTCTTTGGTTCAAAATTAAACACACCTACCTGCAACACCAACCGTGCTATTTCAAGTGGCTGAGACAAGATACTTTTGCAATAATTCTTGAAGAAATTCCAAATGAGATTCTTGAGCAACTCAGACAGATTGTTGACATCAAAGTATTCTTTGAATTCCAAATCGTAAACATAGTTCTTATCACCCCCGGCTGACCGCGTGGCCTTGCCCAAGCCAACATCACCTATAAACCGCTTATCTGATAATCCTCCAATTCGAAACCCTCCTGGATTGTTTTGGGATCGATTTGCTGACCCTGCCGTTTGTGACAAAGATGAAGCGAGAGAAGAAGAAATAGGTCGATTTGTGTTTGTGTCTATGAGACCTACACCCGGTTTGAATATGACGGAATAACCGGCGTCAAACGTGTCATGGTCATAGTAGGGTCTTAACAGTGACATGTTGTGGTGAAGAAGGTGTCGTGATGTCGTGAAGGCAACGGCGGTGTGCAGGAAAAGTGAGAGGAGAAGAGTCTTCAGAAGAAGACGAATTGTGGTGTAGGTCGAGACTTGTAAAGCTGACTTTGAGTGAAGTGGTCTTCTTTGTGGTCACTTAGTCAATTGCTGGTTATTTTTCGTAATTTCCTTATTTTACAAAAATGAAAAATTTGGCAGAATTGAAATAAGAGACTCCGAGTCCATCTTAATAACTGACAAACTTGAGAACTTGAAAACCTCCATATTTCTGCTAAATCTAACTCTTGAGAACTTACATTGTCTTTTGTTGAATCTATTCGTACTTTTCTAACACAATTCAATTTATATACTTTAGCTTGAATACTGCTTGTTCACCTTCTCTTCAATTTTTCTCTCTCACCATTTCCTTCCCTCCTTCCTTCTCCCTCACCCGCTCTTCGACCGCTCAATCAAAAACTCCCCCAATACCCGCAATGGGTCCTCAGGCTTGTCGTGAGCCACTTGTCGAAGTCCATCAAGAACATGCTGAGTTAAATGTTTATTCAAGTATTGGCGTACTGAGGAGCCTCCTACGACCTCATGGAAGGGAGGAGAGTTATGTTGTGGAGTCTGGGGTTCAGGATCGGTCTTTATGCCATTTTCACCTTGGTCCATAATATTAGTGAGTTTGTAACTTGAAACCAATTTATGCAGTGCTGCGAATATTCACCAATTTGATAACAGGCTCCCCACAATGGACCCTTTTGATGAGGTCAAAGAAGATGCTTGGCTGCAAGTGAACGGGCTCCAAGAGTTTGTGAACAAGAATAGACCACAGAATGAAACTAAACTTGATTTTGAGAACGCATTTCAAGAGTTACAGGAGACCATTGGAGATCTCCGACAAGCTGTGACAATCAGCGAAGCTAATCCAGACCAGTTTCAACTTAATTCCAATGATATTAGTCATCGAAAAGACATACTTGCCCAGCTTGATGCAAAAGTGACAAGTATACTGAAACAATGGTCTAGTAAAAATGACCCTCATCGTCCTCGAGATGTCACCACCATGTCTAATCGAATTTCTCAAGATACTCACGAAGAAAACCCCTTTAATGACAGTAACAGATTAGATGAAGAATTCAATGCGTATCAGCAACAAGAAGTTATCCAAAATCAAGATTTACAACTAGACCAAATCCATCAAACTATGCGCAATTTGAACTTACAAGCCACAATGATGGGTGGTGAATTAGAAGACCAAGGAATGATGCTCGACGATCTCGACCAGGAAATGGACGTTGTGGGCAGTAAGCTTCAGCGAGGGTTGAAGAGAGTGGGTTTTGTCATTGAAAAGAATAAGGAACGTGCTAGTGATTGGTGTATTGGAATCTTGGTGGTTGCATTATGTGTTTTGCTTATCATTGTCATAGCTATATAACAAGGTCATATGTGTCAACTAGTTATGAACATTTCGATTTCCCGTCCCAACATCGTCTCCATAATTTCAAACTCATATCCGAATCGCTGGTCAAAGTAAGCCAACGTATAGTAAGTGTCTTTGATGGTTAAATCCAATTCTTCCAATTGAGCCAAATCTATATTGACCTCCAGTGGTAACTTGGGATGTGCGGTTTGAGTTATTAACAGCACAAGGTCACACAATTGTTCTCGATACTGCTCCAAAACTTTCACAAAATGATCTTCTTCTTTGAGAAGAGATAAATCAGGAATCGATCGAGGGGTTTTCAGGAGATCTTGCAACGCTTTGTTGTGTATCCCTGAGTATAGTCGCAACAGCCCTGTAAACTTCTGTACAAATGAAATGCACATAAACACACTGTCCCATTGACTTAAGCCAATCGTGCCCTTCAGCACTAGATCTTCTATCAACGTTTCACCGTCTAACCACGATGGAAATGTCCTATCTCTGAGTTGTACAAGAGATCCAATCTGCAGATAAACGGGATGCCGAGTGTTAGGGACGTAATACTTTACTTTCTCAATTGTTAAAGTCATGGACTTAACGGCCAAGTCATAGACGATATAGACCGACGAACAGTGGAACGTGAAAAGTTGTTGAAAGTCAAGAATACGGCACTGTTCATCGTCGAATGAATTCGGACTATCTCCCTGTTCATTCTTGGATATTCTACTCAATATAATATTAGCAAGGAGCTTGGGGTCTTCTTTTGGATCGAACGCAATTTCTTTATCTATGGCAAGTTCAAAACATTTAATTGTCCGCTTTTGCAGGGCTTCATCTGAGTGGGCGCTTCGATCTAGCTTATGAATGTTGCCAGTGCTTTCAATGGCACCATTGACTTGCAACACAGTTTTTTGAGTAAGTTCGAATGAATCTGGAATATGGAAACGGTCCAAGGTTTGAGGGGTGAGAGATGAGAGTAAATCAACAAGAGATTCCTCGGCAAGGAACTTGAGTATTGTAACGCAGTTGGAATCGGTAAATAACGCTTGATAAAGGTGGGTTTTGATGTCATTGTATGGCCCGCCATTACTTGAATTGAAAGCCTTGACTTCATCCAACAAGTTGATGATTTGAGGCCGAACAAAGTCCCAAAGATTGTTGAACACCACCATCATTTCTTCATGATTTGAAAGTTGTTCGATTCGACCAACATAATTATTGATCAATTCTCGTCTATTTTTCCATCTTGCCATGTGACTGGAAAGATCTTTATCAACCATTTTGACCAGGGAACTACTAGTCTTTGGAAAATTAACGAGGGTGGTGAATGCAAATATACCGTAAGAGAATGTCCGTGCCAGAAGCTGAAGCACCAATACCACTGCTTCTTGTGGCAGTTCTGCTATTGAATTCAGGTCAGAAGACATTTAGAAACTCGATTGCAGAAAATACAAAACCAATTAGGATGATAGGGTGGGTCGACATTAATGATTATAACGATGGATGGTACTGAGAAACCCAGTATTTGACTATTATAAAGTAGTCAATTGCAATGCTGCCGGCTAAAATTGCCGCTGATTTTTTTTAGCGTGTTGATGGTTTTTTAAAACTCGATTCCAGGAAATGTGATGATTTGAAGCCCGGAGCTATACAGTAGCCGGTAATCCGAATAGGCGGCTGAAAATAAAGCCAAAAACAAGTACTAACTCGCAAGTGTGACCAGATGAGAAATGACAACGAACAAATTTTTTTTTACTAACAATAGGAGTGACAGGTCACAAATGCGATTGGCGAGGCAAAATTAAGGTAAAAGAAATTTGGTGAGATTTTGGCCGAATAAAATACGAAGTATTTAACTTGTTTGGCAACCAAGGGATGATTACAATTTTTTTACTGCGTCGGGAGATATTATGCACGGGGATGCAAGGTGCTGTACCAACCTGAACCAGGGTGCTTAACGATTTGCATGCAGACGCAGGTGACTACTCCGATCCAGTTACACAGGCCTGTGCGACTAGCCGCGGAGGAGGTGAGAGGCGGGGGTATTGGGCGACAACGTACCGTCGACAAAATAATGGCATATGTTTGTTGACATGAAAATATTATATTTTCGGCACGGCTCCTAAACACCCGAGCTAACAAATCCGTCGACGGAGCCACCTTGCGAGCGAACAAACCAAACAATAACCATGCAGAGGCGTGCGAGATCTTGCGTCATTCTTTGTTCGGCAATTTGCGCCTTGTTTTGTCCGTATATCATTACACCCATACAACAAGCGCATGCAATATTACATCATGCTGAGTTACGGAGGTACGGATCAGCGTCACTACATGCTTTAATAAGACCGATCAACACTCATGGTGGCTAAATATCGAACGATTTTTATCAAATATTTGCCTGTAAGGCGGGTTTATTATCCCAACAAAAATATTCCATGCACCGCCTCGTAAACTTAGATTTTCTCTGTGCTTTTATTCGGCCCGTAAATTACTCCACCTATTACGGTTACAGTTGCCCTTGAAATATTTGAGATGAGATGAACGTCGCTACGCGAGATGTCAACCTTAAAAGATTTCCGTCAAGATTGATATCGTGCATGATCTAGCTGCATGTCATCACAAAATTTATGTAAGTTCATGCACCTCTGTCAATCGTCTACCGGCTCGCCTATATTACGCGCAGTCTCATCTGAAGACGCCATTCAGCACGCTCTTAGGTGCCTACATCTATGTATCTACCTTTGTACAATTTTTCATAAGTCTATGGTTAGTACTGTCAGACAAATAATAGTAAGGTAGCGAGGTTTTTTCCACATCGACAGAATGTCTCGAGCCAAATGCACTCTAGTCATCATAATGTACTTACATTAACTTGTAGTGTGCAAAAAGTTTTCGCGATGGTTTTATACCCCGAAGACGTTACCCGCACAATGGAAAGTGAAAATCGCGGCACTGCACATAAACCATACAATTAGTTAAACGCACTCTAAGTTGGTTTGAGATTCAATCATGTCCCAAGACAAGTACAAGTACCGCGTGGAAATCCAACAAATGATGTTTGTGCTGGGTGAATCCAACGACGCGCCAGTAGAAACCACAATGATTATCGAAGATATAGTTCGAGGCCAAGTTATAGAGATTCTTATTCAGGCTACCAAGACTGCTTCTGCTCGTGGATCCAAATCAATTGCACCAGAAGATGTTATATTTCTCATACGGCATGACAAAGCCAAGGTCAACCGATTACGAACGTATCTTTCATGGAAAGACGTTCGAAAAAACGCCAAAGATCAGGAAAGTGGTGGAACTGAATCATTGATTGAAGGTGGTGCAGATGCAAGCGGTGCTGGCGCCGGTGCTCCCGGAGGAGGTACTGGGGTTGATTCGTCCAAGATGCTTTCGCGGTACAAGAAACTGAGAATACGGCTTCCCTGGGAGGTGCAATATATGTTTTCTGAGCAGCATCTCGAAGCAGCAGATGAAGCCGAGGAGGTGGATGATGAGGAAAAAGCTGCCACGATTGCGTCGTTGAAACGATTAAAGATGGCGGACGACAGAACTAGGAATATGACAAAAGAGGAATACGTTCATTTCTCAGAATGTCGACATGCTTCTTTCACATTTCGTAAAGCCAAGCGGTTTCGGGAATGGGCTCAAATTGCTCAATTATGTGATTCCAGGCCCAATGATGATGTCATAGATATCTTGGGATTTCTAACGTTTGAAATTGTGTGCTTTCTTACCGAGGAAGCAACGGCCATCAAGAGCGCTGAAGAGAAATTGGTTCAAATGCTGATGGTGAAAACCGGTAAAGAGATGACCAAACGAAGAAGAAAATATCTATTTGATCGTCCTGACGAGCTAGCAAAGCCATTGATGCCGTATCATATCGAAGAAGCATGGCGCCGACTTCAATCGTTGGACAACAAACATAAGGCGGTGCGATCATTTGGAGGTGGACGCATCAAGACGAGAACTGCATTAATATGAAAAAGAGAGAGGAAAATAGACTATAATACATTCATCATTAATTTACTACTAAACCTGCTAAACCAAATCCCATGCTTACCGCTCTTTTTCTTCTCTTTCTTCTTCCACCTTAATCTTTACACCCCCACACCCGCACCTTACAATTTTCACCAACCACTTTTCGGTATGGGTATAACGATTCGCCAAGCCAGGATAGATGATATCCAGGCCATGCAAAATGCAAACTTGCACAACCTACCTGAAAACTACCAACTCAAGTACTACATGTATCATATACTATCATGGCCACAAGCCAGTTTTGTCGCTACCACCGACGACGATATTGATGAATTAAACGACGAACAATATAAAGATCCTAAAGGAGATACCAGCTACATTAGAAAGGGAGAAAAGATCGTTGGGTATGTGTTGGGCAAGATGGAAGACGATCCAGATGCTGAAGATAAAACTCCTCATGGGCATATTACATCATTGTCGGTGATGAGAACTTATAGAAGAATGGGAATTGCAGAAAAGTTGATGAGACAATCGTTATATGCAATGTGCGAGTCCTTCAAAGCACAATATGTGTCGTTGCATGTCCGGAAATCCAACAGAGCTGCTTTGCATTTATATAGAGATTCACTCCAGTTTGAGAACACCTCAATTGAGAAAAGTTATTATCAAGATGGAGAAGATGCATATGCCATGCGCAAGGAGTTGAGGTTGGAAGAGCTCTCGCCTCATTTGTTCCAGAAAACAAATCAAGTGGACGACTTGACATCGGACCTCTTATCGTAAATAATATACATTATATCCTAATATCTTTCCTTCATTCTCGATGCAACTGTACGCAAGTTTCCGTACACTTTTCCTGGTGGAGAACCCAAGATTAATGAAACCACTGCTTCTCGAGCCATTCGTATGTGAGTGAATCCACCCAATATATGTATTTTTGAGTCTGCAAGCACGATTCTGGTTCTGGTGGCATTCTCAATGGCAAACTTGGTCCGTCCATCTTTACCGGCTATACGGCCAATGGCACGCGACAAGTGGTCTCCTGTCAATGTTTTGACATCTTTAACCTCGAAAGTCTCGATGTATAAATCGTCCAACCTCAATAATGCAATGGCGTCGTCCACATCGAAACCAAGCGTGAACGCCTTGACGAAATCGGCTCCTTTCTGAAGGGCACCTGGGTCGGTGGTTGTTTTGTTGGTTTTGAGTTCGACTGTCTTGGTTTTCAAGTTCATCCGCACTTGAAGCTTGAGATGCTCCACCAAAGGTGGATATATTTTAGGCCATGTATTTTTCAATGGGCTCATTCTATGGGGTGGAACCTGCACTTTTCTCGACTCCAACTTGACCTTCATACCCACCTTGGTGGCAGCGGCAAATTTGGGCTTTCCAGACTCATCGAGAACAACACCGGCAACTTCAGTGGCATTGTGTTCTTCTTGTTCTGGTACACCATTTGTGTCTATAAGCATGGAATCGTCTTCTGGTGCCAGAGAAGGAAGCTCGGGCTGTTTTTCGGCCACAGGAAGCTCGGGCTGTTGGATTTTAGTGGGGGCAGCCATACTATAAGATCGAGTCTAAAAAAAATTCCTCATCTCATCGTCCTGTAGATAGACGTACTGCAGATATGAGCCAGTCAGTCAAGAAAGACCCCCAAATACTTTGACCAATATTGGTCATTTTCCGTTTTGCAGAACTGAAATGTACACAATTCCTACTCCAAAACATCCTTCTTCCTTAATCGGTGTTTAGAAGCTTAATTCTCGTCATTGCTGGCTTCCCCACACATCCCACCGAAGCGCGCACTCTGAAAATTTCTCGATATCAGATTGGTTCCGCACAAGCAACCCGTTCAACCAGGTGGCATATCTTCAAACATATTCGCTCGCAGGCCCTGAAACTCGCAATAAAGCACAAAGGACGACAGAAGAGCATTATAATCCAACAAAAATCACACTTTCTTACCAACACTCACACATACCATCAATCGGCCTTTGGAACTCTATCACATTTCGCCACTCCGATGTTAAAATCATTAGGAATACGGCCTATGAAGTCGCTCTTGGAGCTGCGCATGGCACCAGAAATACAAGCACTTACGTACCGTCGTTTGCCTCTTCTAGCTTTTCGGACCTCCAAAAGAAATTACAGCAAAGTTCCGCCATCCAGCAAGATTTCGCATTCAAAAGAACTCATAATTCCTACAAAACACGAACTATTAAAGCATGCCAGTGGCCCCATACAGCGTGCCCTCATACACCTCAAATGGCCTTTGACCCGAAATAACCGTCCATCCGCTTCGGATGTCGTTTCTGCTGCCCTTTCATGGTTCGTCATGGGTAACATTCTCTGGATCATTTTAGGAACAACCACCTTCTGCCTTATGGGATTGTACGCTCTTGACACATTGAGTAATGTCTGGAAGTCCGTTTCTCCTGGAGAGACGAAAGAGAGCTCATTGGTGGGAAAACTTACCAGTGCAATTGTGTCGCAAGGTTTGGGAATAAAGTTGGAGTTTACACCAGGTCAAGTAATTCCCGAGCTCAAAGACGGAATGCTCAGATTCAAGAACGTAAGAGTTGTGTCGACGTTGCCAGAAACAAAATTTGACGGTACAATAGATGCCCTAAATGTTTCATTGTCGTTCCAGAAATGGTACGAGGGAAAAGGTATCATTGACGAACTTGATATTTATGGCATGCACCTCAAACTTTACTATGAGAATGATTCAGAGCCTCATATGACCGTTGGGAACGACTCGGTCCCAAGTTACAGGTTTAACGACACCATGCATTACCAATACGACCTTCCCAATTCACCCGAAAATGAAGAGGCAAGTGTCTCTCCTGCCACATTAATCGATACTTCCTACGAACTTTCTCTGGTAAAGTTACACGATTCGTACTTTGATATTCACGAGTCTGAAGCAGTCGAACCATTTCGAGTTGCGGTCTTCAATTGTGATCTCCCGCAATTGAAAGGTGACAGAATCTTGCTTGATTTTTTCAATGCTAACATCGTAACTGGTTCAATGAACGACTCGTTGTTCACCATTCATAAACGTCAAACAGAGACCGCAAGCGCCGATTCTGCCCAAAGAACGGTGCGTTTCAAACTTGATGGTATTGATTTGGGAGCTATTTCTCAAAAGAACCCACGTACAAAATTCAACTGGATTGTCAATGGAAAAGCAGAAATCATTGCCGATATTCGAATGTCTAGTTTATCAGAAAAAGAAGACAAAAAATTTAGCAATGTGTTTTCCAGCTCTTTTAGAGAGCTTCTTTCCTTAACCGATCCAAAACTGACCCCATCGGATGAACAGGAAAGTAACGAATCTAATTTATTGAAGGGAGCCTTGGCTGCAATTTACACCACATTTTCATCCAAGGAATCTCAACCTTCCACCATACAAAATAACGATTATGCCGTTGTGAACGTCAAGGTCAAACTCAAGGATCTCAAGGCTACCCTTCCAAAGTATATGCCTATGGCCACCTCAACCAACACACCTTTCATTTCCTTGCACGACTTGAGGTCCTTGGTTGCTTTTGCTAATGAACTTGGCGGTTCATCACCTCCTATAGTGGTGCAGTCCACCGCCATAGAAAGATTATCAGACTTGCATAACACTGAAAATATCTTTGACACTCGAATTTTCGACCTGATTGTGAACGACGTCTATGAAGAATTGCTCAAGATGGTTCACTTGGACGAGAAACGAATCATTGAGGAAAAGTCCTCATCATGGTCGCATTCTGTTGCCAGTCAACTATTGGTTCTTGGTTTAAGTGCAATGGTATAATGTATATACGAATAACGATCTTCATTTGTTCTCATTCTTTCAGCCTCTTTACCATGGGCACCAGTAACTTTTTCTTGTCGAATAAATCGTCCATTAACTCTGTTTCTACAGGTTTGGCCCCAATTCCTAGTACCACTCCTTTCTTTCGGTTTTCCAAACTGGGTTCTGGCGAGTCTTTTCTTTTATTATTAGGTTTCCATCCCATACCTCGGAGTAGCGCAGCTCCAAACTGATCAACAGGTACTTTATCATACTCTGCTTCTTCCACATCTTTTTCTTCATCAGACTGTTCCAAGTTTATCACCATACCCAGGTCGTTATCTATAATATTCTGATCAAGTTCCTGTTCAGTTTTAGCATTAATTCTAGTCATCAGAGCCATAGTGTTGCGCTCTATTTTCGGTCGAGGTCGAGTAGTAAGGTGAGTTGGTCGTATTATAATTTTCTCTCTGGCATTAATAGCTTTATTGTCGGCAATAGCTCCTCCTTTTTTAGTATCAAATGAGTCAATTTTATGGATTATTTCATCTTCTTCATCTGATTCAGGTCCAAACGACGTTGTAGATTTCGATGTTTTCGACGCTTCAGGCTGTCGTTTCCGTATGCTAAAGGCCACTGAGCTCTTATTTGGTGTTGAAGAAGAGTCTGAGCCTACAGATTTGCCTTTTTTCTTTATCTTCATTTGGAACCCCATCTCGCTCCAATCTTCAATAATCTAAATTCGAGCGCGTTTTATTTACTATACATCTAACGAAAATCCACTTACCCTATCATGCTAGAAGCTGGGCATGAAGGGTCAGAAACTCAGCTAGGAGCTACCATGTCCCGAAATAGCTTCCTGAATGAAGATATGGAACATCTGGACTTCTCAGATGGTCATTGTGCTAGCTCATTTGCAACGCCAAACAACAGCAGTTTCACCAATGATAAAAGAAGTGACGAAGATAACACCGATTACGATGAGCCAGCCAGCGGAATAGTTGTGCAGCGGCCAAAATCAAAAAAGTCAATCATGGATTTTTTTGGAGATCTTTCACGAAGTCAGAATAATCACCTCGCTCAAGATCGAGATACAGCGCAACACATCAAAACTTTTGAGCCGGCTCTTGGTGTTAAGCATAAGACTCTTAAACAGATGAACAAAGAAAACACCATAAAAAATGCGGTAAATATTACAAACTTGGAGCAAAAGTTTTACGATGAAGGTATAAAGAGTGTCACGGCCAAGGAGTTTCTTGCGTCATTTGGCCCCAGTGCCCGAAAAACTCTCCTCAAAGTGGAGACAGATAAGAGAGACAATTCCAAAACTTCCACCGAAGTAGTACCGGAGCCTATAATCGTGGATGAAGACATTACTGAAGACATTCCGGAAGATATTATGGAGGTTGAATCAAAAATCTACAACAATGCTACCAGAAGAATGTCAGCCAGAGACTACTTGATGCTCAAACCAAAACGCAAGTCGTACTTTGCAGTCATTAAGCTTCCGTCTTCGCGACTCAGAGAAATTGCTGAGCCGAAGGTAGCCAAGTCGTTGGTTGTCAAGCTCAAAGTTGACGCTGGCAAGTTAAAGCAATTGAGCAACCCATTATTCTCCAGAGGCACCAATTCAAATATAGACTTACCAGGAACCAGTGCAAAACTGCTTTTCCAGCTGATGATGCAGCGTGCTACGGCGATCGAGCCTCGTTTGTCACCTCTTCAAAAGCTAAAAGAGCTTGAGCCTCCAATCATTCTCCGTGACAGCTTTCACGTACGCAATGTCGAACTGGAAGAAGCAAGGCCGCTTACAGGACTAAAACCTAGAAAAACTACTGTTCCATGTATTTCCCACGAGGACTACTTTGATGGACAACAATCAAAGATCTTTGAGGAGCCAAGGAAAATACTGAAAAAGCAAAATGGCTTTCAGTCTTTCTCCGAGCTAAAGCAGTACGTCGAAAACAAGGTTCCATCGATACACAGTTATTCACCATTAACCAGCATTTACAATCGCATTGAAAAAGTATATTCTTCACCACAAGACCCAGTTTCTGATTGTGAAGTAGTTGACTTGACACGAGAAGAGCAGGAAAACCACAAGCAATCCGATCTGCTCTGGACAGACCAATTTGCACCACGTTCATCCACCGATGTCTTGGTCGATCCAGCTCAACAACGACACTTGCGAACGTGGATCACAACCACGCTAGACAAACTAAAGTCCCAGTCTTCGTCCAATTTCAAGCGGTCGAGAAGCGACACCCTTGACGACTTTATAGACGACACGGAGATTGACGACGAGGAACCGACATACCCAATTATGATTTTGGTTGGGCCGCATGGGTGTGGAAAGTCAAGTGCAGTTTACGCAGCCGCCCAAGAATTTAATGGGTACGTTCATGAAGTAAATACCGGACAAGGAAGAGGAAGAAAAGATATATTATCAAACATAAAGGAAATTGCAACGACTCATCTTGTTCATCGATCAAATAACGAAGTGAAAGGCGATTTTCAAAAGGGAATTCTACTTTTCGAAGATTGTGATATTCTTTTCGACCAGGACAAGACTTTCTGGTCGGTTATTTATGAGACCATGGACGTAACTCGTCGTCCCATTATTCTTACTTGTCATGACATGTCCATGATTCCCAATAATATACTCAATTTGGCTCAGGAAGCGGGCACAATCCTTGATTTTAGTCGAAAGGGTTCAAAAAGTGTTATCAAAGACTACATTTGGTTATGTGGAATTTCTCAAGGATTTGATATTGACGACTCCATATTGAGTAAACTCGATCCTAACGACTTGCGACTGGGACTTATGTCTACTCAAGTTCTATGCAACTCTAAGCCGCTCTGTTCGGCAGAAAGTGAGATCACACTTACCAGTATTTCATTCGAGGCAAAAGATATCATCGAGTCAGGTTACTCACTTGAGTCTGTCGCTTCACAGGCCGATGCCTTATCATTGTCAGACGTTATTGGTGAAAGAACAAAGTCTCAATTCCAACACTCAGTAATGGTCAACGAGTTCGTGGATCAGAACATCATTGACGAGACTTCTCTTTTACAATTACCTAGTTTGCCATTCGAGCCCAATTTCGGGCACATTTTATATGAGCTGGATTTGATATCATGGGACGGACCACAGGAACCAATTTTGATTCCATTCAATTATTTACGAGACGAAGTGATTACATTTGTTTCGTCTCGATCCAGAAAACTAACATTGTCTATGCAAGAATATCTTTCAATGAATGAAGGGCCCAGAAATACCAGATCGCTGTCGAGGTCTCCAACTGAATGGACTCCGGAACCAATTGGGATAGATGAAAATTCCATCGGTTTCCAGCTTTCCTGTGGGCCGTTTATGACGGACTTTTTCCCCGTTGTACAACTATGGGCTCTGTTTCAGATTTCCTTGGACAAAACTGAGGCCGAATTGCTTCAGAGTAAAGATATAAGTGTGAAAAGATTTCTTCGCTGGCGACAGTTTCAGCATAACCCTCAGCATTTACTCCGACTTGGACTAAGCCAAGCCAGGATACATAGTCAGCATTTAGGATCGTAATGATTCCCTTTCAATGCACGAATTTTCGAATTTGATAACAAACACGGTTCTTAAGGGAAATCCATCTTGAGGGTCAGAATGAGCCGTAACTGTAGCACTGAAAAAAGCAGAGTCGAGAGCACCCTCTATGATTCCAGCAATGAATGCTGAGCAGTTTAAATTACCATAATCCTTTGGAACGACAAAGAATTGCGATACCAACGGTACGTTATCTGTAATCATGTATTCGTTGTCAGAGTCTTGAGACTTTTCAAGTTCATTTGCAGATTTACCAAACATGGCAATCCACATTGGCAGGTGAAGAAATTGTAGCATTTCTATGATCTTAATTTCTCTTTTGCCATACTTGAACCCTTCTCTTACTTTTACCAACTCCAAATATCGTTGACCCACTTGATACCCCAAGCCGTTGAGTCTCAGTTCCAAATCCAGTATACCCTTTGATTGTCTATGAGCCCAGCTGACTATCTCACAGAACAAGAACGACAACGCCGACAAGTTGATTTCGGCTGATTTTCGATTGAGATTACGATCGTATATGGAATTGAGGGAAGTAGGTGTGAGGCTAATGGTCTTTTTATTGAGAATAATATTGGATGATTCGGGTGTTATAGCATTGGAGCTTGGTCCCACGGCTGGATTATACCCAAAACCGGGACTAGAGTCCACGGGAAGACTTGAAAGGGACGAAACAGACGGCTGTATGATTTTGTCTGTCATTACTGAAGAGAGAATCACCGCGAGTAAAATATACGTTGTCTTATGTGCAGTATATTTAAATGGTTCCGTTGTTTTGCAGCCATTAACAACCCGCTAAAAATGGTTGTTACAAAGCACAATGAGAAGTTTCCGGGGGTTCGAAGGAGTACTAGGTTGAAGAAAAAGGCGATTCCTATTCAAGCATCTACAATTGGGCCATCTTTGTCAAGTTTGAGATTAATATTCACCCCTGATCGGCAGAAGAAGGGAATACTTTTTGATGGTTTAGTAGAGATGGGCGGCTGTCTTGCTACTTCAACACCCAAGAGTAATCAACTAGAGAGCTCAAGAGTTAAGCAGATCCAGGATCAAATAAAGGAAAAGATTTCGAAGGGATCATCAAGGCCAGTGAGTGAACAGAAGAAAAAGTCAGCAAAATCGTCAGCAGAAAGTGAGGAGAAGTTGACTAATGTCGAGATTGATACATCACAAACCCAGAAAAAGGAGAAAGTAACGTCATCAGACAAAGACTTTTGCCCTGAAGTTGACCAGGCTCCTCCATGCCAAAACTCAAGTTCACTCAACACTTCCTCCAACCTAACCAAGAAGCCAAGGAAGTACCCCAAGAAGAAACGTAATGCAAGAAGCCAATTGACAACGATGAAGAGAGTAGAAGATAAGGTTTTGCAGCAATTTAGACCTGCAAGCCGCACCCAAATCAATAAACTCAGTCCGTCGAAATCCATCAAAAAAATTCCAGTCGCGCCAAAACAGCTTGCTATCCCCCCACCAAAAGCTTCACCAAAAGCTCCACCCAAACCACCTAAAGCTGCACCGAAAATTCCGCCCAAAGTTTCACCCAAATCTTCAGCCAAAGTTCCTCCCAACGTTCCAAAAGCTCCATTGAAAGTTCCCAACGTTGCTCCTGCAATTCGTCAACCGAATTCTTCAAATACAGCCACAATCAAGCCGTCTCAATTAGCCGACAGACTGCCGCTTGCAACCGCCGTTCCTGCACGCGAGCCCATCGCTTATCGAGACCCGAACATACCATCCTCACCCATTCCTTCGCTTCCCATTCCAAAGAACTCAAAACCAACATACCTTGAGCTTCTAAGAAAATGTGCACCAGGTCCTGATCCCATGAACCTTCTTCGTCCACCAAAACATTGCTGCTGTTCCCATGTCAGACCCGGTCATCGCATCCAGACACCCGTGAAATAAACTCGGCGCGACGAATTTACAATGCAACCCCATGACGACGCCACCAACTGTTCATGAGCCAGGTGATAGCGACGGCCATGAGAAGACGCTAGAATCAGCCCAAGCAGAAGCGCTTGGAAAGCTTCAGCGTATACCTGTATCTCAGCTCAAAGGCATCATGTCTAGGCAACTTGAACTTGAAGTTCAATTAAAACATAAAGAATTACAAATGGCAGAGGATGAAATAGGCAAATGTGAAGCTCAGATGATAGCTCTTCGCAACTTCCTCGAGGTCCGACCCGATGTGAATCTTGAAAATGAGCCTTCAGGTTTCACCACCAAATATCATGACTTGCTCAGTAAGTCCTTTGCGGTCAAGTATTCCGACGTGGAGCGAGAAGAGGCAACAAATAACCTGCGACTGCCCAGTTTGGTAGGAGCAACAGACCCAGTGACACCGGAACCAACATATAGAACCCGATCCACAACGTCATCCTTGCGGCCATCTGCGGCTTACCGCTACCATACTATCGGCTGTCTATATCGCCGCACCGACGGAGTTATCGTCAAGCTAACGTGCCCTGATTGTCGCCGTAGCAACTTTTCATCGGCTCAGGGGTTTCTCAATCATAGCCGCATAGCCCATAGCAAGGAATACACCTCGCAGGATGCCGCGTCACTCAAGTGCGGCGAGATTCTCCCCGATGGGGAACAGGACGAGGAAGGGCTCGCAAGCTTGCAAAGCTTGCGCAATAAGGGACTCGACCCCAACGTTCACCTCAATGTGAACGAGGTTTTTTTTAGTGATGTTAGGGCTCATCTCCCGGTAGAGAAGAGTATTTCGCCATTGGAGAAGACGGAAGCACCGCAGGCGGTACCGGCTCCAAGCCAGCTAATGAAGAAGCTTATTAGTAACGGCGTCACCAAAGATAAGGCTGAGTTTGATGCGTTAGTAGCGAATGCTCGAGAAGAGGTCGGAAGCGCTCATTTGTTTCAGGACGAAGAAGAGGGAGAGGAATTGGTAACAGAAGAGAATGAGTCTAAAAAACGGCGTAAGAGCCGCAGCAGTAGTGTGGCACCCCCACTAAAAATTAAGCTCAGGATGAAGGTTGAGGACAAGAAATAATATCTCATGTATGATCGATGCAAGATCGAAGTCAACCGTTTGCTTGCATTGCTCCTATTAAAATCCTGCACATAACCGAGCGCTGGATGACGTCCTATGCACAATTAGATCCCTCGACACTCAAACCTAAAATACCGCTTAGGCCTAGATTCAAACACAATTATGCTCGACGGGGTATAAGCGCAAGAGGTATATCTTCTATTTTGGCAACATGGCACGTGACTCCATACTAGGTAACATTTTTAAATGTACATATTTGCCAAGCGTTGGTAATTGCAACTGTATTTATGTCGCCGGATTTGTTCCCGCGAGCTATTTCCGATACCGTGACGCCTGTATATTTCGCGTAAAGACGTCACAAATATCGCCCAATATGACTCGCATATGTACGGAGATGCGGCTCATCTTGTTTTAAAAAGAATGCCGCGCAGCACCTTGCTTTGACCAGTCTTGGCCGAGGTTAAGCGACAAATAATCGAACCTTCCTTACAATTTGTAATGTATAGTATCATATCAACTCAAATAATTAAGATTTTTCTTTTTGTTTCCATTTATGATGTCATTTTTTTCGTCTGCTCGCGTCTGTCGCCAGCCATGAAAATTGTGTCTGGATGCGGAATGACGTAATTTCAGTTTTATTGTACCGGTCTAGAACTGTCCACATCAACGTCTCATGGAGAAACGAGGGGGTCAGATTCATCACATTTTTTGCAATCCTTCATTCTAATTTTACTTTTCTTAACTAAAACTTTACATCCTCCAACTGTTTGCAACAGATAAGCCTTTGAGTTTTCGCCACGAGGCTGTGTTATATTGTGTTCCGCCCAGTTCCATATTTAGTTGGCGTGACATCGGTCCAAACTAACTGCAACAACATCACCTAAAAAAAGAAATCGAGTTAATTTGTTCCTGTTCGATTGCATCCTATAAAAATTTTGACGTGAGTCTCTTGCAGTCGTTATTTTAGCCTGTTTAAACTTTTGATGAGCTCATCGCCAGCTGTGTGCCCTTCGCCGGGTTATGGCTTTCCTCCCACTGGTGGCGATTATTTTAGTGCCAAGAAGTCGCCATCAAGACTCAAGTCCAGCATGATTCCAAAAGAACTCCCGGAAGACTTTTCTATGAATACTCAACCCGATTATTTTACCAGTGGTGTGCCTCAGAAAGATGACTATTTTGTAAACTTTCCTCCAAAAGATACCTCAAAAGCTCCCACTCCACCAGTTAATCCACACAAGCAATACAACTCGTTTGGGTCTACCCTATCGCATAACACTGACGGTCACTCGGCACACTCTTCTATGACTTTTGATGACATGAGTGATACCGGCTCCATTCACAAACCGCGATCTACAACTGAACCCAGATTTAGTTTCCATGGGTCACAACCACTGATGTCTCTGCATAAGTCTTCTTCGCCACCACCTCTAATGACGTTAAGCTCACTTCCCCATCAACTGGACGTTGCAAAAACTACTCCACCAGGCTTTACTAAGCACAACACCAGCCCTATGAGTTTGAGCTTTGGCTGTCCTCTGACCCATGTCCACCCCCATCATGCCATACCCATACCCAAAGATAGCAGACCGCTTATTGAACAGCTCCCTCATGTGTCATACCTCCCATCACCAAAATTATCCGATACAATCGAAAATTCCAATACCCTCATCGTGGATGTACGTCCATTTGCCGACTATATCAAGTCTCACATAAAGGGAGCCATAAACATATGCCTTCCGCTGACCCTTTTGAAAAGACAGAGCTATACCATATCAAGATGCGTCACTTCGATGCCTGCTTATGAAAAGTCGATTGTAAGCTCATTCGTCGATAACCACCAATCTCATGATGCAGTAATCTTGTACGATACCACTGGCTCATCGTCAAATTTGTACCATTTAGCTTGCAAGTTTGGTGACAAATCAATATTTAAATCACGCATCTACATCTTGGATGAAGCTTATGCTGTCTTCAAAGAAGTATACCCTGACAACATCGTATCTGGTACCGCAGATATATCGTCCAACAAACCTGGAAAAGAAGACCATCTTTCGAAATCCTTGAGTTCTTGCTCTTTGACCGAAGAAACGAAAACTCCCACCCTCCATTTCACTCCCATTTTATCCAACTTCAAACTTCCGGACACCCCGAGAAATACCTTCAAAATACGCCATAACGAAGAAGTGTTGTCCCCTCAACTAGATTCTAGGCAAACTATAACTTTGGAGAACTCATCTTTGTCTAATGAAGAGAGAGCAAAGCTACCAAACTGGATTTTGCAAACGGTAGACAATCCAATCACCATAGAGAGGGATTTCCAAACGTTGGAGAAGTTTGAAAAGAAGCGGCTCCTTCATGCACTTTCAGGTCAAAAGTTAAAGAGAGACTGTGCTAACGATAGTCATGATGCTTCATCGCCCACCTTTGTACCATCTATAACCTCAGGTATTGAATTAGGTCACAAGAATCGGTACAAGGATATTTTCGTATACGAGCATTCTCGTGTGCGCCTTCAAGAGCAGCAACAACAGGCTTGTGATTACATTAACGCCTCCTACATTGACCCTTCTGGACTTCAAGAGTTTTCTAAGGATCCACTGAAGTTACAGTGTAATTACATTGCGACCCAAGGACCATTGAACAGCACCATTGGTGATTTCTGGAAATGTGCTTTGGATAACCACTGCTCAATAATTGTGTCCTTGACGGGTGAAACTGAAAACGGTGTGGACAAGTGCTCACCATTTTGGAGAGCTGGAACGTACACTTCGAACTCGACTTCGATCGTCGTCTCACTTGAAGAGGATGCTCAAATTGATGAGAATTTGCTACTTCGTCGTTTCACCGTCTCAATGGGAAATAATAAACCACAATCTGTATTACAGATTCATTTGTTGTCTTGGCCAGACATGGGTTCAATATCCAAGTCTGAAGATATACTTACGGTTGTGTTCTTGAAACAGTTCTTGCTGGACAAGTTAAAATCGTCTGATGGTAGGGCAATGATCCATTGCTCTGCAGGATGCGGCAGAACTGGTACATTGTGTGCCATTGATACAATTTTGAGTTTGATGAAAACGAACGGAACCAACGAGTTTGAACGTGATCCCGTTTATGCTATCGTCAATTCATTCCGCAACCAAAGAATATCCATGGTTCAAAACTTGAGGCAATACAATTCTATCTACGACACCATTCTACTTTTTTTGAAGGACGAGGCAAATGGTACGAGACATTGGCGGCACTTGGAGGACAACTGTTTGGTCCAAAATTTTTTGAATACATAAATTAATGAATAATGATATCCGAAAATTACAAACCAAAGCTTAAACAGTTTTGGATTATCTGCGTAGAAGTGTTATCCACATTGAACTCACCAATCTACGTTGTTACATGGTATTTTTCTTACATTTCAGTCCAATTAATCGTAATATTCACTAGCTACCCCCACTCTAAGCGTTCGAAGAAATAGCTTGCTTCAAAGCACCTGGGTTGGCACCAATAACCTTGGTCACAACCGAACCTCCCTTGAGAAGGAGCACAGTAGGCATACTAGAAACTTCGTATTCTTGGGCCAACTCTCCAAATTCGTCGACATCGACCTTGATGAACTTTGCTTGCGAGTATTCAGCAGCAAACTTGTCCAACAAAGGAGCAATCATTTTACAGGGACCACACCATGTGGCAAAGAAGTCGACGACAACCAATCCGTCGTGTTTGAGGGCCTCAGCGAATTCTTCTTTCGATTGGATAGCAGCAACCATTTTCTATTTGATGATATTGAATAACGCGGACACGGGCTTTTATATAGTAGTCGCACGAAAAATCTAGATGACACAAAATTACAAATCCATACCGATTACAAATGTGGCTCACCGAAATAAATTATTAACTGTCACGCACTTTTCGGAATCTACTCGATGACAAAAAGAATATGCTACTAATCACACAGCCTGAGGGAACCTCAACAAGGACTCTTTCCCACGCGCTTCCACCTTCCACTATCTGTACCGCGGCTAATTCTGAAAGCCGACCATAAGACGGCTGCACACGGGGGGCTTATAATTCTATCTGATTTATAGGAATTGGTTCCAAATCATCGATACAGTCAACTGTCAAGCCACTGGATACCTTTTGTAGTAAACTTTTTTTAAACTGGTGGTACGGTGACTCGTCCGATATATTTCTCAATTCCGACTTCGCAGCCATTTGTAGAAAATTGATTGCTCTCTCTACCAATTCGGGCGACAGTGGATCTATGCTTGTTTCAAGGGGATCTCCATCGCACAACACGCCCAATGGTCCGGGTCCATGTATGATGTCAAAGTTGTCTTCTTGTAGCTGGAGAATTTTTTGAAGATTATCGTTGGTTTGTCCACTTGCCCAATGTTCGTTGTACGTCAACTTGTCTGCAAAAAATATTGTGAAGGGATTAGCTGCGAGATTTATTTTGATACTTTCGTCTTGTATGACCAATTGTACTCCAGGAATAACCTGGAGCCACTTACCAATCTTTCTGTAAGGCACATTGCTTGTTTCGTTAAACTGATTCATAAGATTATCAAAATCACGTATTTTCCAATCAAAGACTTGCATTTGGCCGTGGTTTCGGGGGACAAATCCATAAGTCATCATAAACGATTGAATTTTTTCAATTGGAGAATAGCTGATCAAGATCTCAATTACATGTTCTGTAGGAGACTTTTCCACTTTTGTATGGTCTAGTTTGAGAACAATATCTTCTGTACTTCTATCGACGTCGAAATAAGCATTTTTCTCGGCCAGATGGTTGGCATAGTCGAGATATGGAACTAGAGAAATATTCGTCACAAAGTCTCCCAGGTCTTCACTTAAGGAATGGGGAATCTCAAGGACTCTGGATTTAATGGCCTTGTATATTTGCCAGAACAAATCAAAAGAGAAATGCTGAGACCAAGGTTTCTTCTCAGAAATCTCCGAGTCAAGCCACTCAACGATTGTTTCATACTTCTTTCTTTGTGCTTCAAAAACACTTGCAAGAGATTGTATGAACCAATCGTCATCTTCTGTATTTCCTTGCGGTATATCGACTTTAGTATGTTCGAGCAAGTTGAGATATGGTCCTATCAGCGAAACGTAACCTGTAGATCCAGCTTTGAAAGCGGCCATAAATGCCCAAAAGTAGCACATTAGAACCTCCGTTTCTGTGGAAGGCTCTAAGCTCGTCAAAAACCCTACCACTATCTTCGAAAGTTGTGGATCTTCAACCTTGAGAGTGTTAAGGGTTTCCAAGAGCAGCTCATAGTCGAAAACTGCCCTTTTAGATATAGTTGCAATTACTATATCAGATTCTGGTTTCTCGCCATTATAGAATATACCGTTTCCTCCAAGCTCACTGGAATGAACCGCAATGCCAGGATGCAATTGTACCTTATCGGATAGCCAAGCGTCCATTTTTAAGAAGAAACTTGAGGTTGAATGCAACGAAATTCTCCGATATCGGATAACCTAAAACAGCTATCAATTGCGATAGAGTCAAGAGCCAATGATTATATTCCGTGGAAAAGTGAAGCAAAAGTATGCACTCAAATACCTTCAACTCTTGGAGCAGAAAGGGTCTCTGATGTACGCTAATCGTAACGCTGTTGCGACCGATTTGCAACGGTATATCTGGTGCATGGATGCGAGCTCCAAAAGAAAAAATTGCACCCTGTCGAAAACCGTAACCATGTCTTGGGACGATGATGACTTTGATGTGCCAGCCACCAAAACCGCTGGTGTCTCATGGGAAGATGAAGATAACGACGATCCTCTTTTAGAATCTTGGGATATAGACGAAGAAGAAGTTGCACGAAAGAAGAAGGAAGAAGAAGCGAAGAAGAAAGCTGAAAAGGAGGCATTAAAACAGAAGCAGCAAGAAGCCAAGAACAAGAAATTGTCTCAAAAGTCTGGCGAGAGAAAACTTCTCGACATTGACCTTATTGATGAGGAAACTAGACAAGAATTATTGAGAAAGGCACAAGTCACCTCTGATTTGAACAACGCCGCTGACCTCTTCGGGGGCCTTGGAGTGGCCAACGATGATGACTTCGATGTCAACGAGCATCCACGGGAGAGAGCGGCAAAGTTGGCTGCTGCGAAACAAGCGGCTAAGCCAGCAGCACCTAGACTTACCAGAGATAGCCCATTAGAGATGCATCCCTTGTTCCAACCTACAGACAAGGCCGAGTACGAGAAGCTTAGAAAGGCACTTGCCACGTCCCTCCAGCAGCTTGCGGAGGACTCGCCTCTCAATTACTCGTCTGCATTGGGTATAGATCTTATCAGAGATGCTGCCCAGCCTTTATCTCTTGAGAATGTCAGAAAGGTGATTTCAACTTTGAACGTCATTGTCAAGGATAAGGAAAGAGCAGAAAGGCAGGCACGGTTGAAGAAGGCCGGTGGTACAGCCACTGGTGGTGCAGGAAAGAAGAAGGCCAAACCTGCTGTGAAGACGAACGTCAGCGATATGTACAAGAAAGATGCCGGAGACGACTTTGATGACTTCGATGACGACGATTTTATGTAGGTAATAGAAGTTTAATATAATTATATACTCAACTGGGCTTGTAGTTCTTACACTTATCGGGAAGTGTACTCCATTTTTTGTCGAGATCGGGCTTTTCAAAAGGCCCAAAGTCACTGGCCTCCACAATCAAGGGAATCATTGCTCCTGTGGGCATACTCCATTTTCTGTGGTTTACAACCTTCAATAACGACTTGATGAAACCACTGTGAGTTGTCAATGAAATGACCTGGTTGTTGTCGTTGGTGAATACGTCATTGAGGAACAATTCAGCACGATAATCACGATGCTGACCAGTCTCTCTCTCTTTAGGCGACCACCATGGGTCTGGGTCACTGAAATCACTTGGAAGTTGTACAAACGGCCAGTTCTTTACAATGAACTCCTTGTCATGTCTCCTGCTCTCAGAGTCTATTCCATAGGTTTCACGAGCAACCTCCCTCACCAATGGCTTGTATTTATCGTTATGGTCAAATTTGGAAACATTGGTCCAAGTGAGCTCAAAAGTCTGCAACGTTCTTCTCAATGGCGAGGCATAGTACGATTGTGGGAGCGGAGTTCCTTTCTTAAGCTGTTCCTGCCATTGTCCACTCAATTTTTCAATTTGCTGTTCTCCATTGGGAGTGAGAGAAGCATCAAACCATTCGATTTCACCATTGCCATCCTGGATTTGCCAGTAGCACTCCCAGTCTTCCGCGGAGTACATATCAGGGGCAACGTTATGGTACCCTTCACCATGTCTTGCAGCAAAAATCAACTTGTATTTTTTGTCTTCTGATTTCTCGTTCAATGCTTCAATTTTGTCGGTTACATCACTCCACGAGATATTGGAATAAAGTCCAAAGTTATTTCCGTCTATGTCGAAGTTTTCCTCGGTATCTGGAGATGTCTGCTGGAAAAAGCCGTACACTACGTTATACTGCCTTGGAACATTGTCACTTTGCCTGGTCAAGAGACGCTGTTGAGGAAATGCATTGATAGCAGTCACGAAAGTAACCAACGATAAGATCCAACTGGTCTGAACCATACTGACTTCTAATTCAAATTAGCAGAAATGTCAAGTCTTAAGTATATCGATCAGAGCCAGTGGTGCGTAACCACCAGGGGAAAAACGTGCGCATATTGTCATGCACAACGATATAGTGAACATGATTTTAGTTCATCCCTTAAACGTTTTTGAAACTTGCAGCATAGAATTTGCGCTTTATACCCCTTTTTCTTTGCCCGTCGGCTAAATGTCATGGTCCCAAATTGGTGGTTTGAACCTCGGAATAGTAGGTGTATGGAGGTCGTCCTCTGCTAGGAATTGTAGCTTATGAGAAACGCATGTCCATACATGGAACATGTCCAATCTTATGCTCATGTGGATTCGAGCCTGATAATTGGGCAAATTGGTGTGAGCATAACATAGCCGACTTATACTTCTGTCCACATTGCAAACATCATAAGTGTGATACCTCCTGCAAACACAAGATCGAAACCAAGGTTTGTATTGGTTGTAATCGAGATTTCACTGGGACTCCGGAGCTGTATTGTAACAGAAATTGCTTTGTTTGTCCGTTGTGTTCGTCAAGAATCAAAGTATCTGCTTCAAATGTGACAAGCGAGGACAAACCCGCAAAATTGTTCAAGTTTGCTTGTGACAACTGCCCATACACATATGATACGGGAGTAGTCACTCGGCCACAACCCTTGCGTGCAATTTTGCGGGGCCAGCTGCAAGTTTCAATCACTTTTAGACAGTTCCAAAAGCATTGGGTCGAAGACCAGTATGATTATGGACAAAAGATGTCGCCTGCGAGCCTTTCAAATTTGAAATTGTCAAATATATCAATCCCTCAATCGGAGCTGATGAAGTCTATTCCCATTGATGAAGATGAAGACAAGCAAGCACTGAAAAGTATGGGTTCCAAAATGCAATTCGATACATCTCAACCAAAAACAACATCCAACCTACAACCATTAGCCCGGTTGCTCACTGCATCTTGTTCTGTATCATGTTCCGAATGCAATCATGCATTGCTATTACCCAAAGACTCGGGGCCTAGTCTCAAGTGGAAGGCAAGCGATTACTATCCATCAATCTCGGTGATTCAAGACAAGCTTGACTTGAAAGTTGGTTCTTCGAACACATTATACTTTAGCATTCAGAACCCGCTTTCTGAAGATATAAACGTCAGCATTTCATTTAACGAGCATATTCCCAAAACTTTCTTGAAGGAGGGAAGTATAGTCACAGCTATACCTGTCAAAAGTACCACGGTCACGGGATCCCCAAAAGGGACCAAAAACATACCCCGTCATGAAACTCGTTCATACTACCTAGATTCCATACCTCCTGAAACTGGTCCAGGATGGTGCATCCTTCCATTGATCGTCACAGTGGAAAAATACGAACTGGACAAAGTGCATCTTCAAATCCCGGTGCATTTTTCGATCACCACCAGTCGGCCACTGACTGTTAAGGTAGCTGGTGAATCTACCCAAATTTGGAAATATGGTGCTTGGTACCTATTAGATTACGGAGTCTTCAAGGTCGAGCAATCAGAAATCTAATACAAGAATACCAGCAATTTTGGACAAATGTCTAGAATCGAGTGTATCATTCTCCGTGTCAGTAGGTGGTCTTTGGGTATCAAAGTTATTTGTATCATCACCGTCGTAGATTGCTGTATCTTCCAATTCTTTCTCTGGATCCTCCTCGTCATCCATAGGCTTGTCTAAATTATCAATTCCATCTACCGTTGTCAAAGAATTTCCTTCTAAAAGCCGTTCTTCATTGGATCTCAAAATTGCTTCCTGAACGAATAAACGAATTTATTCTTGGCTCAACTTCATGGCTTTGGCGGTGATACGAGAATTCTCATCTTTGAATGCTACTTCATGGAATATTCGGGCTAGCACCGTTTCTGGAATATTGGGTTCAGACATTAGACGTGTTTTGCGATTAGAGCCAAATTGAATTGGCGGTGTGCAGGATTTGCGGTTGCAATTTTGGTGGATCAACTACTGTAGGGTTTTTAAATAGTGCAAGTGTTCATTTCTAATGTAGATCTATTTTGAATGTACCTCAGCAGCTACATCATTCGGATCAATCCTAAAGATTTTATCGGGGTTCATGATCCTGTTAGGATCAATCAGTAACTTTATACGACGCATCAAGTCAACTGGTGAATCGCCAATTTCTTCAAGAAGAAAGTCTCTCTTGCCTAACCCCACACCATGTTCTCCAGTGCACGTACCTTCGTAGCGAAGAGCACGGCGAATCATATTGTGGACCAAGTCTTCAACTAGCTGGTGCTGTTCATGTGAATAGACGATGAAACTGTGAGCGTTACCATCTCCAATATGGGCTACCAAAGTGTTCTCCAAGCCACTTTGGTTCAATTCTGCAACCGTCTCTTCAAGAAATTGAGGAAGGTGAGAGATAGGAACAGCTGCATCTGTAGTCCATAATTGAGCATCTTTATTTTCTTCCTTGCCTTGGTTAATGGTGGACCAAAGAGCGACCTTACGAGCAGACCAGAGTTCCGTTTTTTCGTCGTCATCAGTTGCAAATTGAAATTCTTGCGATCCGTTGGACTTTGTGATTTGAGAAACATGGTCAACGAGTGATTTCATTGAATCTTTGTTCGCAGCACCCATCTTCAAAAATAGAGTAGGATTCTCACTCCATTGACGAGACGTTTCACCAGATTTATTAATGCACTTCATCATGTTTGTGTCAAGCAACTCGATAGCATTCAAGTCAACTCCAGCTCTCACGATCTCTCCCACGGCGGTAGCAGCGTCTTTAATAGTTTTGAAAGGTACAACTGCAACTGATTCCACTGCCGGCTTGACATGGAGACGAAGTGTAGCCTCCGTAATCACTCCAAGGGTTCCTTCACTTCCAACGAATAAACTATTCAAATTGTAGCCAGCACTAGATTTGCGAGGCCGTTGTTTTGTCTTGACAATTGTTCCGTCTGGCAATACTACCGTAAGTGAAAGCACATTTTTGTAGCACTCACCATACCGAGAAGCATTTGTTCCAGAGGCATTGGTAGCACAAATTCCAGAAATAGTGGCACCGGGACCCGGGTCCAGTGAAAACAAAAGGTTATGTTCCGATAAGTAGTCTGCAAGTTCTTCCCATCCTACTCCAGCTTGCACAGTTATATCCAAATCCTCCTTGTTGAGTTTAACAATTTTGCCCATACGAGAAATGTCAATGGTGATCCCGCCTCGGGTTGCAATAAAGTGGCCCTCCAAGGACGACATACCACTGGTAGCTACAACAGGAACTCGAGACTCGTTGCAAATTTTGAGAACTTCTGACACTTCCTCCGTCAGTCCGGGGAATACAACGTACTTTGGTGATTGATCTTTATTCGAGGGATGAACAGTATTGTAGTATGTATCGGAATGAGACTCTCTTTGCTCACTCAGATTGTCAACAACCGGCTGAACACTGTCTGAAGCTTTCACCACTTTGCGAATTTTTTCCACGGCTTCTTCCAATTCAGGGTCAGATGCATACTTGGGAGGGTCCAACATATTCAATGGAAGAGTTGAAGGTGCAATTGAGTCGGTAGTTTTGTTTTTACGATTCAAATCTTGTTCATACAAATATGCTCCCAATATCGAACCACTAGTGAAAATTGCGGTTTTACCAAGTAATGTGTCCGTAAACCCTGAAGGACGTCCTTGGTTCCTCGCGGTGGAGTTGAACCGTACATGGCGTACGGCCTTTACAAAACGAAAAATTGCCCTCGAAAACATTAGAAAGAAAAAGTGGTTGCCATGATTTTATCCGGAGAACCCGATACGGCAACGGATCCGCGCGACTCCGAATTTGGTTACTTCATCTCGTATATTAATAGATCGTTGATATACATCACTCACTGCCCTGTCCGTCTCTGTTGCCTTGACCACCAAACATGTTTTGAAGCATTGGGTTGTTCATTATAGACGAAATGTCAGGCATGTTGCTGGGGTCAATTCCCATATTCTGGGCCATATTGCGAACAGCAGGATTGCTCATCAAACCTTGCAAAGCTTGTGGATTCGACATCATTTCCTGAGCAGCCTGCATCATTTGTGGGTTGCTCAACATATCGGAAAGCGATGGCATTCCTCCACCTTGACCACCGAACATACTGGAGAAATCAGGCATTCCACCAGCTCCAGCTCCAGCACCAGCTCCAGCACCAGCTCCACTAGCGCTACTCAGCTCTGCTTCTCTGCTTGCTACCGAATCATTGCCACCCATACTCTTTTCTAACTCTTCTTCAACCCGACGCTTGGCAGTCTCGTAGCCTTTCTTCATTGCTTCAGATTTGTTGTCGCCTTCTACGTCCAATCCCTTCTTGTAGGACTCCATAGCACCCTTGGCATCACCCAAAGCATACTTGGCCAAACCAAGACGGGAGTATGCCTTGGAGAACGTGGCATCCATAGCAATAGCTTTCTCGGCATCGGCTACAGCCTTATCGTGTTGAGATGCGGACGAGTATGCGGCAGCACGGTTAGAGTAGTATACCACATTCGAACCATCGAGGTTGATAGCCTCGGTATACTTGGCAATTGCTTCGTCAAAATTACGAGCAGACATGGCTCTATTGCCTTCAACCTTGGCGGCGTCGGCCTTGGTTTTGGTCTCAGCATCCACAACCGGAGCTGAAGAGGCCAGCTCCAGCTTCTCCTCGGTAGCAGCAACAGGCTTGCCATTCAAGATATCAAGCAAGGTCTTTCCTTGAAGTTTTTCTGATACAACCTTTGCATCATCATCCTTGTTAACCTCGAAGGCATCGGCAATACAATCAATGGCAACATCCATGGACTCTGAGTAGTCCTCACTGACTTGCTTAGAGGCCACGGCCTGCTTTAAGAAATGGATCACCGAAAGGGCGACGTCTTTGTTGTCGAGAGTCATAATAATTAGCGCAAGAAAGGTGCCGGTGTCTTCTATATGATCTGTCTCGATTTCGAGAACCTTCCTGTGATGCACCCACACACCCATAGTGAGAGAGGCGGCTTGTGAAATCTGGAAACCTGCGGCTGCGAAATTGCTGCAACCTATTATTGCAAAACGTGGAGTCCATTTCGATTGAGTCCCGTAGTGGCCACTCGTGTGAATTGCTTGATGGCAAACGGTATGAGTTTTGACCGAAACATGAGGTAGTGTGACATTTCAGCTGCAATGTCTTCGTGGCTGATTTTAATTTCATTGCTCAATAACCCCAATTTTTTCGTCTCTTCCGAATGTAACAATACTAATTTCTTGTAACGGGTCCTCTTATTTTCAATGATATTTCCAAACCAACTTGAATTTGAATGTTCGTCTGTCCCAAGCTCGTGTCGTTTATCTTCATACTTTCTAAGCTCCCCAGCTAACAGAAGCACTCGATCATGGCATTGTCTCCAGTCAGTAATTCTTCCCAATACTTTATTCACGTTTCTGATAATTTCAATGAGAGTGAGTTCAACCCATATAAAGTACTGAAACATTGTTCTGTAACCATAATCTGGAGTATGGTAATTTGTCTTGATCAGCGGAGTCATGTCGCAAAGCATCTTGGCCAGATACAAGGAATCCTCTCGAATTGTGTTCAAGTCACCCATCTTGATATTCATCACCGTCATGAGTTTGTTAAACTTGATCGTGGTGGACAAGGTACCTAGCAAATTCTCTTTCAGAAGTGAAAGAAATGTTTCTATCTCAGCCAATTGATGGGGCGTAACTTTGGACAGTGACTCTTGTTTGCCAATCACTTCTTTCATCTGATCCAAGGACAGGCTATTTCCCGATGAACTCAAACCTAGAGTTTCATGTGGCGCCGTGTCAAAATTTGGGTGCATTGAAAGACATACCAAAAATATGTTGAGGTTCTCGAGGAGCCTGTTCATTCGAAACTTGGCAAATATCGGTGCAACCGAACCATTAGCTGGGTAATTCAACCATACTTTCTCAACATCGGGAATAAGGCTATGTGGGTTTTTAAGCTTGAAAGAGTGATGCAGTTGCTTAATCAGGTCCAAACCTAGTATGATATTTTGGTTCCCATGAAAGTAGACGATCCAGTCTTTTTTGGTGGTATCGAATTTAGCATTGAAAGCGACTGTGGTGCACTTTAGTGGTATAAAGTGTTTAAAGTAATGCGAGTAGATGAAACTTGTAATTTCTTCCAGATTTCCTCGGTCATTGTCTCCTTGCTTTCTTGACGAAAAAGCAACATAGTCAAAAATGTTGAAAAAGTTCTTCTTATCCTCAAACATAAATTCGAGTCTTTTGTCCTGAAGCAAACTTATAAGGTTTTCAATGCGTCCATACTTTACATAGACTGTCAAAGGTGTTAAGCATTTTGAGTTTGTGCAATTGACATTGATATTCTTGTCAGCTTTCAACAACCCACTCTGGTCTATTCCTTTTAAAAGTATATGCAAAATGCTATTCCCATACTTGTCTGTATGCTTCTTAAAGTTGAAGTTCGGCAGCATTACAGCTGAGAATGCTGTCTTGATGAGGTCGTAATATGCATAGTGGTCATAGCATCGGCAAATGTTAAATAAAGGAGTATAAGAGTTGTGGTCTTTCAATTCCCAATTTACCAAATGTCCCACTTCGTTTATCAATTCGTAATCGTGAAAAAGGTAATGTCCCACAGATCTTCCGCTATAGTCTGTGGAATTAATGTATGCAATTTGTTCTTCTAATGTGCAAGATCCCAATATCTCTATAAGAATTTTTGTTATGATCTTGGTCTCCTCCATGAGTGACACCATTAGCAAATTTTGTGATGTTGTAGTGTTTCGATCAAAGAGAATATCTTCGATCGAAAACCAGTTGGGGTTTCGGCTTAAAAGTAGTAAAAACGTGTCGTAGTTTTTACTTCGAATGGCTAACATCAAAGCACTTTCGCCATTAATATTGCGAGCCTTTAAAAAATGATTGTGTGGAAGCTTGTCGCCATACAATTTGTCCGTCTCTTCCAACAAAGCTGTGATTTCATCAACCTTGTGAGACCGTATCAAGGACCAAAACTCAAAGTTCTTTTGAGATGATTCTTTCATGTCAGCATATTGAGGCTCGTCAGGATGTGAAAGATGGAAGAAAACAGCATCAAAGCTGCTGATAATGAAGCTCAAATATCCATCGTCGGATATAGTACCATACATGAAGTTTTTGATGTAATACAAATGTGCTTCAATGAAATCAATTTTCGAGTGAACAACAACCATGATCAATAATCCAATCAAAGTGTCGGCATCAATCATCAAGCTTGAATTGCTGTTCTCTGTTAAAATGCTGATAGTGTTTGATATAATTTTGAGCTTACTGGACAGCTCTATGATGGTAGCATCAGCCAATTTAGATAGCTCTATTATTGCATTGTAAACTCTTAGCAAAAGATCGTTTAAAAGCCATGGCTCATCCACTGGAATATCGAGTTGATTGAGCGACAAACAAGAAAGTTCGTCGTACTTTTCCGCGGTGAAGATTTTGGTAGCATCTGGATCCGCAAGCCCTGCGTTGGCACTGAACTGGAAGATCAACTGGGCCCACAACTTGTCATACAAATTAATTTCAACATATTCATGTACCAACTTGTTTAAGTCTAATTCGGGATACGATCTAAGGATTTGGTGAAGAAGGTTATTAGTTTGCTCGCCATCTGGGGAATCTGACTTGACGCTATTCAGGATGATTTGGTATGCCTCCTCGAGCATATTATCAAACTCCAGTTTGATGACACTCAATTTTTTGTGCGTATTGGTTCTTAGAACCCGAAATTGGTAGTTGTTGTGGTGAAACAATTGATAAAATGGGTCAGAGACTGACTTGGAGAGGAGTGGAAAATTTCGAAGTAATCGTTCAAAAGTAATGCTTTCAGTTGGAACTTGGTCGGGTCGTTTGATTTTGGCTTGCTGCGCTTTTGGGGAAGCTTCTAGAGCGGGTTCAGGATGATCAGATGAACCATATAGACTATTATCGATATAGATTAGCATGAACTTGCTGCCACTGGGAAAGTAATCACAGAACGAGTCAAAGTAGCCAATATCGGTAATTTTGGCTCGCAAGCTTCTCCTGAACCCCTTGCCTGTAAATATCATTCCATTTTTGACGAGAATTTGTTTTCCACAAATCGTGTTATAAATAGCCAGTTGCACCTTGGCGACTGGGGCAAGAAAAGCATGAGAGTTGCTACCAGTTTTCACTATATGGGACCTAATAAACTCCTCATTATGATAAGCAAGGTCATGGAGGGCAATTTTTGAACTCGATTTCAAACTTTCGGGATCATAACTGTTATGTAGAAGAGAAGACGGTGGCACAATGATAGTGAAGTCGGTATGCCGAGATGCAAGTTCGTGAATTATTTGCTTATAGGGAGCTCGTGAATGGTTTGGGTTGTTGAATATGCAATTGAGCAACGGATTGTAAAGTAATGGTAGGTTTGAAGGTCTACCATCCTTGGCCATAACTACCACTTTTACAAGATTGTGAGACTTGCACAGAGTAGGTCAGTAGTGCGCGCGATATCACTTGGGCTATTTCCTATTTAGAGTGGTCAATTGGATTCCTGGGTTGCTGCCCTCATCCCCACTGACCCGGTATATATAGCAGGCGGAGCGCTAGTAATTTTATAGTCAACGTTCTTTAGCTTCAGATTTGGGTCACCGTACCCTCCTCCACCTGGAGTCATAATGATGACATGATCACCTTTTTGCACCCGAACTGTACACTTGCCTCCTAACGAAATCTCCCTGTAGGTATCAGAGGTAGCCTCCTTGCGGTACCAGGTGTTCGTTCCCCGAAGTCCATCTTTTCCGCCCAAAATTCCGAAAGGTGCGAGTGCTCGTCTTTCCGTTAAACAGGAAACTTCAAGATCATCAAACGTAAACTCAATGTCTCTGATGACTCCATTTCCGCCATGGCGCACACCGCTGCCACCCAGACCGTGCCTGATTTGAAATCTATGCACAATAACCGGATACCTTTTTTCAAAAAGTTCAGTATCGGTGATTCTGGTATTCGTGGTATGGCATTGCACAGCACTCTGACCATCCCAAGTTGGCCCTGCTCCCGATCCACCACAGATGGTCTCGTAGTATCCAAACGAAATTCCCTTCTCTTTGTTGGAGACACCAAAAGTAAAATTATTGCAGGTTCCTTGAGATGCTGCAGCTGCTTCAAATGCCTTCAACATTACATCTACTATACGCTGGGTTGTTTCCACGTTTCCACCTACCACTGCTGCTTCAGACGAAGGAGACACCACCGAGCCTTCACGGGTCTTGAACTTGATAGGCCGTAAACATCCATTATTGAGAGGAATATCGCTGCTTATCAATGATCTCAACACATACAAAACAGCAGAATACAAGATAGCTTTGGGAGCATTCAAATTGCCGTACATCTCGTTGCCGGAGTTTGTAAAGTCAAACTCTGCAGTACCCTCTGAAGCGTTTATAACAATCTTGAGAGCAATTGGAGTTCCATCGTCAAGATAATCTATTGCTTCAAGATTCTTACCTTCAAACTTTTCATTGGCATACCGTAAAAGATTCTTGACAGCAACCTCTGCTGTTGACTGAATGGCACCCATGTACAAGTCGATAACTGAATATGAGAATGTATCGATCAAGTCCTTTAACAAGGTGATACCCTTATAGTTGGCAGAGACCTGAGCCTTAAGATCAGAAAGGTTATCGCTCAAAGCACGAGACCCGGAACCACCAGGATGCTTAGCAGGCTCGTCAACAAGCAACTTGGTGATTCCAGCCTCATCAAATTTCCCGTTCGAGCACAACTTGAAAGTCATGATTGCAGCACCTTCGTCAAAGATAGTTTTCGAATTTGGAGGCATTGAACCAGCAGAAATAGACCCTATATCTGCATGGTGACCTCGTGAAGCAGTCCAGAAAATAGGGTTCTTATCTTCATCCAAAACAGGAGTTATCACTGTAATATCAGGTAAATGTGATCCGCCTGCCAGAGGATGGTTGGTGACGAGAACGTCCCCATGATCGAGTTTCCCCTTCCACATTTCTAGTTGAGCCTTCACGGCAAACGACATGGCTCCTAGATGAATAGGAACATGGGGAGCGTTTGCTACCAAATCACCATTTTTGTCAAATATGGCACAAGAAAAATCTAGCCGTTCTTTAATATTGGTAGAAACTGGCAGTTTGTTGCAAAGTTCGACCCATCTGCTCTGCAATTGACATGAATCTATGGCCAAATACAGAGAGCTGAATTGGATCCACCACGTTGGCGGAGAGTTCTGGAGCACTGCCTTGCTCGATGGAGATGAGCACATGGCTTTTCAAAATAGTTGCAAATGAAAAGGGCTCAATGACAATCGTCTGAGTTTCATCGAGAATAATTGCTGGACCATGAACCAAGTTCCCTTTGACAAGATCTTTCAACTTGTAAATAGCCGTTTCTATCCATCCTTTGCTTTCAAAGTAGACAGATTTGTGGGACGCAGAAGAGTTAGTTTTCTGAGTTTCAATGCTCTTGACCTCTTCAAAGGGATTGCACGTCTCTTTGTCGCGACCCTTGACTACAAGAATAACCTGAACATCATCAACAAGTACCATTCTATCCAAGGTGAACCCAAACTCACTTTTGTGTCTCTGAACAAAAGAGTCAGCAGCATCGTAGTGCTCATTCTTGGGGATAAGCAAGTGGGTATCGGAACCAACATATCTCATATTCAACATGACTTGAACGCTGGTCTCAAATTCTACCAAATTTTGCAGCTCGTAGTCCTTATACGCATCGTTCACCAACCCTTCCACAGTCCTGTCAATCAAGGCATAATTATCTTCAGAAATAGGCACAAGTGAGCGGTGCTTGCTTCTCTATCAAGATATCGGCGAGCATGATTCCATGAGCAGATAATAACGAAGAATACTTGTGAATTGCAGCCGATCGGATCAGAAGATTCTTGGCTAGGGCCACTGAAAATTGACCTCCAGATCCACCAAAGCATGCCAAGTTGTGCTCTGAAGTTTTGTAGCCCTTTGCTTCTGTGATATTTCTGATCGGTCTGGCCATGGCTTCCACTGCAACCTTGAGAAAACCTTCTGCCACTTGTTCTGGAGTCATAGCTTCTGTGCTTTCCTTTTCCTTGTTAATGACGGCGGTAAGCTCCTTGAATTTTTCAGCAGTAGTTTTGGCATCGAGTGGCTCGTCATGATTTGGACCAAAAATGTTTGGAAAGTGTTCAGGAATCAATCTTCCCAAAAACAAATTCGCATCAGTTACCGTCAAGGGTCCTCCCTTACGATAGCAAGCCGGTCCAGGATCAGATCCAGCTGACTCAGGGCCAACGACAAACATCCCATTCTTCCAAAAAAGCATGGAACCTCCTCCAGCAGCAACCGTAGATATATCTAGTTGTGGAGTTTGTAAACTTACTTGGCTAACAACCGTCTCATAAATGTGCTCCAATGAGTCGCAGTACCGTGAAACGTCGGTAGAAGTTCCACCAGCATCAAATCCAATAGTAGCTGTTCTTGACTTGGTATCGTAGCATGTTTCACCGTACCCAACTACACCTCCAGCTGGTCCAGAAAGAATAGCCTTGAGACCGGTAAATCCTATACCATGGAGCAAGTCCACCATTACTTTGCATAAACAAAAGTTTGTTACCAAAAGACTCCAACCCACCTTCAAATCCAGCACCAAAGCCTTCCATGTACTCTTGAATTACTGGCGATAAGTAAGCATCGGCAACAGTCGAAGATGTTCTGTTCACCATACCTATCATGGGTTGAAGTTCATGGGACACCGAGACAGAAAACCCGATTTTTTTGCAGATTCTTGCAATCTGCTTTTCGTGGTCTGGAAAAGCGTAAGAATGCAAAAGGCAGAGTGCAATGGTCTTGATCTCACCTTTATCATGTAATTGCTGTAAATCTGCTTCAACCTTTTCATAATTGGGCCTTTTCACGACCCGGATAACGTCTCCAGTTGGACTACGTACGAGATTAGGTTCAGAATCCACATCAATTTTCAACTTGTCTCCTCCTCCTTCGGAAAAAGTTTCAATAGTTATACGCTCGTCAACTTCGAGCACCAGTTCATACAAGTGTCCAAGCTTTTTCTGCTGTGAGATCAAAAATATTAGGACGAGTTTGGTTGCCTATCGCAAGTACATCGTGGAATCCCTTGGTTGTTATCAAGCACACCTTTGCACCTTTACGTTCCAAGAGAGCATTAGTCGCAACTGTAGTTCCCATTCTAATACTCTCAATCAGCTCCAAAGAAAGCAATTCGTTCTTAGGGATTTTTCTTTGTTCTGTTCTTTTTCCAATACTCTACGGATGCCTTCAGTTGGAGCATCTTTGTAGTTTTTCGGATCAACAGAAAGGAGTTTGAATACATAGTCTTGGTGACCCGGAATCTTGGCAATAACATCACAGAAGGTTCCACCACGATCAATTGCAATCAGGATGCCTTTGGAAACCATATTGGATAGAAGGTCTTCACCGTTGGGTTTTTAAATTTAGTCGTTGTTGTCTCTTATTGCACGGCACTGACTTCGATTTATGATAGCCTGTATATTAGCGCGGAGAGAAGATAAGTCGCGGGAATGGCTGCAAATCGCCATAGTGCTATGAAGCACGAAGGATTATTACGTTAAGCCATGTTACATATGGCGCTTGATAAGTATCTATTGGCTACAAGCAGTTCAAAAAGTTTTCATGGAGTACCCATTAACCTCGTACCTGGGTTTGATATTTCCAAAAACTCTTTCATCTTGCTCTTTCGAAGGTTCAGCTGAAAGGTAATCTCTAACAGATCACAATTGAGCGCTAGTTTCAAAAGACATGTCCTTCTCTGTCTTTCTTCTCATTATTTCTCGGAGGTAACCTCATTTCTTTGTAATCATTCGTCCATATGATCGTTGCTACATGGAGTCTAGACTAGAACCTCTGCAAATGTTCAGTCTCTTTAAATATCAACCAAGCGGTTCCTCGTCAGTCTTGTACAACCAAATTGCCCAATTTGTCATAAATTTCTTCCACTTCGCTGTCGTCAAATTCTTCTTCAACTTTTTTGGTGACAAAGTTTCCGAGCGCATCAACCTCCACTTCTTCAGATTTCTTCTCTGACTCGACTTCATCTTCGGATTCTCTCTCTGAATCATCATCTTCTTCTTCATCGCTGCCGTGTCTATTAACATTACCCATCATCCACAAGTCTTCATTTTTCGCCTGTTCTTTTCGATTCTTGGCCTCGTCTTGTATTCGTTGCAACCATTCCTCCTGTGCTTTATTGACCGAGTCAGAATCTGAACATTGCATGTATATCTCCAAGAGCTCCTTGTTGATTTTCAAAAATGTCAATCCCCAACTAAAGTTTTCGAGAAGCACTTCGGCCCAGTCCCAGTGTCCAACTATGGCAAAACAGGCAGCCAATGCTTCAACACAATTGAGTCGCCAAGGTCGACCATAATTCACTGGGTTTGCTGCAACAAGGTACGGGAGCAATCTCTCGTGCTTTCCTCCAATTTTGTTGAAGGGTACTTCGTCCAATCGTGCCCATGAACATTCTACTACCGAACTTCCAAACTCCTCTACAATCTCTCTGTCATCAGGACATACTACTCCCTTTCCATTTGGAGACACTACCACACCACTAAACTTCTGACCAATGCGTAAGTTCTTTATGAGACCCAAACGCTCCAATTTTTTCCCCGAACACCGTTTTGGATCACAATGATCAAAATCCCACATTGCTAGTTTAACTGGAAGTCGATCATTTTCAACATTTGTGGTTCGGGATTCTTGCCTACCTTTCCTCAAGTGATGCTGTTTCGATTTATGGCCATTAGAAGTCTGGCGTGACTTGCTTTCGCTGACTTTGTTTTTTCCCTTCATCAAAGAAAGGTGTTGAAATTGCGATGGCCATCGAGGGAGTGCACACGTGACCTACAGGTAGATAAAGGCAAGTACCATAAATTAGCCTAGTATTATACACGTTATGAAATGCAGCAAGCACATTAGAAATCCTCATCGAATGCAAAAGCGTCAGCGACGGGAGCATTGGCGTCGGCGTTGCTCTTGGCCATAACACCAGCCTTTTGGTAGTCACTGACTCTCTTCTCGAAAAAGTTGGTCTTACCGGCCAACGAAATGTTCTCCATAAAGTCGAATGGGTTGGCAACGTTGTAAATCTTTTTGTTACCTAAAGCCACGAGCAATCTGTCGGCAACAAACTCGACGTATTGGCACATCAACTTACAGTTCATTCCCAACAAACTGATAGGAAGAGCATCGGTGAAGAATTCCTTCTCAATGTCAACGGCTTCGGTGATGATCTTTTCGACGATCTCAGGGTCTGGTCTGTTCTGCAAGTGGGAGAACAACAAGCAAGCAAAGTCGGTGTGCAATCCCTCGTCACGGCAGATCAATTCATTCGAGAATGACAAACCTGGCATCAATCCTCTCTTCTTCAACCAGAAAATAGAAGCAAAGGATCCACTGAAGAAGATACCTTCAACAGCAGCAAAAGCCACCAATCTCTCACCAAAGAGAGCATCATCGTCATTGATCCATCTCAAAGCCCAGTCGGCCTTCTTCTTAATACATGGAATGTTCTCAATGGCATTGAACAAAAAGTCCGCCTCCTTGGGGTCTTTGATGTAGGTATCGATCAAGAGAGAGTAGGTTTCGGAGTGAATGTTCTCCATCATGATTTGGAAACCGTAGAAACACTTGGCCTCGGGGATTTGTACTTCAGCGGAAAAGTTCTCCACCAAGTTTTCATTGACGATACCGTCAGAAGCAGCGAAAAACGCCAAGATTCTTGAGATAAAGTATCTCTCGTTGTCATTCAATCTGTTGTTCCAGTCGTGCATGTCCTTGCCCAAGTCAATCTCCTCTGCGGTCCAGAACGAAGCCTCAGCCTTCTTGTACATTTTCCAGATCTCATGGTACTTGATGGGGAACATCACGAAACGACGAGTGTTTTCCATCAACAAGGGTTCTTCTTTCTCCATCTCCTTCAACTGGTGACGATGAGCCTTGTGCTTGCTCAAAAACTTTTCGTGTTCAGCATCAGTTGGCACCGCCGACTTATCTTCGGGTCCTGGAGTCAAAATGTTAGCCTTGTGGATTGTGTGGTCGTTCTGGGCCACGTCCTTGGCCTCAGCTTCACCTGCAAGCTTGTCGCTCAACGACTTTCCTTGCATAGTAGACATGTCTAAGTTGTTAATTTTTCCTGTTAATCCTTTTGTGGGAGTCTCCTGTACCGACATTTGAAGATAAAAGTTGAATGATAATTTATTCAGGGAGCACCGGTGTATTTATATTACTTCGCTCCGAATCGGATATGTAACGAACAAAACAAATACTCAATTGCTTTCGTTCCTCGATGAGCGTGCCTGCACCGACGCGCGCCACGGTGGGTCAGGCAACGCGCCGCGTGTCCCGATGAGAAGGAGATAACCCAGCAAGTTTTGGGGTGGTCAATTTGATTAGAAAAATTCCATGGTGTCTCTATAGGCTCAGATTAGTACTCTGCAGCTTTTTCGGCTTCATCACCTCATCAATTGAGGTGGAAACTTGTGATACAAACGTGTCTTTGTCACGTGTGTTTGTTTACAAGATACCCAACGCGTATAATTACTAAGACGTGTCTCCTAAAAACACACGTCCAAGTTGCGCGCCGTGGGGCAACACGTCCTACATGCGGAAAGATATCCTGACGCATCATGCACTGGACTCGTTCCGAATTCGGCACTCGGGTGCTACAATCGGTAATTTAACAATAATACACTGGGATGTCTACTTTTGCAACTGCTCCTATTCTACTTTCCATTGGTAGCCACCAAGTTCTGGTATGGGTGCGACTCGTCAATTGGAGTAGGCATGTCAGCAATTGGTTCCAAGCCTTGTGGTGAACTGAACGATGACAAGTCAATAGGGTCTCCTAAAGATCCATTTTGGTTTGGTCTAAAATGTGCCGCCAAGTTTTGCTCGCTGGGGGTAGGACTAGCAATATTTTCGCTGAAATTGTCAAACGCAAAATCCCCATCTCTGTTAAGTGGTTGAATAGGACTGACCGGCACTGAGCCATAGTCAGGCATGCTAATACGAGGCGATTCGATGGATATTTCATTGGCATCGAGTTCCAAACTGTTGTAGAGCTTGATAATGTTGCCGGATCCTTTAAAGTTACCCTTGCTGTAGTTTTGAGAAATTTTCTCTTTGAACACTTGTCTCCATTGAAACTGGTCCCAATCCTCGGCTTTTGCCTTGTGAAGGTTCTTTTTCACTGTATCTATAGCATCGTTCATGGATAAGTATTCGTAGTGAGGTAAAGATGGGAGTCCAAAAAGCAAGGATTTGGAATCCTTTTTGTCTGGGATCAAATGTTCTGGACGTCCATAGAGCTTGAATGCATCGATCATATCCAAAAAGTTCCGCAACATGGTTTCAACGGCACTGACTCCTGGGTGAGGAACAGGCATCAAGTACATGTAATCTGTTACAACGTAGTCGTTGATGTTTTTCTTAATGAACTTGGTGGTGTTGCTGCTAGTACTTGACGACCGAGAACGGGTGCCGTTCGTGTCTAATGGTTGTGGTGAAGGGGCGTTCATGAAAAATGACGTAGTGGAGCTGGAAGATACCTGTCTCAGATGATTACCATTGGCAGGTGGAGCCATCGACGACAATGAACCGGAAGAATCTGATCTTGCAAAGACGGTATGCGTGAAAGATGGCTTTGGAGGAGGCTGTGCCGTCGCCAATGAACCATCGTTATGCACGAACAAGTATTCGTAGTTCTTGTTGACGTATATCTCACCGCTCACCTTCATGATGGAGTTGAAGTCGATCATATTTGCCTGTTCCGGGTACATATTGAAAACACTGTTTACCACAGGAACGTACAAAATGAGATTCTTTTTCGATACCTTTTCGCTGGAGTAAATCTCGATACGGCCATATTTCTTGGAGTCAGAAGGGATGATTGCCAAGTATACTTTCATCCATTTTGAAGAAATTTGGGGTAATCTAAGATTGCACCATTCAAACTTGGAAAACCGTTTTTTATGCGACAAAAGAATATGAATATCGGAAAACTTGCTTGCTTTCATCGATAGTATCACAGCAGTGAATGCCTCGTTCAAGGAGATGGTTTCGAAATTGGAAATCTCGATGGCAGCCACCCACCTACTGTAGTCTGCTTCTGAGAGGAATCGGAGCACAGTTGAGCTATCATAATCATGCGAGATTGCCAACTGATATGGACTGGAGTCGAAGCCTGTATGGTTTAATTTGACGGTTGAATCGGCCAAGTTTATATACTTTGGCTTGAACTCATCGTTATCGTATTCGTCGCCTTCTGCAGTTGTCTGAGACGCAAACCAAATTGCCAACTCATTGCCGGTCAACTTGGCATCAGCCTCTATCCATTCTCTTGTTCCTTGCGCACTCACCGTCGGTACGAGTACGGTACCGATGGCGTACGTACGTAATTTGTGGGCATTGATCAAATTGACGATGGGTGCTAATTCAGGCGCAAGATTCTCGTTGTTGACCCGGTTTTGAGCAAGAAGTGATGTTCCGTTTATCGATGACGTGATGGACAGCGTGCGGGGTGATAATGCGTCCGTGTTGGGGTTGTCATAGGAGGAAAACGAGTTGGAATACACTCGCAGTTGGCGGACGAGTGAAGCAGGGCTCGATCTGACTCTCTCACTCAAAGTACGACGCTGAGGCAGTGATAGAGCTGGAGGCGATGCTGTGTCGATGCGAGGAGGCCTGAGAGGCGAAAGCTTTGGTGGGGAGTTCGTCATGCTATTTCTGGACTGTGGTGCGGAATCCGATCCGAGCGATGCCGGAGTTGCAATCGTAGGTAAAGGTTTGTTTCTATCACCCTTCAGGGGAACCGGAGGAGGAGACAAAGCAAATCCCGGAGTGGCTTTGTCTTTCTTTTTGAATAGTGAAAAAGGCATGTTTTAAAATCAAACCGATGGGATTTTTAAAAAGGCCAACAGTGCCAAGCGACCAAGAAAATTGCCAAGGAAGGGTCAGAATAGAAACCAGAGTATAGTGATGTACCGGAAACTATATATCTATAATGGAAGACCCAGGTCACTTCTTTGGTGTTAAAAAGAAATCACCGATATAGTAGTGGCAACAGCAATTGGGAAAAGAATAAGGAGACACTAAATATGCGACCGGAAATCCTGACAGGAGAGACTGCATAAAGCCCCTGCACAAAGGACAGTAACGGTTGCTACGGGTTAGAAGGCTGAGTCGTGAAGTAAATGAGGCTGATATGCAAGATGTAAGGTACGGTAGCGGTGCTTCTAAACTGGCGAAAAAAAACCTGTTTTGAGGCTATGTGGATGATGACCACGGTGCCGCGGACGAGATAAACGTGAGTGAAAATTCGCGCATTAGAAAACGGGCACATTTGCGAGCATTTTTGTGAGGGCACTGCGACCAAACGGCGCGAGACGAGCCTTACCTAATTGCGATAACGGTGCGAATCACCACGGTAATTGCAGCGAAGAATTATTCATAACTAGATGGTCGCTCATAACAGCACACGGACACCATAATTATTTTCCATCATATAATCGGCCTTCTATAAGCCTCCACCGAAGCCGAAGCCCTCCACCAAAACGGCATCTTCATCACCATTTTCGAATCAATCTCGGGCCGAAACCTTAAATTTTAACTACTTCAAATTGCGAGGTGAACGGAACCGCAGCTGAACTGTCGGAGAAACTGGGGACGGAGAGAGGCGAAGACCCTGACGCAACTCGGCAAAAAGGTGTTGCAGCCACTTATTGTTTTCACTGACATGTTTGACGTCATGGCGCATTGATTGGGAGGCAGTGTATCCGTAATTGACGTAATTTTGTGAATTGAGATAAGGCTGTAATCGACATTTCGCGTCAATATGAGGTTCCATTGATGTCAAAGATACCTGTAATGGCTGTGAATGTCTATTTATAGCCATGACGTGATGGCTCTTGAGCTAGTTCTCGCATTATTTTGTTATAATATACATATTATTTATGGCATTTATATTTTCTTGACTCTGTCACCTACAAACTTCTTTACTTCCCTTCTGTCATAATCGATTCTTTTCATCTATTTCTCCATGTCTTAACCTTATCACTCCTATTATCAGTGCGCCGCAGTCCCGCGAAATGCGAACCGTACAGGACTCTTCTTAAATGTCATATCTAGACAACGTAGAGGCACCGAAAAACCATTTGGACGATGCAGATTTCGACTTTCTTGTGTCTCAGCTCTTTACCAAGGTTGATGGGGTCTCACATCAAAATCTTGGTGAGTTTCCAACAATTTCTTCAAAGAAAGTCTACGTTATAGAACAATTCATCAAGCAATGGAAGACGTTTATCGGTCCTGATATCATGCCAGCGGCTCCTCTCATATTTCCTAACAAAGCCAAGCGATTGTACTATATCAGAGATACCACCCTTGCTCGTTTAGTGGTTAAAATGTTGAAAATTTCACCTAAATCTCAAGACTACGATAAGCTATTCAAGTGGAAAAAACATTACCATGAATATAAACACCATCATAGACGAGACACCAGAAACTTGAAGTCGTTGCCGTTTATCATTGCCCAGATATACTCTGAAAGACGAGATCCTGACAAAATAGTCAAGCCAACCATCAAGATTTCAGAGGTCAATAAAGTTCTCGAAACTTTGACCACAGATGAAGCATCCAAGTCAGCCCAACAAGTAGCAATTCTCGAGCCAGTGGTGGAGAAGCTCACTATAGAACAGTTGCGGTGGTTTTTCACTATTCTTCTCAAAATATCGACTCTTGGATCATTCGAAACTGCTTTCTTTGAACGATGGCATCCTGATGCTCCTCGCTTATATGGTCTTTGCAATAACTTGTCAAAAGTTTTTTGGCTCCTTACTGACCCCGAGGTTAGACTCACAGATGATCAACTCACTATCCAGCCATTTTACCCTTTTCTTCCTCAGCTCTCACAGAAGGTTAACATATCGTACGAAAAGCTTTGTGCCAGAATGAACAATGCATTTTATATCGAAGAAAAGATGGATGGTGATCGGATGATACTACACTTTCAAGACTCGAGATTCAAATTCTTTTCTAGGAGAACAAAGGATTATACCCTTCTCTATGGAGCTAGTTTTCAAATAGGCTCATTGACAAAATATCTTACCGATGCCTTTCATCCAAGAGTGAAAAGTATCGTTCTAGATGGAGAAATGGTTGCCTGGGACTTTAAGCGAAAGGTTATTCTCCCCTTTGGGACTCTCAAGACTTCTGCTGTTCAAGAAGCTGTTCGGCAGTTTACCACAACGGACGTTTTTGAAGAACAATCTGCTTGGCCCTTATTTATTGTTTTTGACGTTCTTCATGTCAATGGAAAAAATTTAACAAACCACAAGCTTTCTTATCGCAAACAGCTTCTCCGAAGCTTGATCAATGAGATTCCTCATAAGTTTGAACTATTGCCATTAATGAAGGGTTCAGATCCTGATGATATCAAATTGGCCATCAAGAACGTGATAAGCGATAGAGGCGAGGGTTTGGTCATAAAGAATGTTGATCTGAAGTACCACGTTGCCCAGCGTGACAATTCTTGGGTAAAAGTGAAACCAGAGTACTTGGAGCAATTTGGTGAAAATTTGGATTTGGTGATAATAGGCTTGATCCCTGCAGTGAAGAACTCGTACATGTGTGGATTGCGAGACAAGGAAAACGGCAACGTTTTTAAATCGTTTTGCACTGTAGCCAATGGTTTTACAGAAGGTGAATTTGATCGACTTGAACGTCTAACTGCGGGAAAATGGAATAATTTGAAGACAAATCCACCACCTACGGATCTTATTCAATTTGGGCGCAAAAAACCCGATTTCTGGATCAACCCAAACGACTCTGTCGCTCTTGAAATTAAAGCAAGGTCAATCGATGTGTCATTGGAGGAAACATATGCAGTGGGAACCACTTTGCACAATCTCTATTGTCGTCGTATAAGAGACGACAAACTAATTGAGGACTGCGTGACGCTTCAAGAGTACCGTGAAATGAAGCTCAAGTACTCTAGTGACTTTAACAAATCACAAACTATTTTGCAAGGCAGAAAAAGAAAAGCAAATTCATTTTTACTCGAGCAGGCATCGAAGCAAGTAAAAACTGAAGTAACTTCCAATTTATTCAGCAACTTTCAGTTCTTGATCCTATCTGATTGCAAGAAATCCAGAGACAATGAACGTCTTTCGGTAGAAGATCTCAGTCGTATAGTGAAGCTGCATGGTGGAATGCTTATACGGAGCCATAAATTGGCCAAAGAACCTGATCGGCAAACCATCGTCATATCTGAGGTAGCAATTCCTTCCACCGAGGCAATAGTAAACTATGGATTGGATATCTTGAAGCTGGTGTGGGTTTTCAATTGCATTGAAAGTAATGCCATAGTTCCTTTAGAGCCTTCTATGATCTTTCGAACGAGAAGTGTGGATCTACTCAAGAATTCTCTGGCACGACTAGATGTTTATGGCGACAGCTTCACACAGCGAGTTGATTTACCAATTGTTGAGTTTTGCAGACGCATTGAAAATCCACAATTAACTGACAATGACATCAAATGCGCTAAAGAAGAGTTCTTGCACGAATTGGGAGACAATCCTCCGTTGGCATTTCTATTCAATGATGTCAAATTCCTCATCGTGGCAGCTCACAATTGGGCTAAGGATGGGTTACGCCGCAAGGTTGAACGATATGGTGGACAAATTAGTGAAACTTTGGGAGACTGTTCTTTTGTAGTGGTTGCAAATGAAGAAGGTGATGAAACACTTGCGGCACGAATTGATGTTATAAGTCACGATATTGCTGATTCGGTGTCGTTTTCCAACTCATCCAACTTGCCCATTCCCAGCATAGTCAAATCCAGCTTCATTGACCTGTGCATAGAACATAGGGTGCTCGTCGATGCAGCCGATTTCTCTATCGGCAGGAAATCGAAAATGCGAAAAAATTAGAGGGTATCTCCGAAATTGCCAAAAAGATCCTGATCAGTGTTTTCATCTCGACGGAATATATCGCAGGTGAAGAACAGAATTCGCTGGAGCAGGTGTTGGACTTTGCGCCACTTTTTGCAGAATACGCTAGCTGCTAGGCTTTCGTGGTGATGTTGACCGAGATGCTCCTTCCTTTAAACATGGAGTCGTTCCTGCATATGTAACCCAAGCCTAGTACAAGTTCAAGCTTCACTTTCGCGGGGAACAACGAGATTTACTTTGAGGATTATAGTTATATCCGAAAACATCTTAACGGGCACTGCTTTCTTTTGCAAGTATCCCACTTGTCCTTATAAATATGCCCGACGTAGAAACCAGTAGTGACTATGATAGAGCAAAGGGAGAAGAAGAGCACATTTTACAACTACTGAACAAAAGAAAGATCGCTTATGCACATATTGGCCCTGAATATTCCCGAACAGTGATTGTTTTCTTTCACGGCCTCTTTGGAGTTGGCACAGCAACAAGCATTCCTCAACCATTTTTAGAACATGGAGGAGCACATTGGATTGCACCTACACTTCCAGGAATGGGCAACACCAGTTCTCGCGACTTATCAGTGCCTTACCATGTTTCGTTAGCTAGGGATATAACGGAACTTTTGTCCCATTTCTATCCAACAGACGCCTACGATAAGCTTTATGTCGCTGGTGGATCTTATGGCACAGTTCAAGCACAGATGTTGTACGGTGCGCCGTATGAATTGTTTCCGCCTGGTCGAAAAATTGCTGGTTGTCTCTTACTTTCAGGCTTCACTCCATTAAAGCACCATGTGGGGTACGAGAAATGTCTTAGTTGGCAGAATTGGTTTTCGATAGGGCCTCCTACTAAAATACTTCCCTTCCATATGCTTCAATGGCTCTTCAGAGTAATTGTTGGATTTAATTTGAGGTCGGTGGATGGAGCAAAGAAATTTCTACACCAAACCCTTTTCCACAGGATGGATGATGATGAAAGATTGAAGTTGAAACAGTGGTTGCTAGATAATGAGCTTAGTGAGGATGAGTTTGTGGAGAAAATGGCCCGCGGTGCAGTTAAGAGTTGCCATAATTGGGATGGTTTCATGGAGGTGTCTGATGTAATACATTCAGATTGGGGTTTCGAGCCGAAAACACTCGACGACCAACACGCATCCAAGCCAATATTGATAGTGGGATCAGAAGCCGACCAAATCGGTGGAAGCACTAATGACTGGCTAGTAGACAACTATAAATCATCTAGTTTCCGCCTGGTGCCTGGTGGCCATATATCGTCTCTATTTTATATGGATGAGCTATGGCGAGAGTTGATAAAATCGCTGAGTGAGTGATAACAATATGAGTTAAAAACATGTGAACCATGTACACCTTGCTTGTCCCGATGTTTGTATTGCATGCTGGACAATGCACAAAGGTATACGGACGACTTATTAGCAAATCTCATGTATGCCTCGCGGCTGCGAAAACTAACAAGAAAACGGTGTGACACCAAAATCACTACAGTGCTATCGTCTACCAGGAACTTTGAGAGCACGATCTTTCCTATGGGCTCCCTGCCAAAACATAAGACGTTTACTGTTAAATTTTCAAGAACTGCAAATTTCTCGCAACTATAAAGCTGATAAGAGAAACAGTAATTACCCTTAGGGAATTTACAAATTGACCGGAATGTACTTCGGCTGCCAGTAATGGGCCGGCTGAAGATAAAGAGGACTCAGCCATTGTAGTATATTGTTGTTCCTGCTGCCATTCTACGTGATTATTTCATCTATTCTCGAAATGATGTAAGTTTCACGCGCGAAATTGAATAGCTGCCCAGCGAGTTCCGTTCCACCTGTGCGAAAATCGCAATATATTCCGCGCCATCGAGACGAAAAACACTGTATGCAATGAATAACATTGGTGGTTGACCAGTGCAAAATGATTCAGATCTTGATTCAGATCGTGTGAAGTCAATTAACCGGTGCTCCGGCTTCTCGTTTCACGCGCGAGATCCGATTTGTGGGGTACTGATAAGGTGCGAAGCAATCGAATTTCCGGCGTGCCGGAACAACAACTATATTATAACACACCAAATTTCCTTTTCTTTCCAATAATGTTCGAGGATCGTCTAACAAAAGGATTGGTATGGGCCACGATTGTAGCTGGATTAGGAACTTTTCAGTTTGGTTACCATTTGGTACGTATTTCATTTGCATGAATTTTTCACCACCGGCTCTAACAAAGGCTGAACTCAATGCACCAGAAGATATCATTACTTGTGCTATTACCCGCCACGGACCACTTCCTCACTATTCAGATACATTCTGGGCACATCATGGCCGAGAAACTTGCATAGATATGGGGCATATGGGGGTTGCTATGATGACGACAATGTTCACGGTTGGCGGTTTTGTGGCATCAATATTGGCAGGTTCTTCATATGTTTCAGCCAATGTTGGACGTAGGTCCATGTGCATGCTAAGCTCTTCCATGTATGTTGTTGGTTCTGCCCTTATTATGTGGGCAAATAGTCTTTTAGCAATTTGCATTGGCCGGTTTATTGCTGGATTAGGAGCAGGCTCTTCGTTGGTTATGGGTCCATTGCTCATCAGCGAGTTAACTCCTCCCAATCATCGTGGTTTATTGGGGTCTTTGGTACAATTGGCCGTTGCAATTGGAATATTATCGGCACAATTGGTGTCGTACGTTTTCGCTAATAATCAGCAATGGAGACTAATTTTCTTCGTTGCAACTATTATGGGACTTGTTCAGTTTGTCGCCTTGTTCACCACTCATGAATCTCCCAAGTGGATGGTTATGAATACGGGTGATGTTCATGGTGCTACGTCAATTCTCCACGACTTGAGATCCACACGGCTGCGAGCTCAAAGAGAGCTTAAACATTATCGTCGTCTTTCCAAGGTGGTTGATGATGAAGAAGCAACGACTGAGCAGTCTCCCCTAGTAGCCTCGAGAGAACCGACTACAAGTGAGTCTGGTAGTTCTCAAGTCGCAAATGCCGAAGAACCAACAGAACCGGTTCATGCTACACCTTTCGAATTTATGACCTCACTGGAATACTGGCCCCAGTTTCGTGCTGTTGCGCTTCTTCTTACGGGACAGCAGCTCTGTGGAATGAATGGAATCACCTTTTATGGGGTATCTTTCCTTTCTCCCATTTTCAAAGATCCATTGATGATTGCTTGTTCAATTTCTTTATGCAACGTTATTTGTGCAATTGCAGTGTCGCCTGTAGTTGATAGGTGGGGCCGAAAACCTTTGGTGTTACTTTCCGTGGTTACCATGAGCATTTGTGCATTCGCTATTGCTATAGGAATGCAGTTTCAGATTGAAGCTGTGGTTGCAATTGCTTGTTTTGGGTTTGTTGCTGGATATTCTGCGGGAATGGCACCAATTCCGTTTTTGATGATATCCGAATTGGCACATCATGAATCTGTGGGAGCAGCACAGGCAGTTGGAGGTGCCTTAAACTGGTTAGCAAATATCTCACTTGCGTATTTTTTTCCATTGGTAGAAGCCAAATTGGGAGGTTGTATTTTTTATGGGTTTTCTGCAATTAGTGCTGGTTATGCCATTTCAATTGCGCTATATGTTCCAGAAACTCATGGTAAGTCCCACGAAGAGGTATGGGATAGCATATAGAGTATAGAGTTTACATCTGGTGCACACCTTCACTCACATGTACCTGCATAAATTGACGTAAATTAGCCCCACTGAACCGCGTAGTACTGCCCCATTGTCCTTACCTAAGCAGACCGTGTGCTTGCGGAGGTGAAATTCGGAAGAATTCCAGTCATCAAAAACTAGACTCCAAACTAGTAAGCAAAAGTTCAAAACAGCAAAATGGTCAATTACAAAACCTGGATGAAGGACATCGACGACAACGTCAGCCTTGGAAAATTGGCAATTCCTGGAACCCACAATTCTGCCGCTTGTCACACTGCTCTTCCTTCGGTTCAATGTCAAGGAGAGTCTGTTACGGATCAATTGGAACATGGTGTGAGGTTCTTGGACATTAGAGTCGCCAAAAAGTTCTTGAGCGAAGGAGAAGCCGCCAAAGACTTGCAAGTTATCCATGGAAAATTTCCAGTGAAAATTCCATTTCCTTTGATGTTCCTGGATGTTTTGGACGAAGTTTATGATTTTCTTGCTAAAAACAAGTCGGAAACCGTTTTTGTGTCATTGAAGCAGGAAGGTCAAGACACCTGGGACAATGACAAGGATGAGTTTGGCAATTGTATTTGGGACCGTTATGTGAACAAGAACAAGGACAAATGGTACCTCAACAACAATATTCCCAGATTGGGCGACGCCCGTGGTAAAGTGATTTTGTTCAGACGTTTTGGTGTTAGGAACGAAGACAGAGCCAGAGAATTCGGATTCAATGCTCAAAGCTGGAACTACAACACCACTGAAGATGATCGTGGTTCATTCGTCGTGCAAGATTTCTGCGAACTTGAAAGCAAGGATGACGTTGAAAAGAAGATTGGTTATGTCAAGAACTTGACCAAGCGTGCCGCTGACTATAACAGTAGCAACAGCGACCCCAAATTGTTCATCAACTTTTGTTCCGGTTCCAATTTCTTTAACACCGACTGCTGGCCCCAGAAAATCTCCGAGGCTATGGCTGAAGGAGGTGTTGATGGAGTGTTCAGCAAGGGTGCTGGTATTGTTGTGATGGACTACGTTGAGGCCAACGACTGGAAGTTGGTGAAGGATTTGGTAAACAAGAACTTTTAGTTATGAATAGTACTAATATGTCTCTTAAATTTCGCAGCCGAAGTGCGATTTCGGTCGCACTCGTTGACCAGCTAATGTTCGCTACTACCATTGCTATAGCTCGAGGGATCCGTTTGTGTGCTGGACGATCCCAATATCTTGCTGCAACGTGTACCCCTAGTAGATTTGTGAATAAATTTCAAGTTCGATCCAGCTCAAACTCCAAAAATATCGATGATAAATTACAGACCATTATAGACTCCAGCAATTTGGGAGCTGTAAAGAAGCAAAACGAAGCCAATAACAAATCCAGGAATGCCTCAGACACTGTCAATGACACCAATACTGCCATACCTTCTTCCAGTGAAACTTTTCACCAAGCAAATGCCGACGAGCACACCATCTCCGAGTCAACAAAGCGTGCTATTCTAGCTGAAAATCCCACATTGCCGCTGCAGCGTGAGAGATTAAGAACGGAAACCTCCAAGCGCATCGAGACGTATCTCGAATCGCTTCAAAAGACAATTTTCCGTGCTACACGAACGTTAAATGATGCCACTGGATATTCGTCAATTGAAGGTTTGAAAAATGAAGTTGAAAAACTTGAAATTGAGCTCCGTAGGGCAAAGACTACCGTCAAGGAGTGTAAAAAAGCATATACCGATGCCATTCTGGTTCGGTCGCAACTGCAGCAAGAAGTCAACGAATTGCTCACTCGCAAGCACAACTGGAGTCCTCTGGATCTCGAAAGATTCACAGAATTATACCGGAACGACCATACAAATGAACAGCTTGAAGCAGAAGCAGCAAGGAAGCTAACGGATGCTGAGCTGAAAGTGGACTCAATACAATTGAAACTCACTCAACTGATACTCACGAGGTACCATGAAGAACAGATTTGGTCCGATAAAATTCGAAGTGCGTCAACATGGGGGACATGGGTCATCATGGGGATCAATGTTCTCTTGTTCTTTGTGGCCACGCTCATTGTGGAGCCATGGAAAAGAAAACGGTTGGTTGCTTCATTTGAAGACAAAGTGAAGGTTGCAATTTCGGAAGTCAATTTGCTGAACACAGACCTGGTGGTTGAAAAAAATACAATACCAGCTCCTGAAGCTTCTGCCTTGAATGAGACTCTGTTTTCTAGCCAAATTTCATTAGAGCCTAGTCTCTTGTCATTATCATGGCTGCAATGGACATGGACAAAATTCTCCAACTACGTAAAATCTACAACATCCAGGGTTCTTTACGGAAATGGGGAGATACAGGCTATCGACGCCAGGCTTCTTCTTGTCATATCTACATTTTTAGGGTGCATCTTAGGCAATATCTTGTCTGGTCGTTAGCTATCAGAAACTCGCATCCACTCACCAGCACCTGTGGTTACCCGCACACGCCACCTTCATAACTCCAACTCTCAACTGGTGCGAACAGATCCGATACTACCCACCGTATTTTAGCATAATATATAAATATGGAAGAACTTGGAATCCATGACGGTGGCTCGGTGGCCATCCAGCGGCCTTCAGCTCCGTTTGCAGAATTGCCTAAACACGCCGGTGCCGATGAAAATGCCGACGTATATTTGAAGCTCAAGAAGTTGGAGAAAGAGTTGGATTTGCTTCTCCTCCAAGAAGATTACATCAAAGACGAACAGCGCCATCTCAAGCGCGAGCTCGTAAGAGCGCAGGAAGAGGTCAAGCGTATTAAATCTGTGCCATTAGTCATCGGGCAGTTTTTGGAACCAGTCGACGAGGACAGCGGAATTGTGTCGTCGACCACAGGTTCGAACTATGTGGTTAGAATTCTTTCCACGTTAGACCGTGAACTTCTCAAACCTTCATCCTCAGTCGCTTTGCACCGTCACTCCAATGCATTGGTTGATATTCTCCCTCCAGAAGCTGACTCCTCAATTTCCATCGTGGGCGACGACCAGAAACCAGATGTCACCTACGCCGATGTCGGAGGATTGGACATGCAAAAGCAAGAAATAAGAGAAGCGGTTGAGTTGCCACTTACTCAGGGTGACCTCTACTCGCAAATTGGTATCGATCCTCCCCGCGGTGTCTTGTTATATGGACCTCCCGGAACCGGTAAAACCATGTTGGTGAAAGCAGTCGCCAACTCGTCCACAGCATCGTTCATTAGAATTAATGGATCAGAATTCGTGCAAAAGTACCTCGGAGAAGGTCCCAGAATGGTACGAGACGTTTTCCGTCTCGCTCGTGAAAACGCTCCAGCCATCATATTCATAGATGAAATCGATGCAATCGCAACCAAGAGATTCGATGCCCAGACTGGTGCTGATCGTGAAGTCCAAAGAATCTTATTGGAATTGTTGAATCAAATGGATGGTTTCGACCAATCCTCCACCGTCAAGGTAATCATGGCAACTAATAGAGCCGACACCCTCGATCCTGCCTTATTGCGCCCTGGTAGGTTGGACAGAAAAATCGAGTTCCCTTCGTTGAAAGACAGGCGTGAGAGAAGATTGATTTTCACAACCATTGCTTCCAAGATGGCTTTAGCTCCTGAAGTCGATTTGGACTCTCTCATTGTCAGAAACGACCCCCTTTCCGGTGCGGTCATTGCAGCTATCATGCAAGAAGCAGGTTTGAGAGCGGTGAGAAAGAACAGGTATATGATCTTGCAAAGCGATTTGGAAGAAGCATATACATCCCAGGTCAAGACAGGTACTGAGCACGACAAATTCGACTTTTACAAGTGAATTTTTGTGGTTCAGAAAATGTACGATACATGTAATACTAGTTTATTACTATGCTAGATCATAAGAAACGAGTCTTCATGATGTTATAATAGCTCGTAAATGCCTAATCCTGGCTTGAGTGTTTTGTAGTTTGACAAGTCTAGGTGATCCAAGTCGCAGTGAGCCGAATGGAACCAAGTCAAGTTAGCCTGTACGATATCACTGAGTTCAGTCTCAAATGAAGCCAGTGGGGTAACTATGTAATTACCCTTGACTAAGAATGGCTCGAGGTTTTTGATATCCGTACCCTTTGCGTCTATAATAATGATATTTTTGTTACCATCGACGGTACCCAGTAGCACACCGTTTTCAATGTCTAGGGTTTGTACATGGCGTTTTTTGTCACCCAAGAGCCATACTGGCGGAGAGTAAGTTCTCCACCAAATGTATGTTTTTGGTATTATGTTCGACTGGCTTTCCGTTCTTATGTGTTCAAGTCCAGGAACCACACCACCTTGGTGATAAATTCCCATCAAAACAGCCAAGACAATATTGAAAGCATACCAAATCCACAAGAGTGGTTTTGCAAAGTACGCTACTTTGTTTTTTCCGGTGAAAGGTCGCAAATCGAAACAACAGCTCAACAATGGAATCACCGGTATTAGAAACCGAAGTTCTTGGTGTGGAACTATGGAGAGAACCAATATTCCACTGAATGCCGTCAAAAACGGAGTAGTTTTCCAGTAGTCATTCTTGAACTTCCAGAACAAATAAACAATTCCAGACGGACCCAAAAGTTGGGGAAGGTTAACTAGTATATGGGTATAGAATGGGTGAATACCATGATGGGACAAATTATCGTACGAGGAGTTGTAAATAAGATTATTGAGCGGAGTGATGATTGGAGTCAGATTCATCGAGCCAAACATCTTTGTATCGATCCATACAAATGTTAGCGCAGGTACAATGAATCCAAAAATACCCACAATTGCACTCAAAGGATGAAGCCAAATATGCTTGAGAACAAACCATGAAGGGACCAAAAAGAATGCTGGCATTGTTACTCTATTGAAGATTCCCACAGCCAAAATAGCTCCCAATGCAAATACGTTGAAATATTCGGGTCTTGATCGTATTTCTGGACGTTTGGAGTCTTGATTGTACCGCAAATTGTCGATGATCAAAGTCCCCAACATCACGAGCCAGGTTTCAATTGAGTTGGAAAAGCAATGTGATTGGTATACGTGGGTGACATAGGAAGTCAGGACAAAGAAGATAGCTTTTATACGTTCTTGTTTAGTAGGAAGCATTCGAAAAATACAAGTGTCAGTAACAATCCAAGTGAGAATCATAAATTGCAATCGAGCCAAATACCAGATAACCAACGGACTCAATTGAACACCCATCCCCCTAACAATTGCAAAAACAGGACCGTAAAATAGAAACAACGGACCATAACTTCGTGCTGGTAGATCGCTGGTGAATTCCCATGGTTTCTTGTTAGTGAAGCCTAGGAATTCTGACATCACTTCGACGCTCTGAAAGTGTTCATCTGGATGTATATAGGAGTCTGACAATGCAAAAAGGAACCTTAGTCCTATGGTAAGGAAGTATATGTACCGCCAGCTGAAATAAGAAGCCATTATGTATTCATTAAAGTCAACCGATTAACGAGGTCGCGATTTTTCAGTACGGCTTACAATACCTCCATCGGTGCGACAAGCTTTATTTTCAAATTGACATGAATGCATGTTGATATGCAATTTATTAGCCTTCTGCTTCTATGTCGCTATAACCGTCCATATCGTCACCACCATCCGAGAAAATCTCGTCTCCTTCTTCATTGTCTGTATCTCTCTCACTACCGCTCTCATCGCTGTTGGAAACATCTCCGTTCAACAAATCGGCATCACCATTAGCTTCAGCGTCGTCAAGTGCTTCAAAGTACTCGACATCACTCAATTCTTCTCCGTCTTCACTGTCGCTGTCCTCGAGAATTTCCCGCTTGAGTTCATTTTGTTGCTCAATCATACGAAGTCGACCTTGAATCTCCAAAAGTCTGGGAAGTGTATCCGCCTTTTTCGTAAGAGTAGCATGTAAACTGGCGAGTTTAGACTCAAGACCTGGCATATTGGTGAGCACAGTGCCATGGATCACTATGACCCACTTTAACCATGAGCTCAATTGGTCGAAACGATATACTTGTCTAGCAATTCTTTCCGCTATCCGTTCAAGTAGTTGAACCGCAGAAACAGCATTGATACGGGATATCGTGTTCTTGATGACTTCTGGGTCTGTGTTAGCCAACACGGTTTCTAATAACGAATGGTCGTTATTCCTCAACGACTGAGTAAGAATAACCGACAAGGTTCCAGCTGAATTATGTACATTTCGTTTCTTCTTGGAGCTGATACTCTTGTCAGTGGAGATCTTTTCTAATCTTTCTGCCAAGGTTTCTTCCTCTTCGTCTTCGCTATCTTGGTCAGCCGTTTGCATTATACCTTCACTCACAATAGCGTTTCCCTCGTTGTAATGTGTTGCGGCTGCAACATCGTGCCCATTTTGAACATGAGCAGTAGAGGTATCAACCTTGGCTTTTTCTAGCACTAGAGGTGTCACGGTAGAAATTTCACCTTTCACCAACCACTTAAGAGAGTCGACTTGAGGTACGCTAGCATTCTCAAGCCATGAGTAGAATATGACACTATCGGTGCAAGCAACAGCATGAATTGCCAAATTTGCATCCAATGTGTTCTTAATTTGATCTTTTGGCCTTGTAAGTTTGATGCTACTGGTTGGTGTTCTGGATTGTACCGCAGAAGCTTGCTGTCTCCGCTTCTTCTTTCCCACGGGTATGGCACCTTCGGAACTCAAAGGGTTGTTGAAAATCTCCACCACACCGCTGTCTGTGATTGCTGTCAAGATTGAATGATTTTTGTTCACTCCAAGCTGGACCTGGCTGATATTCTCCAGCGCTACAAAGACGGCCTGTGGAGTTCCCTTGGATATCGAATACAAGTTGATGAAACGGTCACCAACAGCACTGGTAAGTAACATGTCGGAGTTGTGGGGAACGGGTAAAAGTGAGTTGATTGGCTGGACATGGGCAGGGAAGGTGCGGGCAATTTCAGATCCCGAGATATTCACAATGTGGATCGAATGTGTTGCGACGACAAGATGGGTCTTTTCCAAGTAGTTTACAGTGTAGATTCTTTGGATGGACTCTGGCACTTCGAGAAGGTCATTTAGGGAAAAATGGGACTTTTGCTCAAAACTGGAAACATCCCATTCGTATATGTTTCCGTTTATGTCACTGATCCATATTGTGTTCGTGAGCTTAGAATAGTGGAAATCGCTGATTGCCGCTGCTGCAGGCGACTCTAGTTCTGTCAAAATATCCCCAGTCAATGGGTCATAGACTAATGTGGAACCAGAAGTTAAACCGAGTGCAATTATAGGATTTTGTGAGGTGAGTGATGCCCATCGCAAAACAGACACCCGTTGATGCTTGCCCCAAAGTTAATGATATATCTAGTTCGTTTTGAGAGTGCTTCAACGACTTTACTGTGACCTTGTGTACGTCCAAGCTTATTGTCACGCATGCAATGTACGATAAAGTGGGATCAAATGCAGATGTAAGTAATGGACCAGACATTGTGAGATGAGCGTAGGGATAATCTTATGCAGATTGAATGCTCTGTATATCTTTTTTGATGGTGTGTAGGAGCCCAAGGCTTCTTTTTGATGGTGCTAGTGTGTTAACAAATGGGGTGTCGATGCTAAACCAGTGCTTAAACGCTGCGATGAGGTAAATTTTTCGAGACGTCACGTGCGCTGCTAGCCGATGGGTTGACAGGATGAGAATCTGTGCTCAGTAGCAAGAGCACGTAGCTCAAGCAATTACGTTTAAAGTATCATTACGATGCTTTTTCGGGCCCAACGACGTATTTTCACCCGGGAGAATGTTATACTCGCACGCTGGGTCCACTCTAAAGTCACTGCGAAGACCATTGATTTGGCACATCCCCTCCAATTGAACAGTGTCAAGCCACTACCTCATCGCGATACTGTTCCTCTTGTGTGGCACGAGTTCAAGCACTCGAAGAAGTTTGAGTATAAGTTCAGTAAACCTATAGTATTATTGCATGGGCTCTTTGGATCGCTGTCAAATTATAGGTCTGTGGGAAGAAGACTCAGTCATTTAACCAGCCGACCAATTTATGGTATTGATCTTCGCAACCACGGAGATTCTCCACATGCCCAGCCATTTGATTACGAGACCCTCGCCAATGATGTAGTGAAGTTGATGAAACAAGAAAATTGGACTGGGGCCACTTTGATTGGCCATTCAATGGGTGCGAAAACGGCCATGATTGTTGCACTAAAACTGCCCGAATTGGTTTCACAACTTATTGTGGTGGACAATGCTCCTGTGGCTGCTCAGCTTGACCCACAGTTCCATAATGATCTAATAGGGTTAGCTCACGTCCAGCACTCAAAATTTGAGCCAAATACTCCACTGTCGCAGATGCTTTCAAAGGCTCGCACAATTATAGGTCCGTACGAACCTGACCATCTTGTCCAGACATTCTTACTTAGCAACTTAAGAGCATCAGCCACCGGCTCCAACCTTCGCATACCAGCGTTGGAGATGCTCAAGTATGATATTATAAGAGATATGGGCTCCTGGCCAAATATTCATGCTACCTATCCTGGCCCTACGTTTATTATGCACGCTAAATATTCGCCATTTGTGACAGAGGCGAATTTGCAAGTTGATTTCCCGCAATACTTTTCCAATTTCAAGCTGAAACAATATGACTGTGGCCATTGGATTGTGAGCGAACGTCCGGAAGAGTTCGTTAAAGATGTGATTCAGTGCATTTCTTAGTGGCTGCAAATTCCTCGCGTCCTGTATATACCATGGTGGACTCTATAAAAACCCCCAGTTCGCACTTTTTGCGGTCGAGTTACGGCGATGTCTGAATTCAATTCGGGAGGCGAGGACTTGTCCTTGCCCAAGGCCACGGTGCAGAAACTTATCGGAGAGATATTGCCAAAAGATATAGCCATTTCCAAGGAGGCGAGAGAAGCGGTGACAGAATTGTCCATAGAATTTATCATGATACTATCATCACAACTGAACGAGATTGCCGAGAAGGAGGCGAAAAAAACCATAGCAAGTGACCACGTGGTGAAGGCATTGGAAGAGCTTGGGTTCCACAACTACTTGGATATAATAAATCGTGTACTCGACGAACACAAAGAACTTCTCAAGGGTAAAGAGAAAAAGAATAACAAGTTTCAAAATTCGGGACTTTCAGAAGAAGAACTTCTTAGGCAGCAAGAGGAGTTGTTCAAGAAGTCCAGAGACAGATTGCAAAACCGCTAATGGCTCTGAGCTGGCTTAGAGCAGACCACGGAACACATTGCATAGAACAAAATAGATTAATATATTCATTTAGGGTTATATGTTTATGCGTTCATCCTAGCACGAGTTCGTAGAGTATGACAATGATGTTGATCCCAATGAGCGGGACTCGAAGCAACGTTCTGATTGCTCCTATCAAATTTACTAGTCTGGATTTTATTGATTCGTTGTCGGAACCCGCCCCTGCTTGAAACTGCTGGTATTGAAACCCATTTGTGTTTTGGCCGCTGCTGCCCCACCCAATCCTGTTGAGAAACCGGTCCTCACTCAAGATTGCGATTCCGTTGACCACAAGAAGTATAACGTATAAAAATTTACCAATTCCAAACATGGTGCTCAACCGAGCAAGAGAGGAATTTGAGTTGCGAAGGTGTGGAAAATGCAGGACGCGATGCTACAGAATACAAAAGTGGAATAGAAAGTTCTTTTGAAAATGGAAATGGCTAAAAAGCTTGAATATAAAGACTAGAGCTACCTTGATATTACTAGGCCTTTTTGTATGTAATGCTTTCTTGTGGAGTTTTTCCCAATCTAAATGAAAATATTCTAGTCCTGCATCGCGCACCAGATCTGTTTTTGTTTGAAGTGCACTATTTACCATGATGCAAGTGGAACATCGGGGACGCAAACGAGACTCCATAGAGCATTTTATAGGCCTTCCCCAGATATTTTTGGCTAATGGACTCGCCCAATTGCGATATATGGTGCTCGTAGAGGGTTTACAGACACCACAAGGTTACGATCAATGTCCTTATCGATGTTATGTTTGGTCTATTCTTTGCAAAGTACCAACATTTCCTACTGACAAGTACTTGGCGCTCGTCCAATCCGCCAGTAGTAGCATTTCCAGTGAAATGTATCAAAAAATCAAGAATGATACCTTCAGAACTCTCATGCATGATCGTCATTTCCACCTGAAAGTATCTGAATCTTCACTAATTCGAATACTATCGTGCTTAGCAATTTCGATCCAAAGCAAGGTGGGATACGTCCAGGGTCTTAATGTGTTGTTAGCACCTATAGTATACGCCTGTCACAAGAGCGAGCCACAGGCATTTGCCATACTTCATCTGCTCGTAACCAACCAAATACCACTTTATATCACTCCCAATTTGGATGGGGTTCATACCGGGCTTGCCTTGGTCGACGTGGTTCTCAAGATCATCGATCCGGTTCTCAGTGAGTACCTCGATTCGAAATTTCTCAAAGCTGAGATATATGCATTTCCATCGGTGCTCACCTTGGGGGCATGCACTCCACCTTTGAAGTCGGTGCTTAAGTTATGGGACTTATTGTTTGCGTACGGGACACACATGAATATTCTTTTCGTGGTTGCGCAGCTCGTCATCAACCGTTCGCAGTTGTTGAATTCACCCCAGCCGATGAAATTGTTGCGAAGCTTTCCTCCGTTGGAAGAAAACGAAATCATTAAATTGAGTTTGAGTTTCATCCCTGAACTCCCCAAGCAATTGTACGATATGACATCCCGTCATGGATATGACGCTGACGTTCCTGGAGAGCTAAAAGCATTTTTAGCTGAGAACAACCTCTAAAAAAAATCTCGATTATAGTCTTCCCAACTATAATAACTGCACAAGACTGTGCGGTCGTTATAAAACCGACCCGCTAATCCCTCCATTGCCTTGGTTGCTGCTTCTTGAGACCCAAATTCGATGTATGCTTTTCCAACGCCATGCTCCTCACCAGCATCTGGTTTTGGGATCTTTACCGATTTCAAGTCACCGAATTGCTCGGCTTCTTGACGAATGTCGTCGAGTATGAATTTGTAGTTTGACTGGTCATATAGTTCCCTCGGCAAAAACATGTTAGCCAATACAATGCATTTCAGTTCTTCACGTTCAGTAGCTCCGTTGGCTTTTGCCATTAACTTCAAGTTTTCAAACTCCGCAGTTCGGTTTTGTACTGAAGATGTCTCACAGGAGAACCACGCTGATTCTATAGACTCAATCTCATTTAACTTGTCCAAGATGTCGCTTGGTGAGTCGTTAAACTCGACAAATGCTATCCCTGTAAATTTCTTTGTACCTATCTCACGGAGCATGAATAGCAGCTTGACACCACTCACACTCTCCAAGGTAGCTCTTAATTTGGTATCGGAATCTTCCTTGGTTCTCAATGTGATTTTGCGAGGACTATCGGCAACAAATTCATCGGCAGTATTAGTGTTCTGTATGCTTTGAACAGTGTACTCTTTTGGTCGACTAATGCTCAATGTTAGCAGCACAGGCTGTCCATCATCCACGATTGTAACTGGTTGGCTGGTTAAAGCAAGTGCTATCGTTGCGCATTCGTGATTTTTAAATTCGATTGTGAAGATATCATTGTGCTTGACTGCCAACTTGACGGAGTCCAATCCTGTCACTTCGGTGTCAAGTCCACGTAGAAAGTTGGCAATGTATTCAGAGACCAACTGAGGGTCGAAAGAAAAGTTGATATCGACGATGAGTGTGCGTGCTGCTAGTGACTGGAATGGTTCGATATGAGTATCTCCATCTGGATCTTCTGGATAATAGGGCAATTTAGACCGAACTGAGGGAAAAAGCTTCGTATAGTCTCGTGGTCTGGGATAGCCTGGCAACGGGAACAAGCCCGATAATTTCGCTCTCACAGCCAGAACATCTTCAAAGCCCTCAACTCGCACACCCCATCGACTATTTTCTATAGCAATTTCGTCAAGCGATGGAACATTGGCCAAATTCTCTAAACGGGATCTAAGCTTCTCGGGCAGCTCGGTTACTGGTTTTGTTCTCTGGTCCACATATCGTTCTCGACCACGTCTGGGATCAGGTCTAGGTCGTCTACCACGATCATTTCTGCCATTGTAGTTGTTATAGTCATCCCTACTTCTTGCTTGGTTTCCATATGGTCCTTGATGTCTACCCGAACGTCGATTATCTTGGGAGTAATCATCGTAATAGTCCCGTTTTCTGTCTCTTGGTGGCTCTCGACTTTCTCTCGTTGGTTCTCGATATTCTCGTCTCGGCGCTCTGGAGCGAAAAGAGTACGCTGCGGTTAGTACTGTGGGTTCAATAGGCTGTGGTGATAACAGGAATCCATACAAATAATGGCTCTCACTTACGGTCTTGGCTCATGGTGAAACGGTATGTATTTTCCTGGAGATTTAATGCGTGGAATTACATAATAGGCGATGGTGATGAGGTACGATAAATATATTGTATATGGCCCATTCTAAATTAGTTTCACAACTCATCATGTTCTAAAGACACAGATGTAGTTTCTGATGTGCCGGTGCTTGTAGGTGTACTTGCTGGGGTTGAAGAAGCCTCAGTGGAAATTACTGGCTCATCTTCTTCAATAAACTCAGCATCCTCATTATCCTCTTCTTCTTCTTCAGTTTTCTTCTCCTTCTCTAATTGTTTCTTTTTCTCCCGTTCGTCCTTTTGCTTCTTTCTCAATAAAAACTTGGCGAGCTTTGAGTTAAGCGTATCAACTCGTTCTCTATGAGAAGTTTCGAGCAACATAACGTCGCCCATCATATTGACAATTCCCTTGGCAACGTTATTGTAGTCTTCCCACACCGCACGCTTAGCTATCTTTCCAAACTCGTCAGCTTCCATATCAGCTAAACGCCCAATGTTGGTGACACCCTCTTTATATTCGGTCAACACCTTGTCGAAAGTGAGCATTCTATCATCTCCTTTAGCCAAGTTCTTCATTTTGATCTTGTCATTTTCCTTGTCAAAATCGAATCCTGCCTCTTCATACTTCTTTCTGATTTCACTAATCTCGGTGCCGAACTCCAACATGTAGTGTTGAATTCTCATCATGATATCTTTACTACTTTCATAAAGTTTTTTGATTCCTTCGTAGCTCAAGTCAGTAGTGGAGATCTCCAATGCTTCCGAAAGCTCGCTCTTCTTTCCTTCGAGCTCGGTAATCTTGGCTTGCACATCTTTCAAAGATGCATCATCAGAATCAAAGTCGAGCCACTCAATAGTGTCAGCAACATACTGTCTAGTGTTGGCTACCTCTTCATCTGAGAGCTCTTGTATGAGAGTCTCCTCGTGTTCGTCGATGAAGGAGCGCATTTCGTAGCACAGACTCTCAAGTATATTCCTCACCTTTGTAAGATGTAATTTCTCTTCGTCGCGGCTGTTCAAGTATTTCAACTTGTTTGCGGCTCTTTCCTTTGTAGTTCTTGACAATGGCTTGATATGAGGATATGAAGGTTTTGGAAGGGAAATACTAACAGGTCTTGACTTTGTTTTAGAAATTTCAGATTTGGTAGAGTTTGAAGCGGAGGTGGAATTAGTGGAGTCTTCAGTCTCTTCAACTATTGGCTCTGCTTCTTCATCTTCCTCTGCTTCACCACTGCCCTTCATGAGTTTGTTGAAAAGTCCGCCGGAAGATTTTTTAGGAACACACTCAAAGTTCAAGCCAGAGAGTTCAAACATTTTGTTGGTGTCCAATGAAAAATATGCAACCAATTCTTTGATTTCCTTTGATCTGCATGTCAATCTTTCAACCTTCTTGAGCAAGCCATCCACTTCATAAGACTTGAATAAGAATTCATCCTCCTTCAAGCTTATCGTGATCTTGTCGTTTTCGACTGGTCCCATTGACTTTTTCACTGTTTGTCCCACAACGCTGCCTCTTTCGAATATAGCTTCTTCCTTGATATTGTCGACTTCGATCTCGTGGCTACGGAACGATCTCTCGATCACTTTAACATCTCTAGCCTTTTCCAATTGGGTTTTGAGCTTGAGACCTCTGTGTGTGGTTCCAAGTGCACAACTTTCGTCGGCATTCACCTTCTTCGAAAGCTTGTCCTCACCCAACAATACAGACAAGTGGTGCTGAACAAAAGGTACTCTAGTAGAACCTCCGTTCAAAATTACCGACTGGACGTCGGAAGCAGACACTTTTGAATTCTTCAATGTATCCAAGATAGGTTTGGTGATCCTCTCCATCAAATCGTTGTTGATCTCTTCGAAGTTGTCTCTAGTAATAGTTGTCTTGAAATCCCTGTCGTTGTACAATGACTCAATTGAGACTTGGTATTCGGTGTTTACCGTAAGAACAATTTTAGCCTTCTCGGAAGCTTCCAACAATCTTGCCTTCACCTTTGGTGGAAGGTCTTCGTCTTCATTCAAGTCAAACGCAGCCATAAACCTCAGCAGAATCATCGAGTAGACAGACTTTGTGAGCAATTCTCCGCCGAATGTATCGTCGTAACCTGCATCAATCAATTCAAGTACTATGGTACCATTGGTAAGAGGGGTCACTGTGAACAACGTAGCAGTAGTCGAGCCCGACCCCATATCGTAAACGAGATGGTATTCGGGTTTCTCGTTGTATTCTTCAGGAGAAAATTTACGGTTGGAGACGTAGTTCAATGCGACAGCGGTGCCCTCATCGACCAATCCCAACACATTGGAGAAGTTGGCCAAGCGCAAACCGTCCAAGTACGCTTGTCTAGTGCTGGGTGAAGCAAATGGTGACACAGACACTGCCACGTCCTCGACAATTGACTGGGCCATGTGTGCATCATCCAAGTCTGACAACGCACGAGACTTGATCTCATTCATGTTCATGGCAAATAACTCCTCCACAGAGAATTGATACGACTGGTTAGTGAGTCCAAAGTCAAATCTTATGGCGCCGTTCCTGGAATCATCACCAATAAGTTTAACTCCTGGATGGACACTCAAGAATTCAGAAACTTCTGGATCATGGATGGCTTTTCCCAACAACAGTTTGATTCCCACAGCACAAGATTGAGGAAATCTGGTACACAAAGAGCCCATTCTCGATCCAAACACTCTTTCAATGTCCTGACCAGAAGGTCTTATCGACATGCCCGATAAATCTTTACGCTTTCCTTCATCAGTTAACACAATCTCGAAGGAAATACCGGGTGCCAAAAGCACCGATTTGGTAAATTGTTGACCATAATCGACGCCTAGGATTGCCGCAGTGGCACACGCTAGCCAAATTGACAAGAAAACAAGTCTCATTTTGAACCAGAATGTCAAAAATGCAAAGTGGTGGCAGAAAGTGTTATGTTACAAGTTGTCCTTTCACTGATTCTGTGCAGGCTATGAATTTTTCAATTGTGCGGGGGGAAACACTACACAGAGCTAGATGAATTAAATAGGTTACTTTTGGGGATATGTGGAAATCGTAGAAGGGTCAATTACTCAAAGAAGTCAATCACCTTGGATTCTTCAGTTATCAATCAATTCCAAATCTGAGTTTACTCTTCACTACTGCGTAGTTCATATTTGGATATTCAACTTCGGAAAAGCATCTCTCGTCGATAGCTACATTTGACGGTCTCCAACCGTACCTAAAGTTCATCCTCATCTACTCTATTAAGCCCAGACCCTTATCTTTGCCGCACTTGTCTATGTCACCACTCCGCGGGGCTCCGAGGAACGTGGCCTCATCACTATATGAAGCAGAGCTTGCCATATTTTCATATTGGCTACAGCCCAACTTCCATACTACAACTTCTTTTGTATCTACAAATCATTACCTTCACTATTTCCAATTCATCGTACTGGCACCAAACCTCATCGCTGCAACTTTTTTTTCGCGATATATTCGAAAGAACCCTTTATTAGCATAAAAGTATCACTAAAATGGACGCCGACGACGTAGAAGCTACCAAGATGTACATCTCGTACAACAACGTGCATCAGTTGTGTCAGGAATCTGCCAACAAAATCAAACAGTTTAAACCCGACTTGATCATTGCCATTGGTGGTGGTGGGTTCATCCCAGCAAGAATGTTACGTTCATTTTTGAAGGAACCTGGTCAACCCAATGTTCGTATCATGGCCATCATTTTGTCTTTGTATGAAGATATTGAGACTGTAGGAAGTCAAGCCGAGTCGGTTGGTACTCAAGTTGTTAGAACTCAGTGGATCGATTACCACCAGTCAAAGGTGGACCTTGTTGGGAAGAATGTATTGATTATTGATGAGGTTGACGATACCAGAACCACGTTGCACTATGCGGTTTCTGAGCTCAAGAAGGATGTAGAGGAACAAGCTAAAGCCAAAAATGCTGATCCCAAAGACACAAAGTTTGGTATCTTTGTTTTACACGACAAAGACAAGCCAAAGAAGGCAGATTTGCCCGATGAAATTATGAAAACTGGAAATTATTTCGCTGCCAGAACCGTGCCTGACTGCTGGATAGCATACCCTTGGGAAAGTGTAGATATTGTGTACCACACAAAGAGGGCCATGGAACAGGGAAACGATGTATTTTTACCTTGAATACATAACCGGCATTGACTATTTATATCTCAGTAGAAAAGGGGTTGTACCTGACAAAATGCAATTAATCGATCTCGATCGTCTCGGGGCTCCGCTCGTGATTTTTCAACAGTGGATGGTTCTTGTTGGAGTCTTTGCGCTTTTTGCTTTGCCTGAGAGATTGTCCCACTCCACCAAACGTAGGCTGTTGTTCGGGCGTACTTTCAGGTGTGTATGACGGAGTAGGAAGCTGTACAGGGAATCCGAAAAAGAGCTGGTTTGAAGGCAAGTCCAATGGGACTGGTGCAGCATTGGGATCGAGATCGTCCATAGAAATGGTCTTGGTCGCCTCTTGTGAAGGTTTTCCAGAGAGTTTCTGGCCCGATCCCTTGAATGTGTTGTTGCTTTGTTCCGCCACAATCTTGGCATAGTTTATGGAATTGGCCATGGTACCAGCACCCACGCCTCTGTTGACCGAGCTTGGGGTTATTGGTTTAGATTGTGGTTCTTTGACTGCCGGTTTATATTCTGGCTCCACATACCCTACTGGAGGAGCGAAATCTGTCTGTAAATCGGTTTCCACCACACATATGCCTTGCGATGATGATTCGGGTTTCGCTTCGAGCACCTTGATACCATATGTGGCATCGTTGTAATTAATTTCAATAATATCATTGACGGTCAATGTTGAAAATTTTCGTAAAACATTCTCCAATACGGCCTTAGGATCGGAAATGTCCAAAAAGTCAACCGATTGAGGTTCGATCTTAACAAAGCTTCCCAATGGTAAATCACAGTTGGAAATCTTTAATAACAGACCGGGAGATACATTTAATGTGGCCATCATCCATTGGGGAAGATATGCCCTTCCCTCCTCAGCCACAAATTCCAAAACACCACTATGAGTTTTTACTGATTCGGCTTCATTTTCAAGCTCGAAAAGCATTGGATATCGTATGTGTAACATGGTCAACTTATTCAAAGCAGAAGGAGGTAAGAAGATCTTGCCACCAAAGTTGGCATCGTCTTTACGTATATTATCAGGCATCATGGCTACTGGATAGCATCGAAAATAATCCTCAAATTTGGTATTCATAGGCGCAAACGACCCCAACGTGCCAAACATACCCGTTCCGAATCCTGAAAACATGGTTGAAGAGGTTATACACTTTCTCAATTTGAAACTGCGATCTTCGTTATCGTATCACGTGCCGACGGAATAAGGTACAAGCAACCTTGATTGCAAAATTATCTATGCTATCTATTAAAAAGTTGCCTATTACCTTCCTGCCATGCTATGCTGGCTGATTTTGACTATTCTGGTGACAGCCTCTTGTTGGTTACTGTCCAAACTTCCAAAAACTGCTGTATGCCTTGCAACATCGCTCTGCTGAAGTGTAGTGAACTTGTTGGCAAAAACTTCAAAAACATTCATGCTATCGAGAGGAGTTTGTTTTAATGCTTCGAGTTCAGCGTCATCTACTTCATACTCGTCTTCCAAATATGCTCCTGAGTATTCGTCATCTTCATCATCCAGACCATTTCCAACGTCTTTTTGCAACGATTTCAATTCGCGATCCAGAGACAATATTTCTTGACGAGCTTTAATTGCGTGTGGAAGTACCTCCAAGTTGGAAACCAAAATATCGGCAATTCCTCCCAAGGCATCTGCTGGAACTAAACTTAAATCCGCATGGCATAAAATTGCCAAACTGGCGAGAATTTGAACTTTGCAACCGTACACACTTTGGAAGCTGTCAGAATGACTATGCCACAAGCTGAAGAACAGGCCCGTGAACGACACCTCATATATGAACTTCAAAGTTGTGTTGGGGTCGATGTAGAGACATGCAAATAGAATCTTTAAGATAGATAAATGATGCGACATATGGCCATCAGATGCATCTTGCGCTTCCAAGGAAGACATCACTTCGAAAACTTCTGGCAAGAATTGCGGTAAAAACGACACGAATCTGGTGGTCATACTCCAGATTGTCAATTCTATCAACTCGAATGCCTTATGTGCAAACACTCGATCAAGTGATTCACTTCTCTAGACTTTGAGACATCCAGTGAGCATGGATTGCACGTAAGGGGAATCCTATAGTTATCTCAGGATGACTGAAACCTAAAGTTTGATGATACTGTGCGAAAAATGGCTTCAAACCTGTCAAAGTATTCTAAGGCATAGGTATCGAAAGATTCAATGCATATTTGGAACATACTCCACGAAACTGCAGAAACATGATTGGTAGCAAATAGAATTGATTCGAGTATTTCAATTGCCTCAGAGAGAAACGAAACCATGGCATTTTCAAGAATAAATTTGATCATATCTTGGCACGTAGGTTCCATGGATGCTGCAACTGCGGGGGATGCATTCATTGCAATGACAAGAGTGGTGAGAGTGCTTAAAATACCCGATGCCTGATACTCTTTCTCGATGTCGATGTTATTAGTTCCTGACTGTTGATCCAAGATTTCGTGTGCAAGCTTCAAGAACAGTTCAACCAACCTCGAAGACAACTCTTGGGCATACGGCTCCAAATCCTTGGCAAATTTCTCCACAAATGAATCCATAACACTAGTTAAGATGTCGGATTCAAACTTTTTAGACATGTCTAATAATGTACCCATGAGCTGTGGCGCCTGGCCAGATATATGTTCAGCTACTGCTTCTTCGTCAACAAGGGTTCTCAAGGCATCGACCGCGGTAAGTTGTATAGGGAATTGCGAGTCGTTTTGGAAACATGCGACCACTCCTTGAAATATATCTTCCAAAACTTTTTGATCTTGGTATTTGTAGACAAACATGGCCAATGTATCACACGCTCTAGCACTGAGGAAAGGAAATTTGTTCATGGTATCGGAAGACAATTCTGGGTATACGTAAGTGTAGAGAAGTTGGTCGAGCTGGCCGTGAACTGGAGACACCTTTTTATCCAACTTGTAAGAGAGAGTGGAAAGGATACGCAACGCACCTTCCGTTTTCAAAGCATATTGGAGGTTGTTTCTGTCGGAAGCTCTCTTTTGAAAAATATCGTTCACAATTGATAAAACCAAGTCAATGGTGGTTTTAAATTTGGTAGCAGATAACCGAAAGACGAAATTGATGGACGCCACATCAGAGGTATTGCTTTCTCTATTAATGTCGAAGAAGCGACGGATATACTCGTCAGGCTCGTCTTCGTACAACTCTATTGTCTCTTCACTTGCACTCAATGTTGGTACTATGACATGGTTCATTATAGCTTCGAGTTGGTTGAATAAGTCACCCCAGGCAGACGTATCAATGAGTTGTTCCAAGAATGAGATCATATGGTAGAGTGAGCCTTCAGAAAGCCAAATTTGTTTCGTGGACCATTTTTCAATGATACCCCAAAAGGCATTAAGAATTTGAGGCACAAATTGTTCAATGAATGTCTTTGCAAATTGATTTTCCAGCTTTTGCTTGGTGTTGAAACCTCCACCATGGCGGCTTAGAAGTCGATGAAGATTCGCAAAGCACCATTTAACCGTTTTAACCCGTGGGTGTGCGGTTCTAAGATCAATGGATTCTTCCTCCAAAACAGACGCAGGTAACGGCTCATTGATGATATAGATTTGAAGCTGACACCAACTGCCCAATTTGTTAATATCCTGAAAGTAGGTTGGAAGTGAAGAAAACGTGGCGAATTTAAACGTCTTGACGATTAGATACAAACATCTCATTGGAAAGAGGGTCGGTCATCGACACAAGTTGCGATGCCAACGGCTCAAGGAGAGGAAAATATTTCCTGAGAAACCTCCTCCAAGACAGGATTACTGCCAGAAGTCAGCTCCATACCGACCCAACGATAATTTCGAGTATATTCATACAAGCAAATCAACCCGGTGTATACATGGTCGACATTCCCGCTGTCTGAAATGAGTTTTTTTATTATCGACGAAAGTTCCTCCCACTTGTCGGTATCCAAGATGCTATGGAGTGCGGCAGCAAGTTGCAACTTGATCTGTTTGTTCTTATACGTTTTGATAATAGTGCTGATGAGGCGGTCCTTGATTATGGGTTTTTCACCTTCTCGAATCAAGAGTGTGCTGGTCTTATTCTCAGGTGCTACCCAGTAATGGTCTACTCTGTTCTTGAACAAAATTGAAGCACTGATTTGGATTCCCAACGGTACTTCGGGCTCAGTAATGAGTTCCAAAAGGTAGGCAGTGAAGCCAGGTTGCGCTTCAAAAACATGAAGCTGGCTCTCACTCTCCTTCCGCGTCTGGAGATCTGCATTGAGGGTACCTGCTAGCGCCGTCAAAAGGGTCTGTTTGTCCATGCTAAAAAATCGTTTGCCAACTTGCACACTTGTAGTTAGAATCAATGAAAAAAATGCTGTGGCCTGCATATATCCTATTGTCACTGGTCGAGTCAAAGTAGCATGTGGACGGAGCTAGATCACAAAAGGGATGTGTATGTGATATAACACGACACAACAACGTGAATATCCCCATATTAGTCTTCAAATTCAAGTTCCTGATAAAAATTACCAACATCATTGATTGTTAATATGCAGTACCTGGCGATGGATTTTTCAGCCAATTTCTCGGTCCTTGTACTACACAACGATGGTGCTGGAGATCAAGGGTTTCCACGTACTTCCGGTACAGTTTGGTGGGACTATCAACAAACAGAAACCGCATTATTTATATTTCAAGAAACACGAAGGGTCACAGAGTGATGGAAGATCGTTATTTTTGTTCAACTTGCCAATAGAAACCAACTTTAATGTCTTAAAAAAATTCTTCCAGACGGTAGCTTTGGGTGCTACTGTGGAGGCATATATTTCCAGCAAACTAACCGACTCCTTGGAGGATGTGTGGCTTGATATGACCCAGCTCACTTCGGGAATAGAAATAAGTGTCAGTGAAGACGATGAGCTGCGAGCGAAGTTACCGAGAAATTGTGGTATAATTCGTTTTGTAGATAAGCTGGCGTTCTCGCTTGCATTCTCAGAGCTCAAGAAACGCTGTTCGTCTCAGGAGAAGATAACATGGCCCTTGGAAGAACCGATGGGATCTCAGTTTCTCTTGAACAAGTATCGCAGCCGATTTTTGGATCCTCAAGAACTCTCGGATTCGGTATCACAGGCACTTGTACAATTTGATGAAGCTGAGCGAGAGTCTATGGAACAATTACAGCAACAAGCGCTGTTGGTGGATGAGGATGGGTTCACCATGGTGGTTGGATCGCACCGCAAAACTAAAGCAGGTATAATGGGGCGCCAGAAATTGGCGTCTACCGTTGAGGTTGACAAGGCGCTGGCCAAGTTAAAAAAGAAAGAAAAAGAAGACTTCTATCGGTTCCAGTTACGAGAGAAAAAGAAACAAGAAATGAACGATTTGCTCAGCAAATTCAAGCAGGATCAGGAACGTGTACGGTTGATGAGGGAGAAGAAACGGTTTAGACCATATTAGCATAATAGATTTAATAGAATTTTAAATTGTAAATTTGCAAAATAGCAAAATATCATATTTTTACTAAATGTCGCTTACTGGGTGCAATTCTCACGAAACTTTAAACCACACCATTCCATTTACCTTAAAAAATTGATATGGACTCACACGAAATTGACAAATTGGGCGAGGAAATCTATGACAACTACAAGCCCTTATTCGACTCAGATGACTTGTGTCTTTTATCGACAATGAGATACGATCCTTCACTCTCCGAAACCGAACCCACATCTGCTTCTTCGCTAAACAAATCCAACTTTTTCCTTTTTGATGAACATTATCACCGATTGAAGTTCACGGTAGACTACTTCAAAAGACAAAAAAACACAAACTTGACGTTTAATTTGTCTGACACCGATTTTCTTCGAAAAATCATTTACACAATTGAATCATCCGGAACCAATCTTCACGCAGCTTTGAAAATACGTATACTTCTCAGTATGATTGGAAAGTTGAAAATCGAGCTCCACGAGACTCCAGAGAGGAAAAACTTATTAGACGGAATACTTGACCCCGCTAATAGTCCGTTATGGGATGTATATAAGGACCCCGAATTTACAGTGTCTTCACCGTTGACATCGTTCAAAACTACAAGCCGAGACCATTATACCCAAGCCAGAAGCCGATGCTTGCCCCTGTTAAGACCTGGATGTGAAGAGGTTTTATTGCAAAATCCACAGGGTAATGCTACCGAAGGGTCAATTACTAATTTTGCAATACGCAAAAACGACACTTGGATTACACCACCATTGAGCACTGGATGCTTGTGTGGAGTAATGAGACACTTTTTGTTGCGTAAAGGCTACTTGGAAGAAGCAGTGATCCCCATGGCGAGCATTTCTACGGGAGACGAACTTTTATTGTTCAATGGCATCATGGGAGTCATTAGAGCCAAAGTCAAGTAGACCTCTATATTAACGCTTCTATTTCCTGCTCTGTGTAGCCCAAAATGTACAACACATCACGAAGCGACTTGGAGTTTAAGCACGAGGGAGCTAACTGCTGTACCCTTGGCTTGGCATTCCAGGCGATACCGAAACCGGCAGCTGCCATCATTGGTAAGTCATTGGCGCCATCTCCAACAGCCAACACTTGTTTTGTGTCTATGTCGTGTTTTCCAGCAATTTCAGTCAATAAGCTGGCTTTTTTCTCTCCATTGACAATGTATCCTTGGGTGGTACCATCTAAGATCTGGTTTTCATCCACCCCTAGCTGATTGGCGAACGCATAGTCGAGGCCCAATTTCTGCTTCAAGTGTTCTGCCAAGGGTATGAATCCTCCTGAACAAACCATCAAAACAAAACCCAACTTCTTCAATGCCTTGCACAACTCCACGGCGCCGTTGGTAATTTCAAGTTTCAACTTCAACTCGTCCCAAATTGAAGTGGAGTCGATACCTTTCAACAACAACACTCTCTCCTGCAACGACTGGGTGAAGTCTAGTTCGCCATTCATGGCACGTTCGGTGATTTGTGCCACCTTATCTTCTATATTGGCATATGCTGCGATGAGCTCGATGACTTCCTGGTAAATCAAGGTGGAATCCATGTCAAAAACGACCATTTTTTTTGTTCGGTCAGCTTTCTGGAGAATTATATCGTATGTTGTACTTTCAAGTTGTTTCTGTTTCAAAAATGACGTTATTCTCGATACATCGTCATCGTTGTCTATCTTTACTTCATATTCCACAGCACGAGATGAAAGTACTTTCTTTTTGGGCGACGGATCTACCTCTGCACATATCAATTGTTGTACTTCAGACTCTGTATGAGATGGTAGTTGAGCATCACGAGAAATTACAGTGATAACATGAGTCATGGTGAACTGTTCAATTTCGCGACAAGTTGAAAACACTTGGGTGCAAAAAATTGTATGTAGGATATTAAGTTTTTAATTCATATCTATATTTATTCTAGTAGCCCTAGGCTGGTAATGATGCGTGTGCCAAATTAATGCGTTTATGTTTTTCTGTAACTGTCTCTCTTTGTCCTCTTTCTCGCCCTTCACGACTTTATGCAATTACTCTCCTCCTCTCAAATCATACTCACTCATTCCAATGCCACCACCCATCTTTCTAAAGTTGTCCAAATAGACGCTGTACTTTTTGTCGGCCACCTCGTTCATTTTTTTCCAGTATACCTCGTGTATGTATTCGAAATCAAGCAACCCATTGAATTCCTTGTCGAGTTGTTCCTGTGGTACAAAGTTTTCAAATGGCTGGTCATAGATGGTTTTCAGTCTAGTATAAGGGTCAATGAATGGCCCCACCACTTTGAAAAAGGTGTAACCAATCCAAGGAATGTTTGTGAAAAGTCCACGACCAAGTCGTTCTGGATAATGATTCTGCAAAATATGCAACACCTGCTTGGAGATGGAAAGCGACGGAAACTTGGATGAGAGTTTCAAGTGTTCAGGAGCTGCCTTGAAGTCAATGAGCAATGCCAATGTATCTTGTCCTGGAGGCATGAATTGAATAACTCTTTCCAAGTAGAACACCAAATGTTGAACCTGTTTCATAGACGGAGGAGTGTTTTGGTATCCATTTCTAAGATACAAGCAAGGTCTATTGTCATTGTCGTACCCCAATATGAGATGTTTTCCGGTAACGTTTTCATGCTCGACAAGATCGGGTGTAATTACTTGTTTCGGGTCGGTATGGCCAGGAACTTCCGTGACGCCGAATGTCCGTCTCCACACCAAAGTATCCTCTATACGCTTAATTGCGGTTTGTTGCTTCCATTTGGAAGCTCTCAAGTATCGCAAAAAGCATTCTTTGGTGAGCCATGCTTTTTCCAGTTCTAATATCGGATGTGTAGCAGCTCCGGATCTGTCGTTCACCGGCAATTCTTTTGTGACAAATGTCTCAAAGTAAGAAAGTAAATGGTTATATTTCTCTTCCTGTTCCGGGGTCAAGTCGAAAACAGGCCTTTTTATAGGGTTCAAAGGTGCTTCGAATGGCTCGTACCATTTTGTGAGGTTTCGTTTTTTACCCTTAATTCCACTACTGACACTTGTCGCTTTGGACGACATCGACTCTACCTCGGACTCTTCATCTCTTTTGCGAAAGAACATGGTTTTGTTTTCTTTGCACTGCTGTTCTAAGTGCAAACTTTAATTTGTAAGATGTGGAAAATAAATGGAAACTAGAGGAGATGCGAGCGCGCTTCTTTATAAACACCATACCGGCACTTAACCGACACGCTTGTGAAGATCGTTCAAGAGTATTAGATGGTTTTGGATTTCAAAGTTGTAGCGTCTACTGATGGCGACTATCCCTTCAACAAGGATCAAATACATAAATTAATTGAAGATGCCACCCCAGCCAACTTGGTAGAATCAATACTTCACAAGCTTAAAGCTACCAGTTCGAAGCACAAATTCATAGTCACTGCCACAAAAATTACTAGCCAGGAGCTGGTGGGCTCTGTAAGCTGTCAGACGGGCACCCTTTGGAATGAGAAGAAGGACGGATATGTGACTTTACAAATAAAGGAGAGGGAAGAGAAAAGTGGGAAGGAGGAGACTGAAAAAGAGGAGACCGAAGAAGAGAAAGGTACAATTAAGCAAAGCGATAGTGTGGAGAATAAAGAAGGTGTGGAAAATGAAGAAAATGTGCACGAAGAGATCGATAAACAGGTCGTGGATGTTTTGGAAGAATACCAGCAACAATCACCCAAGGCTACTGATGATACCCTCGAAGTAAAAGAACCCGTTCCTGAAACGCTGGAAGTAAAGGAGCTCGGAAACACCGATAAGCTTTACAATGATGCTACTAAGGAACATATTGGTGAGGTTTCATCGGAACTTATTCCCAATGTTTCAAGTGAACCGATTGAAGTTGGTTCTGATGAACCCATTCATGCTAAGGTTCCTGATGCTGATATAGACGAAGCTGTGGGATCAATTCCCACCACTGACGCAAATCCTCCAGACCTGTCTGCACACGAAGAACCAGTTATGTTGGCAGCGGTTGACCCTGAGGAGGCAGAGAAGATCATGAGAGAAAGAGACTCGGGATTGGTTTCAGACGAAACAAAAGTTTCGCTCGAAGAACCAATAGCACAGTCAACTCCTGGATCGGACTCTACAGCAGCGGACACAACGGAAAAGAGAGTGTTTGAACCACTGGAAGTACCCATTGATGAGCACGAAGAAAGCACAGTACAGCCACAAGCTATTGAGCAGGAAGACAATTCAGAACATGTTGAAGACGTACCGCCTGAAGCTGAACATGAAGACGAAAAGGTTGATTCCATTAAAGCCGAACCGGTCTCAAAACAACCAAAGGTCGCAACTACATACATGGTGACCATTTACTGGGTATATGTTCATTAAATATCATTCCTCCGCTTCTATATCGAGAAAATTATACAATACATCCAAAGCGTCATCGGCTTCGGCAAGTTCTTTACATTTCTCTTGAAGTGGAGCCAATTTATCACGAATTTCTGTCAAGAGTTGCCTTGTTTCTGGATCGTCATTTGGATTGAAGGGTTTCACAGGTTTCTCAACATACTCGCCCTCTGGCGTATTCTTGGAATTCTCTAGTCCCATATTGCGTCTGAGCTCTGTTGCTTCTTCTGTCATTGATTTAATTTCGATTTCGGTCGTTTTCTTGAACTCTTGTAAGTATTGTAGATCTTGCTGATATACGGTAGACAACTCTTTGTGGTATTTTTCCAATTGATTAACCTGTTTTAGTTCGGCCTGGAGGTACGTCTCCAAGAACTTTTTACGGCGGTTAAGACTATCAAATGCCAAAACATTCATGTCTTCTGAGCTGTTGCGTTTAGAATGTGATGTGGGCAACGGTACTTTTGTCACCTTTAGTCGAGAAAGAAACGACAGCTTATTATTTCTATCTGCCCAACTATTGGCCACGATTTCCTGAGCGCTAGCCATCTTCTTGTTGAATTGTGTCTTCTTTTGATCTCGACGGTATCTCTCCACCGCCTTACTTGAACACACACTTATGATTCTTTCTAAAGAGTTAAATGTTTCTGGATCGAGGGGCGCCCAGAACCTGTCGACGAGTTTACCTGGAACACGTTTCCTTACCGTTTGCAATGTGAAGTTGGTAGGTAACCCAATTTGTGATGTTTTGGCTTCATTTGGTTCTTCTATTGATTCGTGATTTTCTGGACTTTTAGTTCTTGATGAGTGTGAAGGTGATGGTGGAGAGTGTGGGGTATCAGGTAGAGCCGGGGACTGCGGTGATCGATTTGGCAGATTTATATTATCAGTGCCATCTCTATCGCTCATCTTGAGGCACTATTTAATATTTATTTTGACGCGCGCGCTTTTATGTTGAATTTCTACGAAATGGGTGCAAATTCTCAAATGAGAAATGAGAGAAGTGAACCGTATGTTCTTCCAGAGATCATATGTTTCTTTTCAAAAGAGTCACCGTGTAGTTATACACATCTTTCATCAGCGTCACATCGGAACCTAGTGCGGTTGCAAACTTTAAAAGTAATCGAGGTGCAACAGTCTTGATTACGCCAGGTGATTTTTTGGGAACCGAATTGGCAACCTCTCGTACTAGTTCAGTCGCTGTTCGCAATGTAGGATCTGAATCCTGTTGTGTGTCTAGTTTTGGAACTGGATAGTTGGAAGTATCAGTATCGTCACTGAAAATCTGAAAAAGTCGTTTATCGGCTATGGAAAGCTCGTCGCTGTAAGTTCCACTAGCTCCAATTTTGTTTTTGGCGGGAACTATATTGTTGTAGAGCCATTGACAATACTTTTCAACTTTAAAGTCAGACCACTTTAAGAGGTCTGTATCTTCAATGTCTTTATGAGCGAATGGAAATTCAGAATTTTGTTCATGCTCATCCAATGCAGATAGCCATTTTTCTGTGCTGAATGGCAGGTCTCGTAACGTATTCAGAACGATCAAAATAACAAGAGATAGCACAACAGTTTCAGGAAAATATAAGTCGGGAGTTTTGGCGACTGGGTTGATTTTACCGAAATCTATTGATTTGGCAATATCAATGCAAAGGCAGAAAAGAGTTGGAGTATTTGGAAGAAGCAACGAATCCCTCATGATCAGAAACACAAGTGAATAGTAATACGACTTTGGAATAGTCAATTCTTCTTGGCCAACTTTAGATGCAATTGTTCGAATTGAACGCAATAACTCGCTAATCGTTACAGGGAATGGTGGCTGAATGGATTTGTGATAATATGACGGAAGGGCTACTACCATTTCTTTTGGAAGCAAATGTAGCGACCTCATATATGGAATTGTATTATCATTGATCTTGGGAATCAAGTCAACGAGATAGACCAGGATGTGATTTAGTCGAAGAATTGCCAAGTATATTATGGCAAGGGCATCGATGGCCGATGGAGCTTTGCGATCATTACCATTGATATGTGGCATATAATCGATGAGGATTCGAGCCCAGTATACTTTGACAATTGCAACCAACGAGTGCTCAAATTCTTTCTGCTGCTGCTGGGGGCAGGTTTCAGTTACTATTGCCTTTATTTTGTGTTGAAGTGATAATTGGAAACATCGAAGGTACAATTTTTTCGCATGTACTCCATACAATTTTTTCGAATCCTTATTTTTCGTGATGCCTCGCGACTGCATTGCTGCTGCATTACTCAGACTGGCAAACTCACCTCCTAATCCTGTCAAATTAATGTTTAAGCGTCTAGTAGCGACATAATTTTCATCTTGATCATCGTTGATCTCGATATTTCCTTCCATAACGTGGCCATATTGGCACACCTTGAGCCCATCGCTAGACCTATATAGTTGCGATCTGCAGTTGTCGACGCCACAAATGGGTCCACGAATCCATTTCTGTGACATAGAGATAGTGATCGCGATTACATCAAAACCACCGCGGAGATGGAGATGGCTTACATCAGCCATCGCATTTTGGCGACAGGGTCTCACGTCACATGACCAGACCGTGGTTAACCGATATTGCCCTACGGCCGTTTGTCATCTGTGGTTAGGTCCGAGAACGGTGATTCGGAAAAGATGTCTAATTTCGGGTCCGGGCTGCATTCCGGAGCCAAGATGTGACGCGATAATCTTAAGACCGATGCGAAAATGTGGGGCTCGGGGCATTAATGTCCCGTTCGGACCCCGGGCTTAAGAGTGACAGCGAAGGACCGGGTGTTTTATGCAGGAGCCAAGAATACGAAGAGCAGGTTGGATTCGGATTAAAAGGGCAAGAACGTCAGTGTTGAATGGTTTTCGTGCTGGTTATTCTATTCGTTGGTGTTTGATAGTCTTTGCAGATTTTGGTGGACCTTTTATTTCGGTGTTCATCATATCTAGGCATCGCCTGCTTCTCTGCAGGATCGACTCCGTCCGGCGATTAGAAGAGGGGAAGCAGCGTAAAAAACCCCACACTCGTTTAGGGGTTTGGGCCTGGCTTTGTAACCATCAGAGTATAAAAGGTAGCACCGAAGAGGACTTAGGAACCAAAAGGTATATAAAAAAGAATATCAATTCTGTTGACCATGTTCAAGTCCACAGCTAAACAAGCTTTCAAAAGCGCTCCGACACTTGCAAGAATGTATTCTGACCTTCCATTATCTGTCAAGGTGACTTTTCCAACTGGAAAGAGTTACGACCAACCTACTGGGTTGTTCATTAACAACGAGTTTGTTCTTCCCAAGAGAAAGAAGACTTTCGAGGTGATCTCTCCATCTACCGAGGAGGAGATTTGCCATGTCTATGAAGCTCGTGAGGAAGATATCGATGCTGCCGTCGAGGCTGCTGAAGCTGCTTTCAACACCGAATGGTCCACTGGTCCTCCACTTGAGAGAACCAAGTACATGACCAGATTGGCTGACTTGATTGAGGAGCACGCTGACACTCTTGCTCACATTGATACCTTTGACAATGGTAAGTCATTGGCCAACTCTCGTGGTGACGTTGCCCTTGCTGCCAACTACATCAGATCTTGTGCTGGTTGGGCTGACAAGATTCAAGGTACTGCTCCTGACACTGGATCTGGACACTTGAATATTGTTAAGAGAGAGCCAATTGGTGTCTGTGGACAAATTATTCCATGGAACTTCCCATTGCTCATGCTTTCTTGGAAGCTTGGTCCTGCTCTTGCTACTGGAAATACCATTGTGTTGAAAACTGCCGAGACTACCCCATTGTCTGGTTTGTACGTTGCTAAATTGATTAAAGAAGCTGGCTTCCCTAAGGGTGTTGTCAACATTGTATCTGGTTTTGGAAAGATTGCTGGTGATGCCATTGCTACCCACAAGAAGATCAAGAAGGTTGCCTTCACTGGTTCCACTGCTACTGGTAGACACATCATGAGAGCTGCTGCTAACTCCAACTTGAAGAAGGTCACTTTGGAATTGGGTGGTAAATCACCAAATATTGTGTTCAACGATGCTGATATTGATGTTACTGTTCAAAACTTGGTTACCGGTATCTTCTACAACACCGGTGAGGTTTGCTGTGCTGGTTCCAGAGTGTACGTCCAAGATGGTATCTATGATGAACTCTTGGCTGCTTTCAAGAAGGCTGCTGAAGATGTCAAGATTGGTGACCCATTTGCTGAGGACACCTTCATGGGTGCTCAAAACTCGTCGACTCAATTGGACAAGATTTTGAAATACATTGAAATTGGAAAGAGTGAGGGTGCCAAGGTTGTTGCTGGAGGTGCCAGACACGGAGACAAGGGATTCTTTGTTAAGCCAACCATTTTCGGTGATGTTAAGGAAGACATGCAAATTGTCAAAGATGAAATCTTTGGTCCTGTTGTCACCATCTCCAAGTTTTCCACTGTTGATGAAGTTGTCAAGTTGGCTAACGACTCTGAGTATGGATTGGCTGCTGGTATTCACAGTACCAACATGAACACCATCATGTCTGTTGCTAACAGAATCAAGGCTGGTACCGTCTGGGTCAACACCTACAATGATTTCGACCACATGGTACCATTTGGTGGTTACGGCCAATCAGGTATTGGTAGAGAATTGGGTGAGGCTGCTTTGGACAACTACACTCAAGTCAAGAGTATCAGAGTTGGTCTCCACTAGTTCATAGTGTTTTGTAAGTAAAAATGTACTGAAATACAGTTATGAATCAACAATAAACTCCAGTAGCCAATGAAATGCAATCAAACTCGCTTCAAGTTGACTCAAGTTGGAACCATACAGTGTTGCAGCCAAAACCTTATTGTTACCGCAGAACGAGCGGCTCGCGAAAAATTGGTCGACACGTGCGAGGTGACTGTCTTTCTTTCGCACACTTATGGGTAAGTGCTTACGTGATATGAGTTTCTCGCACTCAAAAATTTTCAACTGTCGCCTGAAAAGATTTTCAATCAAGGAAACAACGTATACTGAATATCAGAATGGTATGTACTTGCAAATACCTTCACTTGATGGGGGCTTGTATCAGATCGTGATATGGATGTGTCTGTAGTATTATAAGTGGTTTTGAACCGCAGAAAACTGGCAGCTTAGTCGATCGATAATATTTTCACCCATCATCAAATCTCAAACAAATACTAACTTCAGAGTGACGCTGTGACTATCAGAACCCGTAAGGTTATCACCAACCCATTGTTATCCAGAAGACAATTCGTCATTGACGTCTTGCACCCAGACAGACCAAACGTTTCCAAGGACGAGTTGCGTGAAAGATTGGCCGAGACCTACAAGGCCGACAAGGATGCCGTTTCTGTTTTCGGTTTCAGAACCCAATTCGGTGGTGGCAAGTCCACTGGTTTCGGTTTGATCTACCAATCCGCTGCTGACGCCAAGAAATTTGAGCCAGCTTACAGATTGGTCAGATACGGATTGGCCGAGAAGGTTGACAAGGCTTCCAGACAACAAAGAAAGCAAAAGAAGAACAGAGAGAAGAAGATCTTTGGTACTGCCAAGCGTGCCGCTAAGAGAGCTGCTAGAAGAAACGCTGATTAATTTACTCAGAGTTATCTGTTTCATAGATGTCACGATGCATCAGTAATAAAAATCGTACATGGAATTGATGTAGTTTATTTCCTGTAAAAATTGAACTCACGGAGGGTGCCAGGTATTATGACAGGCTTCTCAACTTCTGTTTGATATCTGATTTTGATTTGTTCAAGCTGGCTAACCAACGTTGTTACCTGTGCCTTATCCATATCTTTACGACAAAGACATATTCCTCTGACGTATTCCACAGAACAGTCATAAAATGATCCCAAGATTTCATTTTCCCACATTTGTGGTATAAAGTTCATAGGATCTTCACATGTTGCCAATTCACCTAACATCTCAATCGCTCGAAGACTGTTCAACAAGTACGCAGCATCCTTCCGGGTGAAAAGGTGCTCCAATCCTCCATAAAGAATAGTAGCATCTCTGGAAACTGCCTCGCTAAATGATTTGAATTTTTTGACTTGGTCTGGTTCAATCTTTCGACCCTCTCCGTAAAGAATATTTTCATAGCCAATTCTGATATACGATGCAATGAAAGAGTCCAAGAAGATATTGAATGTTACCGAGTATATCTCATACGAAGCATATCCTCTCAACTCTTCCATGTATTCGCAAATGGTTTCCACGATTTTTTCAGCTACATTCAACTCGTCAGAATTCTGTCTCTTACTATCGTCGTACCACGTTTTGGTAAAGAGGACAGAAAACGCTGGATACAAATCATTGACGATGATATCCACCATGCATCTAATAGCCAGTCCGTTTAATTTGGCGGTAGGAGCAACAACACTCTCGAACGCAATATCTATACGTTCTTGATAAGTGGAATGCACTTTGTTGCGATACTTGGGCAAGAATTTCTCATGCAAACGCTCAGTGGTGATTTCGTAGGTGTTTCCAAGTGCTGCAAGGTATTCGATTAAACCTGGTTTCGAAAGCCGAGCTAGTTCTTCTTGTGTCATATTCTCAATATCCTGATCGATAGTTGGAATATCCTTCTTGAAAAGACGTTTCATCTTACTCTCTTTGATCAAAAACCGCTCGTTGTTGTAAACAGACATGTAACGGTCGTATTCATCTTCGACAAGCAATAGATAGTTATCAACACGTTTCTGATACTGTTCTGCCCAGTGCTCAATTACTCCAACAAGAATCTTACCGTAGCCAGACTCAGCAGCTACATCTGCTTGTTCTTTAAGCATTGTTAATGGAATTTTAAAGTCGGGAAGAACAAATACTTCTGAGTCAACTTCAAAAACCATGAGTTCATCCTGACTGTTTTCGTCTTCATAAACTTGATGATAGGTGTAAATGTCTGGAGGTGACTCTCTCTGTGAGAATACTTGGGTTTCTTGTTTGATAAGATTGTCATTCCATTCATTCATTTTTATCACGATTACCTTAAGATAATCTTCGAGAACAACGTTGCGTAGATCTTCTCCAATGATGGACCTTTTCGTTTTTTTCGTCTTTGCAGTACTCTCATCCTGCTCCGAAGATGTAAAGTTTAAGCTTTCAATAAACTCGCTGTAATGTTTATCATAGGACAATATCTTGAGCAAGTCTTCTGCTGGAGGGTCTGTGTTGATGTATTCCATGCTGAAATCATGCAATTTGTTGTAGTAAACATTATGAACAAAAGTGTCGATTGCCCAATTTGGAGGGAAGACCGGAGCCAATGTATTTACGACAAATACCAATTCATCTTCGAGCCAGTTTAAGTTGTCGAAGACAAGTATTTTGTCGTGAGCAAAGTGCTCAACACATTTATCGAAGATTTCATCAAGACTTTCTTGCAATTTATCATAAAAAAATTTTCGATAATTTCTCTTACTTCCCCTAAAGTTTCCATAGTTGATTATTCGCATATCGCGAGCCTTCAAAAGGTCAAGCTTATTCAACAAAGAGAATTTCAAGTCTTCATTAGCCTCAAACTCAATGATCTTGATGATCTTGAAGGCGAGAGTGTAGTTACCTTCTTTGGCTGCTTCGGTGATTGAATATATGATTTCTGCCAAAAGGAGATCGAAATTTTTGACCACTTCCTGAAGTGGAAGTACAAGCTTGAAGATGATAGACTGCAAGTCATCCGATAATGTACTTGATTGTTGCTGGAGATAATCCTGGAAGTTACGTGCTTGAGTGATGTTATAATGAATGCGGAATATGTTATCCAAGGAATAACCAGGATCATCTTGCACAATAGATAGTTCATCCTGAATCATGGTAGCCAACCTTTGAATGAAACCTTTAAAGTTGGATATGTCGTGGTAAAGATTACCGGTTTGAATGAGGAATTGATTCACGATTGAGATCTGTCTTATGGTGTCGTAATCTTCCACGTTGGTAATTGACTCGTCGTATAGTTGGTTAATCTTCCCGAGATTCCCCTTGATTGAATTGAGTTTATGAACCGATTTTTTCAAATTAGTCAAGTTGTCACTTATTGAGTCGATTTGATTTTGTGAGGCAGCATTGAGTTTCAAATCCACCGACGTTCTTTCTTTGATAAATTGTTGTTTTAACGCCCCTATTTTCACGAGGTCGTCCTCAACCTTGATCAAGTTGGCTATTTTTGATAGAGCTGCGTCGCTCATTCTTGGTGGTAGTACGTGAATTCGATCTGTTGATAATTGAAGCGAAATATTATATACCGGTGTTGGGTGCGAAATCGCTACATAGCCGTACACGCTAGTTTATTCACTACACATCGCTACGTTCGCTTAGGACCAAACCTCCTATTATACGGCATTGGCGATCCGTATTGGTTCATCACGTTTCCATTTGGACTGACATTTCCAAACCCTGTTGGCGAGGGAACGTACCCTGGAGGAAAATATTGACCCATATCTGCCTGAGGGAACATAGGTACCGGAGCTTGACCTGGCGACATTTGGAGGTGCTGCTGGTGTTGAAGCATCATGGCCGCGTGCATTTGCTGTTGTTGCTGCATCGCAGCCATTGCGGCTGCTTGTTGGTGCTGGGGAGACATTGGAAACTTGCCATTGGGAGGCGGCATTCCAGCGTAATTGGCTGGTACCATTGGAGCTCCCATCAACGGACTGGGTGAAAATGGCATTGGAGTTGGTGACATCATCGTCTTGCGATTGGCATTCGTAGGGAATAAACTTGTGTGCGGTAAATCGTCCGTGAAAGTCCACGTTGGAGGGGTGATAAACGTCTTCTCAATCGTTGGTGTCTTTGTATTTTGGGTCTTTTGGGCGGTAATAAACAAATTGAACGAGATTTTAAATTGTTCAACCTTCTTTTTCTGAGTGTCCTTGGTAGGCACTTTATCAGATCCTCCAAAGAACTCGGCTGGCGAAATTTGATAATGACGTTTCGAGTTGCCAGATCCCGAGCTAGAGCCACTCGTATATGTGCGCTGATTGTTGAGGCGAGGAGAAGGATTGACAGGAGAACGGAAGCCTGCTTTTGAAGGAACTGGCAGCAGCATTTGGCTTGACTTAGAGGGAGTAAAGGCCGCAGCTTTGGGATTCAACTTGAATGCCGGTTTGGTTGGATCCATACGTTTCAGAAGCAAAGTAGGCTGGGGTGATTGCAGTCCGCTGGTATCTTTTACCTCCTTTGGTTTGTCCTGTTTCTTTAGTATCTCGCTTTGCTTGGACTTATCCTTGGCAAGTATGGGAAGCAAATCCGTTGGCATTCTGTGGGGTATCTTAAAGTTGGCACTGAATTCGCGAAGTGAATTGATCTCACTTTGAGCATTCAATCTGAAAGATTCGTTGTACTCCTTCAGAACCTGAGCATTAGAGTCGCCTTTGCTTTCTCCTGCAGCTGAACTCGATACAATAGCTGGGTCATTATGGTAATGAGCAGCTCTGTGACGAGGTGTTACGTACTTGCCATCGGATTTAAGGATTGGCGGTTCGTCCGTTATCGTTGCATTTTTGAGTGCTGCCATCAATTCGTCTCCACGCCTGTCCACACCGGAGTACTTGTCTTCTTCATCGACACCGCTATCATCAACTTGTATTCCTCTTTCCTCTAGAATATGACGATCAGTTGAAGATTGACTTTCGATTTCCCTGGCGATAATTGTAGCTTCCTTGAGTCGCTTCTTGTAGTCAGCACCACTTGTGTTGATCTTGGTAGTGTACAAGCTTTCATCGTACGTGGATCCCACACCGAATTTCTCTTCGTTTACCTTGAATTGATCCCAGTGACCCTTACCACTATCTTCCAACAGAACCATTTTCAGGTCGTCATCCGGAACCCATCTTTGAAGCTCACGCTCCCTTACAGGTGCTTTGGTGGTGGTGGCCGATATGTCAGTGTCTGTCTTGAAAGTGGACGTCAGTTCGGTTGACGGTTTGACTTCTTGCTTAGTCTCGGCAGCAGGAGGAGTAGCCACTGAGTCAGATTTGAGAGGGGACGACTGTTTTGGAACTGGTTCTTCAGTTCCAGATAAGGAGGTGGTGACCTCGAAATCAATCAAGTTCTTTCCCTCCACAACCAATCTGTCGGGTAATTTTGCGTCGATATTAGTTTTCTCAGTGATCAACGCTCCTGACAATAAAGTAGGCTTATTGATCACAATAGAAGCAGGTGCGTTCTGAGCCAAGTCGACCGCGAGTAACGATCCCAGGTAGCGAGCACCAGTGGCTACTGTGATTACACAGGGTTTGCCAATCGATTTGGCGGCCAAGAAGAGTAACTTATCATCCTCCAGAGACATAGTTCTGGTCAGCGAAGGTGGGGTTCCTTGGCGTGAGTTCGACCGACGATGGCCATTGGGCTTTCCCTTGTTGCCTTGAGCTTTCATATGAATAATTTTGCTGTTTTGAGTGCACAAAGGGGTGTTTCACAAAGTGGTGATTTTGGTGTGAAATCACTTATTTTTTTTAATTTTAGTCAGCCTTAAACTAAAAGTGAATCAATCAACTACAGCTCTCTCCGCTGATGGTTTTGTGTATCAATTGATACTACTAATGATCGATCCTGGCTATGCGCTGTTCCAATAATCGCACGTAGAAATGCAGCTTTTTTCCCCAAATACGGTTCAGAGAATGTATATAGGAGCAGATATGCAGTTAAGTATTTGGGTTCACTGCTAAAACTCGAGGGTCACCTAGATGGATGAGCCAAACAACAAGTGGCTTTTTGAACCGTTGATTGTTTTCCGTTAATTGTACGCCCGCGCATTTTTGTGCGGACGAGAGTCACGTGAGGGTAATGAAAGTTTCGATTACATAGGCTACTTCCGCGGGGTATCTAAGGCAACCTAGTGCTGTAGTTGATGAAGATTATTAATCTGTAATTGAGAAATATGCCCATTATAAACTTCTACTTTCCTTTTGCATTGAAATATCCGGTCACTAGCTTCGCCCGAATTTTACGCCATGTTGTGCAGAATAATTTTCTGTGTCTCTTTTACATGCATATTTGTATTATTGTAAAAAATCTCCAAATGACCCAATTTTGAGAGATTGTATTTACACATTAAAATCTTGTAGACTGGCTTCTTCAAATGCGTCGAGGGCATACTTGAGCTCTTTCCATGGTTTAGATGTAGGTTCCCATTTCTTGAATGCAATGATTAATTGTGTTACCAAAACGAGACTGGCATTATTGGGTAACTGTAGAATCTCATTCAAAAGAGTTCGAATATTCCATGGAATTTGGTACGGGTTGGGAACCTTGGGTAGTTGCGGTGCCAGATATTGCAAATGCTTATGCTGAAATAGATCGGTGGTTTCAAGTGCATGCTGAAGAGCTTGTACGTATACTGCTTGGTCTTCGAAGACATGGCCATGTCCTCCGGTAGACAATGAGCCATTGCACCTATCACTCAAATCTTGTATGACATTGTAATCAGATCGACCCATATTCTTGGCAATGACTGCTGCTTGAAATAAAAGGATTATGAATGGTGGAATATTGTCACTCAATCTGGAATGAATGATTCGATAAATATTGGGGTGGGTGTATCCCGTTGCTAGTGACGAAAATAATGGTACAAATTGGTCAGTAAAGGATCCACAGAGTGTGACTTTCACGTTTTTCTCGAGTAGACTTGCAAGTGCATTTTTGAGTAGTTGAGTGTGGTCGCTGTTAGGTTTTTGTAAATCAAGTAGCTCCCTAATAACCTCGTTCTCGACCTGCGAGTACGCGCGCACCACAAGCTTGGTATCAAGACCAGCTACTGGTCCGTGAAATGGACCAGCCATACTTAAAAAGCCAATTCTTTTGTTGCGCCATTCCACCCTGTCAAGAAGATGAGCAAGCACCTGAATACCGACGGTGACTCCTTGTGAGTGTGCTACAACGAACAAGAAATCAGCATCACTAATGAGCTGGTACCAGTTTTCGAGAAGTTTGAGCAGGTGTTCCACTCTATCTGCCACTTTACCTCCACCATCCAATGCAATGGTCTCAATATCACACTGTTCGTTTAGTAGCCACTCATGTATAGCCTTTGAAGCCTGCTTGACGAATTTGATAGAATTGCCGGTAGATTGGCCAATAGTGGTTTTGACCATTTTTGTGGGGAGAAAGTTGTGGACACCTATTACTACTGCCTTTTTGGTCTTTTTCTTTCGTCTGATGATCTTTGCTTCTGTTCGTCTGTAAAGGTGACACTCACTTGAGTTGGCGTGATAAAGTAAATGCTGACCAAGTAAACGAACTTGAGTTTTAACAGTGATGATGCGATAGTTTTCCTCAATGGATGGAAATATTATATGGGGATATACGAGCTTGTCGTCGTGAAACATGTGTCCGTTGTCCGACCTTATAGAGGAGCTTGAGCTTCGGAGAGTCACGCTTTGTGGCTGCAAGAGCATTTCTTGAACTTCGTTTTGAGTTCTGGGACGTTTGCGAGACTTGTAACGAACAGGTTGTGTTTCTGATCTTGTTTCGCTCACAGAGAGGAGCAACTCGTCGGCTGCTCCGTACTTGAATGCATAATGTGTGGTGTCCTTGGACGTTTCTATGGCTGTTCTTGCTGTTTTTATCAAGTCAGCACCATTTACCGAATAGTTATCCGAATCGTCGTTTTCAGGTTCTGCTGCTTTGAACCATGGAAACCAAGTTGTAGATGCTGCTGGAAGGGGTTCTGGCTTATTTTGAGTGGTTTCTGGTTCTGGTTCGTCTCGTTTATAAAGCAGATCAATTACACTGCCATACAGAAACCATCGAGCCCACGACTCCAGATGACGATCTTCTGCAACGTTTACGTCCTTGATTGAATCTCTCTGTGAACTTGTCCACCACCATCGAGAGATAGCAGTGGTATCATTGGTATTCGAAGTATTATTCTGTCTCTCAGTTTGAGCATGATGGCTAGTTCCATTGTATGCTGAAAAACTGTTCGAAATATGCAAATTGGCAGCATTAGAAACTCCATTCTGTGTGGGCTCACTAAGAGAGCCATTACCTGTTGGTCTCACATCGAATGTATCTTTTTTATTCAAGTTGCCATCATTACTGTTATCAAGGTGATTATCTCGAACACCATTTTGTGTATTAACAGCATCAGATTCTGCTATTATTGGCAATGGTTGACCTTCCTCTGGAGTATAAGTACGTCGAACAAAGGTCAGCCAATATGAAGCCGGCTTCTCCGTCGCCATTAGTCACTCACAGCTCGTTATCACTGCTTGTTATCGCTGTGGTCGCACAGAAAATTTATCGCGAGCACGATAACCAGCATGACGGAAGACTGGGGTGGGGATATTTTAGCACGACTAAAGCTACGAGATGACTTGGAAAGCAGGGATTCGAAGTACTTTGAAGCATTTGATCTCCTTAGGCGCAAAAAAGTTATCAAAGGTACCTCTGGAGACCCCGATGTAGCAGCTGAAAATGAACGTTTAATAGAGAAATTAAACAATCTTGCAATTGAAGTAGAGAAGAAGGATTCTCAAATCAGCAAGCTCAAAAGACAGCTCAGTGTTGCAGAGAAAACAATAAAAAGTCATCAGAATAAACTCGAGAACTTGGCCTTGGAGGTACAAGAGAAGAACAAGAATATTGAAATTGTCAATGACGAGGTTTTGATGAACCAGATTCAAACCGCAGTTTTGCAGAAGAAACTTGGCGAACTCACTAAGGAGAACGAGACGTTGGTGAAGAGGTGGATGGATAGAGTGAGCAGCGAGGCGCAACAGATGAATGATGCTAATCAGTTTCTCGAAAGTATGCGCAAAACCAGTGGATGACAATTGTATTTTTATACTAGCTGCGGGCTGGTGTAGACAATGATGTCGCCCCACCGCCGAGGATCCCAGTGGAAATCACTATTAAAAAATCGCTTTTGCTCGACATATCCCAACAGAGTAAGCAACTCGTGGAGAGGTTCAAAAGCCACTACATGTGACAAGCCAGGCTGCAATTGTTTGATATATGTGGCTGGGTCGTTGTAAAAAATGTCTCCTTCATCTTTGTAGTTGGCGACAATAGTTGAACCAGACCCTTCAAGTCCAATTGGAGGTTCACAAGTAACAAACCAAGAATCTTCGAGCCGCTTTTGATGCAAATGGGATTGCCATGGAGTAGAGTGACATGGGGCTAGTACAGCAAATCTGCTTACCGAGGGATCAGAGGAAAGAAGTTGCACCACTTCTAGTACTCCTCGTTCATGTCTTTGAGTGAAAAATAATGCGATTGCGACCAGAAGACTCAAGTATATGGAAAATAGTATTGGTTTCCATTTCCACTTCCAAAGCTTGAGCACCACCGGTGCTCCCATGACCATGAAGATTGGCTGAAGAGGGTATAGAAACCGAAACTCCTTGTGGGAGATGAGCGAAAATGCTGCAATGTTGAGCGCAACCAAACTGTTTAGTGTTGAGTACCAATTCGCAGCAAAAGAGATCACAACGAGGGGGAACTGGGTTGTTAAGAGAACTGGTAAACTCTGCCCAACATGAAAATGCCACGGAGCCAGCCCGTAGAATATGGAAAAGTTCCGAAACACATTGAACTCGAGAAAATTATATGTGGGAAAAGTCCAGTGTCCGTAAAATGCATAATCCAAGAGGGTACTGACACCCACTACGACGCCAAGCTCAAGTAAAATCGTAACCGAGAGCTTAAACAATTGATATGACCATGGTCGTTCCCATAAGAAGCGTGTCCCCAAAAAGAACCAGATTATACCGTTCGTAGGACGAACAAGACAACTGGCAAACGCAAAAGCACACGAGATGTAGAAGTTGCCATATCTGAAATTGCGTCTGTGCCATGGCCCAATGTGATAGAGCTGCCACTGTGAGGAGCATTTCGAAGCCATTGGAAAATGAGCGAGTTATAAAGAACCAATTGAATGGATTTGTTAATGAAAGGAGTACGGCCGTCAAAGCCAACGTTTTAGATCCGAAATTTTTTGCAAACTTGTACAAGTAAACTTCTGACACAGTGGCAAGTAGTGCTCCCGTAATTCTAGGACCGTATGCTACCACTACCTCTTCCAGAACTGGAAGAAAAAGTCCTATTTTGTAGGTGAGAATATAGATCCACACATGTAATGACGACCTTAGACCATATTTCCATTCCCAAGTTTCATAGCCGTATCCGAATACGTAGCGGTGTGCCGGTTCAAGCGATTGGTAGTATTCATCTGGTTGGAAGAATGTCTTTATTGAAAATGCATTAATTAATCGAAACGCAAATAGTGCCCCAATGGCTAAGTTGCTTGTGGCCAATTGTACCCAAACATTTTGATGATTAGATTCAGCTTTTTTTTGATGACTGGAATGGTCTGCGGCTGTTTTGTGGTCTTTGCCTCTTCGCCGCATTTAGTGGAAAAGGTTGCACAGACTAACTCTCGCTAAGTTTCGCGAGCCGATACCGTGTTTGCAGGCATTTTAGCGCGCACTCCCCCGCTGGGGTAGCTCCACAAAACCTCGCAACCATATATCTCTTCCTTTTTATGTCGTTTAAAAACCGACTATCCTCAGCTATAGACTTGCTAGAGAAGTGTATATGGAACACATCGATTTCCAACGAAAAAGATGCCAAGAATTCAGGAACAGAATGCATCAAGGTGTTAAACTCAACAAGGATCGAGTCGTTAACTTCAGAACAAAAATGGCAATTGGCAGCTGTGTCAAATTTTATCCTCGAGAAATTCCAAAACAAGCAATTCAAACTTACTGCCACCGAAAAAATGTTGTGGATATGCTCCAAACTTGTGTATTCACCTACGAAAATGGAGTATTATTTTCCAATCATAACGTTTAATGACAAGTTGACGTCTAGCCAATTCTCTCCAATAATACAGGAAGACAACCTTCGTTTACCAGCCAACACACAGGCGACTTTCAATAACCTAGTTTTTGAAGACTGGTCTACCAATGGCATCCATGACCTATGCCAGGATCTCGTGGATAATTGCTCGTTTGTTTCGGCTATGTTGTCATTGGCGAAGGTTGACGCATCTTATTTCCTCACCTTGGTACACCCCAATTACAACAACGAATTTTATACCACCAGCCTCTACTTTAATGGCACCATTCGAAGAGTAAATGTCAAAAACTCATTCCCTCAAGTTTCAGATCGAGCTAGAAATTTGACGGTGAAATCAATTTCCAACGCAAACCTTCACTGGCCAGCAATAATAGAAAAAGCATACCTCAGAGTTCTCGGAGGTGACTATGATACAAGCGGCTCAAACTTGGCACTCGATGTGTTCATGCTCAACAAGAATTGGATACCTGAAGTGTTACCTATAAAATACGACACCACACAACTAACAAAGCTTGCTCCGCTATTCCAGTTAAAAAAGGTATTGCTTGGTTTGGGAACTGGAAAGATGAGTGAAGCGCTTTCTAAAAAGTTGGGCCTCATTTCACAGCACGACTACGTTATCGAAGACATTAAGGATAAAATATCCTTACGCAATACATGGGCATCAGAGACGAGTCTGCGAGAATTTCTCATTACTATGGAAGACTTGACATTTTTTTCCTACTTGTACATAAACTGGGATATTTCAAGAATGTTCAGGTACATGTCAAACACCATTCGAGTATTCCGAACGCCTCAGATAAAGCAGATTCATCACTTACCTCAGTATTCTCTTTGCAACCCCAACAGCGTCTCAGAAGAAATGTGGATTCTATTGGAGTGCCATATTCCAAGTCCAGAATTTAATGTGACCAGTGAGATCTACGAGACGGATGTTGGAGAGCAGGTAATGATGCCAAATCAGTACAACTGTGCTTTCAAAAACACATCTAATAGCCGGGTCACTTTACTCAAGTTTAACATGTTACCAAAAGCCAACTATACAATGGTGCTACATTTCAGTCAAACTGTTAATGTTTCAATGCACTTGTACAATAATATCAGTTCTCAGTTTAATTTCAAGAAGGCACAACCAAAATGTCCATTAAGGTTTCTGGAATCGTCTCTGTGGAGCACCCATCAAATTGAGGATGGAGTAGAGGGTGCCAGAGGTGGAGGAAATTGGTCAATGCCAACCTACATTTATAATCCACAATTTGACCTTGTGGTAGAAACAGACACCCAAGTGGACCTAGCATTATATTCCGAACACGGCATCTATGTCAACATTGATGTCTTCCATTCAGATAGTTTCGACACAGGCTCATCAATAAGACTATTTGACCCATCAAAACTTATTTTTCAGGACAAGTATAGTCATGAGTGTCAAGTCCAAACTCTACTTTTGCTGCTGGGCACGTACAAAGTAGTGATCTCAAATTACCAAAACACCGCTGGAAACTATTTCTTCCATGTCTTTGCAAATTCAAATATCTCAGTGAAGCAAATCATTCCTCTGTTAGGTATATTTCTTCGCAGACTGGTTCTACAGTGGAACCAGTCGAACAGAATCAAAGTTTATTTTTGATATAGAGGCTTACAACAGCAAAATGACCATTCACCTAAATGCCACCGATAACAACAGCAGCAGCGCATACAGGCCTTCTATAAGAGGTTCCATTTTTGATAATAAGACATTGCAGGGAATACTCTTAAATGAAGAATGGTGCGACTTACCTTATGGAAATTTCATCGATATTACCCTCAAATCTCCAGGACGCTACGTACTCCTAGTGGAGCGATTTGAGCAAGGTAGTGGTAGTTGCACGATCCAAATGGGATGCAACAACCAGTTTACCGTAGTCGGATGGTAAGTCCCCATAGTAAAATTCGCAGCCACGAGAGACTGTATATAGTACATACCAGGTATGCGGAGCCTCAACACTTGAATATACGTGTTACATATTACCTACAATTCGACCAAAATTAGTTCCTGTCGCTGAATTGGGATCAAATCGACAGCTTCGTATCACCCAATAAACATGAGGACAACATTATACTATATTTCAGCATTTCTCACGTACCTACTGGTTGTGTTTGCTTCAATTGCCGACAGCGACTTGATAAAGTTGGTTCAATCTCAGGGCTCAAACAAAGTCATTGAGCTTAACGATGGAAACTATAAAGAGGTGCTTACCGGGCCTCGCGACTATCATGCTGTGGTAATGTTTTCATCGGATTCTTCGCAGTTTAACTGTGTGTTATGTCGTGAATTCAAGCCAGATTATGAGATCACAGCCAACTCGTGGTATAGAGAACACCCCAAGGGATTATTGAAAGAGCAAGAAGCAAAGTTGGAAACGCCAAGGAAAAATATTTACTTCTTTTACACTGATTTCATGAACTCCAAAGAATTGTTTCTGCAATTCAAGTTGAACAATATTCCCAAGGTGTTTTACTTCCCACCAACTGAAAAATCCGGAAATGCGTATTTAAACGAGTTCGACGAGTACCAATTCTACCAGGGCGTACACCGTGAGTTGCTTATGAGTTATTTGTTCCAAACGACGGGTTTGAAAATCAACCTCTATGTTCCTCCAAACTACTCAAGAATCGCCATAAACGCCGCCATTGTACTTGCCATCTTGTTTGTCGCCAAACGCTTCCAAAGCACAGTGGGTAAATTCTTATCCTCCAGAGCATTATGGGGAGCAGCCTCGCTAGTCTTGGTGCTTCTCTTGACCACGGGGTACATGTTCAACCAGATTCGCGGAGTGCCATACTTGCAAGGGGAAGGCAAAGCCATGAAGGATTTCTTCTTGCCCAGCCAGCAGTCACAGCTTGGAATCGAGACTCAGATAGTTTCGTTCATCTACGGAATGTTGAGTTTGTTTACCATCTTTTTGATCAAGAGGGCACCTGAGATCAAGAACCACAAGGCTAACTTTGTCGCCACGTTGATTGCGTGTGTTTTCATCTATAACTTCTATGGGTTGCTCCTCTATGTTTTTGGATTGAAAGGCATGGGCTATCCATATCGCTTTTTCAAGGCATAGACATAAAAATACATAGCCATGCTCATTCAATTTTCAGTAGTCGGTTGCTCACTGTATCCATCCTAGCCAGTACCTGTTCTAGGCGCTTGCGCAAATTGACAATGGACGCAAGCTTCTGCTGTAGCTCAGTGGCAGTTATACCATTATTCAGTGCCGTTTGAAACGCCTTTATTCGCTGTTCAATAACTTTCAATCGAGTCAAAAGAATGAATTGCGACTGGTGAAGCAGCTCGAAATTATCATGGAGTGAATCGAGCAGATTACTCAAGATTGTGTGTGTAGCAAGCTCAATGGCGTGGTAGTCGTTTAAATCCTCCAGTGTAGTTTCATTGTCTTGTGTCTTGGACATCACCAACTGGTCCCCCGCAAATGTCGCGTAGTCGTTCCCTCACATGCGAACTAAAATTGTATGCGCAGGTCACCTTAAAGTTGAGACAAAGAGAAGTACAGGTATACGAGCGATGGCAGAAGATGATCTAGAAGACAAGATTCTCTATCGAGAACTCAAATCGTTGAAGCTAGGCGATACCAATAGGTTCAAAGTACACTATACTCCCCAATGTTTATCCAGTTCCATCGATGAAGATGAGGTCAAAATACCTTCAAGTTTATGGGTCAAAATACGCAATATAGAGCCATTGGCACTTCGAGCAGCCTATATAGCTGGACCCTATGTGCTTTATGTGGATTGCAGACCCGATGCCTACGATATACACAAAAATTGCTTTGTGACAGCTGACCAGCCTGTGTTTGAACCTCAGTTGCTTCCGGGTCAATCTTTTCTATGCCCAGCTTAATTGCCATACGGGTTCAAGATGAGTATTGCTGGACCATAGATGTGATGTCCCAGATCATTTTTAGTCACTCAATGTCGGTAGACTACGAAATAACCGTGGGTACTTCACGAAGTATTCTCCATGATGCCTGGATTCCAGATAAGAAAGTTGCAAATAGCGACAAACAGGGAACGTTCGTTCCTACAACCTATCTCAAATGTGACTTTTCAAGACACCTTGGACTTGTGGAACTTGCCGGTTCCTGACCCAAACAAGGGAAATACACCTTGTGATTCTCACCCATGGATTGCATTCCAACATTAGTGGTGATATGATTTATCTAAAAGAACAAATCGACAGAGCATCCGAGGGCCAGAATGTGGTTGTGAAGGGATATTTCGGCAATATAGGTAAAAACTGAACGAGGCATCAAGTACCTTGGAAGTAGGGTGGCAGAGTATATCATTGATCTTGTTGCTAACAATGAGACATTGAAAGGAAAAGTCAAGAAAATATCTTTTATTGGACATTCCTTGGGTGGATTGGTTCAGACGTTTGCTATTGCGTATTTGCAAAGCAACTTTCCCTGGTTTTTCTCGCACATTGAACCGATTAACTTTATCACATTAGCCAGTCCTCTTCTTGGCGTGGTTCATGAAAATCCACTCTACGTCAAGCTAGCATTACTGGCAGGAATCGTTGGTCAAACTGGCCGAGATCTTGGTCTCAAGTTTGTTGAACAAGACGACAAGCCCCTTCTTTTACTACTCCCTACTGGTCCCACACATCAGGTACTTCGAAAGTTCCACAGACGTACGGTGTACGCAAATCTGATCAACGATGCAATTGTGCCTCTTCGAACATCTGCTCTCTTGTATCTTGACTACAAGGGCCTCTCACAAGTCATGAGTTCCAGTAACTTGGACGACAAGAAAGAGCAAAACGACCGCACCATCCCCAGCAATGTTTCAGAGTCTGGAACCGGTAATGAAGACTGGGCATTACTGCTGTCAGTTCAGGCTGTTATGTCATACTTCATGCCACAGAAACAGGCAAGTTCGTCAGCAGTCACAAACTCTGGTCTTAACAGATTCCAGACCTCAGCACTGGAAACTGAGGATCCATTGAAAGATAACGATATTATTCGCGACCTTCCCAAATCTTCTGTGTTCCAAATCGTTAGTTCGTTGATCCTCCCACCATCACCATCCATAAAGTATATCACAGATCCGTCGAGTCGAGAAAACGTGGTGATTCACGATAAAGTGTATTCCGAAGAAGACTTGCCCCCTTTAAAGGAACACAGCAGCACCTCAAAACTGGAGAGTCTGAGCATCGGTCAAAAATTAAACATACACAAAAGATTACTCGAGACTATAGACTACAAGATCGAGCATTTGGAAGAGGCTATAGCTCGCGAGTACCACAAGAAAATGACATGGCGCAAGGTTTTGTTGCGTCTTAATATTGACGCCCAATAATAATATCATAGTCCGAAGACGATTTTCCAATGCACATGGCTGGCCCGTTATTGATCATCTCGTCGAAAACCACTTCTCTGAGGCTTGTTCTGCCAAAGAAGCATCCAAGAAGTCTCATATCGAGTCACCCAATAACGAGGAGGAAGAAGGCTTGCTGAAGATTTTATCCAGAGATCGTATCGCAGAGCAGAATAAGGAAATAGATGAGGGCATTGAAACAACCGACCATGCTTGGGTAAACTCCAAGGAAGACAAGTTCTACTTTAAGGTGGGGCCCAGTGGTTTCCTCAACAACCTTAGTGATGTGGTTCTGAATTTGAAAGATCAATGGACAAATTATGGGGTCAAAACTGTGACTGAGGAAACCGAGCAGGAACCGGCATTGCAAAACGAACCTGTCGAGCACAAACAAATAGAATCTGCAGAAGGTGACTTGGGGTTGAAGACTTCAGTAATGGGTGGATTTATGTGAGGTAAAGGTCTGGTTGCATATAATTGCTACTTTAATGTATATAATGCCAACATCTCATATAAGCCAGTTCTTCTCATGTTAGTCAGTTTTTATTCGTTACTCTTCAGCTTCTTCCATTTCCTCATCTTCCTCCACGGGAAACAACTCGGCAATCTTGTCTAGTATCCCTTGTGATTGCTCGTCACTTAGTCTTTGATCACATTCCTCCACTAATGCGTACAAATGAACCATTGTGCGAGGCAATGAGTTGACAATTTGAAGCTTCTCCACCTTGACAAGGTCGAACTGATTTAAATACTGGAGAAGAGCGGTAAAGTCAGCAGATGACGTTATTGTTGCTTTCTTATCGGCATCGGCGTAAGATAGTATATCCTTTGTTATAACTTCGAGGTCCAAACCAGCTGCCGTACCTCTTCTTCGATGACCTTTTTTGTCATTTTTGTCGTTCTCAAAAACCCAGTTATTCTTCTCTTTGATCTCCTTTAAATGCTGCAACACCTCATAGTTGGAAAGAAACTTATCTCGTTCGTTAATTATTTGCATTGTTGTATTTCTGTGCTCATCTCCCACCGCGAATATTTCTTGCGCGGTTGTGCGATTTAAATATTAGACTACTTGACAGTACTATATGTCTTGTTTATGACCAATCTCGTACTAGATGCCTCATGTCTTTCTGTTCTATTTCCTAAAGCATCTGAAGAGAATTTAGTCAAAGTTAGAATATTCGGCCAAATTGTAGATTATGACGGGCAACATGGAGTGGTAACAATTCGTAAGGTTCCAGGAATGCCATCTCCTCACGTTGTAAGCTTAGAGGATGAAGATTCCGCTCCAAATGAAGAATGCACAAGTATAGATATCAAGTCCGTAGTGGACACGCTCAAAAGTGGAGATTTGGATCCGGGATGTCTTGTCACTATAATTGGATTTTACAACGGCGAAGACATAAATGTTGTTGAATGTTGTTCTGTAAATGGTACATACATAAGTCCGAGGGTCATGGACACGATGCAAAGCATATCGCAGGTTCAAAAACTTCCCTAGTCACTCTTCGACTATCAAACCCTCATTGATTCCAAATCCACCTACAGTTTGGCTGGTGAAAAATTCGTCCCAAATGGAGTCGGCAGTGACCTTATTCATCATCTCAAACGTACGCTTAGCGTCTCGGGATTGAACTTCCAGCTGGGCAGAATTTCGTCCCGTTTGTGGACTCTGATACCCATTGGCGGGCGATGAGTATGTAGAACCATGAGAGTGGTTTGACACTGGAGTGCCGTCAAAAGGTTTATATCCCAGTAAACTCTCTCTTCCAGAAATAGAGGAAACATCTGATGTTGTTTCCAACTGGGTGAGGAATTGCTTGATATCTAAGGCGTTGGGATCCCCTCCGACATCTAGCCCTTCCAAGCTGTTTTCTGAAACCCATTCAAATGGAGTTATTTGGTCGAGCGGTTCTGATTTGGGGTTTTGAATGGCATACGTCTGCTGCTGGTCCGGTTCCTGAGGAACAGAAGAGTTTATATTTTCGTGTTCGATCAAGGCAGCGATGAGATGTTGAAGATTGGAATTCACATAGCCGGCAGGTTGACTCTTGGCTATTTGTTGGGCACTAGGTATAGCAATTCGGTTCATATTAGCATAGACAGTTTCGTTGTATCGAATTTTTAGCACCACTGCACTCAATAGTTTCAATGTTTCAATACATGACCACGCTGTAACACATCGGTCAATCAAAGAGTGTAGGATCGTTATACACTCTTGGGTGATTTTTTTGACCTCAAAAACACTATTGGCGTTTTTTGTATCGTTACTGTTGTAAACAGCATAAAGATAGGAAGTGCCCGCCATGAACATGTTGTGGACTGCTGCCCACGTATAGTTGATACACTTGTTGGCATAAAGCAGCGAATAGCAATTGATCAACTCCTTAGAAGCGTCTGAGAGTATTTCATAGTCATCTGCTGTAAGCAGAAATCTCTTGGACGAAAGACCATGAATTCGAATCAATGTATGGAAATAATTCAAGTCGAAAAAGTTGGTATTGAAATCACAATTCATTTTCCGCTGGGTTTTCGGAAGGCTGTTGCGCCATTCCTGAAGTTGCCTATTCATCTCTGCCCGCCAGGAATCAAGCGAGGAGAATTTGAGCGGTAACTCAGCCTTTTTCTGCCCTAGTATTCTTTGCACTTGTGATTGAATCTGTCGTATTTTGAAAAAGGCGATTGAAACAGATTTATATGAGGGTGTTGATTCGGATTGAGTGCCGAGATTCAGGAAATCAGCCCGAGAATTTGCATCGTCGACAATAAGCGCATCATCAAGCTCGCTCGGAAATGGAGTTTCGATACTATCGTCTGAGATACCCACTGGACGATTGAGATATAAGCACACTTGTCTATCAATGGAATAAGTGCACCAAAATAATCTTCTTCGCTTGTCTCTAGTAAAGGAATTGTAACTACTCAAAGACCGAGGAGATTCACAGTGCAATTCCAAGTCGACACAAAGCCTGAGAGCCGTGCCGAGGACATACCAGATCCCTGGCTTTGCTGGTCGCATAGTTGCAAATAGTGCCAATAGCAATATTCCTTGTAATGTTTCAGGCTGATCTGACGAACAGTAAACCTGATCAACATACCTCGATGCTGCCACTTTTGAAAGAATCTGAAATTGTACTAGGATATTGAAGATGATGAACCGAGGACGATATGGCGAATACAATGTTAAGAAAAAACAATGCTCTTGTGGTGATAGGCGTGCGGGGTGCCACCAAAAAGACGCTCCAATTGGTGGCTGGATCGTAAGCGAGCATCAATGAAGTTTCTTGAACTGCTATTTTATATTTGTAAAACCCACGTATCTTCCCTCTCTTATAGTGTTGGCCAGAGTAGATTCATAGCTGAGTAATTTGATGCAAGTGAAAATTCGTGGACTCAAAGTCTCCCGTAAATAGGAACAAAGTATTTGACGATGAACTCTTCACGATGTAGGATTGGAAGCTGTGCATTGGAATTGTGCAAAAAAAGATCTTTAAGAACTCTTCGGCAGTCTTTTTAGGAGGTAAAAGCGCGGGAGCAACATGCTCGTGCCTCAAGGACAGAGAAGGATCCATTTGTGTCGGCTGTGGAGGAGTTTGAGATGATGCCTTGGACTGTTCAGATTTGAGTTTTAGTGCAGTAGACATGAGTTTTGCAAATGGGATTGGTTCCGATATAGAAGGTTCACTTTGTGCTGAATGTGGGGATATTCGGTCGCCCGACATATCGACCGGAGGACTAAATTCTTGTTTCATAGGGACCATCTCAGCCGGGGCCCTCAGTAATTGCGATTCCAAAAACCGGATTTTCTCCTCCAAATGTACGATGTATGATCGGGGAACTTCTCTCCCGGTAGCGGGATCCACCCCGACACATTCAGCATTCCCCTTTTCACAGCGACTACACCGAGGATATCGTTGGTCGCATTTGACTTTCTTACTTCTACAACGGAGACAAGCAGCAGCCGGACGCACAGCGGAAGCCGGTAGTGGGCTCTCGGAAGCAGCCATGGTGAGTCGCTGCTTTTTGGGCGTTGAATCAGACATAATAAATAATTAAATGGTGGCCGATAACGATGTTGATAACGAAATTAAGGTTTTGCAAATGCGAGTGAGAAATGTGAGAATGAATCTTAATCGAAATAATCTCAATCAAAATAATCTCAATCAAAAATAATTTTGTTAGAAATCAATCTTATTCAATAAATATTAGCGATAATACATATTTCAAGTCAAGTGCTTGATGGGAACACGATCAAGCTTATACTTTTGCGTCAATGGTGGAATCAACACTTCGTAGCCAGCGGTCTTACAGTCAAAGTCACATGGATCATCTTCAACATGCAATGTAGTTACAAGACTATCGGCCAAAACCGGGTACTTGGTGTGCCTATTATCAACCTGGCCCTCAATTTGAGTGCCCACTGGACCGGGGAAGCGCTTTTCACCTATTTGAGCCTTGACAGTAGACTGAGTAGCCACCACTAAATCGGCCCAGTTTCTCTTATTGAGGAACTGATGGTTGTCTCTAGAGCTACCATCAGGATCTTTGGTGAATAGAGGCACCACATCCTCATCCGTGTGAGTATTAAAGTGGTGAATTCCCAGTCTCTTGTTAAGTAAGGAAGCCATGGCATCGGGGGGTGGTGCATTCGTGATAGCAGAAGAGATCACGTTGAAAATAAGACGAGGGTCCTCTTCTGGACGTTCAACAATATTAAAGTTTTCCTGTTTGGCCTTCTCAGTGCCAGTGAGTATATGAGCACCAGGGAGATGATGGGACCTTGACTTGACTCTAGAAATACAACACAAGTGGACATCGCCAGAAAGAAGAGTAATACGAACACCATGCTTGGCGCCAAACTCGATAAGTTCTCTAACCAAATAGTTTCTTTCACGCTTGTGGTTTTTTGAGCACCAATGATCATTAAGGTCATCAAGGACCTCAACACCACCGTCGAACTCGTTGACCAAACCTTTGTTGATTACACCACGCTCAGCAAGCTTTCTCACTGGTTTCAAAAGTGAAGAAGTGAGAAGCTTTTCGAGCCACACGAGTCGAGGATAGAGAATTGGAACACCCAACATCACCAAGAGATGTTTCACTTCGGGTGCAGCTTGAATTTCCTGTTCCAAACGGGCAAAGATTTTTTTGTACGAAGCATTTGCAACGACTTGGTCGAATTTCCGCTCGGTACGGCAATCAACACCCACCATCGATATCTCTTTACCTAATCTCAAGTAAACCGAATGGTTAAGCTGATGGATAAAAGGACCAGGCTTGTCAGACAAAATCCACGAAGGATCCGAAGTGTGACTCTTTTCTTCAGGTGACATTTGGTGCTGGAAGAGCATGTAGTACTTGTAGGCAACATTACCGACCGTCAGGAAGAAATGCTGTCCCATAGTCCTATCGTCATAGGATCCGAATCCATCAATGATATCGTGATCATCGTAAATATTGACGGAGGGAATCATAGACATGGCAGTTGGAAAGAGAGATTGGAGTGTTTTACCGTTAGTACCAACCCAATAACCCTTACCAAACCATGCCAAGTAATGGTTGAGATAGTAATTTTCAAAATCCTCAATATCTTCAGCAGTAGCCTTCATCTCTCTCTTCTTTTGGTGACTGGACTGATTAAGCCATTTTTGAAGCGATTTCGAATGCTTTTTGATCGAGTCAGCATAAATTTGGTCTCCACCACCAAGCATAACATGGTAATGCTGTTTCTGGTGCTTGTTCAAAACATCAAACCAGAGAGACGACTTGAACCCCGAGGTGTCTGTACCCAAAGAGAAACCATTGCACGAGAACGAGACCACATTCATAGACTGCGATTCAGCAGGAATGAAAAATTGGTACTGTGACTTGGAAGTGCCATTGATGGAGTAGCGCACAGTTTGTTCATGAGCAGCTAACGAGAGGTCAATGGCATAACGGAAAAAGTGGAAGTTTTTTTCTGAGTGGAAATTCACACCGGGAAATTCACCATTGCCTATTTGTGGATTTTCATGTGGGGCTAAAGTTGAAGGGCCAATATTGAAAGTTACCCTTGGAATTTGTGTCGTTTCAGACAGCCCCTTAACCACCAAAAGGATCGAACCGCGATAATTATTGCTACCGTTTTCGAGAGTTCCTGCCAACCTTAAAATGGGACCAGCCTGAATTTGTACCCCGCCAACGGGCTCAGATGGAGGAAGTTCTGAGGGAACATTGGAGCCTGATTTTTCATTGATATCACGGAAGTCAGCTACAGGGATGTCTTCATACCAGTTGGACGGGTCTACTGTCATTGTAAATGTCGAACGATGTTTTTTTTTCTCAGCTTGTGAATATAGTTGCGCACCGCAAGTGGAACGTGCGGCGTCGAGATGTGGTTTGGGTGTCAGCACAAACGAAGAACGCGCGATAGGCCACAGACCAGCGACAATAGGAAGGAAAGTGAACAATGCACGCAGAGCATCACGAGATTGTAGGGTGGTCGGGTATTGTTGCAAAATATTTGGTATTCAGTTTTTGATCATTTAGGTGGTTGAACATTGAATTTCTGTATCCATAATTGAGCGGTGTCACTTACCGTCAACATCACCATCACAATTAATCGAAGCATCCATTATTTGCAGCACACATTATTTGCAGCATTCACATTTGCAACTCACTTCAGCACTGACTGCTCACTGTTGTGCTCCGCACTATTAGGCCAAGTCCGTAAATCGCACCGATCTCTATCTCTCCCTATTCTTCCTTTTCCGCGCTGGCTCCCGCCGCATCTTCCATGCTTCCTCTACAGGATTCCCCGCAGCCTGCACCCCGGTAAAGCCACTTGCGGTGCCAGCCGCACCTTGTCAACAATTATTGCGTGGCTATTGTGGTCGCCACTTTTCGTCTAGTCTAAATTTATCTTGACGAGACATAGCAATTGCCGCGCTTCGCCTCGTTTTTACCTCCATTCGGTCCATTTGCTCGTCCTACCGGGCTCGCTCCCTGCACACAGCACCTACACTGTCTTGGCATCCCTCCCGGCTAACCACATACTGTGCCCCTTGTTGGTCAGGTTACGTTCTGGTCCGTATAAACACTTCTGGTCGCTATGACCACCATTAATATCCCGCCGTCTTCTCCTTTCTCGCGAAGAGTATCGTTCAACAACCTAGACCCTGAATCTATCGACCCTGCCTTCACTAAAGTTGCATCTTCAAGTGAGCAAATTACGTTTAAAAACCCGACTTTCGGCTACGGAACCTCGCTCGTGAATGATATCTCCAAGGCCTACAATTCAGCTTCTACATTCGTACCTACCCGCCGCCGCTCGAAATTACCTGATGCTCCATCGAAGTCGATTTTGAAGAATAAACTCTCCCAGCAGCAATTGCAATATAACATTGAAAATGCTACCTCTTTGGGGATATCCTACCATGGAGATCTCAACGATTTGGCAGACCACCCACCAGACCATGTCCCCAAATCGGAAGTGGCCTATGTGGAGGGGTCTGCTATTGACGACGACGACTATGACGATGAAGACAACGAGGAAGATCCAGTAAACGCCCCTCCTCCTCGCAGAAAACTGTACTCCGGAATGACAGACGAAGAATTGATGGCATTGGATCCTCAGTTCACAACAACAAAACCAAAAGTGTCCCTGGTGGACCAATTCAAGTTTGACCTGCAAACCACATATTACCTTCCAGCAAAACGTACCTCCGTACTGGGACCGTCGGCCACCTCGTCTACTCCAAGGCTGGTGTACCCATCCTCCAATGAGAACAACTACAAATCCATCTCATTGACTCTGAAACATACCCATTACGAGCTGGTTGAGTCAAAGCGTACTCTTTTGACTATTATCTCTGGACGAAAGCATTCGTGGAATTCCCTTGATTGGCTCGTCATGCCAATTCCTGGAACGGATATACCAACATTTTTACAAAATGGTGACTATTTGGTCGTCACAGCGCTTCTTCCCACAAAAACTACTGTATCTGGTGAAAAACGTCGGGGTAGTACTCTGGCGGAAGAATTAACATACTACAAAAAATGTGAAAACATACTAAACTATATCATAAGGATACTTCCAAGGCAAGAGTTGAAACTCAAAATTACTGTGGAATTTGTTTTAGAGCCTCCTCCGATGAACGCAATGGCCACCAAGAGTCAGCTTCGAGGCATGAAGCTACTTCTTACTAAAATCTACAACCAATATCATCCCACTATGGTGGTGGTAGGGAACCGGTCTACTAATCTCAACTTCAAGTATCCTCTTCGAGTCAGAAAAACCTCATCTGCAATACCCACTTCACCACCCCCAAACCGGCCATTTGGAGGGCCCAAGATCAATGACCGTTACTTAATCAAACTCAGCTCCTACCTTGTCAAATACTCGACGGTGCCTGTTATTCTAGTTGGAAACAAGTGTAGCTTTCTATGGTCTACCAGGCAAGCGAGGAGGAAGGGAAGTGCAATTTCACAAAACTCTTCAGATGACGACGACTCGCTTGAATCTGACATCAAGTCGTTTTCAGGGAAGACCGAACTGGAAACGACTTTATTTAACACGGTTACCAGCATCCGGGAGTCAGACTCGGAAACCAGGTTTAAAGAACTTGCCATTCTTATTTCAGACCGGTCTCTTGAAGACTCTAGAAATTATCTCGAGTCATTAAAGACGAGAGATCTGGAAGGTAATTCGATCAAATTTGACGAGTCAGTGGAATTCAATAGCAAGATCCACTCGATTTACAAGTCGCAATCGAACAGCCTGTTGGCACGTACAAATGGGGAGGGCGCCTACAAAGTAAAATCATTGATATCGTACGACCCGGTGGAAGAGAAGAAAAATGAAGAGATACGAAACTCAAAAAAGTTGGAAAAGATAAAGTCTTCCACGTCTTCAAAGGTTAGTGCGGTGAGTTCCCGCGAGTCCTCCAGCTCCAGCCAAAAGGTCAAGCCTAAGAAATCTTTCTGGAAAAAGATTGGTATTAAGAAACTGTGACGATGTATACGATTAATTTATAGTTCTACTCCAGAATTTATGCGCGCTCAAATATCGAATGCGAAATATAAAGTTTCCATGGATCACAAAGATAGAGAAAGCACGCCCCAAGTGCTTGCGTCTATTGAGCCCCAGGTCAAGCAAGAAAGCGTAGAAGCCATTCCTCTTGATCAAGGCATCTCAACTCGATCAAGACATAAAACTCAATCAAAAGGTCAGCTTCTTCAGAAAGAACATAATGTTATTGTGCAACCTCGACTCAAACCGGTTCCATTTCAGCAAAACGACATAGGTATTAATGACAACAGAGCTCCTCAATGTGTACCTGTGGGAGAAGGATTCCTTCAATCTGAGGACCAACCCATAAATAGGCGTGGATACAAGTACAAACCGTGTCGACCCAACCCTATCTTTCCTTCCAATCTATATTCAACAACAGACCTTCCACCATTCAAGGTTCGTCCGAGCTACTTTGATCGGGCTCTGGGAATTGTATTCAGTGAAAATATGGCTACAGTCTCTACCAACGCTGGATGGAGATCGGTTCGAGCCAATGTCGGGGTAAGAGAAGGTCTGTATTATATGGAATTCGATATAGTGCGTTCAAATGACGACAGCAAGGCACACGTTAGAGTGGGTTTGGCACGGAAAGAAGCCAGTCTCGAAGCTCCAGTTGGGTTTGATGGTTATAGTTATGGCTTGCGAGATGCTACAGGGCAGAAGCTCAACTTGAGCAGACCAAAGCATTTCATGGATACCGGGTTCAAGTCTGGTGACACAATTGGAATGTTAATTGAGCTTCCTCCCCTTGATAAGCATAAGCTGTGCCTAGAAGGATTCGATGCACAGCAAAAGAAGCATATACCTCAAAAGGGTGACGAAGCCCACAAGGAGAAGAAGCGAAAAAAAACCAAGGCCAAGGTATCTAACCCAGAAACAGCACTAGAGATGAATGCCCATGGTAATATTGTTCGAGATCAGATTCCCATCAAGTACAAGAGTAGCTTGTATTATGAACAATTCGAGTACACCACCAACAAAGCCATGGATCACCTTCTCAACCCAGTGACGGTATTCGGTGAAAAGGCAATTTTGGAGTCGATAAACAACATGCAAGCACAGATACCCACCATTCCAGACTCCAAGATCACCGTGTTCAAAAATGGAGAGAAGGTGGGCGTCATGTTTGAAAATCTCTACTCCTTCTTGCCCACCTTCAATGAGGTTGAAACGACCAGCATCTTTCCCAATGCCATACAGCTGCAAAACAATAATTACAACTACACTGATGATGGAACTTTGGGTTATTATCCTATGCTTTCGGTATTTCAAGGTGGTATAGTTGGGTTGAACCCTGGCCCAAAGTTTAAGTATCCGATCAGCGAAGCCCATAAACCACTCAGTGACAGATACGAAGATAGAATTGCTGAAGAAATGGTATGGGACATAATTGACGAGATTGAAGCTGAATATTTGGATCAGTTCGAGTGAACAAATTGAGCTAGTTGTTTATAATACACTTTCTACATTCTCTTCAGCTATTATGGAGTCGGGTTCCACGCCAATAATTTCTGCGGCATCATTCCAGTTAAACTCACATCCATCTCGAGGACATTGACCCAATTTCAGACTCTTTAGCCAAACTTCACCACATTTATAATGGAATGCAGTATGACATCGACAACATTTTTTTCCTAATGTTACAATTTCCTTACATTGAAAACATGTGTAAACACTCCCATCTTGCTCTGTGGTGCCGTAGCGATCGAGCAAGTACCGTTCGAGTTCACATAAACCTCTCATGGATAGTATAACTTGATCATGAACAGTAATGTTCAACCAGCCCTGATCAACAAGATCTTCTATAAATACGCCAGCTTCACGCATGGGTTTGTTCAACGTTGCGGCTATAACCTGAGTTGCTGGTACCAATCCTATCGAGTACGAAAGACCCGATTCGATTATTTCGTCTATCAATTTTTTTATCGCATCGAGTTCATTGATTGAATATGTGGAATTGTTTTTTATGATATCATCAGATAGTGTATTCACAAAGAGAAAGTAGGTTTCGTTGGTCACTTGACTCCTGGACTTTGTAATCTTCATACCATGATTTGTTATTCGAGAATTGATGGTGGAAACGAAATGGTCAATTTTTGTTTGACCAGAGTTGTCGTCTGAATCTGTGGTTTGGGATATAGCCGACACTATATGCTGAAAGTCCTCTTCCAAACGCAGTCGGCTGATCACTTTGCACGCTCTCACATGGGTTAATATGGCTCTATGGACTTCACCATAATTTACGGTTGGTGAAATAGACATGATCAGTGCGCGGTGCGGGTGCAAGAAGTAGAGAAGAAGAAGAAGAAATAAGGAATACTACTTTTATAGGAAAGTGGATTTGCAATCGATTTATTTTAAATTGTGCAATTAGATCAATTGAACTTGAACTGAATGCTGAAAATTCATGACAGTCTTTTTGAAATTGTTGCTGTTTGTGCAAAAAGTTGTCAGTAGCTTCTTATCAGGCGTGTCAATAGAATGACAACTTCTCTGCCTTCTTGGATTCCGTGTAAATCCAACAGCAGCTTTTTTGCTCCGAATTTTGGTCCGTACTTGTATGAGCAACTCACAAAGCCTTCGGTGCTATTTGAGTCAACTCATGAAAACTTGCAATATTCAGACGAGGGTTTGAGTCTCAGCATCAATACTCGAGGCGACTCACCACATATCAAAACACAGCTCTTCATGTTTCATGGAAAAGTAGGGGTGGATATCAGAAGAGCTCCAGGACGAGGTATCGTCTCGGCATTCTACCTCATCAGCGACGATTTGGACGAAATTGATTTTGAGCTTTTAGGCGGAGACACGGATCAAGTTCAAACAAACTTTTTTATCAAAGGAAATGTCTCCAACTATGAAAGGGGAATGGATCACAAAATCAACCCCGAACCTCTGTTTCATCGTTACGAGATAGAATGGACTCCTCACCATATACGCTGGTATGTCGATCGATTCCTACTCCGAGAGGTTCCACATACAAATCCACACGGATTCCCAACGTCTCCCGTGAACATAAACTTTAGTCTTTGGGCCGGAGGAGACTCCGAACTCAATCACTGGACCATCCAATGGGCTGGCGGATACACAAACTATGACGAGGTACCTTTCACAATGACTGTACGTAACCTTGTGGTTCAGGACTACTCCAGCAAAACTTCTTACTGTATCAATGGCTCCTGGAATACATCATCAGCTGATGCATCGGAAGTTGCAGCCGTGGTTCCGCAACTTTGTTCGTCGACATTGGATCTGGGTACTGCAGACAAGACAGGACTTCTGAGATCAACCCCACCAGCCACTTTCGATACAATTTCAAAACCTGTCCCAAAAACCTCTCCATGTTCCACTTCCGTTATTCCTACTTCCATCACGCGCTACAAAAGCCCAGCAACAAAGCCAAGACCATTTTTCTTTTGGTATTGAATCATCGGCTGACGCGCCGCATCGGTTGCGGCTTCTCCTCTGCTTTTCCCACGACCACTATTTTATCCCACTCGGATAATCTTGGAGCTGTAATATGCCATCTGTCAACGGCATCAGTTCAATTTCATTTGTCACCACAGACCCAGCAGAGCTTGAGGCAGCATGCAAGTTCTATACCTCGCTTGGATTGCGTCTTACTAGATCCTATCCCAAAAATACTTCTGGTTTCTCGTCCTGTCCCGAATACCATCTCGGAGTTTCCAGCGATTCTATCCAAGAAATTTGGTTTGAATCATTTCCTCTTCAAGATACCGACAAAAATGGCTGCTTGATACCTTGGCAAGAACTTCCAATTTATACTGGCGACAAAAGTGCCAAATTGTCCCAGCTGTTCGTGATCAAGATCAGACTCTCGGGGTCACTGCAAATCACCGCGTGCTCCTCCAAGACCAATTCACAGACATTGGGGTTCTTTTCCACGGATCTCGCCAAAATTAAGGCCACCATTGACGTTAAGCAACTCGATGATGATTTATACTCGGCGATTGATCCACTTGGAAACACTCTTGTTTTCAGCAATGCAGAAAATCCATTTTCAAGCCAGCACTATTCGTCCCCCGAGGAATTTCTTCGTCAGAAACAGGAGAAAATTCTATCCTCTATGAAGCAAAGCACATCTTCGCTCGCAGATGCGCCCGTGGAAGAACTTGTAAAGAAGAAGAAAATTGCAATCATGACTTCGGGTGGTGATGCTCCTGGAATGAACCCAGCTGTCCGTGCGGTGGTACGTGCCGGTATTTACCATGGATGTGATGTTTTTGCTGTGTACGAAGGATACGAAGGATTGGTGAAGGGCGGAGATTTATTGAAGCAAATGGAGTGGAACGATGTGAGAAATTATCTTTCTCTTGGTGGTACCAACATTGGAACCGCCAGAAGTGCTCGTTTCCGTGAAAGAGAAGGTCGGTTGCTCGCTGCCTACAATATGATTCGCAATGGTATTGATGCGTTGGTGGTTTGTGGAGGTGATGGTTCTCTTACTGGTGCAGACTTGTTCCGGTCCGAATGGCCGCTGTTGACCCAAGAGCTTATAGACACCGGCAAATTGACCAAGAAAGAAGTGGAGCCTTATAAACATCTCACAATTGTGGGATTAGTGGGTTCCATTGACAATGACATGTCGCAAACCGATGCTACTATTGGTGCATATTCCTCATTGGAACGTATATCTGAAATGGTGGATTATATCGATGCCACAGCGCTGTCACACTCTCGAGCCTTCGTGGTAGAGGTTATGGGACGACACTGTGGATGGCTAGGATTGATGTCTGGACTTGCAACTGGTGCAGACTTTATCTTCATTCCTGAAAGACCACCAAAAGCAGGACAATGGAAACAAGAATTGACAGAAACTTGTCACCGTCATAGACAAAAGGGAAAGCGGAAGACAATAGTTATAGTAGCTGAAGGAGCTATAGACGATCAGTTGAACCCCATTAGTTCGGATGATGTCAAACAAGTGTTGGTTGATCTCGGATTGGACACTAGAACCACGATATTGGGCCATGTTCAAAGAGGAGGTACTGCTGTGGCTTACGATAGAATGCTTGCAACATTACAAGGAGTGGAAGCCATTAAAGCTGTATTGGAAGCATCGCCAGAAATTCCTTCTCCAATGATTGGAATTGTCGAAAATAAAATCGTTCGTCTGCCTTTGATGGACGCAGTAAAAGCAACAAAATCCGTTGCTGAAGCCATCGAGAACAAGGACTTTGATCGTGCGATGGAATTGCGTGATAGCCACTTTGCTGATGCCTACGAAAATTATTTGAGCACAACTCTTCATGACGACGGCTCGCATCTCCTTCCGGAGAAAGAAAGACTCAACATTGGTATTATTCATGTTGGAGCTCCTTCTGCGGGATTCAATTCTGCAACGAGAGCAGCGGCATTGTACTGTTTGTCTAAGGGACATCAGCTCTATGCCATTCAAAACGGGTTTTCTGGTTTCATAAAGGAAGGTCTTGCGAAGCGTCTAAGCTGGTTAGATGTTGAAGGATGGCATAATGAAGGAGGATCGGAAATTGGAACAAATAGGTCTTTACCCAGTGAAGATTTTGGAACTGTGGCATACTTCTTTCAAAAATATCGTCTCAACGGTTTGATTATTATCGGAGGTTTTGAAGGTTTCACTGCATTGCATCAATTGGACGCTAAGAAGAAAGACTACCCTGTGTTCAACATTCCCATGGTGGTTGTTCCCGCTACTGTATCCAACAACGTTCCAGGAACCGAGTATTCGCTTGGAAGTGATACATGTTTGAACCAGTTGGTGAAATACTGTGATGCCGTCAAGCAATCAGCATCGTCGTCGCGCAGAAGAGTTTTCGTGGTTGAGGTTCAAGGTGGACATTCTGGATTCGTTGCTTCATACTGTGGCTTGGTAACTGGCTCTATAGCCACCTACACTCCCGAATCACAGATAAACTTGCGTACGCTTCAAGAAGATATTCAACTTTTATTCCAGGTGTTTGAAGATGATCGTGGTGAGGACCACAATGGTAAAATGATCATTCGTAATGAGCAAGCATCCTCGGTCTACACTACCGAATTAATTGCTGATATGATCAAGGAAGCTGCCAAGGGCCGTTTTGAAACCAGAACTGCCATCCCTGGTCATGTTCAACAAGGCTTCGGACCATCATCGGTTGATAGAGTGAATGCGGTGAGATTACTGGTTAAGTCTGTTCAATTCATCGAGCAGTGGAATACTCAATTGCGTCAAGTTGATGAAGATATGGAGCTTGCAAACATGTACAAGCAAACTGAGGAGCTTTTGAGAGATCTGAAATCGTGCAAGTTTTCTGCTAGTGCCGTAGTTATTGGCATTCTTGGAGCTGGCATCGAATTTACTTGCATTAGAGATTTGTTTGAAAATGAAGCGGACGTTGAATTACGAAAGGGTCGTTCGGTTCATTGGGGAGAAATGGCTAAAGCGGGAGACATGTTGAGTGGGCGGTCTCTACTTCGAAACAAAAGCAAACGCTAACTGAAGTTTTGTGCATTCCCGAACGGTGCTTGAATAGGATAAATTATACCGAATACGGAACTTGCGGGGTCACTGATGGCAAGTCGTTGCGACGATTTGAAATAGTGTTTCGTAAAATAATTCACATATATGATATAAGCATTTATTTTCGTTGGCACCGCTTCGTGTGGAATGCTTCTGGGCCAATCGGTGCGGCTCCTGTCAAATATGCACAAGAAGAGGCTTAGTAGGAGAGCTGACAAGAAGCTTCCATACCATGGAAATACTAACTTATGATTGGAATTTCGGGTAGGTCACTTTTAAAGCTTTTCAGTGTCACATTCTTAAACTTTAGCTCCACACGAACGTTATCGCTTATAGTTGCCATTTCTTGCTCGTCAACTCAAAATCCAACTTTAGTGATTTACCGCTAAGCGACTGTCAAATTGCATATACGACTGGTCAATTGAGTTAAGTAGTGTTGTTTATTTTCAACATTGTCTTCGTAGGGGATTGAGTTGAGAGATACCTGAACACAGATATGTGAGCGCGAAGTTCAAGACAACTTAAAAAGTTTATGAAATTAAGAATGTGACCCGCTTGAGAATGATAAGTAGTACTGGTTCAGTGCTGTGGAATAACCCCGAGCAATCAACAGTGATTCCTTTTAAAGCTACACTTTTAAGCTTTCATATCATATAATATCAAAAGACTGGGATGGCGGAAAGTGCAAATATAAGCATTTAATGAGGTGTGGGAGGTCGATCTGGACTTTATTTTGGCTCATTGGCGCTGCAATACGCGTAAAGATTATTAAAAATAGATCGGAACTTCTACTTTAGCTCATAATTTGCTCGAATTACCACTGTACTTGAAGCAACCAAATTCTAGCGCCGTTGCCGTGGCTTGGAAACTGCTTCTATTTGTTGCAATGGCTTCGTAAATGTAAGTATCATAACTTTTAGAACCTTTGCATGGTTCAGTGCACCCAACACGTTTCTAAACTCTAACCTGACTTCGTTAGAATCATGTAGCCGTGGCCATCGTATGACTTTTCAGTTATCTGCTAGAATCAAGGCGTGTGATGCGCGGCGCAGAATTGCGATTGTCCAGTCGCGAACGAAAATCAGCAAGGAAGCAACATTTACCGAGAATAGTATCGAAGAATTGTCGCGAGGTTAATGCACTGGTTATGTAGAAAAACCAACGGCGCGATTAACGGTGACGACTAAAAAGAATGATGTGACTGTAGAATAGAGTAGATGACTGCAGAAATAAATTGCTTTGACTTTTCAGGTTTTTCTTTATCGTATTTAACTTGTCTTCTTCCATTACTAATATCACCTTCGGCTCATAATCTCGAGTTTTTTTACCAAAAATTAGCGAGCATTGGCAGGTCAGTACCAAGACGTCATAAATGTAGCAACCATAGCAACTAAGCGAATTACAATGGATCCGATTTATTGCAGTACAATGAAAAGTCTACGAAATTGCTAACCAGATCTATTACCATAAAACGTTGGCGAAATTGTCCAGAAGCGAACGAAAATCAACCGCGCGAGCGAAATAGGAGAATAAAAATTGCTGCGGCGATAAGGTAAAACCCCGCAATAAGTTTTCAACTCACCAAAAGGCTCAAAGCATGATAGAATCCTTCAATGACAAATCGAACATTCTTTTGCGGGTTTTAAGATCATTCCTACCATGGCGTCTCCAGATTTGTTAGCAAAGAGATCTCCTCATGCGCAGTTTGTCCCGCATATTGCATGATGCACCTTGACGCAATGCACAATAATAACGCCCAATGTGCAGCATTAGTGACGTCAAATCTAGTCACATCGTGGCCGAAAAAAAACTCAATTTTTGTTGCGATGCCCAATCACGTTAGAGCCGCTAAGGAAATTCACCAGAGCGCATTCCGTCTATTATAAGGACCATGCGCGGTGGGTAATTTCAGGGGCTTGCAAGTTTACGACATATGTACGGGACCGTGCAGCATCGGGCGGCCCGAGAGTATTTTTATCCCCGAGTAAGGATTTAGGTGTAGCCTTGAAATTTGAATGCGGAGTTTCTCGATATTCTCAGTTCCGATAACAGCTAATATCATGCGTAAATTGGTGCATCGAAACTGCAAGAAAAAAAAAAAATTATAATTGAAATTCAAGATGTATCAGCGTCAAACTCAAAACTTTAGAAACCCCACCTAAACTGGTTATGAAAACACGAGCAACATGAACATTTTTGTCATTGGGTAAAACTCCGCCTCGTGAATAAGGTTTGAATAAAGTTCGAACTTTTTCTAGATGTAGGTTAAGGTATTGTAGATTATACTTCGCCCACCCCGGTATGAACCATCTCTTATTTATTTGCTTGTTTTTTAATTCTCCCCGCCAAGGATAATTGAGGCGAACTCGGCCAACTTTCAATTCCCCGACATCGCACCGTTTAAGTCAATTGTGCATGCAGCTTGAGCCGCATGCAGGTCTCGCATGAAGTATTGCATACTGCATAAAGTGCCGCGAACGATTTTTTTTTCTCCTGCAAACGATAAACGTCATAGTGGCAGGTTTTCATATCAAACAAAGTTCGTCATTAGAGCATCACAGAGCCGCTAACGGTCTATTGTACATCTCACGATATCTTCTCGGCATATAGACACTTGCCTGTGCCACTACATTCCTTATAGCCCATCCGGGCCAACTGCGCCATTTCCATTAGTTTGCCAGCAATATCCGTCATGAGCAAACGAGCCGACCCTCCGGTGAAAAAAAATGCATTTGTGCACAAATTATACTCGATGTTGAATGATAAGAGTCTTTCGCAGTTGATATGGTGGACGGGAGGCGAAGATAGCAATACTTTTGCCTTATTTCCGGGGAAAGAATTTGCTTCGGTATTAACTCGTTATTTTAAACATGGCAATGTGGCGTCATTCGTTCGACAACTTCATATGTATGGATTCCACAAAGTGTCTGATCCTCACGCCCATAAACAAGATGATGATGATTCACAACCACCAATCTGGGAATTTAAACATTCTAGCGGCAAATTTCGCAAAAATGATGAAAGCTCTTTGCTTTACATCAAACGTAGGTCTTCGTCTAACAGTTCGCGAAGCAACTTTTCGGACCATGAATCCAACTATTTGATACCCACATCCACCCCGTCTCCTACTTATGACGGCTACCATCAATTTCCCCACCCTCCTCCATCTTCCCATCCACACCAATATATTCAACAACCACAACTGCAATTAACTCAACATCCTCAGCAACATCCTCAACCCCAGCCTGTTGGATACCCATACTATGTACTTCCCACTGTGGGATCAATGCAGCAGCCTCCTGTCCATGTTTATGGTCAGCGTGAAGGTACTCCTCAACCAGAAGATGGTGAAGAAAGAACACAATATGTCCAGCCATACGCTCCAAATCTTCAATTCAGGCGGATTTGGGACCCCAAAGATGATGAGCCTCGTCGCAGAAAATCATCTCTCTTATATGACCCATTGGCTACCTCTGGAGCTTCAGGGACTCACGCTAAGCATCATCTAGTGGACGTACAGCACCAGCAACATCAAACGATGAATGAATATCAAATTCAACGCCCAGTTACTCCTTCAGGCACTTTTGTGCCTGTTATGGGAACTCAATCAAGGTCACTTCCAAGTTCACTTTCTGGTCCTATGCCTCCCCACCTGAGGTCACATCCAAACTCACAATCCACTCCCGGTCGCATCAAACTTCCACCTCCATCCTCGCTCGCTTCATTCTCTTCTTCTAGGAACAGCTCGCCCGGTCCAGGCGATTTGGTGTCGCGCAGTGTTCCTTCCAGCTTAAGCAATGAATCCTCTAACAAACTGCTGCCGATAACACTCCTTGACCGACTTCGTCCGTCGCTCGTCGAGCTCCACTCCAACCCGTTGGCCTCCCTGCAGAAAAACTCGATCGATTCGCAGTCTTCATACAATTCAATCTTTTCAGCGTCGTCTTCCATATCGTCGGATTCCTCGTTTCCAAGAAACTCATCGTTTGGATCCATTTCTTACGTCGGTGGAGAATCTACGAAAGCAAGCATTCTGATCGGGCCTCATGAAATTCCTGAAGACCACCCACGATCAACTGCAAAACAGGTAGAAGTATCACCAGATGCCATAGATGAAATTCCTGACCATCCACCAACCACCACTCGCCCCAATCTTGTACGAAGCCTTACTCCACCGGCAACTTTCCCTAACAAAGTATACAAGCGGCCCGCCATACAATCACCACATCCACGAACATCATCTTTGCAAGCTACACATTCTCACGGGTACCAGAAGGTACGATCTCACACACTGTCACCGCTTTCTCGCTACTCCTATGGACATATCGATGTCAAAGACCAGCGCTCGCGGGTGTCGATCACATCGCTTTTGGTTGACAAACCACCCCCAAGTTCTCGATTATCGGATATCAATTCCATAATCAACGAAAGTGAAGAGAATAGCAGCACCGGCAGTGTCAGCAGTGAGGAACAGAACTATAGGAGACAACGGGTAGACCAGTAGTTACGTTTACGATATAGAATGTATTATACAATGTCTGATGAATAAATGTTGGTTTGGAAGAGAAGAAGAGATGCAAGATATATCTCAATTTTGTTTAGGTATAAAGTTTACTAGTTAGATTCTCATTATGTTTTTTCTCTCATTTCATTAATGTACTTCTCATTTGATGTTAAAATTCGCTAAAGGTTATTTTATAAGTTTCATTATGTTAAATTCACATGGTATATTATGAAGTTACTTTCATTAATAATTAAAATGATTGAATGTTTCTGGTACTGTCTGACACTATCATCCTTACTTAGCACTTTTCAGAACGGACGCTTGCTTTTGTTAGATTTCTTCACCAGTCGTGAACTCCTGATCTTTCTATCTTCGTCGCTCTCACTGTCGCTATCTTCCCTCTTGACTGGTTTAGCTGGTTTCGTACTTAGTCGTTTGTGAATCTTATCTCTTTTTTCACTTCTCATCTTGTTGGTGAGTGCTGCCATAGCCTTGGTTTGTTGGTGAGGTTTTGATGGGCGCCACTTGTCTGGCTTTGTGGTGTCGCTCTCTATAAAGTCCCGGATGTTTCCTGGTGAATCTTCTAAGCTGGAGAGACCAGCACCAGGAGGTACTATAGGAAGATCCAAATAGCTTGAATTCAGCTCGGTGTTTTTTGTCAGAGGAGCAAGCCACGAGGCTGCTTTTTTCTCTGAATTGGAAAAAGCAAGCTGGATCTGGGCCTGGATAGCTTGCTTTTGCTTGATCTCGTTCCGTCGAGACATGTAAAGAAAAAAAGTAATGAATCAAAAAAGTATGCGCAAACCCGGAATCGAACCGGGGGCCCATCGATGGCAACGATGGATTTTACCACTAAACCATTTGCGCAGGAAATGCTCCGAGACGGGGAATTGAACCCCGGTCTACCACGCGACAAGCGGTAATTCTAGCCACTAAACTATCTCGGACTTGGTTGGAGGTTTTCCCGCCGTGCACTTGATACCAAAATATTTCAAACTGCGCTCGATGATCATCATACTATCGCATCCGTGTAGCTTGGTTTCGTACTTGTCAGCCCATGCTATATTGACCAGTAATGTTGGGAGGACTTCGTCCGTCACTATAAAGATCATTGAGCATCATCCTTCATTATTCAAGAATTTACCTTGGTGTGGAATTTCAACCATTGGATCACAGTCATTTCATCACCATGCTGTAAACAAGATATTAAATACTTTGGCAAGTCAATTACAGATTATTCCTATAAGTCTGGCCAATATGAGCCATTCACAGCCATTGTACCCTGATTTACCGGTTCGTCCGCTACTAAAAGTACACACTACCACAGCCAAAAGCACCAATATATTGGGCTATATCTATCATCCTATACTACTCATGGAGTCTCTTCGAACAGGTCTAAGTGGTTCTAATCGCGTGGCGTTCATGTCGCCTTCGCGTGGCGTTACTGTGGATGATGTAGTGAAGGAGATTTGCATTTTTCACCATCCGCAGCAGATAGTGGTAATTGACTTTGGTAAAACTTTGACGAATTTTCCCTCGATGGATCTTGTCGTTTACTCGAGTCTCTGCCAGTTGGAGCTGGTTCCTGCTATAGGGCTGCCGCTGGCAATACTTTGGCTACCCCACTTTCGAGCCATCAATAGACTTTGGACAGAATCTCAACCTCATACCACCACCAAATTCACCCACGATAAATTACTACAGCACACAAATATTCGCATGAACGGCACCAGCGACTTGCCTCAGCTCGACCTCTTGGTGGCGCTCCGCCATGTAGATGTCGTATTGTTTGCAATTGCCAAAGCTAGGTTATAAATACTATTAATGCATATGCTCTTTGTCTATACTGGCAACGTATTGATACCCGCAAGTCTATCAATGGTTGGAGCTATAGCCGGATGGCTCAAGAAGTCACCAATATATGGTACTGACCTTAAAAATTGGATTATGGTACCGAAAAAATCACCAAAAAGTCCCAATATCCCCACTGATTCCACAATGAATCCTATAAATGACCATTTCATCAAAATTAACAATATGCCAACACAGAAGCATACAGTTCCTCTGATCTTGGTAGGACGCGAGAAAAATGCTATGGTACGTTGCGGTCCAATAATTAAAATGAGTCCGATAACAAAGAGAATATTTCCCATTGCCAAAAGCGCAGCGTCAAAAAACGCCATTATGCCGACCAAAAAGAGCCCGAGGCCCCCTGCGGTAAACCCGACTCCGAATTCTGCGTTAGTGGTGCGCCAAATGCACGGCTAAAATCGATGCATACTTTGTCTATCAGAAAGCCAGATCATTAAACAACGCGGCGGTGGCTGCGCGGTTTCGTGTTGCTCGTGTGCAGCAGCCGGTGTGTGGGTGCCATACCTGCATCCCGGTGTGCGGGATGCAAATTGTATATTAGATCGTACGTCATACTCCATGACCAAAGCGTCGGACCTTCCTCCCAGTTACGACGAGGCTATTGGGCTGCATGCGTCTAGCGGCACAGAAAGACCTGTACCACGGCCGCCCCCGCGTCCACTGGCTGCTCCTCCTGCAGGTCGGCATCTGCAATCGCTGTATCAACTGCAGCCGCTGCTGCTGCATGCACTGTCGCTGACATCGACTTCAAATTACAACAACAACAATCTGCTCCCATTTGACTACCCGCCCAACCATTTTTGCAGAAAGTGTAAAAATACAGGTTTTAAATTGAAAAATGGAAAGGTTTGTCATGACTGTTGGGACAGGTTCTATCTCCGAACCAATGCATATAATCCCAATCCTCAACTTCCATTCAAATATCCAAGAAATTTCATCTGTGACAAGTGCCATAATACTGGTTATAAACGCAAAAATGGTCTCTCGTGCAAAGACTGCTGGGAAAGATTTAGCGCTCGCAATCATTTTCCCGCAATGTCAGTGTACTCAAATCCACTCGACTTACTTTTCGGAACCACCACCAGTACCTCTATAGTTGCTCCTGGTGGGTTTCCAGGTGCTCCTCCAGGTGCTCCCATGCAAGTCCAGCCAGGAGATCCTCGTATAGGCGGAATTCTATGCGGTCGATGCCGCGGATCTGGAAGAGTTATGGTGTTTTTGGACGAAGAATTGTGTCCTGTATGTCTGGGGTTGGGCCGTATAATACATGGTGTGGGCCCGGGGCCTATGCCAATGCCTGGTCCGGGGCCAATTCCTGGTCCTGGTCCGGGTCCGGGTCCGGGTCCGGGTCCCGGTTATGGAGGGTATGGGGGTCCTCCTCAGCAGTATGGCTATTACAAACGATGAAATATATGAATATATTAATGATAATTAGATGGATACTTGAAATCAGTCAACTCGTAAAAGTTCTCCTTGATGTTTCTTACCGAAACGAATCTCGTCAAGATGTTTGCTGAACCCGCCTTGTCGTTTGTTCCGGACATTCTAGCACCTCCAAACCATTGCTGGCCAACCACAGCTCCCGTACACTTGTCATTGATGTAGAAGTTACCGGCAGAATAGCGTAATTTTTCTTCAGCAAGTTTGACAGCTTCGCGGTCGGTTGCAAAAATTGCTCCAGTCAATCCATATTTGGTGCCCTGGTCGATAGTGTCCATGATTTCGCTATATTCGGCATCAGGGTACACATAGGCCGTCAAGAGCGGTCCGAAGAATTCTTTTGTCATGAACTCATGGTTTGGGTTTTTGGTCTCAATCAATGTGGGCAGCACAAAGAATCCAGCGCTCTTATCATAAATGCCTCCAGCAATGATTTCAAGCTCAGAATCTGACTTGGCTTGATCTATGGCTCCCGATAACTTGTTGAAAGATTGCTCATGAATCACTGGTCCCATGAATGAGTTCAATGCTGCGGTATCACTGCAGTTACCTTGAGTAATACTGCCCATGGCAGCAACCAACTTTTCTTTAAATTCGGGCCACATTGACTCGGGGACGTATAGACGAGACAATGCAGAACACTTTTGGCCTTGGAATTCAAAAGCTCCACGCAAACTAGAGAGAACAGCATGGTCCATTGAAGCAGATGGGTGAATCAAGTGGAAGTTCTTTCCACCAGTCTCTCCAACAATTCTTGGATAATCACGGTAATTATCAAGGTTTTGGGCAATCTTGGAGTATAAACTCTTGAAAACATCTGTAGATCCAGTAAAGTGCAAAGCAGAAAATTCCCTGTCTGACAAAACCGATTCCGTTACTTGATTTGGCTCTCCTGGAACGAAATTGATCACACCAGCAGGAAGTCCAGCTTCTTCCAATATAGTCAAAAGAAGATAGTTGGATAATGCTGCAGTTGCTGATGGCTTCCATACAACTGTGTTTCCCATCAATGCTGGAGCCCCCACCAAGTTACCAGCAATAGCAGTGAAGTTGAATGGAGTAACTGCGTACACAAAACCTTCTAATGGACGGTATTCACTCCGGTTCCATACACCAGGAGCGGATTCAACAGGTTGTTGGTGGTACAATTCCTCAGCATATTTGACGTTAAACTTAAAAAAGTCAATGAGTTCAGCTACCGCATCAATCTCAGCTTGAAAAACATTCTTTCCCTGTCCCAACATTGTGGCTGCCAACATATCGTGACGGTACTTGGTTGAAATCAAATCAGCAGCCTTCAAGAAAATAGCAGCTCTATCTGTCCAAGGCATAGCAGCCCACTTTTGTTTGGCAGCTTTTGCGGCTTCAACAGCAGATGCTACATCGTCAGGAGATGCCTGGGATACTTTAGCCAAAACTTGACTGTGCTTTGCAGGGTTCACTTGGGGTAACACATCATTATTGTGGATTCTCTTCCCGTTGATCACCACAGGGATGTCCAAGGGTCCACTGTCGGTGAGCTTTGTAATGGAAGCACGCAACAAGTCCCAATCTTTCTGATCATTAAAGCCAAAATCTTTAACAGGCTCGTTCTTCACTGGAGGAATACGAGGATGCGCAAGTTGTGATTTTGATCTGGCACTAATTGCCACGGCTACCGCACACCTTTGCTTTGTTACGGCACTTTTCAACAACCTGGAAGTCAAAATAGCTCTTGAACGTAACATTTTTGGCAATTTTCGAAACAAATCCGACCCCGATACTATATATATGGCCATGCGGGCGTGCGATGCCCATTTTGTGGGGGTACTAACGGCAGGTGTCAGCGAGCGTCGCGGACGGCAGTCGTAGGCGAAAGAGTAGCCCATCGGCTCATTTGGGTGAGAACATCGTCCTTGTTCTGTTCAAACACTTTTTCATACTTTTCTAAGTTGGAGTTGGTTTCCTGTAGCGATGATTTCCATTTTTGCATCTCTTTCTGCATATCTTGTATCATATCGTCAATAGTATTAGACAACGAAACAGTGTTACCGATATCTGCGTGGACGGTGGAAAGAGATTTGAGTCTCGTTATTATACCAGGAACCATTGCTGCCGTGCGATTGATTTCTGGGAGTGCACCGTAGAGCTCTTCGGTTTTGACATCGTTGTCGCTGGCGATAAAACTATCTTCCGTGAGAATATTTAGCTGTTTCTTTTGCTCTAACAATCGTTCGAGATCGACATTCAATTGTTTGATATTTTCCTCTAGTGGCTCGAACAGAGTCGATGTAGCCATCTCGATCTTTCTTCTGAGGTCTGCTATTACACCAGAGAGGTTGAAGGTCCCGCTTCCAACTGCATTCTCCAAATGGGTTATCTTTTCTTCGACTGCCAAAATATGGCTGTGGTCAATCGATGTATGACTTGATTGATCATTTTCTGTAGACATGTTAAGCTTGTGATGCTCAAACACTTCGTTTATGTGGTTCCAATGACCATTCATCTCATGCTTGTCAGTTTTAGTCACATATTCAAGTAACAGATTGCATTTCTGGCTATCTTCTCCATTCAAGTCCTCTTTTATTTCTCTCAATTCGCGCTCTATACGGGCCAAACGCATTCTGGGGGTTTCCTTGACATTCGATGCGCGATATCCAGAGGAATAGAGGTCATTTTGATTGGCAGAACCCAGAAAATCAACGGTCCAACTTGCTTCGAGAATTTCTGGTGCGAAGTTTGCCCTGGAGTCAGTGATACTAATAGGTTCGCATCCTATATCTGAGTTGTCTTCGTTCTTCTCGTCAGTATCAATTGGCTCGTCGACATCGGACGTCTCATAAACTTCATTTTCACCGATATCTGGGAGTATGGTGGTATCTTCCATTATATATTACGCGTATATACCGGATGAAAATATCCAGATGTGGTGTGCGGGTGCACTACTTAGTGACGATTTGAACGACATCTTCGTCGTGAATTGGGTGGTTAAGGCCACATTTCTGCGGCGAATGTTTGGCACTGGAGCCCCACACAAGTGCGTATTTGAACTGGTTTTTCATATCCCGGTGAATTGCGTCACAAACTTCCAAAGCTGTGGGGTGGCTGCGAACCACTACTGGTTCATCGAATTTGGGCGCCACGCCTCGGCGTTTCGTGTAAACCCTTACGAGTCCCAACTGGCGCCATATCTCATCTTTAAGGTCCTCGATACCCAAATCCAACTCGCAAGACATCACCACGGTGTTTGGTTCGCGAGCAAGCCGGTCGCATTCTTCAAGCGAAACAGCATCAATTTTGTTGTAGACATACAAGCATTTGATGTACGAGATATGCTGTTCGTTGATGACGTCGATAAAGTCGTCAATGGTGACGTTTTCGTCTCGTATGAGCACATCTGCGTTGTGCACTTTGTAGTCCTTGAGAAGACCTGCAACCACCTTTTCATCAAGATACTTTGGAGGGTTGATAGAATTGAGTTTGATCCCTCCCGTCTTCTTGTACTTTAACGAAATGTTGGGTCTTTCTTTATTGAGACGAATTCCCATCAGTTCCAATTCGTTTTCCAAAATCTGTCGTTGGTCGTGCGACTTGGTAGCATCAAGCACCATCATAATCAAATCACTAGTCCGTGAAACGGCAATAACTTGTTTTCCACGTCCTTTACCCTGCGAAGCCTGCTTGATAATACCAGGAAGATCGACAATTTGAACTTCGGCTCCATTATACTCCAAGATTCCTCCCACCGACGTCAACGTCGTAAATTCGTAATTGGCAGCTTCTGACTTTGTATTGGTGACCTTGTTCAAAAACGATGACTTTCCCACCGAGGGAAAACCAATAAGTGATACACGAGCATCTCCAGCTTTGGCAACTTCGAAACCTTGTCCTCCTCCCGACGAACCACCTGCAGGTGGCTCCAATAGTTCTCGTCTGTACCTAGCGAGCTTTCCTTTTAAGAGCCCTATATGGTATTCTGTGGCTTTGTTTTTCTGGGTTTTGGAGAGTTCATCTTGAATTTGGGCTATTTTTTCCAAGATACCCATCGTAGCTTGTGTCGCAAACTGCGTTGAGCGACCTTTTGGTGGAGGCGATCGTGCAGGATTGAGGGCATCGCGATGAGCATTCAGTCTATAGATATAGACTTTGAAGAACTGTTCTGATCATGCCAAAGTCTGTACCTAGTCGCCAGGGGTCTGCACTGGCGGACATATACAATTCCGGGTCTGCAAAGATAAAGAAGAAGATAAGAGACATTGAAAGATTGCTTAAAAAAGATAACGTCCCCGCGAACATCAGAATTGACAATGAACGTGCCCTCAAGGCGTTAAAAGTTGAATTAGCAAACAAACAGCAGGATCACAAGACGCAGAAAATCGCCAAAAAGTACCATATGGTTCGTTTTTTCGAACGAAAAAAGGCGCTTCGCAAACTCAAACAGGCTCGCAAAGAGTTGCAAAATGTGCTGGAAACTGGAGAACGTAAGGATATTAAAAAAGCCCGTAAGGTGGTTCGTCATTGCGAGATCGATGTAGCATACGTGGTTCTTTTTCCCAAAGCCGAAAAATACATTTCTTTGTATCCCAATCATCAGCCAGAAAAGAACCCAGACACTGAAAATGCAAAGAAAGGTTTGGAAAAGACAGAAAGTCGTCGTCGTGAGCTCCGCAAAAAAGTTGAAAAATTGGTAGACGACAAGGCACTTCCATTCTCTATTGATGACTTACTCGAAGGAAAGTCGGTGGATGTCAAACACGACTTTGAATCTGGCCATAACCAAGAAATTGATGCTCCCGAAACTAAGATACAAGAGGAAGATGATTTCTTCGAATAATGCATAGTCTATTTAAGCGTATACTTTTTGGAATATTGGATGTCCATTGCATCATTAATACACAACACAGTGACGTCCCTTCCGGCAACTTCATCATCTATGTCAAGCGTACAAGTAATTTTTCCTTTACGCCCAACCATCTTGGGGCTTGCCCTGCTAAGCAAGAGCAATTCTCTGGTACTTTCGTCAGCCACTATAACAAACCAAGACTCTCTTTGGGCTTTGGGGAAATGTGGACAGTACATTTTGAACTCTTTCGTCAATGGGAAATTATTATGTTCGAGCTCAACTGTTAAGATCGAATCTTCCAGGTATGAAACGTTCATATTGGCGGTAGGAAGATGAGAGACAATCTTCAAAAACTCTGACCTCACGGCCTCTGTACTCCATTCCCTATTATCTTGTCCAAATGTGTCAAGATACCGTTGGCGGTTCACATCGAATTTATGGCATATTTGCTCATGTTTACCCTTGTTCATGTTACCCAATTCCTGTAACGTATACTTGCCAAATTCTTGGTTCAATGTGAGTCCTGGTAATGCCGTGGCTGGGTTATCGTCGTACCAGTATCTCTGTTTGATACAGTGCATCAACTTAATGAACATCAACACCGAGTCGAGGTACCCCAATTCAGCCGCTGCGTCGATATATGCTTGGAGAATACGAAGTGCTTGGTCAAGCACAGAAATCGTATCCTGCGAATAGTCAGCAATAGGAAGCTCAACTCTGCTCATAAATGCTTGAATGAGTAAATAAGCTTTGACATGGGGGTCCCATATAAATTCTTTTTGCATATCTTCACCAGAATATCTCATTGATTGAGACATCTCCATGTTTATCAACTCTTCGCCGTGTCTAGTGGCTAGTTCATCATACTCAACCGCTTCACAAAGTAGTCTGAGACATTCACGGAAAGAAGTGTCTTTATGAATTCTCGAGACGAGGTTACGCATGGTTTTGTGAGAAAGATAATAGTAAGAGGAGATGTGCAAAAACCCAGTGGGCTCCAATTCATCTGCTCCCTTCGTTATCACACACTTTGACTCTTTCAAGTTTTCAATTGTTTCATCGATCAAATTGCCCAAGAACCCACTTATACCAGCTTGAGATTGATCTTCGATCCCATAATAAGTAGGATTGTTATGAGCTCTTCTGTATAGAAATGTCCATGTGAGAAAGTCCATAGCTTCTTGACGGGTGGTAATAGTGCCAGCAGAAATTTCAGCACCAATATGGTTGTCCAAGACTTTGTGAAGCGAAGATTCGACAGGGAATCCAATGTTCAAGAAATGCTTGTAAAACACTTTTTTCGATTCCTTGGTAAAGACAATTGCTGTTCCACTGGTGTCAAATGCTGGTCTACCAGCTCTCCCCATCATTTGCAAGATATCAGTCAAATCCATATCTCTGTATGCTTCGATTTTGGGATCGAAAAATTGAGTTCCCTTGATGATCACCAAATGAGCAGGCAAGTTCACACCCCATGCCAAGGTAGAAGTTGCAACCAAGATTTGAATCTTTCCTGACTCAAACAATCTGTGTGATATTTGTCTATCGGATTCAACCAATCCAGCATGATGAAGTCCCATTCCAAATTGAAGAGCAATGCGGAGAGTATCATCCTTAACATCTTCCAAGATCTCTTGCAACTCGCTATCGCTTAGCTTCAAAAAGCGACGTGGATCAGACTCGGCTCCACACAAGTGAATAAGCTCCAAAGCGGTAAGTCTTGTTTGACGACGAGAAGCAACGAAAATCAAAACTGGCTTATTCGGAGAGTGCTGTTTGATAGCCATGAATGCGGGCTTGTTCATAGTCTTCATAAGAGGACTAAACGCCAAATTATCGGGGAAACCATCAATGTACATTTGCAATGGAACAGGACGCACAGACTGTGGGAAATTAAACAATCCCTCCTTCACACCTAGCCAACCAGCCATATCTACTGCATTGGAAACAGCAGTGGACATCCCCAATAGTCTTATAGGACGCTTGGTATGCGACGCAATGTAGTTCATTCTGCTCACAATCATCTCCAAGATGGGACCACGATCACTAGCCAACAAATGAATTTCGTCCATAATCACTAGCGAAACCTCTTGGAACGAATTTACGAGTTTGGCCAGTTACCGGGAAATACCGTCAAACTTTTCTGGTGTAGTAATGATAATGTCTGCCTCTCTAACCTCTCTGGCTTCAGGTAAAGAGTCACCAGTTAATTCCACCAACTTGTGTTTTGTGTTAGCTTGAATTCTGGCTCTCCAGTCGTCCACACGTTCGCGGACCAACGCTTTCATTGGTGCAATATAAACCACTTTGGACCCTGGGAACTCCTTGAAGGCATGCCAAATAGCAAGCTCAGCAACAACAGTTTTTCCAGAGCCAGTAGGAGATCCAACAAAAACACTCGAGTTGGAGTTATATAAAGAGTGAAATGTCATGGTTTGCATTGGATTGAAGTACCTGAACTTCAGCCCGTAGATAGCTTCAACTTGACTATCATGCAAGGCCGATATAGGCAACGGTTGCAACCGTAATAAATTTGTTCTCACGGTTTCGTTGTTAGGTTTTACCAAATGCTGGAAAGAAATGGTGTGTACTGTCTCTGATCCAATCCATGAGTCTGAAAGGACCCTGACAACAATTTGTGGTGGTGCTGGGTCGCCAACTGGAATCATGAAATTGAGTTCATGTGGGCTCCTCATCTGCTTCTTATTCAAGATGAATTTTTCAATGTGAAGAATCTCCGACTTGTCAGATTCTTCAATTGTCACCCAAAAGATTTGGGCATTTCCATGGTATCTTTCATCCCATACAAAGTCAGGAGACAAGTCTACGTGGATACGCATGACATTGCTGGTTATGGGAAATATTTCAGCGTCAATCTCCAAGTATGGAAACTTGCCAACCAAAGAATAAAGAACATTACCCATTCTATTGTTGTGAACCAAGTCTCCAAGTTCTGGCGCCTCCATATCTCTCAAAGTTTCCATACTAGGTGCTTTTGCTCGCAAGTTTCGTAAGATAGGTTGGAAGATCAAACTGTACCATAGGATGGTCGAATGCCCATATCCGTCTATCTATCGACTTGCAAAGCGAAAGTAAGATTTTCAGAAGACTTCCCCATCTTCTGTTCACAGCCACAAGAAACAACGCTCTGCAAATTCTAGCAGAGTTTTGAGCCACATAGTTGCAATCTGATATCAATGAAGAGTCCTTGATGGTCGCATGCGACACAAACGCCTGTAACAAAATATTGGTCTTCCCCGGAGCAGAATCAATGTCTCCTGGTATCTGGCAAGGAATTTCATTTTCCATAAGCGCTTTGAGCTCGTTAGCTTCTTCTTGACGAAACTTGATGCCATCAAATTCACTGCTCATACTGATCATTGCTAGAACATCTGCCTCGGTAGCCCGAGGGCTCAACAGTTGATTGAATATTTCAACAGTGTTGTTAAGTAGATAAAAGTCAGATGCAATTCTTCCCAAATCCTTGGGTATAAAAGTACCAGAGTCCTCGTCAAAAATAATCATTTGCAATTGATGAAGTCTTCTTGCTGCATTCACTATCATAGTATGCCGCCTAGTTGTTAACATAGGATCATCTTGCAATTCTCGCCATTCGATTCCATAGGAATATGGGTTCTTACGCATTCGGACCATCAAATAAGTGTACCCAAGCCACTGAACTCCTTCATGAACATTGGTCACCGAGCCAAGAGATATCTCTGCATTCAAATTATCGATCAATTTAGATGCCAACTTCGACTCAATTGGATGCTGCTGGGTAATTAATGAGACGTAATGGTCAAGTCGATCACTTGTGGTGCATAAGATACCTGTACCAAACTTTTCGAACTGAGGTCTTCCTGCTCTTCCAAATATCTGAATGACATCAGAGATCCCCAAATCGACAAAACCTCCCTTGTTAGCATCATAAACCTGAGTACCTTTGACGATAACTACGGCAGCCGGTAAATTAACACCCCAAGCTAATGTTGCTGTACAGCAAAGTACCTTTATGGCACCGGAAGCAAACATTTTCTCTGTTAGGTTTCGGTCTGATCTAAGCATTCCAGCATGATGTATACCAAATCCGTTTTGAAACAATTCACGAGAATCTTTGTTTCTGTTCTTCCCTGCAACATCCCTTTTAAATCTTTCATAACTAGGCGATTCTGAGCAGTCAAAGAGTGAAGTTTCGTTGAATTTTTGTGCTTGGGCAATGAATCCTCTGGCAGATTTAATTGTATCTTTTCTCGAGTGCACAAATACCATCACCTGTAAGCCCTGTTCTATGTACTCCACGAGTTTATCATAGGATACTTTGTCTATGTTTTCTCGAGAAGTCATGCTACCTGCTTTACCTCTAACACCGAGCAATTGCTGCTGAAGGGGAATGGGTCGGAAAGATTGGTCAAAGTAGTACATTCCAACCGAACGATTCACACCAAGAAAGTCGGCAACATCAACGTAATTGGGTAAGGTTGCAGAGAGACCAACTATACGTATCATAGACTGCGTGCTCTCCACTTGTCGTAAGGTACGAGCAACTAAAGATTCAATGACAGATCCTCGGTCTTCGTGCAACAAATGCACTTCGTCTATAATTAACAACTTCACTTTGGACACAAGCTCGCTATCGCCAGTCAGCTTTCTTGTAACCACATCCCACTTTTCTGGAGTGGTGACAATGATCTGAGTAGTCATAATTTCTGCCCTGGTAAGTTGCATATCTCCAGTCAATTCTTTGACAGATATTCCGAGCCATTTTAATTTACTGCTGAATTTTTCAACGATTTCAGCTGCTAATGCTTTAAGTGGAGCAACGTAAACTATTTTAAACTCATCATAGTCAATGTCAATGTTAATTTCCTCGTCGCCGACACTTTCGGTTACAAACAGGTTGATGGTATGTAACACTGTCAAAAGAGCAATATCAGTTTTTCCCGCACCGGTCGGAGCACAAACTAACATGTTTTCGTTGGTATTGTATGCCACAGGGTACACCAACGACTGGACCTTGTTAAGTGTCTTATAGTTGTTGAACGTTCCCTTACACAAGAAATCAAGATTTTCCACCACAATCAAATCGCTATCAGAAATCCATTTGTTGGACTTTGTGTCTGGATATGGAATGACGATTTCTTCATGAGTTGCATAACTATTTCGAGTTGTTCCCGTTGGAAGTGCAAGTTTTTTGCCAGTAATAGCAATCAAATCGCCAGGATCCGCATTTTTGAAAACGTGTGGGTATTTTCGATGCTTGTTGAACTTTAAGTTAGCATTATCAAGTTTGTTTCGTTGCTGGGTTGCCGCAAGTTGTTTCGCTAGTTGATCCGGTGTGAAGAAAGCGGAATCACCGTTTTTTTCCGTCTCATCCTTCAGCAAAACAGACTTGTTTTGCATGATCATGGTGATCAAGTCAAATTCTTCAAATCCCAAGAGGTCGAATAAAGATGATTGTAGCTCCTCGTCGGAGTTTGACAGTCCTACGGTGGACTTCACAGACTCGAAAACCGACATACCTTCTTTTTGCTGGTTTATTCGTTCACATTCTTGTTTGATTTGTGCTACTATGTTGTTATTGGTGGATAATTGTTCCACTTTCTCGACAGAAATGTCTTCAAAAGATTCTAATACCTTTGATACGTCGGTAATATTCGAATTTTCGTTGTCGATTCGATAGTTTTTAAAGCGTGGCTCTGGCAATTGCTTTAAACCGTCTATCAAATGCTGCATGGCTTGCATGTACAGCTTCGTAGATGTCATGGTATACATGATAAACGTCGAAATCTGACTCACAGACTTGGACCTTTTGCCTTTGGTGAACTGCACATATACTGTTGTATGCAGTATGAAGATTTTTAGTTAGCTTATGCGATGCGATGAGATGAGGTTGGAGAAACTGATATCATGAGCAAAGGTGTGAAATCAAAAACCAGGCTGGAGTCCAAGCCAAAAGCTCACAAGAAGCAAAGCGATACGAATGGTACGAAACGTAAACGTGAAAATGAAGAAGAAATAAGCTCTGATGAAGAAGAAGCAGACAACGAGAAGTTAGTCTCGGAATTAGATCAGAATTTCGACGATGTTGCCGAGCTTCTTGACGGCGATGTGGCTGATTTCAAGGAAGAGAAGAAACAGAAAAAGAACAAGGAACCAAAAACCGTGCTGGAAAATGCTTTACAACCATATGCTCAAGCTGACGAGTCCACTAGTGGGTCGGACAAGTTTGAGGATTTGGGATTATCAGAACCCACAATGCGTGCTATCAAAGACATGGGATTTGAAAAGATGACTAAAGTCCAGGAAAAGACAATCCCACCTTTGTTGGCTGGTAGAGATGTGTTGGGTGCTGCCAAGACTGGGTCTGGAAAGACTTTGGCGTTTCTCATTCCTGCTATTGAGATGCTTTATTCACTCAAATTTAAGCCTAGAAACGGTACTGGTGTAATTGTGGTCTCGCCTACCAGAGAGCTTGCCTTGCAAATATTTGGCGTAGCCAGAGATTTGATGGCACACCACTCACAAACTTTGGGAATTGTCATTGGAGGTGCCAATCGTAGACAAGAAGCTGACAAGCTCATGAAAGGTGTCAACTTGTTAATTGCCACGCCGGGTAGGTTATTGGATCACCTTCAGAATACCAAGGGCTTTATTTTCAAAAACTTGAAGGCTTTGGTCATCGATGAAGCCGACAGAATATTAGAAATTGGATTTGAAGACGAAATGAAACAAATTATCAAGGTGTTGCCTAGCGATGAGAGACAGTCCATGTTATTCTCAGCTACCCAAACCACCAAAGTCGAAGATTTGGCCAGGATATCGTTGAGGGCAGGTCCGTTGTATATCAATGTTGTACCGGAAACTGAGGTTTCGACGGCTGATGGATTGGAGCAAGGCTATGTGACGTGTGACTCTGATATGCGGTTTTTGCTTCTCTTTTCATTTTTGAGAAGAAATATCAAGAAAAAGATCATTGTGTTTCTTTCATCTTGTAACTGTGTCAAGTACTTTGGTGAGCTCTTGAACTATATTGACCTTCCAGTTCTTGACTTACATGGAAAGCAAAAGCAGCAGAAGCGTACCAATACTTTTTTTGAGTTCTGTAATGCCAAACAAGGTATCTTGATTTGTACCGATGTGGCAGCCAGAGGTCTTGATATTCCAGCTGTAGACTGGATTATTCAATTCGATCCTCCAGATGACCCTAGAGACTATATTCACCGTGTGGGACGAACAGCTCGTGGTACTGGTGGAAAGGGTAAATCATTAATGTTCTTGACTCCTTCGGAACTTGGATTTTTGCGATACTTGAAGGCTGCAAATGTTCCTTTAAATGAGTACGAATTCCCCACCAATAAAATTGCCAATATTCAATCTCAATTGACCAAGTTGATCAAGGGAAATTATTGGTTACACCAATCTGCCAAGGATGGTTATAGGGCATATTTGCAGGCATATGCTTCGCATCACTTAAAGACTGTCTACCAAATTGACAAATTGGATTTGGTCAAGGTTGCGAAATCCTTTGGTTTTGACGTCCCTCCCAAGGTTAATATTTCAATTGGTGCCAGTGGGAAGAGCATAGAGAAGAAGCACAAAAAGCAGAGAAGACAGTAGTACATATTAGCTGAATAAAATTGCATTGATCAATTCGCGACATTTTGCACTAATTCAAAAATTTGAGATCTACTGATTGAAAAATAAAGCGATCGCGAAATTTAACGCGTTATAGTTTTCTTAATGACTAGCAAGTACATAAATAATGGTCTTTCTCTAGACCAAAAGACGCACAGAGATGGCTTGTTCATGGATAATTACAACAAGGAGCAGGACTTCAGCCTAAAACTCAAAGATCGAACTTATAACCTGCAATACTTTTCCATGTATCAATACAGACTTCTGGTTCTCAAGGACAGAGTCGACCAGAATGCTATTTGGAAGTGGGGAGATGGCGACAAAAGAGTAGATGGTCAAATCATCAAGAGAAAAGAAAAAATCTTGGATATCGAAAGTGGAGAGATGTGCTGGGTTAGTGGCACAATCTTTCTGGATATGAACAACAAGCAGAATATTCTCAAAGATGTCGAAAATGGAGTGGACGATGTGCTTCCAAAGGCCAAGCAATCGTATGTTTCGGGCGATGTACCTCCCGTACTTATGCTTGAAGATGATTCTGGTCGGGCTATTCTTCACAATGATGATTTTTTGAAGAAAAATTTATTAGTCACTGGGTGCTTTGTGGCAGTTCTTGGTATAGAGGTACAAGCAGGAATATTCGAAATCTTGGATGTGGTATACCCAGTCATATCTCCACAATTGCCATTGCCAACGAAACGTCAACCTTCCGGCGAGTATATTGCATTGGTATCAGGACTCTCTGTTTCTGATGCTGCAAATTACGACTTGAAATTAGAACTACTCAAACAATATATTCTTGGAGAGCTCGGGAACGAGTCTGATACGAGCCGTGCACTGACCATCAAGCATTTGGTCATCGCAGGCAGCAGCGTTGCTTCGCTTCCTGAAAAAACTGGTGAAGATGACTTTACATCAGCAAGTGATTTTGGGTCAAAAAACGTCTCTAGATTCAACGCAGAGTCAATTGAGATGTTTGACAGCTTCCTTGCGGATATTGTGTCCAGTGTTCCGGTAAGTGTTATGCCAGGAGAAGATGATCCTACTGAAATATGTCTTCCTCAACAACCGTTGCATCGGTCAATCTTTCCATCTACAAAGCGATATGCGAACGGACCAAACCTTCAGTACCGAACCAACCCTACCTGGCTTGAAGTGAACGGCATTAGGATGTTGGGTACAGCTGGTGAAAATGTCAATGATATATGCAAGTATCTTCCCGAAAGTCTTACAACACCAGAGTCTACAATTGATATTATGAGAGCCAATATAAAATGGCAGAATTTTACTCCAACAGCTCCCGACACATTATATTGCTACCCTTTCAAAGATAGCGACCCGTTCACATTGTCAGACGAAACTCCTCATTTGTACTTTGTTGGGAACCAAGAAAAATTTGAATCGGCTGAATTCAGAGCACAGAGAGACCATAATAGTGATGACGAGGTTACGGTGCAATTGGTGAGTATTCCCAAATTTGCAACTACGGGACAGGTGGTACTTGTGGACACTGGTGATCTAAGCACCAACGTGGTTCGTATCGATGTAGACGACGGCGAGCTACTTTGAGACTAATAATAGCATTTTACAGCCGCACAGGACACAGATTTTCACCCACTGCACCGCAACTGTTATAAACAGCCCCCCTGCGAAAATCTTCAGGGGTAACCACCTGGGCAAGATATAGCAGGCGTTAATTTGGCCACGAAAACAAGCCACACGAAAATAAGCATTAATTGCCACTTTCATCAAAACTGTTACAAATTGTACGCCTAATAAAACGTTACCCTACTTCTTGCTTGTGGCTTTCTTCCCGCAGTAGACGCTATTTACGAAGTATCTCCCAACTCGTAAACCACCAATTATTTTTCAATTTCATTGGTGCTTTAACTCGGGGTTATACTCGGTACATTCCCTTGAAAACTGCTTACACAACAGCTTCTTGCTCGGATTTCGGCATCGTTGTGAAACAAGTTGCGTGACGCCACCAATTTTCCGCGAATTCTTGGACAGCGAATTGAATCTCCTTCAAGTGGTCACTTCCAGCATTCACGCCCAAGTCAATCGACTAACATAATTGACACTTTGCAATCTCCTTACAAAGACAAAGTGTCCTACAAGGCAACATTCCTTGATTCTTAACTGCACTCCTTCCAGCAATCGATTCAATCTATTGCTCGCACTCCCTTGCATTGACGGGCAGCTTCGTACCGTTGCTTGCAAATTGCCAATTGCTCCTTAAACGTGGCCAATTGTTCATTTTTTGCTTTGTTGAACACCTTATAGAACGGTAGTGTGATCAGTGACCGAGAGCTTTATATTATTTTTCCCATTTCCTTCTTTTCAACATGAGCCAAGATCCTAAAAAGACAAGAAATTTACACATTGCGCACCGGAAATCTCCTAGTGAGTTGACCAATCTTATGGTGGAGCAATACAACCTCCAGAAACAACTTGAGGCGGTACAGGCACAGCAAAAGCAGATTTTACAACAGCAGCAACAACAACAGCCTCAATTTGCTTACCCCAGTGGTCCTGATTTGATGCCTCCTCCTTCATCGTATCGTTCACACTCTCGCTCCTCATCGGCCGCGTCACAAAGTGGCCAGCCTTTCAATCACAGGAGGACCGGCTCCAACACCTCGCCAGGGCACAATAGACGGCACTCGTTGGGCATTAATGAGGCCATGAAGGCGGCCGCTACTCAACGTCAGAATAACATGACTTCTTTGAGCCCATCCAGTAGTACCAAGGCTTCGCTGAGTCACGATGAATCATCCTATGCAAAAGCTGATGAACCTTCATCACCTGGCTCTTTCAAATTTCCGCCTAGTGGGCATGGCTCGGACAGCGACTCTGCATCACCACCTCACTCAGGCCACTCTCGTTCTCGGTCTCTTGCGTATGGCCAACAATCGTTCAAATTCCCTCCAGAGGGTAACCCAAGTTTACTTCCTCCTACTCCCAACTTTAGCTTCAGTCATAGCCCGGAAAGAGGAGGGGGACATCAGAGAAGGGGATCGCATTATCGTTCAGGATCTCGCAACTTTGACCCTAATGGCCATACAAACATGAACTCCAATTGGAGAGTTCAGCAACAAGGTAACCAGCGCCAGCAAAATTCGCAACAATTAGAGCCTCCTCTGGCTTCGTTCGTTCCAGGTCACAGACCTCGTCATAGCTCCTACGGCGGAGGATCATCAATTTCTTCGCTTTCTCAATTCATGCCTAACAACCAAGGTAACAACAATAATGGATCGAATGCAAGCGGACGCAAATCGTTGTTTGCACCGTATCTTCCTCAATCCACTCTTCCAGAACTAATCGCTGATGGAAGATTGGTTACGGGTACATTGAGAGTCAATAAGAAAAACCGTTCAGATGCCTACGTTTCGACAGATGGCTTGCTTGATGCTGATATTTTCATTTGTGGATCGAAAGATCGTAATAGAGCCCTTGAGGGTGACCTAGTCGCCGTAGAGCTCTTGGTTGTTGACGAAGTATGGGATTCAAAGAAAGAGAAGGAAGAAAAGAAGAGACGCAAAGATAATGTTGGTAAGTCTAACAACTTCGTCATGAATGATGATATTCACAATGACGCGACCTCCACCTCGACGTCTGCTGTTGGCGATGACGACAAAAAGGACAACGACGATCTGGGCAACGGTTTAATGAGACGTGGCTCACTCAAGCAAAGACCAACAATGAAGAAGAATGATGATGTTGAAGTCGAGGGTCAATCTTTGCTTCTCGTAGAAGAAGAGGAGATCAACGATGAAGTCAAGCCATTGTACGCGGGCCACATCGTCGCTGTAGTGGACCGTATTCCAGGTCAATTGTTCTCTGGTACTCTAGGCTTATTGCGGCCCGCACAAGCAGCACAGGCAGCAAGAGACAAGAGAGATGGTAAGGAGCTGTCTGTTCAAACCCCCAGAGTGCCTAAGATTGTTTGGTTCAAGCCAACGGATAAAAAAGTACCCTTGATTGCCATTCCTACTGAACAAGCACCAAAGGACTTTGTTGAAAATCACGAGAAGTACGCTAACGAATTGTTCGTTTCCTCCATCAAGAGGTGGCCAATCACTTCTTTGCATCCCTTTGGAACCTTGATCAGCAAGTTGGGACCTATCAATGACCCCGCAACGGAAATTGACTCTATTTTGAGGGAGAGCAACTTTTTATGTGAGGAGTATCCTCCAGCTTCTGAACAGGATGATCCATCTAGAGGATTGTTATCGGACATTCCTGACGCAGAACCCGAATTGACAAATTTGAACAGAACCGAATACTTGAATGATTATATCATTTCATTTACGCAAAACAATCAGTTTGTTGATCACGCATTACATGTCAAAAGAATTTCCAATACGAAAATTGAGTTGGGTTACCACGTTGCCGACATTTCTTATTTCGTTCGTCCTGGATCTATTATCGATCGCAAAGCAAAGAAGAGATCCTCGTCAGTGTTCCTTCCACAAAAGGTTGCACATTTGTATCCCGACAGACTCAACGAAATGGTCTCGTTCAAGGAAAATGAGCGAAACTTGGCGATGACTGTCATCTTTGAAATTGATACCTCATCGTTCGAGGTTGAGGATCTTTACATCCACGAATCAGTGATTGTTCCAAAACAGCTTGTATCTTACGACTCTTTTGATGCAATTCTTTCTGGTAAGCAAGTGGAGGGAATCTCTTCGGCAAGTTCAGATTACATAAAGACTTTCAGCTTGATTTCGAAAGAGTTCCGGAGACAGCGTTTGGAGAACAAAGATTTGGGCATCACTCCAAACACCACCTTGCTTGATCTGCTTGATGATGAGCGTGTAAGACTCCATTTGAATATCTTCCATGACAGTGTTGCAAGTGACATTATCAACGAGATATCTCATAAAGTGAATGGCGCAGTTGCTTCCAAGATCCATGCTGGTTTAGGCGATGCAGCATTTTTACGTCGGCACCCACTTCCTACTATTCTGAAACTCGAGACTTTTGTAAGAAAAGCGGCGAACTTGGGCTTCACTATAGATACCGCAACATCTGCGACATTGCAAAACTCTATTCTCAAAATTCAGGACACCGTGAAACGTCAATGTGTTGAGACCTTGCTATACAAATGCATGTCTAGAGGCAAGTATTTTGTGGCTGGCAAGCAAGATCCTGATAATTACGGTCACTTTTACTTTAATTTGCCGTTGTACACTCATTTCAACGCCCCAATTCGTCGTTACGCTGACTTAATCGTACACAGGCAGTTGAAGGCTGTAATTAATGGGGTGGAAGATGCGGCATCGGTTGACTTGGACAGCATGAAGGCAACCGCTGATTATTGCAATTTCAAAAAGGATTGTGCGTCAAATGCACAAGAGCAAGCTGTACACTTGTTGTTATCTCAAACGATTAACGAGATCAGCGAGAGCGCTGGCCAACTTCTTTGCATGGGTACAGTGATCCAAGTTTATGAGTCGTCGTTTGACGTTTTCCTTCCCGAGTTTGGGGTTGAAAAACGGGTTCATGGAGATCAATTACCTCTCGTGAAAGCTGAATTCGACAAAAATGAAAGAGTCTTGGAGTTGTTTTGGGAGAAGGGTATTGATACTGCGACGTACATCCCTGCGGATGAGCAGCTGTCATTATCATACAGAAACTCGATAAAGAACAAGTACCGTACTTCAGCAGTTGAAGTCGCCAAAATTCAAAACAAGTCTCTTTTAGAGAAAAAGAGTATGAGTAACGATACCATCGTTGAGAAGTTGGCCAAGTTGAATTTGGAGCCACCGAACCTTCATTTACCCACGATCGTTCCTCTGCGAAACATTGACCAAGAGCACTCGCTTAATGCAAGGTCAATGCCTAACTCACCTACTCAGGCGGCTTTCCCCAAGAATGTAAGAACAGCTTCTAGCACACTTATTGGGACCGATGCGTCGAGCGATTTGCCCGCGCCCCTGGAAGCACCTAGTGGATTGAAGCCTTACTTGCAAATGATAAGCACGAGAATTGAAAAGGACTCTTACATCCAGGAAATACGGGAATTGTCACAAGTGCCTGTGCTCATTCGTGCCGAGATTGGAATGGCGTTGCCATGTTTGACGGTACGTGTGTTGAACCCATTTTCTGAACAATGAAGCAGAATCCTTCTTTAACGAATCCTACGAGTCATCTTATATAATTGTCATATTTTCTACATTTTAGTTATTTCTCCCCCACGTAGACTCATTCTCCGCGAACGCAGAAAATTAAAGTGAAAAATTAATAATCGCTTAAATGGTTGACACGCCAAAACAGGAACCTAAGACCCCTAAACCGTTAGCTTCAATCCAGAAGTCGAGATTGCTCTCTGAAGGTGATGGCATAGACCGGTCGGGTACTCCTCTTAGAACGAGAGTTGCTTCTCCATGCACTTTGAATCCTCCGATTGACAGTGATGGACTTTCATGGCCATCTTTAGGTGCAAGACAAAGGATAGAGCAGACCGAAGAGGAGTCCAAATCAAGGGAGCTCCGTATAGCTGGTGCCGTTCGTACGATTTTGACGGAATTGGGTGAAGATCCAGATCGTGAAGGATTGTTGGAAACTCCCGAAAGATATGCTCGAGCCATGTTGTTTTTCACCAAAGGATATGAGGATAACATTCGAGATGTGATCAAAAGAGCTGTGTTTGAAGAGGATCATGACGAAATGGTTATTGTTCGTGATATTGAGCTCTACTCATTGTGTGAGCATCACTTGGTTCCATTTTTCGGTAAGGCTCATATAGGGTATATTCCCAACAAAAGAGTGCTTGGATTGTCGAAGCTTGCCCGGTTGGCAGAAATGTACTGCCGGCGTCTTCAGGTCCAAGAAAGACTCACAAAACAAATTGCAATGGCACTCAATGAGATGTTGCAACCGCGCGGAGTTGCAGTGGTAATCGAAGCAACTCACATGTGTATGGTGAGTAGAGGAGTGCAGAAAACTGGGTCTTCCACCACCACCAGTTGCATGCTTGGCTGTTTCCGTAATCAGCAGAAAACGAGAGAGGAATTTTTGACCTTGCTAGGCAGAAAGTAGACATGGCTTTTTCAACAAGTTAGCCCGGCATGATTAACGACGTTATGACATTCAACATTTCATAGGTTAACCCTGATACACAGAGGTGGTCAATTAGATTAGTTATATGTACAATTTAGACTGAGTGTTTTTGCAACCTTGAGGACGGTTTCATCGTCACCAAACTGACCCATGATTTGAATACCTTGTCTGCTGTAGTATGGTATTGAGATGCTGGGGAGCCCAGCCAACGAAGCGGGAACGGTGAGAATGTCGTTGATGTATGCATTAAGAAAGTTTTCGTTGGTCTCTTGGGTGTACTCTGCCAAACTTGGCGCTGGTGAGACTGCTGTGGGACACAATAAAGCACAACAGCCGTCTCTATTGTAAACCTCATTATCAAACAACACATTGGGCATGGAGAACACCTTGTTAAATTCGGCTACCAAATTCTTTCTGACATGTGTAGCCCGCAAGTAGTGGTTTCCCGAGTCTGAAGAAAGCGTATAATTGCCCAAAATGATTCTGCGTTGAACTTCGCTTCCAAATGCTGTGGATCTATTTTTCGATACGATATCAAAAGGTGTCATAGAAGCAGTTTCCTCCGAAGAGATTGAGTAGCCGTATCGAACACCCTCATACCGAGAAAGGTTGGAGGCAGCTTCAGCTGTTGCAATTGTATAATATGCCAGCAACAGTTTCTTGATTGTGGGAATGGAAATGTATCGAATTTCATAGCCCTCATCAACAAGTGCACAAAGCGCCAGGTTCCACGCATCCTTAGCTTCTTCAGTCATTTCCGCCACGACAAATTCTTCTGGGACTCCTATCACCTTGGAAGATTGCAAGTTCTTTTGGTGGGAAATTTGGTGTCTAATAGATGCATCGAAGCAAGTTGGATCTTTTGAATCAGCGACGTCTAGAACGTCGAAGACCGATCTCACCGTGTCTAAATCCCGCGCAAATATACCCACTGTGTCAAGACTCTGTGCATATGCTATAACTCCCCACCGAGATATTCTTCCGTAAGTGGGCTTGAATCCATATACTCCACAGTAGCTTGCTGGTAACCTCACTGAACCTCCCGTATCAGTACCCAAGGCAAAGTCCGCTTCTCGCAATGCAACCGCAGCGGCAGAGCCTCCAGAAGAGCCTCCACTTATATGGTTTTCAGGAAACATGGGGTTGACGACACTACCGAATGCCGAGTTGGTGTTTGAAGATCCCATACCAAACTCGTCCATATTGGTCTTTCCTACTACTTTGGCACCAGAAGCCTCTATTAACGACACAGTGGTAGCATCGAAAGGACTCACATACGTCCGTAGCATTTCCGAACCACTTGTAGTGGGTTCTTTCGTTGTGACAAAGTTATCTTTCACAGCAGCCTTAAGTCCTGCTAGACTACCAGACGAATTTGTTTCCTCCTTTCTTTTACTAATGAATGCATTATGGTTGTCTTTCGTAAGCTGATTTGAATACCTCCGCAAGGAAATCGGAACTCTATATCGAGATCGTAAAAGGGCTCTCATGGCAATCGCCGTTTCGCAGCTAGAGTTGGTTTTCGCAGCTTTCACACCAGTACATCGCGCGCTTGGAAAATCTGACTGAGTCTTACAAGAAAAGAAGTGGATTAACCATAGAACCTAATTATGTCGCTGACAGTCATCTACGGTGATCGCGGTTCCGATCTCTTGGCTCTCGCTAGCAACCTCAAGGTGTGCATCGGAGCTTTAGTTTTTCAAGGTGGTATTCAGGTTGAGTTGGGTGAAGATGAGTCACACACTGGTTTGAAAGATCTGAAAACTGGCTTCAGATTATTGGAAAGCAATGCTATCGTCAAGTACTTGGCCAAGGACTTTAAGCGGACGGAGGCCATTGAGTTCGAAGAGACCAAGTTGTATCAGGCTTTGAAATCGAACCAAAAGGAACAAATCATGGCTCTTTCTGATCTCCTCCCAGATTTTGCTGATAATCAGGAAATCACCGCCGAGAAGGTAATCATATTTTCGGCGTTATATGTTACTGGAGGTGAGAATATTAAGCAAAAAGAGTGGTTCGAAAAGTTTGCAACTTTACCAAAGGTTAAAGAGGGTATTACCAGCGCTCTTCTCATCACTACAATCGAGAGACTTAAGAATACTAATACCGGAACACAGAAGGTGAAATCTGGATTCGGTGTTAAAGCCAGAGACGAGAGCTTGTTGCCTAAGAAAAACGAGAGAAACATACTTATTACTTCTGCTTTGCCTTATGTTAACAATGTCCCTCATTTGGGTAACATTGTGGGCTCGGTGTTATCCGCTGACATTTATGCCAAATACGTTCAGAACAGAAACTACAACTCTTTGTTCATTTGTGGAACTGATGAGTACGGTACCGCTACTGAAACTAAAGCTTTAGAGGAAAAAGTCACTCCTCAAGAATTGTGCGACAAATACCACAAGGTGCATAAGGACGTATACGATTGGTTCGACATAAATTTCGACCATTTTGGAAGAACTACAACTCCTCAACAAACGGAAATCGCCCAAGATATTTTCCTCAAATTGTACAACAATGGTTACTTGGAAGAGAAGACCACAGAACAGTTATACTGTGAAGAGCATAAATCTTTCTTAGCCGATAGATTCGTGGAAGGAACTTGTCCCAAGTGTGGGTATGAGGATGCTAGAGGTGATCAATGTGACAAATGTGGCAATTTGCTTGATCCATTTGAATTGATCAACCCTCGTTGTAAACTCGATAACGCCAAGCCTATTCCAAGAAACTCAACTCACATTTATCTCAAGTTGGGAGATCTCCAAGGAGAATTAAAAGAATGGTTTGAGAAGGCTTCAACTGATGGAAAATGGTCTAAGAATGCAGTCCAGATCACCTCATCGTGGATAAATAGAGGTCTTGAATCAAGGTGTATTACTCGTGATTTGTTTTGGGGAACTCCTGTACCACTTAAAAATTACCACGATAAAGTGTTGTACGTGTGGTTCGATGCAACAATTGGGTACGTTTCCATTACTGCAAACTACTTCAAAGACAAGAACACTGAAGATTGGCTCAAATGGTGGAAGAACCCAGAGCATGTTGACTTGTACCAATTCATGGGTAAGGACAACGTTCCATTCCACACTGTGGTTTTCCCATCATCTCAAATCGGTACTAGAGATAATTGGACCAAGTTGCACCATCTTAGTACGACTGAGTATTTACAGTATGAAGGTGGAAAATTTTCGAAATCAAGAGGCGTGGGAGTTTTCGGCAACAACGCCAAAGAGACTGGCATTACACCCTCGGTGTGGAGATATTACTTGGCTTCTATTAGGCCTGAAACTTCTGATGCCCAATTCTCTTGGGGCGAATTTGTCACTAGAAACAACTCTGAACTCTTGGCTAATTTGGGTAACTTTGTCAACCGTTTGGTCAAGTTTACCATTGCTAAATACAATGGTGTTATTCCTGACTACAAGGTTTCTGAGATCCCTGATTACGCTGTGTTTGAAAAAGACGTGAATGAACTTTTGTCGTCGTACATCGAGAACATGGAAGCTGTGAATATTAGAAAGGGTTTAGAACTTGCCATGGCTATTTCCTCGAGAGGAAATTTGTTCTTGCAAGATAACAAGTTGGACAACACCTTGTACACCAAGTACCCTGCCAAGTCTGATGCAGTTGTTGGTGTGGGCATGAACTTGATCTACTTGGTTAGTTCCTTAATCTATCCTTTCATGCCATCGACTACCGCTCAAATGAATGAGATTTTGAATGTACCTCCTTTGTCGATTACCAACAAGTTTGAATTAGTATTGGAGGCTGGACACTGCATAGGCAAGGCCCAATATTTGTTCCAAAGAATTGATGAGAAGAAGATTGACGAATGGAGAAGTTTGTATGGGGGTAAGCAGGTGTAGGTAAGTATTAATGTATTGTCATAATAAGATATAGTTTCAGTTATCTTCACTTTCAATCAGATCCTCTTCACTTCCAGCAAGCGAAGATGAACTCGATTCAATACCGGCTCCCAAATCATTGAAATCAGCCTGGTTCAACTTCAAGTTGGTGGCTTCCCAGTTATTCAATTCTGTTGGCGAAGAAAGATCACCACCAGTAATCACTCTGATTAATTGTCTCTTGAAATCCTTTGTTTGTTTGTGGAAATCAACATGATCTCTCTTGTATTCTGCTACCTCCGGGGCATGTCCAATACTCTGGCCCACACGAACAAGAGTCTCAATACAAGACAGCGAGTTTTTCACGATATCACTGTCGAAGACTAATCTTTTCTTCTCAGCAAGAAGAATGACTGTAGAACCTCCAAACTTGAAATAGCCTATCTCATCTCCTCTTTTGACTTCATCACCTTCATTTTTGGTTAGAACCGTGGATCCCACCATCATTGCTCCAACGGCGACCATGACCACCGTTCCAAACTCACGGGTCTTAATGGGAATGATAACTCTCACATTTTCTCCAAACACATCCAACTCTGACCTGATTGCCATTGGGTTAACTGTGTAATACTCACCCTCAATATACTTTATCTTTCCCACAACACCATCGACGGGGCAATGAAATCTATGATAATCTTGTGGAGCCAACCGGAATATAGCTAGCGAACATGCTTCTGGTTTGAACAAATCAGTCAGTTCCAAATTCTCAAAATTACCATTGAAAAGCTTTGCAATGGAGAAGTTTGTACCCTTGATCCATAGCTGGGTAGCATCCCCAACAGTTGCGAAGGCAGTGCATCTGGAGTCCGCAGGAGAAACAGCAATTCTGCTTTCGTTAGGAGCTTCATTTGGTCTTGCATCTGGTTTGAGTTTGCGATAAAAGAACTCATTGAAAGTGTTGTAATGTGAAATATCTGGATACAAGCAATCCGATAAATCAAGTTTGTGAAACTTGATAAACGATGCAATATCATTTTTCAGATGTGGATGGTCGAATTTGGCACCTTGTTTCACACTGGCTTTATACAAGAGAGCCCTAACACGACGCTTTCTTGCTTTATCCAAACCTTTGTAAAGAAGACGAATGCCTAGTCTCACATAGACTCCCATCTTTTCTTCCATAATGATTCCAGTCATCCTATCTTGTACGAGAATGTTTGCCGAGTTACCACCCAATGAATATTTTCCGTACGATATTTTGATCAAAAACTTGGTAAACCACTTCTTCGTTGCAATCTGAGGAGTTACGTAGGATGATACCAAAAGCTTGTTGACAATACTCCAGTCCTTTGAAGAGCAGATTGCCACATGGGTGATGATGTCGTTATCTCCTTTCTTGCTCAATTTCTTTTGACAACAAATTGGACATTTCTCGATCTCAAAAATCCGAGAATCTTCATCACCTTTAGATCCACTAATATGGTTTTCCAATTCTTCGATAATCTCTGAGTCCTTGAGCCTGTCGCCTCCCCACGCCAGTTTACCCGAGTTTTCAAAGAACTTGAAAACAATCTCATCACTATTATTGCAACCAAGAGCATCGAGAAAGGATATGAGCTCGATGTAATCGTAAGAGCCATTGACCTCATTCAACCCATACTGCTCCAACAAAATTTTCCAAAACTGCTTTCTCAATGACAGGTACGGCTCAAATCGTACTCGTATCTTCAATCTAGGATTGTACTTTTCTCGGTACTTTTCTTTGTGGATTTGTAATTTGACATCCATGGTTTTGAATTTTGAAGTATCAGCATACAGGGGTATTACCTTACGTTTATGCCTGAAGCCTCTTTTCTTCAAATGGTGGACAATATTGTCATCCTCCAAAACCTCAAAATTAGAGTTGGCAGTGGAGGAATCGTAGCCCGAATCTGACACCACAAACGACAGCATGGACTCCTCATTACCTTCACTCATGTACATGGGATTTTGAGACAAGGCACTGCTTGCCGCCGTTGCCATAGCAGTTATATCTTTCATCAGGACCGAGCCATCAGCGACTTCATCGTGAAAGGAAAAATGGTCCTTGTCAAGTACCGAAAACAGCACATTGAAATTGGATTCATGAGGTAGAACTTCGAATGCAAGACGTTCATTAAAGATAGGGTTTAACGTATGCCTCTTCCAACTTGTTCTGAATGTCTTTTTCCCGAAAGTGACCACCACAAATGGATCCATGTCAAAAGTGGTTCGAGTTATGTTAGTCAATGGAGGTAGATCGCTGCACGAAACAATCTCAAGAAATAATACACCAAGCACAGAACGGTTTGCTAACCCGAAATTTTTCGTACGTTGGTCCAGGCTTCGTCTGAACATTTTCTTTCTCTCCCGAGATCTGCGTTTGATGTCTTTGGCCGAATGGCTCTCACTTGGTATCTCAGCACTTGAATTGTCACTCGACACCATCGAGCTATCGGATAGATCTGAACCTACAATACTCAGCATTGTTGAGTCCGGAACCACTACAGGGATAAGAGCATTATCCAGGTTTATGCTGCGTCCATCATTCAAAGAAGAAGGAGCAGATACTGGTAGAATTGAGTCGATATCTGAAATGTCTCCATTTGGCAAGTCTGCAGCAGATGCTTCTGTGTAAAACCCTTGATCGTCAGGAAATAGCACAGCAGGATCAGGATCTGGGTATACAAGACTCTTCTGCCATACATCAAACATGCCTTCTAGTTCTTGATAGTTGGTCATGACTGGAGTAATTTCTGTATCTGAAAGACTTAGTTGATCCATCTGTTCATAAAGGTCTCGAGTGGGCTCACGAGAAGGTGGAATTATCTGAACGGCGACGCCAGCATCTGTATCAAGTTTCCGTCCTGGTTCCTTCTCTCCCTTGGAGGACTTTTTGGTTTTTTTACCGGTGACAAGTTCGAAGGAAAGAAGAACCGAGCCAGTGACAAATGAACGATATTCGCTATTTGAGTAGAGTTTATACCATTTCGGGTCACATGTTGGTGTGAATTGTCCATCCTTAGTAAATAGATCTCTCAAACTTACTCTTAACTCGCCAAGGTATGTCTTGCTTCGGTTGTATCTGTCCCATACTGTGAAATTTACCACTGGAGAATATGCATTGAGTTTCATAGGAAGTAAAAGTATATTGTCCCATGAAGGGTGGTTTGTCCTTGAACGCTTGGAGGTTCGTTTCTTGGAATCGTTGAGCTGAGCGACAAGAACTGGGCTGGCTTTACTACGTTTTTGTTTCAGGGCAGCATCGTCGACCGATCCACAGCTGAAACTTGGATCCAGAACCAAGTCTGCTGCTCGATCCACCTTGATCTTGACGTAGAGCTGAAGCTTCTTTGACGATTTTTCTTTTCTTTTAAGAAGCCTCATGGTAATTTGAGGGAATTGGGTGAGGTACTAGTTCCAGTATCACAGAAAGCGGCTTATGGGGAAGTTTGAAAAGACGATTACCTAATTAGGACAGAGGACCCCGATTGTTCCAGATTACCACTTTAGACTATATATCATCTCATTAATGCATCCACAACGCTCTTGACACTCAAACGCTTGATGTCAGTGTATACTTGTCCCGTTCCTACAAAAAGAATGGGAACTTTGGTGGCCATCACCATATTAATCATCGACCCCACCAAATCTCCAACGGTGTCTACCTTTGAAATGATGAAAAAATCCAAGCTTCTCCGGTTACCAAAGGCATTGTTGAAGTTGACTGCTTGCTCGACCGAGTCTGTGCCCACGAGCGCTTCTCCAACCATAATGATTTTGTTGGGATTTGCAGCATCTCCAAACTTTTTCAACGGAGCCATGAGTTTCGCATTAGAATGAGTCCGACCAGCAGTATCTATCAAAACGATGTCAAACCCTTCTGCTCCCGCAAATTCTATAGCCAGCTTGGCGGTGGCAACTACATGGTCTCCTCCTCCATAGCCCTTTTCGAAGATGTCAATTTTGGTGTTGGTGGTGGTGTTAAGTCTCTTGAGATTGTTAACATGAACCTTGAGCTGCTCTACAGCACCCGATCTGAAGGTATCACAAGCACAGATGAGAACGTTCAAGTTGTTTTGAAGAAACCAGTATGCTAATTTTGCAAGATTGGTGGACTTGCCCACTCCATTGACTCCCACCACTGAAATAACGTAAGGACGAGAATTGGAAGTGGAGCTATTTCGCTTCACGTCGTATAAGAGATCAGTAGAGACATTGGGAGTCAAGATCTTGGTGAGCTCTACCGTCAATGCTCGCTTGTAATCCTTCAATGTTACCTTTTTACCCTTAAGTTCGTGGTTAAGTTTGTCGGTGATGGTTTTGGCAGTGGCAGGAGCAATGTTCTTGGAGATAAATTGATCGGTAAATGTCTTTGAAACTTCATCAAGGTCAATGGGACCTCCGAAATAAGATGATATCTTGCCGAAAAATCCCGATTTCTTGCTCACTTCGTCAGATGGTACATCTTCATCTAGTATATCATTGAGTTCGTTGACAAGAACCAAGTCGTCCTGTTGACTAAAAGCGTCCCCGCTGACGAGTGAATCGGTATTTATAGCAGAATCATCACCAGCCTTGCCCTCTGAGTAGTCCAAAACTTCGTTGGCATTTACTTCCACCATCTGATTACCATCCCATTTTCTCATCGTTTTTTTAGTTTGACTCTGTACCTTTTTGGGGGTCGATGTGCCACTATTTGTCTTACTTTCCGGCCCTGATTCCAAGGACTGAGCTACCTTTGCGGCCTGCAGCAATTTCATGAGTTGGTTGAACTGATAATCAATAAGCTTTTGCAACTTTTCAGACCGATCCGACAGCTCCTCTTCGGTCACCTTTAAGTAGATTTTCAACACATCAACTAAACAAGATTTGATCTTGTCACTATCAAGAGTGGACACTGCATCAAAGTATATGGCAGCATATGTATTTTTGCGTTTCAAACAGTATAGACGTTTTTGGTTGATGGTGGAAGTGAAGAAATCAGGCTCGAGTTCCGTACAAGTTCCATTGACGATTTCGGAAATGAAGTCGTTAAACGGGGAGAGTTTATTGTTGTATTTGTAAAGCACCGAGCCAGAAGGTGCAAAAATGACGAGGGATTGTGACATTAGGGGATATTAGTTTGTGGCTTCGTACAATACGATGGTGGAGATCGCACTTAAAAAAAAATAACGTCACAGACAGGATTCGAACCTGCGCAGGTAAAACCCAACGCCTAAGCTGCTAATAGCAGGGCGTCGCCTTAACCACTCGGCCACTGTAACGGTAGTAATCAGTTAGTGCGAGAAAAATACACATAACCAGCTAGGCAGCCGGCGAAAGTGCGCGCGACCCATTTGACAGATCTCGAGTGTCTTCTTACGACTATTTAATTCAAAAACTAAAAGACACGCACTTGGTCTCAGAAAGGCCCCAGCAGCTCAATCACATACATTAGAAGTGCAGGAAGCCGCCATACTAGCTTTTTGCAAATAAATTATTTTTTTTGTCTTGCCATTAAGAACCACACTTCCACCAACCTTTCAATACTTTCATAATGGCTTATTACCAGCAAGTGCAGAACCCCCAGAACTTGCAGTTCTACCAATCACAGTACGGAAACTCCTTCCAGCAACAAGCCAGTCAGCCGTCGGGCCCAATGGGCAGTATTGACCACGGATTCGGAGGAGCAAACGTCGATGTCAGCGGCGAAATTGGAGGTGGGGAACTTACAACCGGTATATTTGCGGCATTCGGAGCTTCAGGATACCCCAACGAGCCTCCACTTTTGGAAGAGCTTGGTATCAACTTTTCGCATATCAAAAGGTAAAACTTTGACGGTGTTGAACCCTTTCAACAAGAATATAAGCCCGGATATCATGAAAGATTCCGATTTGGCGGGTCCCATATTATTCGTCTTGCTCTTTGGAATATTACTATTGTTGGCTGGAAAGGTCCAATTTGGCTACATTTATGGTGTTGGACTCTTTGGCATTATCAGTTTGCACTACTTGTTCAAACTTATGAGTAACGATGTGTCGCTCGATATCGTCAGATCTGCATCAGTGATTGGCTACTGTCTACTTCCTCTCGTACTTGTTAGTGTCGTTGGAGTGGTGGTCAATCTTGATAATTTGGCAGGTTACATTCTCAGTGCGATTGCAGTTTTCTGGTGCACATTTTCGGCATCCGGGTTCTTTGTTGCAGTTATGAAACTCCACAATGTCCGTCCTTTGATTGCATACCCATTGGCTTTATTTTACTCTGTGTTTGCATTAATGGCCATATTTGTGGAAAAGACAGATTTAGGTATTTAATAAATTCGCACCGTAAAACTCAAAAACTAAATGTCCACCTTGCGACGATTTGCTAGCTCCGTCGCTTCAAAACCTTATTATATCACCAGCCCAATCTTCTACGTCAATGCCAAACCACATCTAGGCCATCTCTACTCGATGCACTTGTGTGATACTCGGAGTAGATGGGAAAAACTTAAAAACAAAGAGTCATTCTTTGTGACTGGAACCGACGAACATGGCCTTAAAATTCAAGCCGTAGCCGAGAAAAGAGGCATATCTCCCAAGACATTGGTGGACGAGGTGTCGTTAAACTTTAAGCATCTAGCTGAAAAATTTGATATCCAATACGACAGATTTATTCGAACTACTGATGGTGATCATATAGAGTCTGTGAAACATTTTTGGAAAACAATGAACGAACGAGGGCTTATATACAAGGGAACACACAGCGGATGGTATGCTGTAAGTGACGAGACGTTTTATCCTGAATCTCAAATTGAAAAAGTTACTGATTCCAACGGCATCTCAAAGATGATATCGAAAGAGACGAAAAATGAAGTAATTTTTCATGAGGAGTCCAACTATTTCTTCCGTCTCTCAAAGTTTCGGGACCGTTTAATAAACTACTTGAAAGAAAACCCCCAATTGATCACTCCCAAGAACAAATACGACTCCATCTTGGCAGAATTAGAAGGTGAGAAATTAGAAGATTTGTCAATCTCGAGACCCTCATCTCGCTTGCTGTGGGGTATTGAAGTTCCTGGCGACGACACCCAAAGGATTTACGTCTGGTTTGATGCTTTGATAAACTATATCACTGCTGCAGGCTACCCCAAATCACTCAATGCTCCTACTTCTCCATGGCCAGCCGTCCATGTGATTGGAAAGGATATCGCCCGCTTCCACTGCATCTACTGGCCCATCTTTCTCATGGCTGCCGACCTTCCTTTACCAAAGCAAATAGTTATACATTCGCATTGGCTTTGCGACGGATTCAAAATGAGCAAAAGTTTGGGTAATGTTGTCGATCCTCTAGACACACTTGACTACTACGGCCAAGATGCTTGTCGGTTTTTTTTGAGTGAATATTCAAACATTGAGTCGGACTCCAACTACAGCGAAAGAGAGTTTCATTTCACCAGAGAAAATCTCATTGGAAAATACGCCAACCTCGTCACAAGGTGCGGAGGACCATCATTCGACATTGAAGAAAGCGTTGCAATGCTGAAAGAGGGCTCATTCGACAAAATTGAAAGCTTTTGGGAAGATTGTCCGTACGAAAATCCAGCTGCAGTAAAAGATGCTGCTGGTAAACTTAGAGCTTGTCTCGATAACTTGTATCCTGCTATGGATACTCATTTGGAGAACTTTGACCACATGAAAGCAACTCAAGTTTGGTGGGAAGCAATAGAAGCAGGCAACCAATTGTTTCAACTTGGCCAGCCTTGGATTTTTACCAAGGAAATGAAAAACGAAAATTTGCAACCTGAGAAAAGAGAAACGTCCAAACTAGTTCAGAGTTTCCTTGTGTATATGGCTGCGGAGACATGTCGTATCGGTTCCATTTTAATGGGTCCAATCATGCCCCATCTCTCACACAAAATTCTCGACCGTTTGGGTGTTTCTATGCAGAAAAGAACAGCCCAGTATGCCAGCGTTGGCCAAGACTCTACCTACGGTCACGGTGCGAACGATAAAGGTAAAAAGTTGCCAATAGAAAGGATAAAGATGAGAGAATCCATGTAAATAGCGTCAATGAATATACTGCATATAAAACACTCGACTGGTGTATTGTTGATTTCAATTTTGATCCAAGTGTTGCAACTATGAGCAAAATGGCTGCAAATTTGAGGTTGCGAGCTGCCGGTTCTCTTATCAAGATGGCTAGAAGCTCCAAAAGACAATGTAGTTACTTTCGTTTATTTTGGCAGATTTTTGATCCAGAGCCAAGCAGGTCACTCCTGCCACCTGTCAGAGCATAAACCGAAATTTTTGAACCCAAAAGTTCGCTACATGCTACACTATTGTCAATTCGTTCTACACAAAATCATTAAGTGGAGCGGGAAAAGCCAGCGCGTTTTCGCTTCTGCCTAACATTTTCCGGCATACAACCTAGAATCAGTGCGATTCTGAGCTCGAAGAATACCCGGCTAGTATATACTCCAATACCTAAGAAGTTGTATCTCAACAAATTCGTCACGATACTACTTACTTTTGCATTAAGGGCCTCAGAAAGACCAGAGTGATACCCCTAAAGCATCAGGACTAATAAATTCTATTTTGGCGAGAAGTTGAGTAACGACTTCTTCACCCACAATCAAATTCTGTTGTCTATCAGCAGTTTCCTGCTTTGCTGATAAGCTTGCCCCGATTCAACTGCTATTACTAAGAGCTTCGGCTCTCTTATTACCATTCTTGTGACTCTCAATTACGACCCTCAAAAATACAAAGACATGTCCAGGCGCCGAAATGGACGCCAGTTACTGGGCAGCGAGTCTGATTCAGAAGGGTATAACATGCGTCCCAGACGAGCCATTCGATACGAAGAGTCTCTGCTGAATGAGGATTTAGAAGGTGAGATTGACGCTCCAAAAAGAACCACCAGACGAGCCCGACTGAGAGTAAAAGACGACGATGATGAAGTCGAGGATGAAGAGCTTTCAGCATTGGATGACGAGATTCTGGGTGTGAAGCCAGTAAGACGCTCAAAGCGCGGTAAAGTTGAAGAACCAGACGATTCGGACTTTCATTCATCAGATGAAATATCGGAAATTTCTGATGATTTTCTTCAACGAGAACAAGAAAATGCATTTGTGGCTTCTGACGACGATGGTGCCGACTATGGGTACGGAAAACGCAGAAAACGAAGAAAAACAGCATCCCGTTCCAAGTCTGGAACCCCAGAGACAAGAGGCAGAAGACGCCAATTACGATCTGCAAAAGTGTCGGATCTGGACTCCGACGCCAACATCGAGGATTCACCGGTTGAAGAAGATGACACAATTAGGGAGGAGATAAACGACCTCTTTGATTCTCCGGAAGCATCACCAGTTCGTCACAACTTGCGTCAGAGACAAGTGAAAGTGGATTACACTATTCCTCCACCAATTACGAATGATGCTGAGCTTGCAAATCTCTCCGCTCTGCCAGAAAGAGGCAGACCAAGACGTCAGAACATCAACAAAAATGAGTACCGAAAACTACTTTTTCCAACTGCTGGCCCCTTTGGTGGAAGTGATGTTGTACCTTTGTTTGGCAAAGGTGTTTCTGGTTCCACTGGCCTTCAAGGAAATATACCAATAGGGCAGATGTCCGACTCCGACTCTTCAGACGATGAAATAAAACCTATTAATGGCACAAATTCGGGACATTCATCATCACTCATAAATAATACCAAGCTAATCACCGGTGGTACTAACGAGGCTAAAGGTGCTAAGAAGAACAATTTAAGTGATACGGATCCTCTCGGTGTCGACATGAATATAGACTTTTCAGCCGTTGGTGGTTTGGATAGCTATATTGACCAGCTCAAAGAAATGGTCACCCTTCCTCTCCTCTACCCAGAGTTATATCAGAATTTCAACATCTCGCCTCCTAGGGGTGTCTTGTTTCATGGACCACCGGGAACAGGAAAGACATTGATGGCGAGAGCCCTAGCTGCAACTTGCTCGACTTCCACACGAAAAATTACATTCTTCATGAGAAAAGGTGCCGATGCATTAAGTAAATGGGTTGGTGAGGCAGAACGTCAACTTCGTTTGCTCTTTGAAGAAGCAAAAAAGCAACAGCCATCGATCATTTTCTTTGATGAGATTGATGGTTTAGCACCAGTACGGTCCTCCAAGCAAGAGCAGATTCACGCAAGTATTGTTTCTACTTTACTTGCTTTGATGGATGGTATGGATAATCGAGGTCAGGTTATTGTTATAGGAGCGACAAATCGTCCTGATTCTATAGACCCTGCTTTGAGGAGACCTGGACGTTTTGACAGAGAGTTCTACTTCCCGCTTCCCGACGAGAAAGCTAGAGCACAGATATTACGGATTCAAACGAAGAAATGGAATCCGCCGTTGTCTGATGAATTCATCAATAAAGTTGCCGGTCTTACAAAGGGCTATGGGGGAGCTGATTTACGAGCTTTGTGTGTGGAAGCTTCCTTGATGAGTATACAAAGAAAGTATCCCCAGATATACCAAACTTCTGATAAACTTCAGGTTGATCCATCAAAGGTAAAAGTTGTTGCCAAAGACTTTATGAAAGCGATAGATAAAATTGTTCCATCGAGTGCCCGGCTGACAGCATCCGGTTCAGCGCCTTTGCCAGATAATTTACTTCCTTTGTTGGAAGGTACATTCAATGAAATCAAGTCAAAATTGGAAGTTTTGCTTCCAGATGCTTCGGCGCTGAGGTCAAACAAAAAGACGGATCTTGAAGAAGCAATGTACCTAGACCCTACTGTGAACGATGAAGACGGAGGATTTGGGCGGCAGAACCTTTTGAAGAACCTTGAAGACTCCCGAATTTGCAAGCCTCATTTGTTGATCAGTGGACTACCCGGAAATGGCCAACAGTACCTTGGCCCAGCAATTCTAAATCACTTAGAAGGCTTTCAAATACAGCTTTTAGATTTGGGAACCGTTTTTGGTGATGTTACTCGAACCCCAGAACTGGCAATTGTTCAGGCATTTATCGAAGCAAGAAGACATCAGCCATCCATATTGTTTTTACCTAACATTGATGTATGGTATCTGGTTATGCCATATTCTGCCAGAGCGACTTTGGCAAGTTTGCTTAGAGGCCTTAAAAGCACGGAGAAAGTTTTACTATTGGGGATTTCCGAAACTCCCAGCTCGGAACTCGATCACGATATCAATTTGATATTTGGTTTTGAGAGCCCTCAAAACAATGTACATATTGACGTTCCATCGAGAGAATCAAGAATTCGCTTTTTCAAAATCTTGAAAGAAGCGATTAAGATGCGCCCATTCGAGTTCATTAATGATTTTGAAAATCGCCCAAAGAGAAAATTGAAAAAGCTCAAAGTTGTCAGCACAGAAAGCAATGTGAGCAATGATGTTATCGACAAGAAGAGGTCCCGACAGATAGAATATGAAGATACAAAGTTGAAAAACTTGTTGAAAATCAAGTTGGCTGGTTTGATGGATTTGTTCAAAACGAGATACAAGCGATTCAGAAAGCCGATAATTGATGAGAATCTTTTGTATCATTTGTTCGAACCTTCAGTTTTGGAAGATACTACGACCCCGTATGAAGTCTTATACACGAGATCCGAAGATCCAGAACACGAAAACATGATTCGAGAAGTTAGTACTGGAAGGTACTATTACAATATGGATCTTGACATAATAGAAGAACGTCTCTGGAACGGATACTATTCGGAACCGAAGCAGTTTGTGAAAGACATCCGTATGATTCTCAAGGACTCCATAACGTCAGAGGACCGTGAGAGACTGTTAAAAGCAAATGAAATGTTGACCAATGCTGAGGTTGCCATTGATGAGTTTAGTACTCCAGATTTCTTGGCTTCATGCAAAGAAATGAGAGAAAGGGAAAAGCAAAAGCAAGAGAGAATGGCTAAAGAGTATGAGGCCAAAGAAGAGGAAAATTTGAAAGAGATCAATAAGGAGATACCAAATGGAGAAAGTGAACCACATGACTCAACAAAAGAAGAGAGTGATGTGGTGAATGAGACAGAGAAAACGGTCAATGGAGAAGCCGAGAAAGAAGACGTATCGAAAGAAGTTCCAGAAGCAGGAGTGTCAAAAGAGGCTGAACTTTCCGAAGAAGTTCAAGAGAAGCAATTGCCTAATGTCAATAATGGCGATACCAAAGAAACTGAACCAGATGTGGTAATGGAAGCCACCAATAAAGACGACGAAGAAGAAACATCAGCGTCTGAAGCAGAGGAGGAAATCTTCAACGACGAGCTGCGTCAAGTCGAAGTAGGGTCAAATTTTGACGATTTCTTTGAAAATGAGTTGCCCAATGTCACAGAGAATTTCAGTGTTGAGAAGCTTGAGCTCTTAAATGCTCGACTCATGGACATCATATGGAACTCTCGAAAAGAATGGGACAAGACGTCTACAATGGACAATCTTGCTGCGACTGCCAAACGGTTTGCGTAGCTACAGTGTAACAATTATGTACGTAGATTCTAATATTATACAGCATCTTTTTTGCCTAGTCTTCAGCACTGCCATCTCTTGGTCTATAGATTACATTTTGTTCAGCCAAGTCACTGATTATATGAGGTGGAAGTTTACCAGTCACCTTCACAGCGTACAATCCAGGGACAAACGAGTCTATTCTTAGCCACCTGGCCACCCATGATTTCTTGTTATCGTCACCTAAAGCCACCAAACCTTCGAAAGAAGGCGATGTACAATCTTGGACTTGGTTGTCTTCATTATCCTGATAATGTAAGACACTTTCACAGTTGGGACACCCACGATCAATAAAGTGCCTGAAAGGCTGTATTATCCCACAGAGCATACATGCTCTATCTGACCTTGACGACATTCTTTAGTTGGTGAATTCGCTGGTGAATTTCGCTGGTGAAAGTTCGCTGGAGTTGAGAAAATCAAAATTGTCGCACAAACTTTTGATTCTTGCATGGCAATATAGAACTAATGTTCCGTTCCAAAATCGCAGTAGGAACGGGAATTTCTCGCAAAGCAACACGAATAGCTTCCAAGAGAACACTTTATGACTTACCTCTGGTTGTGGATGGGTTAACGACATCATTACAAACTATTCATGGTTATACGGGGCTTCCATGGTGGGCATTTATTCCCATAACGACGTTTTCAATACGTGCTGCTATCACATTACCATTGGCTATTATTCAGAGGAAAAGAATTGCTAAGCAGAGTAAACTTAGACCGCTTGTGAGTGCAACTACACCAGTTTTAAAACTTAATTTAGCTAAAAAAGTGCAAAAGGCTCAAAAGGAAATAGAAAGAGCGGATGCAGTTCTGAACCCATCAGTAATACTCCTGAAAAGTCCGTTATCATCTATGAAATATGAAGAGATACTATTGCTCGCAGCAAAGGAAACTCGCAAAAGACAGAAAGCTCTTTTCAAACGTCATGGTGTTCAAATCTGGAAAAACTTTACGCTTCCAGCAATTCAGATTCCGTTGTGGGTCGGAATGTCGTTGTCCATGCGTAATTTGAGTGGCTGGTCGACGTGGGATGTGTTGAAAAACCAGGCTCTTGATCCGTCATTATATACCGAAGGAGCATTGTGGTTCACTGATCTCACCTGTTCTGATCCCATGCATGTATTCCCACTTGTGTTGGGAGTCATATCTCTATGCAATGTGGAATGGACATTCAAAACTATCCAGCTTCTGATAATTAGCCGCAAACGAGCTTTCAGATCGTCGCTTACTGACGCTATGGCCAATGTTTCTCGTATGGCAGTCGTGTTCATGATGGCCATTTCCTTGCATGCACCGGTATCCCTAGTGTTATACTGGTTTAGCTCTCAGCTATTTTCATTGATTCAAAATATCATTATGGATGTGACAATGCCAATAAGTTTCACTCCAAACAAACGCTTCAACTACAAAACATCTAAAGGTCAAGACTCATTGCCAATAGTCAAGCCATTGCTTTAACTTATCATAAAAAATGTACATAGCTACGCCCGTAACACCGCGAAATACCCCAGATTTCCTATTTCAGACCTTCAAGGTTCAGCTATGCAAGATATCGATTACGTTGTAGAAGCTTCCCACGCTCTCTATGACACAATTACTGAAGAATTGTCACTACAAAGCACTAAAAAGTACAACAATGACTCCATGACCCTAGCACAACTCGATGATTGGCGAAGAAACAAATTGCCAGATATATTGAAAGATCGTTACCAGCGACAAAATAGTTGCTGGCTCCAGAAAGAAGAGCTTGTTCTACTCATGGACTGGAAATTGACCAAGGGAAAATATCGTCCTACCCTTCCAAGCTTGATAAAATCAAACTCTGATGATTCAGTAGTAGAAATTACCAAGGAAGGATTTCATATATTACTCTCATATGTTGAGAAAATTGAAGTTGACCAATTTTGGAAAAACCTCGAAGCAGACTCGAAAAAAGAGTATTTGGAGATAGTAAAGAAAGCATGTGACCAGTTTTGCAAGTTACGAGGCGTGGGTCCTGCTACAGCAAGTTTAATTTGCTCACTTACTACCAATATTAATGAAGTGTTAGCACCACCTTTTTTCAGCGATGAGAGCTTTATGTTCTATATATTGGAGCCTTTGCGGCCCGAAACAAAGATAAAGTACAACATCAAAGAGTATATTGAAGAGTTGGTTTCGTTGTACGCCGATATTTTGAAAACCAGAACCCACGTGAAATCTATGAATGTCTTGGAAAATGGAGGTTGGAGCCTCAAGATGCATGATATCTACAAATTCGACAAACTCAGCAATGTGAAATTACCCTCCAAGCTCGAAAAAGCACCGGGCAAGTTTCCATCTCTGGAAATAACTCGGCTCACAATTGAGACGTCTCGTAAGAAACGCAAACTCAACTAAAGGTTGATTAGGTCGTCTTCAAAATTGATCATCTGGAACCTCTTGTCGTCAAGGCTGGTTGCCAATGAATGGATTTGGGTGTGTACATCACGGCATAAAGCTTCCAATCTCGATATGTGATCAACATTGGCATCACCGACACAACTCTGAACTAGATAGTCATTTACTTTCCAAGCTAATTGACGCAAATTTTCCGTGTAATTTCCAATCATATCTCTATAGTCATCGTTGGCTTCGTAAGGTTTGTGGATTTCCAACAATAGAAGGTTTGACGCTTTCATGACTTGTTGTCTTTGTTTAAAATCAGATGTGGTGAGATCTGTGAGCAATGATTGTCCAAACTTTAGGACGTTCTCCCATCCTTGCTTAAGGGCAACCAGAGAATGGTTCTGGAACGAGAACTCGTCAGCACCATATTCCAATTTCTTATTGAGGACCGACTTTATGTGATGCTTGTACTTCGTGAATCTGATTTCAAAGAAAAGGGCTGACGATGCAAATTTGCTTTCTCTGAAGATCTCGAGAAGCAGAGAAATTACCTCTAGTGCTTCATCAAATCGGGATTCCAATAAAAGGTTTCTGATAATCTTACGAGCCTGCGCTTTTGATTTTTCGATGAATTCCTTCTCATTGTCAGTTATCCAAGGAGCCAAATTTGATTTTTTATCATCTGAACCACGAATATCGTTTTCGAATGCTGCTAATGTATCCAAGTAGGCACCTTGAGCCAAATATGATTTTATGATAGTGTTGAGCGATTTGTCATCATAAGGTTCCAGATACAAATATCCTGATGATAATTTATCCTGCCCGTTCAGCCTTAACTCTTGAGATAGACGATCCAAAACTTGTTCGTTTTGCTGCTTGAGATGCAGACTATAATTGTTTATATCAAACTTGAAAGGTGCCAGCCCAAAGTTTGTTGTAATTGAAACAGATGTAGGAGCCCCCTCTGGCTGGGTTTCTTTTAGGTTAGCTACCGAAAACCCAAAAATAGGGTACAAGTCAACCTTTTCCACCTGTTTGAGTGGATTGTATGTGGATAATTGGCTTTCCTCAAAATCTTTCACTCGAATGCCGTTAAAAGTGATGAAAACGGTCTTGGTGATAAAATTGACACCACATCCGATTGTATCAGTCTTGTAGACTTTAGATGACTTTCCATCCTCGATTGTGAAACCACTCGATATCATTTCCAAATGCGTCCTTCCTCCATCGCTCTCCTCGGCAAGCTGGCGATGCAACGGCGAGAGTCTGCGATTCATAGCAAGAACAGACGACCGAGGGTTCTGAGGGTTACTGCTTGAATCGTGGAAACTTCTGTCTTCAAAGTTAATTGCAAATGTTCCTTGAGTAACTCCTGGTCTCATGGAAGACATCCAATTAAGGCCACTTAAAAGAGAGTTTTGTTTCAGGGGACTGAAGACCCGAAGTTTCTGAAGCACTTCGGATATATCAATTCTCTCTCCTTCAAACCCGTTTGAATTACGAGTGGTTTTATCAGACTCCAAAATGGGAGCCTCACATGTGTACCCCATGGAAAATGACATGGTGGGTGAAGAGGCCGAATCTATTATTGGAATAATAGGTTTGAAGTTGGACGAGCTATTGCATTCTTGCGTCACCTGAACTTCGTAATAGAAGAGACCGAGTCTGGAGTCTATTAAACGATTTCCAATAAAGTTGAAATACAGGTTCGTCGAGTCCAGTGCGGCTAGTGCGGTAGGAACATAGTTCTTGGTAGTAAGGTTAATGACATTGGAAGCGGGACCAGACACCAGCAATCCAAACGATTCGGATAACTTGGCTATATCTTGTGATGAGCAGAGTGGAATCCAGCGACTAGGAATCAATTCATCGACTTCAGATTGAGCAGGGAAAAATCGTCTAAATTTTTCAAGTCTTGCAGCTAAAAGCAAGGATTTTAATGAAAGTTTCCCCAAATCCACTTCATCATCGTGACTCACATGGAATGCACTCTGGCTCATGTAGATTTCTCCAATTCTATCAGAACTGAACAGGGGTCTTTTTGGTGCCGCATCCGACGACCCATCGCCATTATTGTCATTTTTAGTTTCTTCATTATCTTCTTCAGCCAACTGGTCCTTGACCACACTGTATAATTCAACCAACCGCTGCTTGTCAATCTGATATTCTTGGTGTGCTAACTCCGGAGAAATTTCATGGCGATACGAGTCCATTTCCAGTTTAAAAGGCGTGTCTCCAAGAAGATCAAACGCCGCAAGCTTGTACTTGAGTTTCTTTTCAATCATCTTATCCAAAGCTTCATTTTCACTGAATACATGTTGAGGATTTTCATTAGTTATGCTCAAATTAATTGTATTAGCCGATGGTGATGTTTTCGAGTTTCTGTGGTTAGCCACATACTCAGATCCTAGCGTGGTGTTCAAAAGGTACTGAGGAACCATGTTGCACAAAGTTGCAACGGGAGAACTACAAGCTTCCGCGGAGTATAAGCACTAGATACCCCAAACCCGCTGACATAAGCGGCATTTTTCTCATTCTACAGAGTTTGGGCAGAGCTGTGGTAACATGACCGACGCTATAGTAGCTGATGCGCAGAGGTATTTACACAATATACCGCTCGAGGTAGTATCGCAAGGTGCAGAGGCACTTGTATTTTCAACAGATGTGCATCCATACTTGTCCAAAGCGGACCAAAAATCATCCATAATCAAGTATCGGCCTCCCAAGCCTTATCGTCATCCCAAGATAGATGCTTCTCTTACACGGTCTCGTACTATTGGAGAGGCCAAGTTTATGGCGAGACTAGCCAAATTGGGTCTCAATTGCCCGGGATTGATCCTGGTGGACGTAAGTCATGGTATAATATGGATGGAGTTTATAGGCACCAAGTTGGCCAATGGCAGTATAAGCTCTCTTAAAAACTGGTTATGGATATTGGAAAAGACTGGAAACAAGGGCAAGTGTGAGTCGCTGGATGTGGAGATAATTATGAATTCCGTTGGTGAATTAATAGGACGGTTGCATTTGAACGACATGATACATGGCGATCTTACTTCGTCCAACATAATTTTAATTGACGACCAAACCCAAGCCTCGTTAATAGACTTTGGCTTATCGTCATATTCTGGTCTTGCCGAGGATAAAGCAGTTGACTTGTACGTTTTGGAGCGGGCCATCATGAGCACTCATTCTTTATACGCTGAAAAGTACAACAAATGGCTTCTTTCTGGCTACGAAAACGCACATAAAAACGCTGGAAAGCGAGGGAGCACTAAATTGACGGAAACCATCAAAAAGCTCGAAGATGTACGTCTACGTGGTAGAAAGAGAAGCATGCTTGGTTAAGTTGTTCCTGCATACGTTCTCTATATATCTCCATAGAATTTTTTCATGTCTTTAATGCTCCTTAGTAGGTTTCGAAGCAACCTTTCAAGAGGGAGTCGGCAGTACTCGCAGTACGCTGCAAATAACCAGATCTACATTCATGAAAACCTAGGTTCGCAACTTTTCAATGTTTCTCTTTCACCAAGCAAATCGGCTATTCCCATGGGGTACAGCAAATCAAGCACTTTGGTAACTCCACAAGAGTTCAAGTCCAATGGAGAATTTGTCGAGTTGTTGCACAAAACCATATCAGAACAAGTATTTGACGATTTTCTGTTTATCATGGAAGCAGGAGTCAATGCAAACTCGTTCATGCCAATTTACGATTTTAGAGAGGTTCCTCGTCATGGACGAACCCCAGAGGTAGACAGTATTTTGGGGTATGTGCAGGTTGGTGGTGATGGGAAAATGATCAAGCCTAGTTATGAAGCCAACTCCATGTATCGTTTATGCAACGGCGCGGGCTTGTTGCGGCTCAGCGACCATCTCTACGAAAAGGTACGCGAGGCTTGTGAACGGAAATGAGGGTGCCGCGAACGGCTGAACCTTGATAAGAAATTAACATGATTGCGAATATTTCGCAAATATTTCGTTGCAATATTTCGTCGGAATATTTCCGTGATCACGATGCGATTTTGGTTATCTGTCCACTATCGGGGTTTATCCCCTCTTCTGGGCGTGGCCGGTACGCATTTCGCTGATCACTGACAATAGTCATGCACTCCCTACGTAAATTATTATTGTAGGTGTGGCTTAAGTAGCGTAAAACCACGAGAACAAGTAAACAACGAATGCATGTGGCAATGACGAATGCTAAGAATTGACAAGTTCGTAATTCTAATATAGGTTCGCGCTGCATAATCATGCGGCTGAACACCAATGCGGGATACAATATCTCCAAGAATACATGACTTGGCGACGATTTATTTTCGCATCCGCATAAAAAGTATGACGGTCAGACAATGTAATCGAATAGTTGCGTAATTCTGCACTGCCGACCCGTGGACCCTGCTGCAATATTGCTCCCCTCTCGTCACGATGTGCCTGGTTTGAAATCGTGCATGGTCAGTATATGCACAGCCGCACCGTGCTCTTAACCCCAATCTTAGTCACTTACTTTCCGAAAACCGGGTTTGCAAAATTATTGCATGTGGTATAAAATGGCGGCCATTCCCCACCGATAATTTCTCAGATAAATTAATAAGGTACGTAGGCCTGAATTGGAGCAGTTGCAATTTGTGAGCTAATGTGAGATAATGTGAGATAATGCGAGCTCATCGTGAACCACTAGACTAATTGAGCCACTGGTTTACGAAAACGGCTAGTCTGGGCCCAGTATTATTTGAGAGAACATTCGAATGTTTGGCTTTTTTTGATTACACATCTTTGCAACGCGTGCTGCAAAACCGGGTTCCTAACCAGACCCCTGCGCAGATTTATTAACCCAGAATTCCCTTTATTCAATAATGTTGAACAACTCTTTTGCCCCCAGTGGATTACTTGCACTCATAGTCAGAGGCATCCAATTGGTATTCTCCATCATCGGCCTTGGTGTATCTGCAGGTGCGGTACATCAATATGGATCATGGGATAGAGGTAACTTTGCTGTTGCCGCGTCGGTGATCTCGTTTGTATATTTATTGGTGACGATATTTGCGTTCCAATTCATTTCACCGCTTGTTTCACTTGTGGCGGAAATCATCTTGATGATTTTCTGGTTGGCAGCATTTGCAGCCGTTGCTGATGTGTTTGGCTCCGCTTCGTGTAACTACACAGTTTACTCATATTCTTTCCACAGCACCGGTTGCCGCTTGAGTAAGACCTTCATCGCTTTTGGTGTTCTCAACTGGGTCTTGTTCCTTATTTCTTTGGGCTTGCTCATTTGGTTTACGATCATTCCCGTTTACAAGGCTGGTGGATTCAACTTATTGAACCAAATAAAGTCCTTGAGTAGGGGAGCTTTGTTTGCTAACTTCATCCCAGCTACTGGTTCCAAAGACCTCGAAGCTGGTAACGGTGTTTCGCAGGATGTCACCAGTGGTGTGGACAGCGTGCCCGAAGACAAGACCGAGGCGGTGGACCCTGAGCCTACCGTCGAAGGCGCTGGCGAAGGCACTGTAGAGAGTCCCACAGTCCCAGCTACCCAGCCACATTCGGCTATCCACTAATTCTACTATTTATAGCTATTCAATGCTAAGCGAGGCAGATATACTAATACCACAATGCTAATCAGTGTCTATTTTGAAGATTTCTTTTAATGTTTATGACAATCGTTATGACAGAAGGGTGATGGAAAATGGATCGTCACAATTGCCATTCAAGGTGATTGGTACTTGAGCAGTGCTACCAGAGCCAGTTTGACGGTCGGTATCAAGACACCATTGGGACTTTCCACCGTAAGAAATCTTGTTATCAGAATCGACTTGGAACTGAAATTTTGAAGCTTGGTTGGATCCATTACAGTTGAAGTCTCCATTACTGTCAATACCACAGTATCCCTTAGAGGACTTGATAGTTGAACCCCCAAACTCCAGTTTAGCAATTTGGTAGGTAGCACAAGTTCCAGATGTATAGTATTTACCGTTGGAGATAAGACATCCAGGTTTATCCAGGAGCTTAATGTAGCCCTTAGAGGAGTCACCACCTCCTGGAGGGTTTGGAGGAGCGTTGGAGCCACTTTTAAGCAAAAACTTGATTCCTGAGTCTGGGCATCTGGCGCTGGAAAGGGTGTCCATTGGCTTGAAATTTTGTCCCCGAAGCGAGCCTTGAAGGTGATGGAAGTACCATACTTCTTGAAGGGCCTGGTTATTGTCACATTTGAAGTAGACTTGTTTTCCAGAAAAGTTGTCACTTAATGCTTTCGCAATTTGGCTCTTGGTATAGGTTTTGGAGTTGCTAGGAGTAATACCAGCATCGGTCAAAAACTTGTAGGTTGGCAACTTTTCGTAGAGATCAACAGCAATGCGAAAGTAATCATAGATGTTCTCGTCTGACTTGTAGTTTGAATAACACTTTGGTCTAATTGTGTTGATACAAGTTCCGTGTTTGTTAAATTCATGTAGCCACAAAGAATCGTCATTTCCATTGTTGCTTTTCCATGTTTTCGACATGGTGTTGTACAAGTCGGGATCATTGAACTCATTCTTGACAATATTCTCGATACTTCCTTGAATTTCGAGAGAATTGTCACAGAATTGAGCATAAGTACCATCACAGTTATCTGGCCAAAGTCCATGCAAAGTCCATTCATCGTCGGCACCCACGGCTGGATTGTAGTCCCAGAACTGGGTCTGCAAAAGAACACCTCCAGGAGCTTCAAAGCAACACGTGTCGGCTACCGGGGTCGAATTGGTACAAGAAAGTGGAAGATTTGAAGGACAAGAAGAACCGTCACGAGCAAAAACACCATCATCCAAGTTCAACGGTCCTATATAGAATGCTGCTGAGACCGGTAAGGTCGCCAAAAGTTTCAAAAGCATGACAAATTGCAAAGACTTGAGTGGTTTAAATGGCTGTCAATTCTGCTGTCAAAATTGAGAAACCGTTCTTATCGCGACTATTTATAGTGCGGAGTGCAGGAGCCTTCTATGCATAAGGCACCTTAATTGAAACGTGGGCAACAATACCAACGGCCAAGACGGCCCAGTGCTCGGGTCCATGCAGCGCAATTGCTGAGAAAACTCTAAATTCTACACGTTTTCCGTTGAGGAATCCTTTATTATGGAATCTACCTGTCTCTTTTAACCCACCCAAATAAAATAAAAAAAAAGAATGAACCAGTCGTAACTCGTTACCCATTAATGCAGTTGATGCATGTAAAATCAAATATACCAAAAACCCTGGTTTAAAAAAAACCAGTGCGAGGAAAAGATCTTAGGTAGAACAAAGTACTGCAATTAGTACTTGTAAATGTCAGCCTTGAATGGACCTTCCTTTGGCAAACCCAAGTACTCGGCTTGAACATCGCTCAAGACAGACAACTTGGCACCCAAGTGGTCCAAGTGGCACTTGGCAACCTGCTCATCCAAGATCTTTGGCAACAAGTGCACACCGAGGTCAAACTTGTTGATCTTGGCGAACTCGGGGAACTTGGCCTTGAATTCCTTGTCCTCGGATCTGAACAAAGCGATTTGAGCCAATACCTGGTTGGAGAAAGAACAAGACATGACGAACGAGGAGTGACCAGTGGCACATCCCAAGTTGACCAATCTACCCTCGGCCAACAAGATAATGTGACGACCGTTCTTCATCAAGAATCTGTCGACTTGAGGCTTGATGTTGACAACAGATTTGGCGTTAGCCTTCAACCAAGCGACGTCAATTTCGATGTCAAAGTGACCAATGTTACAAACAATGGCGTCTTCTGGCATTTGTTCAAAGTGGACACCGGTAAGAATGTCACGACAACCAGTGGTGGTGACGAAAATTTGACCAATGGAAGCAACTTCTTCCATAGGGCAAACTTGGTAACCGGAAACAGCAGCTTGAAGAGCATTGATAGGGTCGATCTCGGTGACGATAACTCTGGCTCCCATACCTCTCAAGGCCATAGCACATCCCTTACCAACGTCACCGAAACCAGCAACAACGGCAACCTTACCGGCGATCATCACATCGGTGGCTCTCTTAATACCGTCAATCAACGACTCTCTGCATCCGTACAAGTTGTCGAACTTGGACTTGGTAACGGAATCGTTAACATTGATGGCAGGAACCTTCAACTTACCGTCTCTCAACATCTTGTACAAGTGGTGGACACCGGTGGTGGTTTCCTCAGACAAACCGTAACAGTCATCCAACATCTCAGGGTACTTGTCGTGAACCAAAGAGGTCAAGTCTCCACCATCGTCCAAAATCAAGTTCAACTTCTTGTTGTCCTTGAAAGCGAACAATTGTTGTTCAATACACCACAAGTACTCCTCATCGGTCTCACCCTTCCATGCGAACACGGGGACACCAGCAGCAGCAATGGCAGCAGCAGCGTGGTCCTGGGTCGAGAAAATGTTACAAGAAGACCAGGTGACCTCAGCACCGAGCTCAACCAAAGTCTCAATCAAAACTGCGGTTTGAATCGTCATGTGCAAACAACCGGCGATTCTAGCACCCTTCAAAGGTTTGAGAGCACCGTAACGTTTTCTAATGTCCATCAAACCGGGCATTTCGTTCTCGGACAATTCGATATCCTTTCTGCCGAAGGCAGCCAAGGAGATATCGGCGACTTTGTAATTGTTGGCTGGAGCAGACATTTTCGTGATGAACAACGAGAAATTTTTCGCACCTTTTTATACTACGCGTGCACCCACCACACCAGTACTGACAATTGTTCGTACCAGAAAACGTGGGTACGACGAGGAGATGGGGGGTCGTTAAATATTGTCAGTATATACTCGGAGATTAAATTTCGAACTTGAGCCAATCGAGGTCCTTGAGTTCTTGTCCGCTTGGATCATTAGGGTGGCCATTGTTAACCCGAAGGCCGCTGGTCAATGTAGACTTTGTAGTGGGTAAATTCACCTCGTACTTGTTCCCCATACTGACCATGCTGGTATCCAAATCCAATAGTTCATCATCATGCAGTTGTAACAGCGTAAAATTCTTAAAGTAATCTTCGGTCTGGTCGTCTGGATCCTCCATTGGTATGCTTCGGAGAGCATCCATCTCGGCGTTTCCGATATTGTCCATATCTGAGGGAACAATGAAAGATTGACGGTGCAGATTGGTTATAGGACCACCAGCCTGTAAGCTTGAAAACGAAGAATGTGAGGTTATTGAGCCAGGTGTGTCGACTGGAGGATTCCTCAGAGCATCAAAGTAACTTCCAGTCAAGTCCTTCGCACTGCGTTGGTTCAAGAGATTGATGTTATTATAGGTGAGTGAACCACTACCGTTGCCCATTGTACTCAAACCGATATTGGATCCCTTTCTTTGGAACGATCGAGCTTGCATCGATGAACTAATGGATGGTGTGCGCTTGACGAGATTGTTACCATATGAACCCGGTGTGGGACCTCGGCGAACAGCATCATTATATTCGAATCCTATCTCGGACTTTTTCCGCTTGAACTGCTGATTGCTATTAGGGGTATTTGGGACAGTGAATCCAGATCCTCCTATGAAGGAAGCTGGACTGGCTGCGGCCAGAGAAGTTGAATTATGTGAACTGGGGATTGGAATGGATCTTAATGGTGTTCCGGATGGAGTCTTCAAAGACGAGGGAACTGAAGAAGGAGCAGAACCACCAGGAGGTTTGGGCAAGATCAATACGTTCTTGTACCTTGCATTTTGGCTGTTGTTGAGCGATGTAGATATTTGGTTTTTATCTTCCTCATAGGTTGGTCTAAATGATGTCTTGTCTTGAAAAGATCCGGGTCTCGAGGAATGATTGGAAGTAGGCATTTTCAGAACGCTGGTTTTTCGTGAACTACGTTTCTTGATGACATCAGTTTTTAGGCTTAACGGACGAGTGCTGCCATGTAACTTCAAGAAGAGACCACAAGCATTACACAATGTGTTGCCATCGGGATCTTTACGCCACAAGGGGGTGTTGGAAGTATTACAGTTGAAGCATTGAACTTTGGGGCCCGAGTCTTTTGGTTTTTTGTTTTTTTCCTTGGATAACGAAGATGTGAGGTTGGATTTTGTATGCTGTGGTGGGATATAGGACTGGAATTCCTGAGTATGGTTGGATTGTATTTGAAGGGGAGTCACGGTAGTTATGGGTTCCTTCTTTATTGTAGTCATATGGTCCTTCTGGATACTTTGGTTTGGGAGACTCGTATGCCACGAATTGTTCGTCCATCCATCACTTTTACTGGTTGCACTTGTTGGAGGAGAATCATTCACGCTTGCAGGGGTAATTTCAGTAATACCGTTGTTCTGTTGGTAGTTTTTAGGCTGTTTGGGAGCATAAGGCGGGCTACTCTTGATCTCGTCAATACTCAAAGGAGAGAGTAATTCGAGAACCCGATTGTTATTGCCATATAATTCGGAGGACATTAAGTTTTTTTGCATTCTAGAGTTTTCCTTGCGTAGATTGCGGTTTTCTACTCGTGGTTGGAGGGCAAGGAGCTTCTTGGCGGACTGGAACAACTGAACTATTGAAGGGGCAGTTTCAAAGTCGTTTCGAGAAGTCATCAGCAAAGAGAAAAGCACAGGCTCAACAAAGGAATGACAAGTGAACTTGGCTCTTTAAAGTTGACAAAGAAGTATCACCGGGTGGCCAAATTTTAGATATCAGAAGGGATGGTACCACAGGTGGTAATGAACACTTTCGATTGTTAGTAGCACTTGGAAGCTACAACGTTTCCACTTAGAGCGTGTTATAGCAATAGTTCACTTGGAGCACTTGGATGATGGCGAATGTGAAAAATATAAAGGTTTACTTCCAGCCAATTTATCAAGGAATTGCTGCGTTTGAGAAATTAACTTTACTGTGACGCAAAAAAATATGAAGAAAAGTCACGTGTGTATCTAGGCGGGGATCACTACATTCGGGCTTAGGATGCAATAGAAGATTCATTCTATTGTGTCTGACGTACTGTTTATCTTTTTTTCCGACACTCCATTGACCTGCCCATAAGTCATTTATGACCTTTTAAATTTCATATGTGATTGTATTCTATTACCTATTGTTCTATTCTTCTTCCTGCCTATGCTGCTTGTACCGTCTTCCATATTTTTCAGGCACTGGGTTGTTACTGTCTGCATGCATTCTGTACTCGAATGAAACTCCCTGTACCCTTTCGTTAGAGCCCGTATCAACTGTAAAGACGTCGTTGCTGCCGGTCATAATGAGGTCCACCTCTCGAACCACTCGAAGTATCAGATCGCAGATAATTCGTCTTGCTTGGAACGACGTCAATTTTTTCTTATCATCGTCGTCGGATGGTTTCTTTTTGTTGAAGTTCAAGTTTGCGTTCCAAATGCTAATGATGTCATCGTCTTTTCTCACACTCAAAACTAATCCAGTTATGTCATTAAGTAATATGTCTTGAACTTCCGGGGTGTAGTCACCGTCGGGAATGATAGATCCCGTCATCGTTTTGAGTAAAAGACGTTCCCAGATCAAACTGGACCGCTGTCTCAAACTTTTTATTGAATCAACATTGGTTTGTTCCGCGGGAAGGTTATAACGGCGATTGAACCGGAAAACCCAACGTCCTCCCTTGGCATTAATTGGGTCTTCCCACACGGGATTTATGCCGCTCTTGAAAACCAAAAGCTCGGTTCCTATGGGGAGATGGTATGTCTTTTTGATCGACGACAAACTCACCCATAATTGCTCGATCGATCCGATGCTGGTGACCAAATTGGACTTGTCAAGACTATTAACGTCCAAAAACTCGATTTCTTTGGTCAGATATAAATAGGTATCTACTCCAACCGGTGCTGGTGTTTCTTCCTTGGGATCTTCGTCGGTTTCCTTTTTTGGTTTCGACCGCGAATGGTACCATATGGTCCAACAATATGGCAATATATGATGGTCAGAAGGGATTTTTGCTATAGTATCGTCGGCAGCTTTAATGGGATCTTTCTTGGGAAGGGCAGCTGTTACATTGGAATTAGCATTGGATGTGCCCGATTGGGTCGAGTAATTGTAATGGTGATGACGATTGGTATTTTTATGAGACTTGTATTTATGGTGATGGTGACCAGACTGACGTCCTCCTCCGTTTCCATTGCCCCCAGTTGGTCCCTCGCCTGCTGTTCTTGTCAAAGAAGGATTACTGATGCTGGCATTCTGCTTCATGATCCTATTGAAAAGGGACTCAGCACGTTTCAAATTTTCAGACATGATCTATAGTTGTAAGTGAATGATAGTAAGGTTGTGAGGAAAAGATAAGCCAGGATGTGGCCGAATAGGGTGGGGAATAGTAGCCAATTTGTACAAGTTATGTGGAATGTTGGCGCGTAGATTCTTCAAATTTTTCGCTGTGCGGGTAACGGGTAGATTTTATAGGTAAGCCATAATGGATAGTGGGCACAAAAGTTATTTCAAAATATTGCTAGTGGTCATAGTATATTGCAAGTTTACTATTAGTGTATTGTTAGTGTATTGCCATAGTATATTGTAGTACTTATTCATATCCTCACCTAACCACGTCCGTAGTAGTGCAAGTATCCTCCCAAAGTTTTGCACCCATTGATATAGTTGCTTATATCCAACTTTTCGTTGATGGAATGGGCACCGTCATCACCTCTACCCATAGGAAGCAACAACACATCTGTCTTTAATTGCTGTTCGAAAGTTAAGGTGATTGGAATGGATCCACCTTCTCTAGTGAAATCCGGCTTGATGTTCCAAACGTGCTCAGTAGCTTTGGCAGCAGCGGTAAAAGCTTCGTTGAATGGATTGGAGACCCAGTAGTTTCCGTCGTGGATCAATTCGACCTTCAAAGTGTTGGGCGACTTCAATTCAGCGAATTTCTTGTTGACATAGTCGAATACAAGTTGGTCCAATTTGTGAGAATCGATATCTGGCACAGTTCTAATTGAAAATTTGCCGATAACCTTGGCAGGAATCACCGTCTTGGCACCAGCACCGTAAAAGGCACCTTCAATTCCATGTAAAGACAACGAGGGGTATCTCCATCTGTGCTTCAAAATATCTTCTTTCTTCTGGTGGAGAGCGGTATTGGAACCAGAAGCAGCATTGAGTTCTTCCACAGAAAAGTCAATGTCGGTATAAAGGGCATTTTCCTTGTCGGTGAGTGGTGCTACCATGTCCAACACTCCAGGAACCAAAATGTTACCGGCGGAATCGACCAATTGAGACATTACCTTTACCAAGTCAGTCATTGGCTCTGCGATAATTCCACCGAAAATTCCACTGTGCAAGTCAGCACCAGGTCCATTGACGGTGATTTGGTAGTAATTGCATCCTCGTAAACCGTAAGTCAACACAGGTTTACTAGTACCGAGCCAATAGTTGTCGGAAATACATACAGTGTCCACTTTGTTGAAGTACTGTTTGGCCTCGCGACCAATGAGTTCTTCCAATCCTAATGATCCACTCTCCTCCATACCTTCAAAGCACACCACCAAGTTGACGGGAAGCTCCCATTTCAACTCATTATGGGCTTCGATCACATTCAACCATCCGATCACTGGACCTTTGTCATCGGTGGATCCTCTTCCGTACAAGATGTCCTTCGTCTTGTCGTGAGTAAGCTCAAATGGTGGGGTGTTCCAGCCGTCTTCCAACAACGCTGGTTGCACGTCATAATGGCCATATACCAACACCGTCTTCTTCTTAGCATCATTTCCAAATCTGCCCAAAATGATAGGTGGAAGCTGTAAATTAGGATCTGCCACTGGAGGAGGCTGGGTACCCAATTCGCGAGACTGGATGTCATGGAAACCTAATTTTTTAAGCTCTTTAACGAGAAATTCACTCATGGCCACAACCTTAGGACGCAATGATTCATCACTGGAAACCGAAGGAATAGCAACAGCCTGGCGTAATCTCTCGATGAATTGAGGCTTGAGTTCATCGATCTTGTTGAAAAGGGGGTCGAGTTCTAATTTGTCTGACATTTTGTATAACCACAAAGTTACTAAATTAATTTTATGTTCCGGTGGGAATGTGGAGCCGCGCGGTGCATCGGGGTTTATAAGTGCCGTTTTAAAGTTTGGTGCCGCGGACGGCGTGGTTGCAGACCAGAGTAACCATGCAATGTCTCTGGACTCCGACGATGTTCTAGACATACTAGCTCCAAGCGGACATCGTAGGAAACACAAGCGGCCAAGATTGTCTGAGAAAAGATCCCAGAAAATCGACGATGAATTCGTGGTGCAACTTCCTCTGATTTTCCAGTCCGATGCCGTGGCCAATACGGCGGTTTACGAAAGAAGCCGAGCCTTGGACCAGGCAATACTGAGGCAGCAGAGTGTAGAGGCAGAAGAGGAGGCTTCGAAACGCCAAGAAACAGCCCAAGTGGTTGGCCAATTGAACCGTTGGCGTCCTCAGAAATATGCATTGACGGCTGAAAATACCCAAATTCTGCAACTTTTGACTCGGGAAAGTCAGTTCTATTCTGTCCGGTTTGTAGAGTACGAGTCTCAGCCGGAGATCTGGTGCCGAGCGTTGCAGCCAAATAATTATGATGCACTTTACCAAAGTACAAGAACGCATTTTGCGGACTTTGTAGAAAAATGTGTGTCGAGCTCATCGGAAGCAGTTGTGACTCTGGCGCTGAATTTCGTGGCCTACTTGATTCACAGTGTGAAGGACGTAAGAGGGATGAACATTGCCGACTTGGAATCAATTCTTCAATCAATGACTATAGAACCAAGTTTCGGTACTTCTATTCGTGCTGGCACGTTTAGTCGGTACTTGGCCCTTCCTGATGGTCAACTCTTACTCAAGAGACTTGGTCTTGTGTTCAAGTGCTTTCGCTTAGTTCAAGAGTCTGATACCTCAATGGCTTATTATTTCTTTCTCGTACTTGCTGACTCGAACCTATACCTCAACCACTACGTTGACTTATCACACTTGGCGAGGGACATCTTTCCACTTTTAATTCGAACTTTGGGAGCCAGTTCCGTACTCACAGTTGCCGAAACAGTGTTCAAGTCCTTGAGGCCGATTGAAAACGAAACCGAATATTCCTTTTTGTCCACTGTCTCCAAATTGCGATATAGAACACTACATTTTACTATGGAATCTGGTTGACCGAACCATTGTTCAGGACATGATTCTTGCATTTGTCAATGGTATGCTGACTTTGAACAGTACGTTAAATGATTGCATTGAGGCTGGTACAAAAATGACGATGGACAAGCCGGAGAAATCCTCGGATTTTCAATCTGTTATTGATGTTCACTACCAATTATACTCTTTGCTACTTGTTCTATCTCCATTGAACACCATTAATGAGTCAAAGGAAACAAACCAAAGAATTTTGCAACTACTCGACACAAAGCAAAAGGACATAACTTCACAAGTGGCCTCGCTTGAACGCTCAGAAACTGAAGTTTCAAGAACTATTATTACTCAAGCCACAGCACTCCTTCAAAAACTCATGGCTATGAAGCGACAGTATCAGCGGCGTACCTTTATAGATATCTTCTACGACTAAGCACATCCATACCCTAACTGGTGTTGGGTGCACTGGGTTCATGAGAATCCCACGTTGTAGCACAAGTATCATTAAACCGCAAACAAGTAAACCACTATGACGGCCCTGGAAGCAAAACCAATCACATATGCTAACCCTGAGCTCGCCGGATCCGAGAAACCAGGTACTTCCATTCACTTACCGTATGGATTCGGCCCGATTCCTCCAGCTGACTCATCGAAACCAAACAAAGTCTTTTATTTTGACATAGATAATTGCTTGTACCAGCGGTCTACTCGGATCCATGACATGATGCAAGACAAGATCCACCAATATTTCAAGGATAGCCTTCAACTTGACGACGAGGAAGCTCATAAATTGCATATAAATTATTACCGTGAATACGGATTGGCCTTGGAGGGCCTTGTGAGAAACCACCAAGTCGATGCTTTGGAATACAATGCCCAGGTTGATGATGCGCTAGACTTGAAGAGTGTTCTTCATTACAATCAGCAACTTCGCGACATGTTGATTCGCATTAAAGAAACTCATAAATTTGACTACTTTTGGTTGGTCACCAATGCTTACAAGAACCATGCGCTTCGAGTCATATCGTTCTTGGGCCTTGGAGATCTCTTTGACGGACTTACGTTTTGTGACTATTCCAAATTTCCTATCATTTGCAAGCCTATGAACGAGTACTTTTTCCACTTTTTGGACTTGACCCACACGTCCACCAACTTCCGAACGCCGGGAGTGTTGAAACAGCAGTATTTTGTAGATGATAGTGAGATTAACGTCAAGGCGGCTCACAGGTTGGGCTTTGGAAATGTTATCCACTATGTCGAATTAGAGGAGGAGTACAAAAAGTTGAAACAAAAAGTTGACTTTGAAGAGTTTTATGGGTCAGGAGATAATGCTGACTTGTCGAAGATTCGAATAGTCCGTGATATACTCGATCTTGAGTCGGTTATAGGTAATTAGAGGTATTCGCATCGTAAATTATATCCGAATAAATTTCGCACCCAATTTATCATTATTGGCGATGACAGAGTGTAAAGGAAGAATACTCTTTTTTCATGGTTTTACCCAATCGGCGTCGCTCTTCTATGCCAAAACATCGGCTCTCCGCAAAAGACTAATCAAACTCAACTATAAACCGGTATATCTTAATGGACCAGTCCGGCTAACTCCGAGTGATCTTCCATCTCGAGACTCATTATCCAAGTTCAACTCGGTTCCAAGCTCCAGCGATGAAGAGACAGACTATCGTGGCTGGTGGTTCAAGAGAAATCTCCTTTCTGGCGAAGGAATCAAGCTTGATGATTCCATAGTGACAATCAGAGACTACTTGGAAAACGGCAAGATTATTCCTGAAGAGGGCTTCCAGCAAGAAATTGATGAAAACGACAAAAATATACCTGTTGTAGGTTTGGTTGGCTTCTCTCAAGGAGCATGCTTGGCAGGTATTATTTGCCATAAATTCAACGAATTTTTTCATGTAGATTCGTTGAAATTCGTTATCCTATATTCGGGATTCAAATTAGACACAAGCAAGGGTTCAGGTCAGGAGATGTACGACTCATACTTTCCCACCAGTGAAGACAAGTTCAAAATTCTTCATGTTTATGGAGAGTTGGACACTGTGGTGGAGGCAAGTCGATCAGAGGCATTTTACGAAAGCACCAAAGATATCTCTACTTTGTTGAAACACCCTGGAGGTCACTTTGTGCCCAACTCTAAGCTCATGATAGACCAAGTGACGAATTGGATCCAGAGCTTGGATATCGAGCAAAAGAAAGAAGAAGAAGAGGAAGATATTATGGATATGTTTGATAAGATTGGCCATTGACTATGGACATTATAATTCATCGTGGACGGTTTTCTTCTTGGCTTCCTTTTTAGGTTTTTCGGTCCTATCCTCTTTGGGTTTCTTCTCCTTTATGCCTCGGTATTTTGAATAGTAGCGGTCTTTCTTTGAAAGCTGACCCTCTACTGGTAAGTGACCGTTTTGTTCGATGAGCCATTTGCTGATAGCTAACTTGTCATCTAGTTTTGGTCGGTCAAAGCGAACTAGCTCACCTTCCTGAACGTTAAAAAGCATGGGAAAGTCGGTTATAGAGCTCAAATTCAAATCGGCCACTGCCTGTTTGAACAGGTCTTTATCTTTCACTGTGACCATGGAAAACTCGGTTGAATTCAAAAAGTCAATAGCCAACGATTTGTACATATTATGAATAGAATTAGACTCCGTGAACAATACCACCTTACTTCTAGTGGAAGGATTGGATAACCATTGTCTCAAGCTATCACTTGATGGATTATTGAATTTTTTCACATAATTTTTGATACGAGAATTGACAAAATTCATGATAGACTTGAAGCTTCTTTCACCAGAATACGTTTCCATAGCGTGAACTCCTTGTGGTTTTGGTTTATCTTGGTTATATTTGGGAGGACGGAACACCATCAATGTTGGAAATCCACTGACCCGATGTTTGCTACACAAAGGTTTGTTGTAATCTTTATCACAGTTCACTGCCACTACATTGACGGCGTACTGTCCATCTTTATGGAAAAACTTGCCCAATTTCTTGTAAATTGGTGTCAACTGTTTGCAATAACCACACCATGGAGCGTAGAATTTGACGATGGAAGTATAATTTGATTTGTGAACCACCTTGTCAAAGTTAGAAGGAGTGAGCTCGTAGATATTAGGGTCTGAGGCGTAGACATCCTCACCCGCCACTACCGATAATAGTAATAGGAAGATAGTTGGTAGGCCCAAATGCATTAAAGATTCAGTGCGACTGAGAGCGAAAAGTTCAAGAGATTGGAGCGAGCAATACCGAGAACGGAAGTTAAAAGTGAGGGCAATGGTAATTGAGATTGAGAGTTACGATTAATTGAGATCGAAATTTACGGTTATAAAGCACTTGGAGTCTCTAAAAGCTCATATTCTTTCTGTATCTTGCATTATATGTATACACCCACCAGGTTAGAGACATATATACTGCCTAAGCCCACGGCTAAAGATGCAATTGTAGCATGGGTAAAGTAGCTCACGGGCGATTGGGCCTTTTTGTCCACTAGTAAAGCCAAAGAGAGAGAAATAAATGCTTTGTTAGTACTGAGCAGCCGAATAGGCGAGGTGAACCCAAGGCAAAGATAAAGAAAAGATCAAGAAAATGACCAGGAAAATGATCCGAAGAAGGGCATTGTGTTTGAACAGATTGTAACTGTAATTCAATCATACCCCGCTGCTTCATATATTTCAACTTACCAACTATTATCAACAAAACCGTGATTATACCCAGGTATTTGTCAGAAGGTACTATAGGACTTGACCCCGAGGCATACAAGTTTGTGTACTCCTCGTACGATTGTCCGAATAATGACATGGCAGTTATAAAGAACACGGTTTCTACGAGATAACTCGGGCTGCCTGCAGGAAGTGCAAATCATCAGCGGCTGCGTTTGTAAAGTTTTAAGAGTTATCACCATGTCTGACGGTTGGAACACCATTGATTCCGACGCCGGTGTGTTTACAGAGCTCGTGGAAAAGCTACAAGTGCCCAATGTTGAGTTGGATGATATTTTTTCTATAGATTCCGATTCGCTTCTGCAATTTGCTCCACTTCATGGTGTAATTTTTCTCTTTAAATATGGCAATATTGATCGCCAATACGCCAGTGATGGAAATAAACCTCTTGCGGGAACATACGATAAAGATTATCAAGAAAAGGGGATTTTTTTCGCCAAACAAACCATTCAGAATGCCTGTGCTACTCAGGCTGTTCTCAACATTCTCATGAATAGTAACATTGATTTGGGCCCAGAACTCTCCAATTTCAAGTCTTTTGTGACAGGGTTCGATAGCGAGATGACTGGTGATACTATATCCAACAGTACTTTGATCAGAACTGTCCATAATTCGTTCTCTGCTCCACCGATGATTGCTAACGATAAGAGACCACCACAACACAATTACTACGATCATGACGACGGTTTGTTCCATTTTATAGGCTACCAGAACATTGATGGCACTCTCTATGAACTTGATGGGCTCAAGAGCTATCCAATTGAGCACGGACCTTGCACAAAAGAAACGTTTCCCCACGCAGTTTCCGAGGTTCTCATGAAACGAATTTCAATGTATAGTGGAGAACTTCGATTTTCGCTTTTGGCAATTACCCACAATCGGCTCGAGTATTTCAAGCAAATTGATGACGCCGAGGCTATGAGTCAGGAAGTGGTGAAACGTGAGCAATGGGCCCGTGAAAACAAATTGCGTCGTCAAGATTATACTGGGTTGATTGGCGCTTTGGTAACTAGCCTCGCTTCAGAGTGTAGTGAGAGTGAATGGACCCGTTTGCTCAAGGAAGCAGAGCATAAAGGCCACGTTCGTATGATACAGGATTACAAGAGTATCAGAAGATAGTTATTTATTCCACATCACCGAGAGCAAAGAGTCCACCTCCAGGACCACGACTGTGTCTTGAAAAATAATCAAAGTCAATACTTACGGCATTTCCAAGAAGCACAGCTCTTTGGTCCAACGTGAGCGGGCCCGCGACTGAAGGGTACATGTTGCCAAGACCTTCAAAACTGGCGGGATCCATGCGAATAATATATACACCAGTATCGGTGAACAATTCTCGTCCGAGTCCCACCCAGTTTCTGTCTACCGAAGCTATCACATCACCATTTTCATTCGTTACTGGGAAGTCAAACGATAAGAACGGAGCATCTATAGCTCCAAATTGCTCGTATTCGTCGGTTTCGTCATCTTCCAACTTGAACAAATTATACTTGCGTCGCCAAAGATGCCAACTTTGAATCGACTCCCCGATGATCTCGTGCATCAATTGTCCGTCTCTATCGTACCCGGGTAAGTAGCACTTGATATGTGAATTAATGAATGAAAATGGTCTCTTAATTGTCAAAAGTAAATCGCCGTAATTGTTAAATACATCAATATCGAATGGACGATGTAACCTGAAAAATTGTCGACCAAGAACCTTGAGAAGTCCCATATCTTTTTCTTCCATAAACCCAATCTGGTCTCCTCTCGAGTTCATGATCTTATACCTGTTTGCTTGTTCGAATCCAAGAATCACATTCATAAATTCCATCTGTCTTTCGATTACCAAAGTTGGCTCCCGAAGTATATCATATATGCCATCTTCCGGGGTTATCAAGCCATTCTTATTGGGAGGAACCTCAAAAACCGTGTTGAATTGAGATGGTTGGCCCACATGCCCTTTATAATCGGTCGACGGTTGTTCGTGATAATAAAAGTCTTGCTTTTGGCTCAGCTGTTGCTGCCGTTGTTGAGCAAATTTCCGGACCTCTTCTTCAGATATTTCTCGAGTAATTCTAGTTCTGTTTCTAGCATAGGATCTGGCTGAAGATGCCAAGAGCCTTCGGCTGAGAAATTGAAGGCGTGAAGTCATGGCAATTGAAGGTGCTAATGAACCTAAGGACCTTAGGTTGTATGCCGGAAAAGCGAAAAGAAAATGATAGGAAAATAAACTATGATAGGAAGAGTGAGATGAATATAAACCACGTTTATTAACTTTTGATGCACTACTCCAATTTCTTGTTGTTGTTGGTGATACCAGGAATATCAGTTTCTCCATTCAACAACCTCTTCATGTATTCATACACGGTAAAGGTGACGGCTTGTCCTGGAGCCACTCTCATGATTCTTGGGGTGATACCCTTGTACAAGGCAGCGGTTCCCTCTTCCTTGATTAATTGGTTACCAATCTTGACGATTCTGACCAATGCTGAGTCCTTGGATGCATAGGTTGTTTTTTGCAACCGGGTCTTGATGGTGTCTAATGGAGCATTCGATAATGGACCCAAAGCACCTGAAATCAAACCAATACCAGATGTTTCCCAAGCAGGCAACGCATCGGTTCCATGGTATTCTTGTAAACGTTCTTTCAATTTGGAATAAACAGTGAAATTGACACCTTGGTTAGTGGCTTGTCTAGCCGCAGTCAAAGACACACCACGGTACAACGTGCTGAACCCCTCTTCTTTAACGATAAGGTAGGCTGCGTGGGGTGCATTTCTGTACTTTGGAATGTCCAATGGGTCAGCCATAGAGTGATGTTGAGCTTGTAATCTAATTTTCACCACCTCCATAGGGTTGACCACCAAGACTGCTTCGGTGATACCAGCTCCCACACCAGCAAGGAATGTGTTTCCAGAGGTAATTGAACCATCTGGAGCATACAAAAGCGACCGGTAAAATTCATATGACGAGAACCTCAATGCCATTTTGGGGACAATTCCAATCACCACTGCTCCCAAACCTTTGTAAAGAGACAAAAATGTCTCCTTTTGCACAATATTGATACCAGTACGAATAAATCCTGGCGGTTTTTTACCCGATTTTCTGTACAATTGCATTCGAACTTTGACGGTATCCAATGGATGACAACATAATGCCTCAAAGAGACCAGCAGTTCCACCAGCAACCAAGTCGGTGAGACCTCTACCCTTTTTTTGTTGGTTCTGAGCAGACATTGTGAGCTGAATAAATAATTGCGGCGAAGTTTACAAGTTGAAACCGCGGTTTTTGACCGGATGTGATTTACGGCTACTTAAATAGTTTTTTGTGGGGGACATCCTTTCCTCCGGGGTACATTGAGGCGCGCACGACTTTCCCCAGGCCGCGGCCTTAGGTCCGGGGTCTTGTGATTCGGCGCCGATCCGGGCATGGCCGAATGATGATGAAGATAGTTTCTTGATGATGATTAAATGGCTCTATATTTTAAATTTTCTTGTAAACATAGACAATATATACTTATCGCGACCGTATGATTGGCTGCGAACCTAGCAATCATTACCTCGGACCTTAGCGCGCCCGGCGCGGAACCGGACATACAATCCCATCGGATCAATGCCGTGACAGTTCCGGAGTGAAAATTTCAGTCATAGCAGTCTACGGTAGATTTAGATGTTGATTTGAGATGGTAGTTTGGAACTACAGTTTCACTACAGTCTGTAGTTCGAATAATATATTAGACTAATTGGCACTATTGATTGCAGCACCGGCACTGGCATTGGCGGCAGATTGGTCAACCTTGCGTTGCTCATCGCGCTCCTTTCTAAGCTCCGTGAGTCTCTTGGCTTCTTCGTGCACTTCACGCACATCTTTGGCCAAGCTTTCGTAAAATCTGTGGATCTTGATACCATAAGGATGGTTTGCAGCCTTTTCAAAATATTGCGAAAGCCGCGACAGGTAAGATGACTTATTGAAACTGTTGGTCAAGTCGTTGAGTGTAGACTGAGCCTTTTCGATTCCACGGTTGGCAGTCGAGTCTGGTTGGCTGGAGTGGATGTACTTGGCATCCAAGTCAGCCAAGAATGATTTGAATTTGCCTGAGTATCCCTTTTCTTTGTCAAAAGAAATTGCCTTTTCAATCAAGTTGTCGGAGACTTGGTATCCCAGAGCAAGCAATTGTGCCATGATAGCATACTTTGGTTTCTCTTCCTGACTGATATCGTCATACTTGGAATCACCAGTGGTGGTGGATTCATCTTGAATCTTGTTGTCACTCACTTCCTTTGAAGCACCCGATTCCCCATACTTTGGAGGGGCATCTCCCTTATTTTCTTCCACCTTGATCGACACACCATTCAATTCCGCATCGTTCAACAAAAGTGCAGTGGTCAATGCCTTTTCCAGCTGAAAATGGATTTCATATGTCAGGGTCTTTTCGCCCTTGGACACCAAATTGATGGTTTTTATACTTCCACAGAAAGAGAAGAACTCTTGAAGCTTCTCATATGAGATGCTGGAGGGAATATTAGAAGCAATTACTGAAGACATTGATTTTTTAAAATGAGACAGGTGGCTCTTTTATATATATTGGATTTAGCAATCATATGGTAGGGGCTGTGTGCAGCACGTCATACAAAATATGCGGGGGAGGGAAAAATGGTAGGTTGGTTGGTGCAGGAACAGCTCGAAAAATGTTGGCTGCAAATTGTAACTACAACAATGTTTGGCCAAGAGCACACCGACCAATGGCACAGGCTGCACTGACGGTGTCCAAGATATGGGCGTCAGTTTGGCCCAAAAGAGGGTTGGTTTCCACAATATCCATCGACGACAAAAGACCAGTTTCTGCCACGGCTTCAGCAACAAATAAACCCTCTCTTAAAGTAAGTCCTCCTTCTACTCTAGTACCGGTCGCGGGAACAAATGATGGGTCAATTGCATCGACGTCGTAAGACAAATGGATGGGAGCAGACCGGTCAGGATTAATTTTGTCAAGAGCCATCTCCACCACTTTACCTATTCCATATTTGTCAATGTGGTACATGGAAAATGCCGGGATGTTGTTTTCACGTAAAATACGCTTTTCTCCATCGTCAACATCTCTCAAGCCGATATAAGCTATTTTGTTTGGTTTCAAACATTGAGGAACCCATGAGAATTCAGGTGGGTAGCTATCCTTGTCGAGTCCCATCACGAATGACATGGGGCATCCATGGAGGTTTCCAGACTCGGTGGTTTGAGGAGTGTTGATATCCGCATGGGCATCAATCCACAAAACACAAGTATCTGGACGAGCCGCCATGGTTCCTGCCACAGTAGCGGTGCCAATAGAATGATCTCCTCCGATAGTTATTGGAAGTCTTCCGCTGGCAACAGAGTTGTTGACGGCATTGTAAATCTTTTGGCAACATTCGCTAACAATTGCAGCATTTTTGACACCGTATTGATCTTTATCATCGGTCTTCTTGTCTTCGAACGAAGTGTCGTCTAATGGGTTCTCAACCTTAACATCCCAGCCAAGATTGGCGATCTGCTTTTCAAATCCAGCATTCATGATATACTCAGGACCAAGCTCAACCCCTCCTTTGGGCTGGCCACCAGAAAATGGCGCCGTTATAATTGTCGCTTTCTTGTGAGGATGAAATTTGTAGGAGACTGTGTTAGCAAAATGATTTTGTGAGCTGAGTGTTTTTTTCACTTACTAGAATCCATAGTAACAGTATTGAATAATGGTGCTAACGTGCCGCTTTTATAATGAAAACTCCAAGTTCAAGGTATCGTAAACGGCAGCCGACGCCGTGATGGGTGTTCCGGCATCTCCTACCGGTTTGGGGCGATGAGCGCGATCGATGCGGATGACTAAGCGAACATAGTCACTACCTCGGACCCCCCCTCGCGTTCTCTTTCCGTCTGTAGCGAGCATCATTCTTGGTATTGGCGGTGCCGCGAACGACTATCCGTCGAAATACGTCAGTGAGACGCTATCGGAGTGTAGATAACGCATTAAAACGCCCTAAAATAGCATCCAAAAAGAAAGATTACAAAGAGATAATTTTATCCTAAATATTCAAAAGGATATAAACTGAAGTTCTCTCCACTAAAGGAGTTTCCTTCTAGACTTCTTACTTTCTACTTCCCTTACTTCCTCTCTCTTACTTCGGAGGATTTCGCGGACTCATCGCGAACGTGCTACCCCACGAACCACACGTGGAAACACCACAAATTTTTTGGCGCATTGCATAAGCCCCTCAACGTTGGACACTGGTTGTGGTGATAGTCAACTTCACTTAGACTCTCGTTCATTCGCTTCAATATGAAGTTTGGGAAAACCTTCTTGACCCACCAGATCCCAGAATGGTCGGTGTGTTATATGAACTATAAGCATCTTAAGAAGATCATCAAGAATATTGACCAACAATTGGAGTATATTGACACCGTGAAGGTTGATGTTCCAAGTTTTATAACCACTATTCTTTCGGAATACTTTTTCGAACTCGATAGGGATATTGAAAAGGTCAATGAGTTCTACAATAAACAGTACAAGGAATATAGTCGTCGGTTAGATAAGGTGGTTGCAGTCGTTGGATACAAAGATGGCAAGATCAGTCATCAGATAGAGTCTTCTGACGAGTTGGATGAAATCATTTCCATCCTTATGGAATTAAGATCCATTTACCGAAACTTGAAATGGTTTGGTGAATTGAACCACAAAGGTTTTGTCAAGATCTTGAAGAAATTGGATAAAAAGCTAGAAAAGTTGGCTCAGGCCACAAATCTGGAACTTGGAAATAACCTGGTGACTCTTCCAGTGAACAATAAGGAGAACTATCTTTCCACTCGTGTCAATGCCTTACCATTTGCAAACCAGTCTGGATTGTTAAGTGGACTTGATATGATCAACAATCTCCTCAATGACTTGGGTGCTCAGCACATTGTCACCACCGGCTCCACCAACCAGGCACAAGCTATTGCGTTGTCTACTTCTGTGGACCAGGTATTCCTTCAAGAATATAACGATATTATTCAACGCGATGACGCCGAGGCACTTTTGGATCAGCTACTGGAGGCTCCTCAGCAGAGGAAAAACCTCAAGTACATGATTTCGTTGTTGAATCGGGCAACGCTTTCAAATGCCTTAAAGTGTATTGATTTTTTGATTGAGTACTTGTTGGAATTGACCCATTCAAGAAACATCAATGTGCAAAATGCATTGTATGACAAATTTGACATTAGTGGCAGGAACTTTTTCCACCAACATGTTGTGAGTTTGGGTAAGCGCCAGGTGATCAAAGAACAGAAGCAGATGACTCCAGGTGAATCAACGGATGTTAGCAGACTTTATGGTAATGAAAGTGGACCAGATGGTAGCCAGCTTCGTCCGGTTCAAGTCAATGGCTTGTGTCATATATTGAACCATATTGAGTCCAGAGACATTCTCCAGAATGAACTCGGCAAGTTATTGATTGCCAAGGATAATTATGCCAGAACCCCATTACACTATGCCGCTCAGTATGGTTTGAAGGATGTTTCAAAGATTTTGCTTGAATATCTCTACAAATGGAAACTTATCAACAGCAATGTGCCAATTGATAACCATGAAATGTGGTGCGATCAAGAAGGTTTGACTCCATTGCATTTGTCTATTATTGGAAAGCATCCTATGACCACTGACAACTTAATCATTTATAGTCGGTCTCATTTGTCTTGTCCAAGTTTGCTTCTTTTGGCAGTTCGTTTGAACTCACCAGAGATATTGGTCAACTTGATTCGCAAGGGCAAAATCGATGTGAATTATACCGATCTCGAGCACAACAACGAAACTGCGTTGTATATTGCGGCCAAGCATAATTATGTGGAGGTGGTTGAATTTCTTCTTTCTGAGAGAGCTAATACTGAAATTGGTGAAAATGTTTTTGGTTGGACCCCAATTTTCGTAGCCGCTTCTGAAGGTTATAAAGAGGTGGTACAATTGCTTACTGACGCAGAATGCAAGATCGACATTGTTGATGACTCTGGTTGGTTGCCCATGGAACATGCCACTTTGAGAGGTCATTTGGATGTGGCAGACATGTTGAAGCCCAAGAATGAAGCCTTACTTCTTTACGATATTGACAATCAGGCGAATAACTTGCAACGGATTCCTAACAGCTCTTTAAGCCCTACCCATAACAATGATAGTACTGAAGAATTTGCATTGTCAACTACAAGTGTTGATAGACTTCCGGAATCCAACAAATCTGCGGTTACTGAAGTATACAAACAACTCCGCCAGTTGGAAGGTACTAATGGCCGTGCAAGTTCAAGGTCAAAATCACCCATGAGCAGACGTAAGGCAAAGCCCATCAAGTCTTTCGGACATAGATATTTGGCACCTGAAGAACAATTGGTTCTTATTACATTGGGTACTACCGATTTAAGAGACGATAGGGAACCCGTTGAACTTAACAAGATCTCCATGACAAAAAGCTTGTTTACAGAACTTGATACTGCCTTGTCTTTGGTTATTACTTGTCGGACTCGCAGCAATAATGTTGAAGTGGAACCACCAGTGGTTGTTGATCTTCCTCTTGAAGATCACCATGGAAGCGCTACTGATCCTATCACGTTCCAATTGCTACGAAAGACAAACATGAACGATATCATTGTCACGTTTGATATTGTTCCAACTTATCAGTACTCGAATGCTCCAATTGCAGTAAACCATCCTTTGCGGAAAGATCAAAAGATTTTGGGACGTGCTGTTGCTCTCTTGAGCTCTGCTTACACTGGAGTGGGTCCTCATCTTCGCTCATTGAACAATAGTATCACCAGTCCAATTATTGAGTCTGACTCGTTGGATATCTTGGGTTCGGTGAGATTTGAGTACATGTTTATCAGTCCTTTTGAACATTCAGCTATGAAGTTGTCGAGAAGTGATACTTACTGGAAACAGTTGGTGTCTACCAGAGTCATCGGACATCGTGGATTGGGTAAGAATGTCAGCAATAAGAAGTCTTTGCAATTGGGAGAAAATACTGTGGAATCCTTTATCGCAGCAGCATCATTGGGAGCGTCTTATGTTGAATTTGACGTTCAATTGACCAAGGATTTCGTGCCAGTGATTTATCATGATTTCACAGTTGCTGAGTCTGGTGTTGATATCCCCATGCACGCTCTTACTGCTGAGCAGTTTTTGAATTTGCATGAGGAAGACGAGCGGATTATCAAAGAAAAGAACAAGAAATCATTGAAGGAGAAGATAGTTAATGGATCGAACGACAAGCAGGTCAAGTTTAAAGCCAACTATTCCCTTGATGATGAGATGTTAAGCAAGCTTAATCGTCCTCGTTCAATGTCTTCGTATCCATCGGCGCCAGATTTCAAGCCAGTCCATGAGCATTTTGATGACGATGAAGATGACGATTTAGACAGAGAGGTCAAAGAGCATTTCAATCGTCGTATGAAATTGACAAAGACATGGAAGGATAAAGGATTTAAAGGTAACGCTCGAGGTCTTTCGATTGCCTCCAACTTTGTCACCTTGAAAGATTTGTTTAAGAAATTGCCCAAAAACGTAGGGTTCAATATTGAAATCAAGTACCCTATGTTGGATGAGGCTGAGAAAGAAAGTATGGGAGAGATAGCCATCGAATTAAACATGTATGTGGACACCATTTTGAAGACAGTTTACGATGAGAATCTCACTGGCAGAGATATCATTTTCTCCTCGTTCCACCCAGATGTCTGTATGTTACTTTCATTGAAACAGCCTACGATTCCCATTTTGTTCTTGACAGAAGCTGGAACCCAGCCAATGGCAGATATTCGGGCTTCATCGCTCCAAAATGCCATTAGATTCGCCAAGAAATGGAATCTCTTGGGTATAGTCAGTGCTGCCAAAACCTTGGTCAAGACTCCTCGGTTGACCCAAGTTGTCAAGTCGTCTGGACTTGTGTGCGTTACCTACGGTGTGGAGAACAATTCTCCCGAATTGGCCAAGATACAAATGAAAGCCGGTGTAGATGCGGTTATTGCCGATAGCGTGTTGGCGGTTAGAGAAGGGTTGATTGGTGGGCTGACAAAGGAAGATAGTCCGGAAGAAGCCTGATATTAGATTATATAGAATTTGACATTTACTGTTCCTGCATTTCCTGCGCATTCTCATTAAAATAGGAATCGGTAACCTCTAGTTAGCAACAATGGAGAACAAAAATCAGGGTGATCAGCGGAATCCTCGAACAGCTCCAACCTTTCCCAGCACATCTGTGCCTCGTATACTGGGTATAAATGCCGTCCATGTCAACTCAGCTCGTCAGATGGTACAAATGCATACTAGTGGAAGAAGACCGAATCGCGGGGATTCAATGGTAACCAATTCTTCTTCGATAATGGCTTCTAGTACCTTTCCCAGGCCTACCAGTAACGTTTCCGTGCCTGCCAAACTGGAGCATGGTGTCTGCAATAATCCTCAATGCGATCATTGTGGCCAAGTGATCATTCCGTCGCCCAAATCGTCGTTTCCCATCGTAGACCAACCATCGATAACAGTGAGCGATTGGAGCATATACCGTATAAAGAAGCCTATTTTGAGCTCGTCAGAATTAGATGCGTTAGAACTGCGGTTCGAGTTTCCTATGCCCGAAATGATCTTTGGAAACAGTTCGATAAAGCTACAAAACGATAAAAATGGTGCAACGATAGAGTTCAATGGTTTGGATGCGTTGGATACTCTTGAATCCGGGTCGGACCTTAGAGTCAGCTACCATAAAGAATGGCTTGACTCCCGACGGTCGACTTCACCGTCTCATAAACCGATAGATGTTCGCGAAAGAGCCACCAAAGATTTGGGTGGTCTCACATCTCTCGAGTCAGTTAAACCCTACGACTGGACATATTCTACAAATTACAAAGGAACTGTGAAAAATGCCGAATTTGTTCCTTGCAATGAAGAATTACCACTCCAAAAGCTTCTCAGACCAGATCCCATTCTTTTTTTCGATGAGCTGATTCTATTTGAGGACGAACTAGGAGACAATGGAATATCCATGCTTTCGACCAAAATAAGAGTAATGCACACATGTGTTCTTGTCCTATGTCGCTTCTTTTTGAGAATTGATAATGTCATCTTCAGAGTAAGGGATACTCGCATCTACATTGACCTTGAAACTAACAAGGTTTTGAGAGAATACAAGATCCAAGAATGTCCTTACGACCAAGTTTTGCAGAAAATAAAAGCCAAAGTGGTTGCAGATCCAAAGAGTCTAATGCGAGATGTCAATTGGATCGCACAAAACATCCCCGTTTTATCCTGTGAGGTGGAAACCATTCCTGAGGAAGGTACCTGAAACCAACGGTTCTAGACTAATTGGCATCTATGAATTTCCCACCATTGGCTATACCCAAATCTTGTGTTTCCTGCACATAGATCTTGGTCGTGTCAACGCTTTGAGATTTTTCACCGCTTCTTTCTCCAATGTTCAGAGGCACCTTCCGCCAGTTGCCCAAGGGGCCAGCCAAAGTTTTTGGCAACTGGAGACTGATTCATACTGTTCCCAAGTTGAGGAACGTTGAGCAATTCACCAAAAATGGTATCGAAGGTCTCTACTCACCTGAGGGATTCAAAACCGCATGGCTCGATTACCAGAAATTTCTCACATTAAACTTAACATTGCATACTAACGGCACCGAGAACGAGTTGCGTCCCCCTTATCAGATCCTCTTGCAAACAGCCAAGAAAACAACCGAACAACATGTATTTCACTTCGCATCACAAGCTCACAATAACCACTTTTTCTTCGAACAACTTTCAGATAAATCCAGCGTCAAGAAGACCAGGCCTTCCAGATTCTTGCTTGAAAGGTTAGCCGATATAAATCTTCCCACCATAGATGCATTTCGCGAGCAATTTTTGCTCGCAGCAGATTCCTCTTTTGGCCAAGGCTGGGTATTTCTTGTGGAGTTACCAGACAAAAGCTTGAAGATCTTGAAATGTAATAACGATGGAACGCCTTACTATTATGGTAAGAACCAGTCTCTTGATCTCAATGGTAGTGTGGATGAATTAACTCTCGACAATTTGAATAAAGTGAAGGAACTTGCGCAGAATGGTGAAAAGGATTTTACATTACCATTACTAGCAATCAACGTTTGGGACGTAGCTTTCATTCAAGATTACGGTACCACAGGAAGAGCTGACTACTTGGCCAACGTGTGGGAATGTATCAATTGGGATATTGTAAATAAGAGATTGTTCCAAGTCTAATGTACATAGAGGACTAATATAGGACTATTGAAGTGCTCCCACGTATGATATCAACTTTTCAGAAGTAATGTTTTTAATCGTATCGACGTTCACGAGTGATTGGTTCTTGGTCATTATCGCACCAATGTTCAGGCAGTCGTTCACTACCGCTGCCAAATTAGTATCGCTGTGCCAGTCTAAAGGCAACGTAAGCACTATTCCTGGTAGTAGATCGCAATAGATAGCTGATTTTAGCCAGGATTTGACGAGATCAGAATACATAATATCTATGGTTTCAATCTCATCTGATGATAACTGGCCCACAAATTCGTCGATTTGCTGGTTTTTCCTTTCCAATGCCATTTGTGCTACCTCCTGATCTCGCTTACTGACCCTGTCATACTCCAATAATCGAGGCTTCACCGTATCAATCAAATAGTGGACTAGTTTCTGCCTATTTCGAATCATACTGCCGTCGTTAGTTTCGGCCTGCTGAAACATTTTCATGGTATTGTAGACATTAGCACCATCTTCAGAGTCGTTACCATACAAGAGATTTAAATTAGTAGCGATTTTCTGCTCCAGGCTAGTGAGATCGCTGGTTTCATGGTGGATAGCACGAAGAATTGGGAGTGTTACTTGCAACAAATCGTTCAAATATGAGTCTGTTTGAATGATATTTAGCTGGTCACGCAATTGACGGGCTAAGGCAAGTGTCGAGTCAGTTTCGTCGTTTGTAAATTTAAGTTTAGTCGGTATGGATTTTGCAATCCGTTCATATTCTGCATTTATAACGTCTTCTGGTTCTTTCTGAAGTTTTTCTACCTTGTCCAACCATAATATGGAGTTTAGCTTGTGACATAACTGGTTGTTGAGTTCCGTATATCGTTTTTCAAGCTCATTTATGGTAGACTTCATTCCCCTAATAGTTGGAATTAGGCTGTTTATAGGTTTCGATTACCTAATGGACCCGCCATGCAGTTCAACACCTCAGAGCCACAACGGTAGTGTGGCATTTAGAGCAATTTCAAAACATTATAAATAGGGATCAATGTCTTCTTTGGTCAAAAGCAAGCTCTTGTCTATAGCCACCACTGGTTTATTTGTTAATTTTGATCCGCAAGAACTGGAAAAGTACTATGTGGAGGTTGGTGACTTTTTAGACTTAAGCGCTTCCTCTTTGGAACCGGAAGAATTGTTCAAGTTGTATGAAATGCAGTTCTATTTGGCTTTGATGACGAGTCACGATGTAGATGCCAAGACGTTTTTGGATCGCATTATTGATCAATTTGGTGACAAAAATTCACAAAGAGTAGTGCTATTAAAGGCAATGTTTGTCGAGGCTCAAGGTGATAAAAAGGGAGCAGCCGAGCTATTAGGACTGGATCCTGATCAAGTGAGGCTCTCGCGTCGTCTTGTGACGTTTAGCCGTACGTCGAACGACAACGAATCGTATATCACCAACTTGAATTACTACTTGAACATTCAGCCTTCAGATTTAGTAGCTTGGGCAGAATGGGGTGACGAATATTTCAAGATTCACCACTATGATAAAGCTATTCATTGCTACAAGGAGATTCTACTCCATGAGCCATATGCCTATAACATGTTTTACAAGGTGGGTCTAGCCTACTACTACAGATTCATCCAGGAGTCCAAAGTTAAAATGGACAAAAAAGACCGCATTCTAGAAGTGTGGGAGGTCATCCGAGAAGCTCGCAATAACTTTTTGCGTTGCATCGAATTGTGTGATACTCATTCAAAGGCATGGTCAGGAATAGAACGGATCACCGAATCGGATTTGAACAAATTCTTGGACAAGCATTCCACAAATCAAACAAAAGAGTATCTTGAAGAGAACGCAAAATTGCATCGTTTGGCAATCGCAAAACTACAAAAGTGAAATCAATCGGTATATTGAACATACTCAAAAAACATATGGCCTAACAATTAAGGGCCCAGCTCTGGGTCAAACAACTTAGTGACCACAGTCGGCACACTTGCAAGCTTGTCCACACTTGCATGAGTTGGACGAGCAGGAGCACTTGGAACCACACTTGCAGGTGGAGTCGGCGTAGTTGATCATAACTTTAGTGGATTGCATTTCTTGTAACTGGATAATTGCTCTGGAAAGGTTTCGCCCTTTATACCCCAGACATGCGTGCACATACCGCTGCAGCGGTATTTGTGCCTGCGATAATTGTGCTGCGACAATTGTGCCTAGAGCGATTAACGCCGTTAGGTCATGAGTGTTCGTATTGCCTCATTGTTGATTGAAAACTCGCCAATACTTGACAAGGATTTTGTACGATTCCTACCTAAGACCTAGGACTCAAATAGAGATCATTAACATTTTGATCCGGTGCGGCTAGAACAATGCTCACTCAACGTTGGGTCAGTAGTGGAATGCACATAAGGGAATGCCCTGGTAATTACTGCATTACAGACAATGCGGTTGAGTTAACTACGAGCGATTATGCGATTAGGTGTACTACGAGCTGATTGTGCCGTTGTTACTACGTGCTAATTGCGGTTGGGTAAATGTATGTTGATTATGCCGTTGGGTAGCGTATGCTTATTATGCTATCTAGATTCATTGTATTTATACAATTCTAATTAAAATTCTCCTTTGTAGTTCAAATCTTGGCTTTCCAAAATCTCTGGTAAAATTCCCGAGGAAGCAGCTACCAATCCCAAAAATGGTCTTGAGGGATCAAGAACCTTGGACAAATACTCAGGGTGGTATTGAGTACCAACGAAAAACTTGTGGTTCTGCAACTCTAACAATTCCATTCTAGCTCCAGTCTCATCTTTACCAACAAACTTCAACCCTTTTTCTTCGATTTGTTCCACGAGTTTGGGGTTGACTTCGTATCTATGTCTATGTCTTTCCATTACATGGTCAGAACCTCCATACAACTTTCTCAAGTTGGAACTTTCGGTTCCTGCTGTGAATCTGGTCTCGTGGATGCCAAGTCTCATAGTTCCACCCAACTTGATCTGGTCCACGTCTGGCATGTATACAACAGAAGCTGTTTCCTCGTCAGCATTGGCATCAAATTCCATCGAAGTAGAGTTTTCGTAGCCCAAAACATTTCTAACAAACTCAATCACGGCAATTTGTAATCCCAAGCAGACACCCAAGTATGGAACTTCGTTTTCTCTGGCATACTTGGCAGCGGCAATCATACCTTCAATACCTCTGTTTCCGAATCCACCTGGCACCAATATACCATCAGCCTGGCAAACGTGATGCCATGCTTTATGATACTCGGAGAGATCGTGGTCTTTAGCACCTTCTTCCAAGGACGTAGACTCGACCCACTCAATCTTCAATTTACGCTTGCATCTCATGGATGCGTGCTCCAAAGATTTAATAACAGACAAGTATGAGTCTTTGAGATTGGTGTACTTTCCAACCAATGCAATAGTAACAGTCTGGAACGATCTGTCATGGCTGGATGTCAATTCTTCCCATTTATTCAACAATTTTTCTCCTCTGGCCAAAGCACTAGGAGACAAACTAGACTCTTTCAAATTCAACTTTCTTGTCAAATACTTCATCATTCTCTGCTCCTTTAACAAGAGAGGAACGTGGTAAGTCGAGTTGACATCATGAACGGCGATAACCTGTTCTGGGCCAACATGACAAAACATGCCAATTTTTTCAATGGTGGAAACTTCCAACTCTTCCTGACATCTGCAAGCAATCATATCGGGAGTCAACCCCAAAGATCTCAAATCTTTGATGGCAGCCTGAGTTGGCTTAGTCTTTTGTTCACCATGAATGACAGGAACGAGTGAGACATGAATAAGAGCAAAGTTCTCAACACCAACTCTGAACTGAAACTGACGCAAAGCTTCAACAAAAGGAGCACTTTCAATGTCACCAACTGTTCCTCCCAACTCAATAATACATATTTCAGGCTCTAACCCCGATTCGTCTACAGGAACCTTGGATACACGTTCTATCCAATCTTGAATGGCTCCAGTAACATGAGGCACAACTTGCACCGTCTTACCCAAGTAATCACCTTGTCTTTCCCTTTCGATCACATGAGAGTAGATTTTACCAGTGGTAATGTTGTGGTCTCTAGTTAAAGTGATGTTAAGATACCTTTCGTAGTTACCAAGATCCAAATCTACTTCACCACCATCGTTCAAAACAAAGCATTCACCATGCTCCAAAGGACTCATGGTTCCAGCATCAATGTTCATGTACGGGTCGATCTTGATAGATGATACCCGGAACCCCAAGGTCTTGAATAACAATCCGGTAGACGATGCCAACACTCCCTTACCGATACCAGAAATCACACCTCCGGAAACGACCACGTATTTCATGATTTGAAGTCACTTAGAAGAAAAAATACACTAATCCGATTGAATAGGAACCGGAAACACTAGAAATACACCCCAAAGAGAACTACGACTTGCCCTCTTAAATATGGTATTTAAGCGGGAAGAAAGAAACAAGCGACGGTGCGGATTTTTTTGGAGTAGCGATGAGATGAACACGCGTTGTAGACTTCCCAATTGGGAAGTTTCTCGCAGAGAGATGTGTGCCCTATATACACCAGTGGATGGAAGTTGCATCCACAAGCACCTAAAAGGCAAATGATACTTTTCATATATGCTCTTGATTGCCACGGGAGTAGAGTCGAGGGCGACACAAGCAGCAAGCTACAGGGAATGAAAAGACGTACATGAAGTGAATGAGAAATGCAAGATGCAACTTCACAATAATTTGCAGTGCTAGAAATGAGCTTGAAAAGCTTAAGTAGCTTCGGGTTGAAGAAGCTGTGGAAGCTGTGGAAGCTGAAATAGTTTCGATAGACTTTGACTTTTCTTGCAAATGGACTATTTTGCAAAAATATTGATTCTTGTCTTACTCCAACGATATCTCTTTTACTCTCGATACTTCCCGAAATGCTGAATATCCTATACAATCTTGACACCGCCAATCTGTGTTCCATCCTCTGACATCAAAATCTGGGCCTTGCCCTGTTTCATTAATACATTTTTGATTGCTCTTACCAAGACATTGTACTCTATATTGCGCAATTCTTCGGGATAAGCAGACTCGTCCAGGTTAGTTAGCTCAAAGATCGTCAATATAGTTCCCAATTGACCTGAACTATTGACATAATCGTAGATCTTGGTGGCCCATTCCACTAGTGTTCTCCAGTATACAAGAACTCCCAATTCTGGACGCTTAGGATCGATATATTCGGCCCGTTTTTTGTTGTGGATCAAATACTGGAAGATTGTAGACAAGAAATCTGGCGCCACAGACCGTTCAATGGCTTTGTTCTCGAAAAGTGGTGGCAATTCTTTAAAGTTGAGATTCTCAATTTGTGAGTGAAGTGGCTCTCCGGAGGGAGATAACGATGTTATTCTATAAAATTGGCAAAAATTTAATATTATATCACACCATGAATCAAGCTGGTTATTAAGAACTGTAGTGTTGGGCTGTTTAGTATATAGTGGTGGAAAAGAGTGGATCTTGGGAAACTCAAACTGAGACATGAAATGAATTTAACACTTTCGCACTGTTTTTTATCTACAGCAATTATTCCATGAATTTTATTATGGTGACCTGTTGCCAGGTTGAAAGTGTCATACCCGAATACATTTTACATATTTAGACCTCGGCCATGTCTCTCAAACGACGGATAGTCGATCTGACAGTAGCAGCAGCAGCAGTGGAGACAGTGTAAGCACCACCAGCAACGGTCTTGCGGCAAGACTTACAGGTCCAGATACCAGCAGCACCTCTTTGCACGGTTCTCTTACCACAGAAGGAGCAGTCGTACTTGGCATGCTGTTGAACCTCCAACTTCTTGGTTTGTCTTCTCAACGAAGAACCGTATCTGACACCAAACTTACCGGTGATTCCTACCTTCTTAGTTCTTTTAGTCCTGAAAGTTAGTATTAAGTTTAAATTGAAGGGGTGATAAAGACGATTGGATGTTGGGCTCGGGTTGATGATAACTGTTCTTGATGAGTACCTCTAGGGTCGAAAATTATTTCTTTCATGGAGTGAAGTCTCTGGAAAAGTCACATATAGTCGGGTTGCGTATCAGGTAATGCAACTATCTTGTTTGACCCATAGGAATTTGTTTCGTGATAAAGAATACCTTCGGTTTTTCACCCCAATTATGACTTTCATTTGTCTACATTTTGTCTCGAATCAGTTCCCAAGCAGTTCCTGCTAATTTTCCAATCGTCCTCTGCTAGTTTCACCCTCCTTTTCATTATTCTTGTACATACATTTCTGATGCTTTAACTGTATGAAAAACCTCACTATTCTTTTCTCAAGTCTTCAGAAGCGAGGCGGTCGTGCCGCGTCGAAACGACAAAATTTTCAGAGCCAAGTTGCACGTGCGAGGGCCACAGCCCTACAATCTTGTATTACGTAATCGAGCTTGGTGGCTGCGGCGTTCTCATTTGCAGCCATTGGGTACAATAGCTGGAATGTCTTCAAATGATTCTCTAGCTTTGCCTGTAACACTCTCGGCTGACTGTAAGTATATTTTTCGATGAATGAAACTCGCTAACAATAGCCGATATAGATGGCTCAAATCAAGAAACTAGAAGCAATATGCTGACTTCTTCGACATCATCAAGTGATAATCTTGAGCAGTTATTGTATCGAATACGAACCGATAGTTCATTTCAAGTAGCTTCTCTATCTATAAGGCAGGTCCAGTTATTGGAAACAATGGTTGGTAACTATTTGTGTGGAGTTTTGAGTCGACACTCTAATGGTAGTATAAGTATATGTTGTAATAGTGTCACTTGTGAAAAGCATTCTTATCGACAAAAATTAAAGGTTCACCGAAGATTACCCCTTGAAATCATCCATCTTCAATTGCGGGATACTTTTGATGCTAACATCTTAAAAAGTTTACAACGTTATGTTAAGCTTCGAGACATGAGCCTTCTGTCGAATGCTACCGTATGCTACCCATTATCTTCCGAAGTTCTCGACATTCATGAGGAAGGAGTCCAGCTTCTCCGCCATTGTCTTCCTAGTCAAACTTCACAATCGCGTGCTAATGTCCCTTTAGGCGAATCCGACTTGAATGCTGCTTCTTTTGCCAAATCTGACTTACTGGATGAGTATGGATTGTTGCTTAATATTCGGCGTTCAGGTGCAAAGCGACTGGTTCGACCTATAAAAAAGGATTATGCACACAAGTTATCTCGCTCAGCAGGTGAGACGCCGGCCGAGGTTGTTTCCTACCTAAACTTAAAGTTGCAGCCGTACTATGCCAATGATTTCTTAAGAAGAAGAGAATTGGAACAACGGTTCGGATTCCAAAACACCATGAATAGGTTTAATTAATGCTATACACAAATTAGTGGAAAGAGCAGCAGCCTAAATGTAATTCAACTATTCTGTGGTCCTCTTGGAAATAAGCTAACCAGTTGCATCTCAATATCGTCGTCTTCATCGACGTTAACTATCGGAATGGCTTGGTTGCCATTGGGAAATACAGCCGGCTGCACTATTTGGGGGGCGTTCTGAGGGTCCTGGTTTTCCAAATGAACTTCATCTCCCTGGCCCTCAGCACCAGTAAATTGGCGCTCAACTAAGCGGTGTTGATGATGGTTCCTGATAAGCCGTTGGAAATGTTCACGCATCTCTTCCGGTCCCATATTGCCCTCATTAAGCTCTCGGAAAATCTCGCGATTAATATCAGACATTCCCTGGCCGTCATTATCCACGCTTTGTAATAATCCAAGTCCCCTCTGTCTTGCCCAAAGAGTCATCTCCTCGTCATCCATGTCTGCTCCTCCGTTCATGAACCTTCTTCTTCTTTCGTGGAACAATGCATGCATGTCGCCATGGTCAATTAAATAGGCGCGGTCCTCCATGACTTGGTTGAGATGTGCTCTCAATTGGTTTACGCCATGGCCGGAAAACACGCAAAATGAGTTTTTTTGATGCTCATTGAAATCTGGAGGTGGGTCGCGACAATACTGTGTGATTTCTCTTCTCAAGAATGCGTTGATGCCAGTTAATGATAGATGCGTCAATTTAGGGCAATTTTTCAAGAGTAAGTAGATAGGTCCGATGGTTAGGTTGGTGCAGTACGATAAGTGGACTCTTTCAAGGCAGTCTTGTTCTCCTCGACGTCTCACCAACTCTAAAATTCCGGAATCGGAAATCAAACTGCATTTTACCAACCCAATACGACGAAGTTTAGGCAAATTGGCAAGCTCCACTAGCGTCCAGTCTGTGAGTTGTGAACAACATGCCAAATCAATGTATTGTATTCGGTGGCATGATCTGACCAATGAAGCAACACCAAAATCAGTGATTAACGCACAATGACCAAGATGAATATAATGCAAGCTGCGTCCCAATTGTGACAATGCTCTTAAAGAAGCATCGGTTATTTGCATGCACTTGGATAAGACGACATTACGCAATCTTGGGGCGCATATCACGAGTTTTTCAACAAGCTTATCAGTGATAGCATTGCACCCTGTGATATCGATGATTCTGAGCTTTTCAAGGAAGAAATGGTTGGGTAATCGCTCAAGTAGCTTGTCCGTTATTCCAGCAGCATTACTTATTCTGAACTCTCGCAACTGAGACAAGTTTAAGAAAATCAACTTCAAGTACTTGTCAGTTACTTTTGGGCAGTTGTGAAGATCAATCTCAACGAGGGACTTGCAGTTTTCATACATAGCACTGATGGTTTCGTCTGTGATATTCTCCGATCCGTTAAACTTGACTCTTTTGAGCATTGGGCACGAGGTCAACAACTTTAAAATGGCTCTTTCACTTACATTACCACAACCAGGAGCATAGAGCCCTTGAAGTCTGGGGCAGTTGTCAGCTAACGCATATATGATATCATCGTGGATGTGGGTGACTCCGGTTAAATCAATGGATTGAAGTTTTTCGCAATTCTTTAACACTTCAGTAATGGGGTAATGAGTAAGCTTTGTACAGTTAACAAGGGTGAGGCGCTCCAATTTGGGGCATCCTACGAATAAGGATAGCAAGTCGTCATCCACTAGCTTGGTCATGAAGGAAAGGTTGAGTCGCTTGATGAAGGATCTATAATCCCAATGTGTGGACAGTTTTGGAAGTTTCATTATGGCTTTGATTTTGTTGAACGACGCGTCATTCTGCATGTTTGGTCGAAACCACAAGATTTCTATAATGAGATCGGCAAACTCGCGGCACACCGTGAGCAACGAGTACAAGTCTCTTCTGTCTAGGTGGTTGAAGATCTGAAGTAGTACTTCTGTTGGGAGTTTTAGTAATGGAGAATTGCGGTAATTAAGTTCCTGAATTTCGCTTTTTTGGGCTGCAGCAGAGTTTCTTCTCTGTGTGATCGATTCCTTGAGTTGTTTGTAATCATCAGGACCTTCATTTTGCATGATGAAATCAAACTTCAATGCATGATGATTGCGATTATTCACGTCAGGACTTGCTGCTGAGAAACGAAAAACCTCATTAGAGAGCTGATCTGGCAAATTGGAGTCGCCGTTACTACTGGGAGAACTCATAGTATACTTTTTGGAGGTTTCTTTTTGACAAAGTAACGAAAGCGGAAAAGGTCGAAGCCAGCCAAGATCGCAGTCACAAACAGACACCGATACTCTAAAGATATGGAAGTCTCAAAGCTCGTCTACGTCCGGAAATATAACGCTCAAAGTCAGCTCAACACTTTGCTGACTACCAGGACCTAGATTTGCGGCAAAAGAACTGAAGGTATATGATACAATCAGTGAGCGTGTTTGCACAAAGGCGCCCCCCTCTGGTATCTGCAGGAAAATTACTGGAATCGGATCATCGGGCTCGTATACAAGACCGGTGCCTGGGCCCTCGAATGTTGGGAAGATCTAATTTTTAATTTCAGTAAATAATAATTATGGACATGAGTACTGGTCTATAAACGTTCAAAAGAACAGGGTTCGCTTGTTCAGCTGCATGACTCCTGGTGTCCCAGGATTGGAATTGTAGCCAAGCGCGGCTGAGCTCAATGACAATTGTTCAAGCTGTTGCATAACCGCCGCGTCTTGATATTGTGATGCGTCAGGACCGCCTTGAAGACCGCCGTTTTGGGGTGCAACTCCATTGTAGCCATATGGAAGTGGAATTTGGCCGCTCATGGGTGCATTGTATGGTGCTGGAACTTGTCCAATGTATGGATTCGCATACTGGCCTGAGGTTGGCATGCCATAATGTGGGTTCAGGTTACCACTGGCACCGTGGCTACCTCTATGGCCTCTCTTTTGTTTTCTTCCTCCCGTTGATCCAGACCGGTTCAAACGGTTACTTGCGAGACCAACCTCGTCCATCAACTTGCGGTAAGGTTGAACATTGACGATATTAATTTCAAGTAAAATACGTCTGATCATCGACACAACATACTGGTGATAGTTGTCATTCCAGATATCATTGCCTGGTGACATCAAAGGAGGATTCGATACGATTTTGTAAAGGAAAAGTGGACCTGCGTTATTTTCCAGTCCTTCGGCCAAAAGATGCTCTAACAAATCTGTTGGAACACCGTTCTCATTGTTGATATCATATGCCCCAAAAATGCGGTTTAGGATACGTTGCGACAGTTCTGGATCGCTTCTGTTGCTCAATATCTTCAATACTGTTAAGTTTGCAAGCTTGTGGGTGCAAAATTCTCCCAAATTGGAGATGACCTTGTCTGTAACAAGTTTGTAGCGAAGGTCTGGCGATTTGTCAAAACCATTGAACGTGTCCAAAAACCAGGTGAGTAATAAAGATCCATTGGGGTTGACAATCAAATCGTTGGCATACTCAACTATCAACGATGCCACAAGTGCTACTTGTTCTCTTGATATCGCATTGTCTTTGCCGCACAGTTCAAGCATGGTTCTGATGCACCGAGCTCCGAAACGGCCATTGCTAATCTCAAGAAAGTTATCAAGAATGGTCTCGATAATGAAATCGTTGAAGGGAGATCCAAACTTGATACATCCTTGCAAAACATAATTTCCAAATTGGTCATTAAACATCTTTAACGAGTATGGCTTTAAACTCTCTGCAATGACATTCATTTGGTTGTAGTCTTTATCGCACAAATTAATAATTTTTTGAATAGCCCAGGTACCATTCTTGTGTATACCAAGCTGGGTCAAGTAAGGTGCAATCTCATGGACCATGATGAGTTTGATCGCCGGTGACTTGATGACTGCAAAAAGCTTTTGAATAACCGTGTTTCCCAAATAGTCATAACAGAGCTCGGGGAGCTCATCGAGCATGGAAATAGCAAGTTCATCCAAATCTGCATCGGACATTTCTCGTTTGTCCTCTGGACGTGACAGTTCTTTCTCGCAGGTTTCGAGACTCTTTCTCAATTCCCTAAGCTTCGGCGAGTCAAATTGGCGCAAAGGAATTGGTTCGGGAAGTGGTCCGAAATTAGCCTTATAATTTTCATTAGGATATCTGATAGCAGATTGTATCATGGAACGAACCTTGTTCATATCAATGTCATAAGGGGCAATCAGTGCCACTGAACTCAAGAGTGATAGCTGAATATTCACAAGGTCAATAGGCAGTGACTTGGTTGGAGATTCCGTACGCCTACCTTTGGAATTAGGACTTGTTTTCGAGTTATTAGTTTTAGCGACATTTTGTTCGGTAGGTGACTTGTCGAGCACCAGGGCAAATGCAGCATAAAGAGTAATTCCAGGAACCAACTCAAGATGATTAAAATTAGCTTTTAACGTCATAGCAATTTCCACGCTGCAGCATTCCACCAATGCCAATTTTGACGATTTGGTGGTGGTTACCTTCAAGCTCTTAATACTTCCTTTGGCTCTAGTGCCTAACGAATTGCTGAGTATGGACCATAGCTTGATAGAGTCTATGAAGTTGGGCAAATTATCAAACAAAAGGAAGTTGGTGGGCCCCAAGTTAGGGTTATCAAAGTTTGTGGTGATCCTGAAGTCTGAGAAATCGATATCATCTTGTAAAACAGGCTGTTGTGCGAGTATCTGATTTCTCGCTTGCTCTTGTTGTTGCTCCTGTTGAATTAAGTAGTTTTGAGCTAGAATCAGCTGCTTCAGTAATACAGCATCAGCTTCAGCGGGAGCTCCAGAAAACGTTTGAGCTCTATTTCTGTTGTGCATCGTGTTCATAGATGCCATCAAGTTATCTAATAAGACGTTCATATCATTAGACTGAGACAGAGATCCATGGAATGGAGATGTTGAGAGTCTCGACTGACCGGAGGGATCTACAACATGTAGTGGGGTCGCTTGAGATGCCATTGAGGGCATGCCAGCACTTACAGGAACCGCACCTGTGGTAGTATATGATCGGTTGCGGTTTGTCTGGGCGCCAGCGGAAAGAGTGGATTGAGGTGGATAGCCATGCATAGCAGAAAAAGACTGGGGAACAGTGCCTTGGTATTGTTGAGGGCCAAGAGCGGGACTGAAAAAGCTTCCACCATTGCTGTTGCTACCCGAATGAACGCTCGAATTGTCCAAAAGAGAAGGACCATTTCCCTGCGACGGCGAATGTTGAAGAGCATCATCATTCCAGATCGAGTTTGTGGAAAAAAGAGAGCCGGACCGCATTCTTCGGGTACTTCCATTGGACCCAGGAATGTCCATGCCCTCCTTTTCTAAAGGAGGCGAGCTAGCAGGAATTCCCAATGTAAATGAATCCATATATGGGATCCCCAAAGGTTCGGAATTGCCAATTGCGTTTAATGGCGAATGAGATTGGTTGAAACCTGCTGGAGATGAACCATGAATGAACGATGAGGGTAAGGTGCCCGCTCGACTACGGGACTTTTGCTGTACATCTGCCGAAGGTGTGAGCGATATACCGGGAGTGGTTGAATTAGAATCCATCACCAACGCTACAAATGTCGAGGTTTGCAATCTGGTTCAATGAATAATAGGAGGTGTGAAGCCGACCACTTCACAATATTGTTTTCAGTTTTCAAGCCAGCCTCGAGTCTTGGAATTGAAGGCGCTGCACGAATGTCACTAGATTACTATATGTGCCAGTTCAAACGATCGATTATGAAGAATGAAACGTTGCCGCAATACCCGAAAGCAATTAGCGAAATGTGAAAATGTGCAGCGTTTGAATCTGTGAAACGATCCCGGTTTAGTTCTGGATTTCTAGCAATCAAGATATCTTTCGTTCAGCTCCTGAACGACAAGTATGGTTAAATACCCAAAATTGTGAAATAAATGGTGGGCCGCTGTGTCTCCAACCACGACACTTGGCACCCGCCGGGCTGCCTGCAGGACAAAGCCTCACTCATAGCCTCCTTGGCTGAGACGAGGCTTACAATGCAAATAGGAGCAGTGCGAAGCGTAGACATATGTGACATGCTGCAGTCTGCGCCGTGTAGCAGATAACAAAATTGGGGAAGAAAGGTGTCAGCAATATAGCTAAATATGGTGGATGAATGTGGGACCCAAACACCTACCGCTAAAAAAAGATAGGAGTAGCGTGTGAATGATGAATTACATATTGTTGAGATTGTTGGGGTAAAATACGGTAGTAATGGAGTTGGTTTTGTAACTTTGACGTGGTAACAATGGTGTATGGAGTTAATAACAATTTGCAAATATTCGATTTTTTCAAATTTTGCACCCATTACTATTTTCACATTATAAAATTCAAAGTTGAATATTGAAAAAAATAGACATAAAACAGTCATGACCCTAAATCCGCATACACTCTACCACAATTCACCTAAATTCGCTATTCGTGAATCTCAGCTACCGCTCTTCATCTCTTCATCTTCTTCATCTCTGTCTTCGTCTTACCTGCAGTACTCCTACATGTAGCACCTTTGTGGACCACGCTGCAAACGAAACCTAGGCTTTTTCAGGCCATTCCAATACACTGATATTCATCAATTTCTATAAATTGATACCCAAAACGCAATGGCATCACTCCAACAATACATAATTGACGTTAAATCTGCAATTTCTAACGAAGATTCCATCAAGTTGAAGGACTTGATTTCAATACGGCCTCAAGGTGAAGAGGGTATTAAGCGGTCACAATTCGATATACCGTCCTCAGCTGATGTATCTGTGCTTCCCGAAAGATTTCAGTCGGTGGTCACTTCATACATTCAACTTTTAAAACTGGTCTACATTCAATCAGATATCAAGGCTGCTTTCAAAGACCTCAATACTTTAACAACTAACCTTATTCGAGCCGCCGAGTCCCAAACTAACTGGATAAACCTTCCGTTGATCAACGCCTGCAAAGAGCTCATTTCCGTATACCAAGTACAACAGAAAAACTTTCCTGATGAGGAACCAGTTAATGACATTGTCGTCGATGCCGCTGCCACAGAAACCGGAAAAGCATCACCAACTCTCGAATTGTTGGTTACTACCATCAACAAAGCGTTCAAGCTCTCGTTGACAGACAAAACCCTCGAACTTGAGCATCAAAAGCGTCGAGATATCTACTTTTTCTTGGGTTGTTTGCTTCAATTATACTTCAAAATGGGCAAATTGGAGCTTGCAAAGTCGGTTCAGAAGGCAATAAAAGGCACACGGCTTCTGCTTCCTAATTTTTCTACTAAGAAACGTAAGAAAGGGCTCGCAAGTCCCATTTCAACGAGATGGTACGAAGTGTCATACTTGTACTACAGTGCATTGTTGTATCTTGACGATATGGATTTTGTTCAGGCCGAAGAAAGATTATCGACTGCTTTTGCGTTAATATCATACTACTCCGACAAGGAAGCTGCTTCAAAGCATACGGAAAGAATCTTATTGATCCTTATACCTTTAAAACTTCACAATAGTCGCTTGACTCCCTCACAAGAATTATGGGACCAATTTCCCACACTTCGCGAGATATACCGTGACAATCTTTTCAAGGCCGTGTACAATGGTAATCTCCAACAGTTTGACGAATGCTGTAATCGGTATAGAATGTTGTTTTTAAAGAAGTACTTGTTCTTACTCATTGAGCAATTGCGGCCCCTCTGCTACTTGAAGTTGACCCGCAAAGTTTGCCTCATCTACAAGGAACTCAACAAAGATCCCAAAACCGATCATATAGTACCGCTCTCTGCAATCCAAGTTGCTTTTGAAATGTCCGGGTTTTATGGTGAAACCATCGATTTCAGCGAGCGGTCATTCTACTACACTTTAGATGCTCTTGAATGCATTTTGGCCAACCTTATAGTGACAGGACGCATCAAAGGCTACATTTCTCACTCCAACAAGTGCATTGTGTTGTCCAGAGCGACTCCATTCCCACCCCAAGTGATCAAGCCTTAAGTACTCATCTTGCAACCGACCGCACGTGACGCGACCGGGACACGCCGCGGCCGAAAAAAAATTGTTGACTTGCTTACACACTGTGTAAATGGTAATACCGTGAAAAATTACCTTCCAACATAGTTGAAATTCACTACCTAAGCAAAATATAACCCGCAATCATGTCTTTCATCAACATTTGTCGTGACAACACTGATCCGTTTTATCGGTACAAGATGCCTCCAATCCAATCAAAGGTTGAAGGAAGAGGAAATGGTATCAAAACTGCCATCGTCAATTTAAGCGAAGTTTCTCGTGCACTTGGTCGTCCTGCTTCGTACATTGTCAAGTACTTTGGCTCAGAATTAGGTGCTCAGACCTCTATGGATGAAGACAAGAACCGTTACTTGGTGAATGGTGTTCACGATGCCAATGAATTGCAAGATTCCTTGGATGGATTCATCAACAAGTTTGTGTTGTGTGCAAACTGTAAGAATCCTGAAACTGAGATTCAGATCAAAGAGAAGGATAATTTACAGCGTGACTGTAAGGCTTGTGGACATGTTTCCATCATCGACCCCAGACACAAGTTGTCTACTTTTATATTAAAGAATCCTCCAGCAGGTGCCAAGGGTGGCAAAAAGGGAAAGAAGGCTGCTACTGCTACTGCTAACGTTGTAGGTGGAGGAAAATCGATTTCTGATATCGCTTCTGGCCAGCAACAAGAAAACGGCAGCGGTGACGTTGGTGACGACGATGACGATGTTTTAACTAGAAAGATCAATGCCGAGGCTGCTGCATTGAAAGCCGAGAGCATTGAAGTCAATGATGACGACTGGGCTGTTGATATGTCGAAGGAAGCTATCGAGGCCAGAGCCAGAGAATTGGAAGGTTTGTCGTTACAAGGAGACCAAGAAAAGTACAACGAATTGGGCGAATGGATCTTGAAAGGCCGTGAAGAGGATGAGTTGCCTAGCGACGTTGAGATTTACAAAAAGATTGTTGAGCTCGATATCTTAGAAGAACCAGAAACTGTTCAAGTTTTGGCCCAGGTCTTGTTTGACGAAGAGATTGTCAGTGAGCTTGAAGAGCACGCAGGTTTATTGACAAAGTTGATCAACCAACAAACTGAATTGGAGAAAGCGTTCATGGGAGGATTGGAGAGATTCTTGGGTATGGAGAAACCCGAATTGATTCCTGCGTTGCCCAAAATTTTGATGTCTGTTTATGAACATGATATCGTCAATGAGAATGTTATTCTTGCATGGGGAAGCAAAGTGTCCAAGAAATACGTCGCTAAGGATATTTCTAAAAAGGTTCGTCGTGCCGCTAAACCATTCATCAAGTGGTTGCAGGAAGCTGACGAGGAGAGTGACGATGATGAGGAATAGACATCGTTTCATATAGCTAATCATTATACATAACGAGCACTAAAATGACAGAGTAAATACAACCGAATACAAGGAGAAATACAAATATACATACTCATTAAGCTTAAATAACATAAAGGGAACTATTTCTTAAAATCCTCAACGCTCCTTCCGGTCTGTTGTTTCAAATACTTATCGGCTTCCTTTGAAACGTAATCATAAACCAAGTTTTTCTGTTTGAAATACCCGCTATTTCTCAAGAGAGTCACTGTATAATCATATAAACGCTCTCCCAATCCGAGATACTTACCAAACCACGTCCTGAAATCGACTGATGATAAAGTGGAAGTATCAAATTGAAGCCCAGTGTTACGATTAATTCCAGCAAGAATAATTGATATAAGGACCAAGTCAAACGAGTAGTGAGCTAGTTTACCAAGCTGTATTAGAACGTATTTGTGGAAGCCTAAACTGGTATTTACTTACAGGCATATTGAAAGGTTTATCTATTCAATTGTCGCGAGCACAAAATTAGTTGAACTTGTGACTGCATATACAGCCATAGTTATGCACCGTTGCAAAGCCTTTTGACATAATTGTCCCCACCAGTCCACTCCTTAGTCCGTTTTGTAGCCTGAGAAGTTCCGAATCTTAATAACAACTGCTTGTAATTCAATTCGAATTGAGCTGACGCAACGTTATTTTTCCATCTTTTCGTATCACTCTGCTTTTGTTCAATATACCCAAGAGCACCAAACTTGGTAATTAGTAAATCGTTGCCCATATCAAGCGACTGGATCTTATAGATGAACTTCAATATTTCACTGAAAGTCTTGGGAGGTGTATACGGTGAGTTCAGAATATCAAGAGCCCATTCAAGTACACCTTGGTTACCTATGAGTCTCAAGTCCTCAGAACATATTCCACTAGTCAATGCTTCGAGTAGCCACGAGATTTCCTTGTAGTAGTTCTCACCAGCTACCGCACCTTCAATTGCTTGTGACTTGGTGATACCATGGTACATTGGAATATCATGAGCACGCAATGAAGGGTTTGAGAGCACAAATCGATAAGCTCTATCGTACATGAAATGCCCTGGGTTTCTCAAAATTGGTATTAAAGCACCATAGAGATTCCATACCAAGTTTGGAATTTCAACTTTTTTTATTATCGTGTTGAGAATGATGTTCAAGTAAACTTTGAATATCACCTTGTCTTTATAGGTTTCGAAACCTGCGTCAGATTTTGCAATACCTCCAATTATTCTCGTTACAGATTCCAGAACTGCAGAATTGCCAATATTCTGAACAAGAATTTCGAGAATCCCTGTCTCTATAATATTTCTCACATTGAAGACTGGCACATCATCTCCGTTTTCATTTGTGCTGAGGCTGATGAGTTCACTATGACACAAGGTCACCATGGCTATGAATTGTGGATCATAACTTGAAGGACCATTAAGACGGATTTCTTTGGTTGTAAAAAATGACTTGATTTCTTTTAGAAAATCTGACGTTTGAACCTTCTGCTTCTGTATGATCTTGGAAAGTGCCGCAGGAGTCTCTATATCAGAGACGGCTCCTCCTCGTATAGTGTTATTAATGGTGTTCTTAGATATGGTAACCAGCAACGAATCTTTTGAATTTTTGATGAGTGGCTCTTCGGTCACCAAACTAAGGTCGGATTCGCTGAGCTCTTCGGCCACATCCCATCTTGCTACATCATTAACCCAAGAAAGATTCACTTTGGCTTCTATATCTTGAAGCACTTGTTTCAAGAGAATGTCTTCTGGACGAAGAGACCCCGAGTAGTAGCAGATCAAGTTGTTTTGCAAAAAACGGGCTGCCTGCTTGCTATTTTTGAAATACAATAGGAAAATTATCAACCCACTGTACGAGCGAATACTGGCAGAGCCCAAGTTTGTCGTTAAAATGTTTGCCTCATTATTAATGAAGATCTGAAGAAATTTAGAAGCGTCAATCTCGGAATGCTTTGCACAGCAGATTATAGAACAAACATATTCAAGATAAAGCTCATTCAAGATCCACTGCGAATGCTGTAATATAACCTCAAGTTGAGTGTCCAAGATACGACCAGAAATCTGACTCCATAATCCAGAATTGAGGCTGGAAAGCAATTTGATCAACGAGTCGATAAGCTCATCAAAGCTTTGGTTTTGCTTGGTCAATTCTGCAAATCGCTTGGTGACAACTAGGAGAATACCTTGAATCCATGGTATGGCTCGAGGAACAAGATTGTCAACTTTCACCGCCTCCTGCAAGAACGTAACAAATTGGCAATTAAAAGCCAAACTAGAACTATTCTTCTTTATCACTCTCACAACCAAATCGAAAGATTCAGTAGCATCAGCGATACCCAATTGTAAACCACAAGATAAAACTTGCAAGCATTCTTGCCAGTGTTCTTCAGAGTTCTCTAGAGACTCGAGAAAAGCGTAAATGTATTGCACAACTTCCAAGATGAAGGAACTCAAATCATCACCGACTTCTTCACGGACTTTTTCCACATTGAACGAGCCGCTGATAGCAGCCGCAATGGATATACTTGAGGCAGTACCTAAAAACTGAGATTTATCGGCCAAGATTATTTCTGTCAAAGTTTGCTTGTTGTTCTGATTGTCGATGAGAACTTTCAAAAGAGGAATGTTAAACTTGCTTCTGATTATTGTTCCAACCACTTTCTTGAGATTTTGTTCATCAAGTTGAATCAAGCCATATGACATGGCAATTTTAAGAACAGGAAGTTCAAGTTCCGAGGACTCTAAAACTCTGATTAAAGACCCAACAGAAAGGGATAGCCTTCTGTGAATGGCCAATTCAAAAAGATGTTTCAAAACTCCTTTGCCAACATTTTCGTCCATCAAACTTAAGACAGCTTTGCTAGACAAAATCCAAGAAAACTTGCATAAAAACTCTTGACTAGCGATTGCCATATCGCTGGAATTATGGAAACAATCCAGAATGAATTTCACGTATTCGGTGTCTTGCAATTGACTTCGTTTCGTATCGTCAATTACATCATATACCGAACTGTAGATTTCGTTAAGCAACTCGGAAGAAAAAGCTGTATCGACACTCAAACCAGAACTAAGATCCTCCATACTCAATGACAAGCTGCCCCAAAATGGACGCTTGAAGATGTACGCCTCCAAAGATTTATTACTTGGCACATTGTAAGCCATGTATTGTGCCGCTTTGGACGCCAAGTCAGCAAATACTTCATTTTCTGAGGACGTTATGTTTGCTGTCTTCATGAAATACCACAAGGCAGCAAAGTCGGTGCTTGTGAATACGACTCTTTGACTCAAACTCTTGTCTTTTCTCAATTCCTTGACAGTTTTACCCATAATAAAGTCCGCAAAACTGTCTTCGTTGTGTTTAACATGGACCAAAGAAATTTCCTTTATGTTTTCTTCCGGAATGAATTTGTTCCACATTTTCACAAGTCCATCTTCAGGTTCACCAATGATTAACAATTCACGAGAAAGTACTTGAAGCCATTCGAGCACGGATTTTGAACGGTTGAATATATACTGTTCGAACAATGCAACGATGAAAGGACTCACGTCGCCAAACTCTTGGTGGGACATATCCAAATACTTGTATGGTGTTTTGGTAGCGTACCCAAGAGACAGGTCCATGAGTGTGTAAACTTGTTTTTCATTTATCTTGTTGCACAGACGAACCAAGCTTGCAATTGGGGATGCCAATAACTCCTTCTTGAATATGAGAGAGGTTTCAGTGAATTTCAATATCCTTTCTTGTATTCTGGCTCGCGAAGATGGAGGAACAGCGACAGTTAAGCGGATCAAGGTGGTGAAAAGAGAGTTGCGTCCATCCGTAGCTGACCACCATTTGAGTTCCTGTTCGTTTTGTTCGTAGGATTGGATCTCCAAGAGCTTATTGAAGCAAACTAAGTCATAGGGTGTAAATTCAGAAACATCTCGTTCCAGAACCATTGCGGTGATATTCGAATGTGTAACCTTCGACACCAACGAAAAGCCGGAAGGGCGAGCAATCGAAAGTGGATACAATTCTTCGTAGAGCTGAACTATTTTCAAAGCCGTGAGTTGTCTCAACTTGTCTTGCTTTGCTTGGGAATCGTTTTTTAATGCTTGGCCGATTTGTTCAACTTCTGGAAGCATATCGAACACAAGCTCACACAAAGTTGATTTTTGAACATTAGTGAGGTGATGCTGAAGACTTTTGACGGCGCTAAGGACCAGAAGCAATAATTGCCTTGAAATTTGCAGGCATAAGTCAATCTTGGATTCGATACCTTTGAGGAAAGAAGCCTTAGACAATGGAGCAGGACATAAACATTCAAAGAGTAATGAAATGTCCAATACTCCACTATTAGAGCTCTCAACAGGCAACTTTATTTTCAAGATTTCAGTAAACAATAAACTTCGCCCTATCCACCATGAAGTTAAGGAAGGATCATGATACCCACCCCCTGTTTGAACACACCAGTTCAAGTAAGGTGCAATCAATTCGGGACATTTGGTTAAGAATTTCAGTCACAATAGCCAATTGTTGGAATGTTTCACAAGGCTTCAAAGTTGTCAAAAAGGTGAAAAGAAGTTTATTATGAACCTTGAAAGATTTTCCATTAACATTGAGTGGAGTACCATAGTTTGTAGTGAGCAAGCACTGATTGTTTGGAAAAAGTAACCCTTCGCTGGAAGAGGTGAATGATTTCACAAATTGAATGAACTGAGATGTAAAAGTGGCATCTTGTAATCGATTAAACAACAACTGTAATTTGAACATAAAGTTCTCGTTAAGTATCTTGCACTTGGTCGAGCGCTTAAAGCTTGCTTCCTTGAGTATAGCCGACTCTATCCATTCTATGATGATCAGAAGTGTTCCAATCGAATCCGAACCAGCCATAAACTTCCATAAATTATTCATGATTTTTGGTTTATTTACAAGCAAGTCCTTCCGAATATGGCTTGGAACCGAGGTGGTAAGTGCTATCCAAAAGCGGATAAAGTTATGACGAGTGTTTAGATGATCATTGGACTGACTAATAGGGCCATCTTGTCCTTTAGGTGGAACCAATAAATTGGGAAGTACGGTCAAGTTGAGATCAAAATTGTCAATGAGTACAGTGGCCAAAGATGATTGGAAAGTCACGATGTTCAGCATGAGGCGAAGTATTGGGTTAGTTATGGCTGGTCTGTTGTTATTGAGGGCTCTGTACAAGATTTTTGAATGACTTTGAAGGATTTCTTGATATCTTTCAACGATTTGGGGACGCATTTCCATCAACTCCAATTGGGCTTGAAGCCCTTCTTTCAGATCCGACGCTACCTTTTCATTTACGAACACGTTTTTAATAGCACTGCTGAGCCTGGCAAGCTTTACCGATGTTTCAATGAACAGACTATGATCATTAACCGACAAGAAATAAGCCCAGGCCGAAATTGAGCGGGCAAAATGTCCATCTTTGATGAAAAAGACAATCGATTCTGGTTTCCCCGACGAAGCTGCATCAAGGTGTTCCAACGCCTTGCCGTCGACGTTCGCAGTGGGCGTTCTAGCCATTTAGCTCAATAATCAAGAGTGAATCGAGATGCGATAGCTGAGCGCGCGATGAGATGCGAATGACACAAAGTGGAGAGAAAAGATCGTGAATGAAGCATGATATAAATGTGACTACTTGTGCTTATGCATGCTATAGCTTGGTGCTATGAGATGAAGTGGGTCTTTTTTTCTGATCATGACTTAAAGTTTCCGTTATATATTCTTAACAACCTCTTATTAAGTGCTGACCAAATTCTCCGAGTAAACTTCCAGATGGCTGATTTAGGATTTGATCGGAAGCAAGGTAACAAAAGTTAACAATCACTGATTCAGACGCTTCGATACGGAATTGCAGTCTGCAAGTATTGAACACTTCATATTACTATAATTCAACACATTTCAGTTAAAATTATGACATGGCTGCAACAACTCAAGAAGACCACAAGAATGAGCAAGAAGATATCTGGAGTATACTTCCATCTTACCACATGTTCCGATCCACCGTTAGTCTTAGCGTGTTTGATGTAGGGGATGACACAGATGATGAGGATAGCTACTTTCCTCCCTTATACTCGCCCAGCTTGAGTGATTCACTGACGGTAGAAAGTACCAGATCGCTGAATATTGTTGACCAGCCGTTACTACCTGCCAAACACAACGTCACCAACAATATGCTTTCAATGAAAAATTACACCCACAACGAGGTTTCTCTGCAATTTGCAGTTGATATTCAATTCATTCGTACGATTGGAGAGATAGGCAAACCCAATGAATTGGTCGATGTTTCCAACTGCTCATTCAAGCCAGGAAGCACCGTCAATGGTTTCTTCACTTTCAGGAACTCGTCGGATCGTCCAGTCAAATTTGATCATCTCTATGTGATGTTGGAAGGTACTATCACTATAGGTACTACCCGGAAAAAGTTCTTGGAAATGATGGATATGTCGGCGTCGTGGTCGTTTGGACGCATCAACAGACTTCTTTATGAGTCGAACCATAGCAACGACTGGTCAAATATCAATGATTCGGATGGAATCAGACTTGCCATTGGTCCAGTGAGAATCATCAAACCAAAAACAACTTATAAGCTTTATTTCACTTTTAAGTTGCCCCAGAGGCTACTTGACACTGCGTGCTCTTCGCAATGCACAAGTCACTGTGCTATGCCGTCGTCTTTGAAAACGGAAGACTATACTATCTCATATAATGTCAGTGCTCGTTTCATCAGCACCAACAGCCGGGTTCTAGGCACTTCAAGTGACCCTGAGTATGTAATCTTCAAAGAAGCTTGCAAGGAGATTCATGTTGTCTCCAGTTCAAATTATGAAGAAGAGGAAGAGCAATTGGAAAAATTCGAACAAACGGCGAGGTACGAAATTGAAAGAGGTCAACTTTTGCGCTTGCAGGCAGCTCGCAATGTATTGTCGATTCCTCTTGAATACAAGGGTTCTCTCAGAAAGCACAAAGAAGACTCACTTGGAGGAAAAGACGAAGTCACCAAGTTGGCTCTGTTCCCTGTTCGAAAACGCTTTTTCGTTTCGAAGGTATCCATGAAAATTTGCACGCCCAGAAAGAGCTACTTTTTCAAGCCAGGAACCGCGGGCCAAATTGCGATTCCTTTAACCATAAGCTCCTCGACTAAGCCAAGTGTGAAGCTGTTTAAAATTCAAATTGAGGCTGTTACAGTTAAAGGCCCAACCACTGCCATACCAATCGAGATTCTGCACAAGTTTATAATAAGAGAACTAGATGCTGGGAGAACGCCAATTGTTTCAATCTTCTCCAAATTGAGACAAGAAATAGAGCAGCTAGAAAAATCGGTTGAAGACTTCCAGGCAGATAGGAATCTATGGAAGACTCTCAAACTTTTGTTATCAGCCGCTGTGGATGTTAAGACTCTTGATGTTGAGTCGCATTTAAGTTCTTCGAGTCTCGAAAAAGTTAATTCTGAGTTTCGTCAAAGTTTAGTGCTTAGTGGAAATTTGGGTGCAAAATTTTGCAGCTCACCACCCACATTCCAAACTTGTAACGTTTGTCGCTTTTACATCCTCGTGGTGAACGTTAACCAAAATACAAAGCTTCGCTTACCGTTAGTGGTTCAATGACCGAAATTTAAGAAATAGTGTTTGAAATATGATTTAGATACGAGGCATATCAATGCTGGAACTACGTCTCCAAATATTCACTTATCACTAAACTACCCAAGTTTTTCAATCACCTTTTAGTCGCGATTTAAGCTTTTAACCGAGACTTAAATCGCGTTTGCAGCGTAGATTAAAGTAGCGACATTCTCATCATAAACTTCTTCTTCGCACATAAAAAATAATCGTAATTTTTCGTAACTAAATCGGGGCGCGGTTACTCCTGATTACCGTTTGTTCCAAAAGTGTGACTTCAAACTAATCTTGACAGCCTCTTGCAAACTAGTGACATCACGTTTCCCCTCTGTAACTTCATCTATTTATAGGAAATATGCCCTTTACATTTCAACCCGCATTAGAATACCTGCATGGTCTTAAGTGGCTTGCCTATTGCAGATACCATCTGTGGGGCAATGCTGGGTTAACTGCGGGTGGTGGGATGCGCCAGCATGCGCCCCCATTCGTTACCTAATCGCGTGTTGCAGTTCTCCATATGACGTCACATATTCTAAAGTTTGTTTGAGGCCGCAGAGAGGGGTAACTTTTTCTCGGAAAACAATAGCGGTCAGATCAATAAAAAAGGGCCCCACCTAGGTTACATTTCTTTCTCACTCTTTTCTTCTATTTTTGTGATTCTTGAATCTCAGTTGATGTTTATGTATTATGGGAAATGGCCTTGTTACTGGTAAGTATCGTTACCTATTTTTGTTAAATTGGATTGAATTTCCGAGATTAAAAATTTGACGTCGTTCTGAATATGCTTCTTAATACGCTATACAGAAGTTTTTGTAACTTCAGAGACCGCTCAATTCCAGTTGGATTCGATAAAACGTTAGAATAGTTTGATACTACTGGTGTTCCCGAAAGTGATACATCCTTTAATTTCTGGTCAACTTGCTCAAGATAAGCAGCTTGACTCTCGGAACTGGTCAAGTTTTTCATCCGGAACTTATAATCAGGTTTTGGCCCTTAATTGCCACTACCGACAATAGTGTGATAAATTACGAGCTTTACTAACGCAGAATTTTAAAAAACTTTTTGCTGCGGAGCTGAGCTCCAGCTCGACCCATGAGGTGGAGAATGGTGCTTCATCAAATACATCTGTATCGGAAGCATCACCACCAAGCAAGAAGTTGGCTGATTTTCAGATTTCCAGCCCTTCATCAGAAACACACTCATCCTCCCAGTATCCCGACTTGCCCCCAAAATACCAATTATTAGAGGTTCTAGGTGAGGGTGCATTTTCTAAAGTTTACAAAGGCATGAATAAGATCACCCAAGAAGTGGTCGCCATCAAGATTATCAACAAGGAAAACTTGTCTGCCAAGCAAGCAGCAAATATCAAGAACGAAATTAATGTCCTCTCCAAAGTTCATCACAAGAATGTCCTTAGGTTAATTGAGCTGTATAACGAGCCCAATACCAAACATTGCTACATTATATTGGAATATTGTGACGGAGGTGAGATTTTCAACAAGATTATCGAGTATACATATTTCAGTGAGGATCTCTCTCGTCACACTTTTACGCAATTGCTTTCAGCAATAGATTATTTGCACAACAAGGCTGGGATAGTCCACAGAGATATCAAGCCAGAAAACCTCATTTTCAAGAAGATTCCTATGAAACCTAGATCAGAGGAGGAGTTTAAGAAAACGCTCAGAAAATCAGATGATGAGTCCAAATCCGACGAGGGCATTTTTGAGCCAGGAAAGGGCGGTGGTACGATCGGTGTTATCAAGCTTGCGGACTTTGGCTTGGCTAAGCAACTAAAAACTGACCGCAGTCGCTTCAATGCCATAGACACAAATCTAAAGACACCATGTGGTACAGCTGGTTACACTGCTCCTGAAGTCATCACCTGTAACACTGACGACTTGGGTCGTAAGCATCGCAAGTTTCCAAACAATATATCGAAAAAGAACTATTATTCCAAAGCTGTTGATATTTGGTCTTTGGGATGCTTTCTTTATACAATTCTTTGTGGCTTTCCTCCATTTTACGAAGATGACCATGATAATTTAACCAAGAAGATTGTTAACGGTGACTACGTGTTTTTAAAACCATGGTGGGATGAGATAAGTTCGGAAGCCAAACATTTAATTACAAGAATGCTCGATGTTAATCCAGAATCCAGAATCACGATTGACGAGATATGGGCCCATCCATGGGTGAAAAATGATGTGAATGAAACTTTGGTAGCTCCGGAAAGTTACTTTGCCGAGGCAGACGACTACTCAGTTTCCCACATTGAGAATGTTATCCCAGAAAAGTCTGAACAAAAAGAGGGACATATGATGGTACCATCAAGTAAAGATCCATTGCTCTCACCACGCGCAAACGCTATCAAGACGGTGTTCAATAATCCTGCTATGGGAAATAGCAAGTCTATTTTGAAGAAGTATGGTGTCACAAATTCGTCGGTTCAGTTCATCGATGGAGTTACTGACGACATTAGGTATCTCAAAGTGAGCCCTACAAATAAGATAAGCTCATCTTCGGATAATGACAGTTACTTGAGCGACTCTACGAGAAGAATATTACCAAAGAGTCCGGTTCCATCTAAAGAACTAATTGGTAAATTAGGTTTCAAGGATGTCTTTGTACAAACTCCTACGCAAATGACTGTACATGAGGAACATGCATCGGATGATGATGACGATTCAAGCAATGATGATGAAGATGACGAGGGTGATGAAACGTACGACAACGATGTTGCAAGCTTGGAGCATTTCGAGATCAAAAAGATAACTAGCTCATCAACCAATTCATCGGAGGCCAGCTTCAAGGAGGGATCAGAAGAGTATCAAACACGGTCCAGTTCCATTATCAGTGGAATTAATGGAGACTACAAATTTACTCTCAACTTGAACGATTCCAACTTGTTGATGCGTCGTCGGTCTTCTACTGTGCGGTCCAGCAAAAGTGGAGGCCACGGCAGGAGTTCATTATCACATCATCCTCCCGAATTAACACAAGAGCAACACTAAGCTCTTACTCCCCCAATCACTGTGCATTTGACTTTTATTTCTGTTTCGGATATTGTATTAAACATATTATGTACAAAAGAAAAGTAGGATCCTCACTGTCTCTCAGCTGGCTTGACATCGGCAGCCAGTGTCTCTGGCTCTTCAGGAACCAAACAGTCGTTCGACTCCAACAACTCTGCCAACTCTCCTGACTGTGCCATGGACATAACAATATCACACCCACCCACAAAATCCTTGTTCACGTAAAGCTGAGGAATGGTGGGCCACTGGCTATATTCTTTGATTCCGTCTCTCAATTCGGGATCTTCTAAAACATTGTACGCAGCAAATTTTTCAGGGTCCACACCTTGCTGGCCCAAGATCTGAATGGTTGCTCTGGAAAAACCACATTGAGGAAACTCTGGGGTTCCTTTCATAAATAAAACTACTGGTGAAGCCAGAACTGCCTTGTCGATCGCATTTTTGATTTCAGTAGATAAAAGTCTGGTTTGAAGAGGAAAAGTTCTCTTGGCGACTACGGACTGTGTTAGTTGTTGACATCAAGGTTTACAAGGCGTTAATACTTACCGTTCTGAGTCCAAATAATCCGGCTTTAAACATCTTTGCGAGCCACTCGTTTGCTAGCGAAATTCTTTTAGTAATCTCCTATATGCAGGACATATGATATCGCTTAATCCCATGAAGTAGATGGTGATAGAGACAGATATTTTGTTTGATCAAGGACATGTTTTGGAAATTTATATGAACAACCTCAAAGAAATATTGTGGGGTAACATTTTCTTTTGATTGAATTGCTCCTTCAGACCATGCACGACATGCATCTATTGGCTGCAAATTATCCGTTGCCTCGTCGACTGTTCACAAACACACTTGAGTACAAATAGGACACATTTGTGGCTTTTCTTCTTTCTTCTCGTTCAATTTATCATGTTGTTTCTTTCAGGTATTACCTTGGCCTTGGCCTATGCCACTAGCTCACTTGCGCTTTACATTCCTGGTGCCGACGATTGGACAAAACTCATTCCCGATTCAGTGCCGTTAGCTGGAAGTTATGACACCATTCCTTTCTCGTTTGGTATTGTGGTTACTCCATTTGAACAGATTGATGGTGAGTACACCGAACCCTCATTCCATGGTCCCAAGCTGGTTACTACAACCTACACTTCAACTGTCATTACCGATGGTCCCAAACCCACCAAAGCTGTTTCTCCCGTGAAGCAAATTTGGGACGGACAAATTCAGAATGGTCCTGAAGATGATTGCGATGACGACGATGAAACCTATGGTTATGGAAAGAGGAACGAAGTGTACGATGATTGTGATTCTGACGATGAAGATGATTCCGGCTTATTTTCCTCACCAGTATTTTCTGTTGCTTGCCTTGGCGAGAACACACTTCAGATGAGTCTTAGAGGTGGAATTCTTAGAGATGCACAGAATAGAATTGGCTCGATTGTTTCTAGTCACCAATTCCAATTCGATGGTCCTCTTCCTCAACATGGCACTTTGTACGCAAATGGTTGGAGTGTATCCAGCAAAGGAAGACTTGCCCTTGGAAACAGCACAACATTCTATCAGTGTGCCTCTGGTGACTTCTACAACTTGTATGACAAGAAGATTGCATACCAATGTAATCCCGTTACTCTTGAGGTTGTGGAGCTCATTTCTTGTTAAAGTGTTCATGGTGATTCTATAAAAAGTATTTAACCTTTACAAAGATAGCTGCCGTCGCTAGCACCCTATATACAAAGAAACATGCAACGAGTGCCCCCACGTAAACGCTAACATTGGCATTCAACCCATAATAATCCAACACAGCATTACCAGTGCTCAAGGTGCAATGAGCATCGCCGCAGTCGAATTGTTGGTTTTCAAATCCCAAGTTGGCGCAAATTCCAACGGCATACTTCATGGGACTCAACCAGTTCCATGCCTGGAAGAACGGTGGCATATGCAATGACATGGTACCTCCCATAAAAATGGCGATAATTACCAATGATGACAATAAATTGACTGCCAATCCAAGATGATCGAAAATACTGTTGATCAAAATTCCAAGCGACTCTCCACAATTGGTTGCAATAAAACCACTTGCAAACATACCAAAGAACATAGCTGCGGTTCTTGGAAGACCAGCTACAAACACGATCATGGCAGCAAAGAAAAAGTTTGGAATGATTTCCGTTGGTAGTTCGTTGAGGAAATATGATGCGCTGAATTCTAAAACCCCATATATGCCATCCTTGTATTCCTGATAGAAAACATCTCTTTCGACGGGGTAGAGAGTTATATTGTTCAAAAATCCAATGTAGTACAAGTTCAATGCCTCTTGAATTAATCCAAGTCTATTATCGATTCCCTCTTTGGAATGCTTCAATGGAGCAAAGAATAGTGCGTGTATGATACCAAGGAGAACAACTTGACCGGTTCTCGAAACAAGAGCATCTTTGGAACGAAGTGAATTAACGAGTTGTCTCTTGAAGATCACCGGCATGGTGACGGAAAACGGCAATTGTTGCTTTTTGTAATTTGACAAGTCAATTGAGGATTCACTGCTAGCAAAAGTGATGGCATCGGTGTCTTTTGCAGGATGGGATTCGCTCCATTTTTTGACAAGAAATGCAACCCTAGCATCTGCTGTAGGCTTTTCTTCGTGGGCATTTCGTGACACAAGATCGAGAATATAATCGGCAGTATTGGACAACCTTGGTAATTCGAATCCACAAGTATTAAAGTAGGAGCCAATTGATCCTGAGCTTCCATTATAGACCAATCTTCCTCCTCTTGCAAGTAGTAAAATAGATTCAAATTGACTGAAAATATTCTCAGAAGGTTGATGAATTGTCATGATAATCGTGGTTCCGTTTTCAAATGCCAACTTATGCAAAAGGGAAAGAACAGTGACTGCACTCATCGAGTCAAGACCTGAAGTTGGTTCATCAAGAAACAATATGGCGGGCTCACTCAAAAGTTGAATCGAGATGGAAACTCTGCGTTCTCTCTCCTCCAGAGATTCCCTTGATAAATTCATTACCGATCATCGTATCAGCACAGTCAATCAAGCCGGTTCTACGAATCATTGTCTCAACAATTCCCGGAATTGATTTGTGCTTCTCCAAAGGCAACCTCAATTTGGCTTGATAGTATAAGGTCTCTCTGACGGTCAAAGTTGGTATTAAAGAATTGTCATGTTGTGTCACATATGCAGCAATGGTGGAAAGCTTTCGTGGTGAGACAACCAAAGAGTTATTAAGCCGTATAGTTCCACTGCATACGTAGTTGGAAGTCTTTGGTAACCTGTTGGAAAGATGATTAAGTAAAGTTGTCTTTCCACTTCCTGATGGACCCATAATTGCATTAACAGTACCTGCTCCAAATGTAGCACTGACACCGTCTAGCAACGTAAATTGTGTTTTTTTTTGGGGAATTATAGCGTATTTGCGGTTTCTGTTTGTGACCTTCAACTCGATCTTGTCAATGCTAACACCGATCGACTTGTTGTCGTACTTGATCTGGGACCTCTGTAATGTCAGCTGCAGCTCGCTAGATTTCTTCAGTTCAAACTCCTGCTGTAATATGCAATTTTCCGATGGCTCATCGTCAGTATCTTTCAGTTTTTCGTTGGACTTCAGTCTTGATTTTGCAACTTCCATTTCTAAAGGCTTGAAATAGAGACAGACGGCAGTCAACAAATAAAATCCAATAACCCAAGCCAACAATATACATATGGGCTGCTTGACCCAGCCTTGGGGAAAGCCTAGAACTTCAAGTTGGTATGCGCCAGAATACTCTTGGCACAAGCTCTTGTCAGAATGTGGACAGTCACCCGTCCAATTGGTAAACTGGTTTGATGTAAGGGCACCAAATCCATACCAAAAGTATGCAAGATATTTGACCCAACGGACATAAACAGGCATAGTCGCTGCATTGACGAAATACCCACATGCACTATTTTGTAGTTGGTAGAATGCATTGGTGACCAACGAAGCTATAGCAAAGTCGTCACAGAGCGCAAAACAGAACATTGCCGAAGCCATTCCGACAAAGTTGGTCAAGATTGTCACTGCCAAATAGATGAAAAAATATGATGGAGTTTGTGGGCCATCCAAATCGGTGGTGATACGAAGTCCCCACATGAAATAAGTAATCAGGGCAAAGATAACGGCCACCGACACATCTTCCAAAAAGAATTTCCCGAGCCGTCTGGAGATAATGAACCCTGGAATGCTGACAAAATTCTCTTTATACTCTCGGTAGAAAAAGACACCATCGGTAGAATATAGACGTTCAATCTCCACAAACATGGGAGCGAAACCAACAACCTCTAGCATCACGTATAACGTTGAAACTATTGATCTGATTCCAGCAAGATCTGGCTCTGGTTTGTAAAATATCCACCCACAAATTACCGCCAAAAGGAGAGCCCCGCCGTTCAAGGCAATAAGCGAGCCTACATCTCTGTAGGTGAGAATAAACGAGCGCTTAGTCAAGATGATAAGCTCTCTCCAGAACAGAATGGCCTCATTTTTTGGACGGTGAAATCTGGAGATGTTTGACAGAAACTGTTCGTCCTCAGATTTCAGGTAACTTGAAGGAGATTTTTCATTTTGCGATGTTTGTGACTCCCAAAGACGCACGAGAGCGTCGATTCGTGAATTGGAATTTACTTCGTTTTCCGCAGAAGAGGCATCTTTCACGGACATGTCCATTATACGATCGATGAAGCCCTTCGATTGATTGCCTTTGTCAAAACCCAAATCAGAGAGCTTGGTAACATATGTTTCAGTCTCGTTGAAACTGCCGTAGTAAACAACCCTGCCACCTCGGGTGAGTAGACAGATCTTGTCAAACAAGGTGGATATCTCTGGCCTGGGCTGATGAATAGAAAGCACAATAGTAATGCCAAATTCGGGGGATGCAAGTTTTTTGAGTAGCAGGACCAAGTTGTACGAGCTTGTGGCATCCAAGCCAGTGGTGGGTTCATCCAAAAAGAGAATGGAAGGTTTGCTCAATAATTGAATGGCCAAACTCACTCTTCTTTGCTCACCACCAGACAAGTTGGTCTTTTTTGTGGAGAATTGAGCTATTTGTTTATCTTTCAAATGAACGAGTTCCAAAATGGATAAAAGGTGGTCTATCAAATGCAATTTCTCGTCAGTGGTGGTTGATGATGGAAGTCTCAAGTCTGCTTGAAATTTCATGGTTTCAAAAACAGTGAGTCCAGGTAAAAAAAAATCGTCTTGTTGCATGAATGAGTTCTTGACTTTCGAGTCTGGCAGACCTCCAGCAACATTGTAGTTAACTCTTCCAGAGAACTGAAGCTTCTTATTGCGAGCATTCAACCGTTGAGATAAGGTGTTTAACAATGTCGTTTTTCCACTTCCCGAGCCTCCCATGATAGCCCATAATTTGACCGCTTCCCCAATCAAAGGAGACATTGGTCCAAATGGCGTACTGGCCTCCGAAATACCTTTCGTGATCTTTACCACTGGGACCTTTCCCGGCTACTGAAAGATGATCCCCCATTCAGCCTACCCCTATTTCCAGGGTCTATTTCGTAGC